CTCAATGACCAAGTACCGCTGCCTGTGTTCGGGAGACAAACTTGACCACGTGCGTTCTGTTATACGAACGGTGCCAACCCAGGGAAAGCATTCAAATTAATCCTTTAATTGCGGTTAACAGCTAGGGGTGGTCAGTGTTCTAAGTCAATAAAGAGGGGGATCACACAAATTCTGTACGGGTCTGTTCAGCAGAACTAAATATAGGTTCGGGCAACCTTAGGGAATGATACCAGGTCTGCCACACATGGGTTAACTGTGGGTGGATTATCTCAGCACTCTCAGCGTACCATCGATGTCCAGGATTAGATGGAGTCTCAGTGGATAACCCAGAAGTATAGTTTCTGCATCATTGGTGCATTGTAGGAGGTGGGGGAGGGTCAGTGCAGGGATTTATTTTCAAGTCACTTCAAACTGGTTCGACAGAAAGCCAATAACATTACCCATAGACTTGTATCTCCTTAGACACTACAATTATCTGTAATAATATTTTGAGCTGTAGTGGTTATGGTACTTTGATGCAACTTTTATGCATTTGGTCTCATTACTATGCTGTATTTTTTTGTATGCTCAATATTTATAGTTTTTGAGAAAGAGAACAAACCTTTAGCAGAATGCTGTACAATAAGCCTGCCTCCTTAGTCACACTGCCTCACTCAAAGGAAAAGACTTCCTTATCAGTGTACGTACACAGTCTCATTGCCTAACAGTACTGACAGCTGCTTTTAATTCACAGCCTGGCTGCAGACAGTCTGAGAAACCAGGAACAGGTAGTGATATCCTTACTGTACGTCTCCCTGGGTGTCATAGAAACATAGAAACATAGAATGTGACGGCAGATAAGAACCATTCGGCCCAAGCCCGGACTGGCCATCGGGCACAGCGGGCAAATGCCCGGTGGGCCGCGGTGGCCGTGGGGCCGAGGCCGGCAGGGGAGGTCCCAGGATCTCCCTGCCGGTCTTTGCAGGGCCAGCACTCTTCCAGCGCCGGCCCCGCTGTTTGCCACGACGGGCCGGTGGGGAGATCAAAGCTCTCCCTCACTGGCCCACATGCGGCCGCCGGCGGGGAGGGAGGGAGCCAGCCAGCCAGCCAGGCTGGAGAGAGGACCCGGCGGAGCTCTAATTTGCAGCTCCTCCGGGTTCCTCTCGCGAGATCCGGCGCGTTGCCATGGCCTTACAGGCTAGAGTTCACTCACCCACGAGGACCACCAGGGAACCCCGCCACCCCGCCTCCCAGCGTGCCGGTCCCCCCCTCCCAGGCTAAAGGTAAGAAGGGAGGGGGGGACATAATGCCTGTTTTTTTTTTTTTTACCCCCCCTACACACACACAATAACATTTATACAGCACTCTCACACCCATCACACACAGCACACTCTCACACAGCACACTCTCACACAGCACTCTCTCACACACACAGCACTCTCTCACACAGCACTCTCACACCCATCACACACAGCACTCTCACACCCATCACACTCACAGCACTCTCACACACACACAGCACTCTCTCACACACACAGCACTCTCTCACACAGCACTCTCTCACACACACAGCACTCTCACACCCATCACACTCACAGCACTCTCACACACACACAGCACTCTCACACCCATCACACTCACAGCACTCTCACACACACACAGCACTTTCACACACACAGCACTCTCTCACAGCACTCTCACACCCATCACACACAGCACTCTCACACCCATCCCACACAGCACTCTCACAGAGCACTCTCATACACAGCACTCTCTCACAGCTCTCACACACCCATCTCACACAGCACTCTCACACTCATCACTCACACACGGCACTCTCACACACACACATACTGCACCCCTCACATACACACAGAACCCCCCCAACACACTGCACCACACACATACACAATACTTCCAAATATATATATATATATATATATATATATATATATATGTATATATATATATATATATATACACACACACACACACACACTCTTAAAGGACCACTCTAGCCACCCAGACCACTTCAGCTTAATGAAGTGGTCTTGGTGCCAGGTCCTTCTAGGGTTAACCCATTGTTTTATAAACATAACTGTTTCAGAGAAACTGCTATGTTTATCAATGGGTTAAGCCTTCCCCCAAAGCCTCTAGCAGCTGTCTCATTGACAGCCGCTAGAGGCGCTTGCGTGCTTCTCACTGTGATTTTCACAGTGAGAGCACGCCAGCGTCCATAGGAAAGCATTATGAATGCTTTCCTATGTGACCGGCTGAATGCGCGCGCAGCTCTTGCCGCGCGTGCGCATTCAGCCGACGGGGAGGAGAAGAGGAGGATCGGAGGAGGAGAGCTCTCCGCCCAGCGCTGGAAAAAGGTAAGTTTTAACCCCTTTTCCCTTTCCAGAGCCGGGCAGGAGGGGGTCCCTGAGGGTGGGGGCACCCTCAGGGCACTATAGTGCCAGGAAAACGAGTATGTTTTCCTGGCACTATAGTGGTCCTTTAACATACACACTCTGGATCCCCTATACACACACTAGATTCCTTGTAAGCAAACACATACTACACCCCTAAACACACACACACTATAGCCTGTATGCACACACTTGCTATATCCCCAATACACACATTCTCTACAGCCCATAGCCACATATGCATCACATTACACCACAAACACAACACGACTAAAACCGACCTTATTACACAATACCACACCACGACCAGCTCACTCTACACACACGCAATACCACAAGCAGGCTCCAAACACATGCACAATACTCTTTCCTGGCCTTTTGTCTCCTGGTATCCATTTATAGAGACACCAGAGACAAATTGCAAGGAAACACAGTGCAAGCATGTTATTAAATTTGCTTGCACTGTGCAGAACAAATACAGGACTTTTTTCTCATGCTAGAGCTCTTCAGCAGAGCTCTGCGCGTGGTCTGCCCTGGAAGAGCATTGAACCAACATGCTAACTTTGAGAGGAGGCGTGTTTGTCATTGGTGATGACAAAACACACCTCCTCTGCCCCGCCCCCTTTTTAGTGGGTCGCTGTGTTAAAAAAATGCCCAGGCCAAATTTTTCTCCCAGTCCGGCCCTGATTCGGCCCATCTAGTGTCCCCTCCTTCTACCACAGGTTGTTTGTAGTTCAGATCACTCAATGATGACGGTGATCGGAGTTGTGTGCGTTTGAGAGCTTTGCCGCTCCGTGATGTCACAGGCACGAACATGCCCACACGGGCATCAGGCAGAGAAATTGTGCACGCCAGTGTTCATTTTGCAGCAAATTTCAATCTAGTTTTAGTCATTTTAGTTTTAGGCGTTTTTCAGTCATCAGAATTTTTTTTTGTTTTAGTCGACTAAATCTCAGAAATGTTAGTTGACTAAAATCTGACTAAAATTGTTAGTGACCAAATTAACACTGGTGCACGCACATGTATGTGTTTGGAATTCTCGAAGGCAGTGCGAGAGTTAACGTATTTACATACTTTGATAACGGATTTGGGTTAGATTATAAAAAGAACAGGATTTTATTTACTTTAGTTAGTTAGCTCTGTGGTTGTGCAAAAATGAAGGAAGTGGCATTTCTTCTTTAAATGCCACAATTATGCCACATTTCAGCCCATATGCAGATGGTTCTCCTGCTTAGCCTTGTCAGTCAACAGCTGTCACAGAGGGCATAGATCTCAACAAATAGCTTCACGTAAATAAATACAATTCTCATAGCCTAGAAAAATGTATACATTCATTTTTATTTGACCTAAATCACTTTTTTTCTAGAAATATTTTTATTTAATGTGAGCCCTCACTATAAACACTATTACATTAAACTGACTGAAGTAATATGTATCTTTCCCGAATACATTGATATCAATATTATGACAATCTTCATTATTATATATAAACCGCCTGCAGGTGCAGACAGATACTTTGTAATAATAGTTAGCCTGACTATAGGACTGCCCTCACTGTGGCACTCACAGGGTTAATTTACCCTGCACTCTATCATGGCCAGATATCTGATACTGAATACAGGGGCAATTTAAACACACATACCCTGCTCGGAGTAATTTGGGGACAATGCACAGATGGCTGTGCTGGGGGCAGGGGGTAATGCACAGATCAGGGCAGGGTGTAAATTGGGGGCAATGCACAAATTAGGGCAGGGGGTAATTTGGGGGCAATGCACAGATTAGGGCAGGGGGTAATTTGAGGGCAATGCACAGATTAGGGCAGGGGGTAATTTGGGGGCAATGCACAGATTAGGGCAGGAGGTAATTTGGGGGCAATGCACAGATTAGGGCAAGAGGTAATTTGGGGGCAATGCACAGATTAGGGCAGGAGGTAATTTGGGGGCAAAGCACAGATTAGGGCAGGAGGTAATTTGGGGGCAATGCACAGATTAGGGCAGGAGGTAATTTGGGGGCAATGCACAGATTAGGGCAGGAGGTAATTTGGGGGCAATGCACAAATTAGGGCAGGGGGTAATTTGGGGGCAATGCACAATTAGGGCAGCGGGGGTAATTTGGGGGCAATGGTACATTGGGTGGGGGCAATGCACAGATTAGGGCAGGGGGGTAATTTGAGGGCAATGCACAGATTAGGGCAGGGGGTAATTTGGGGGCAATGCACCCATTAGGGCAGGAGGTAATTTGGGGCAATGGACAGATTAGGGCAGGAGGTAGTTTGGGGCAAAGCACAGATTAGGGCAGGAGGTAATTTGGGGGCAATGCACAGATTAGGGCAGGGGGTAATTTGAGGGCAATGCACAGATTAGGGCAGGGGGTAATTTGGGGCAATGCACAGATTAGGGCAGGAGGTAATTTGGGGCAATGGACAGATTAGGGCAGGAGGTAATTTGAGGGCAATGCACAGATTAGGGCAGGAGGTAGTTTGGGGCAAAACACAGATTAGGGCAGGGGGTAATTTGGGGGCAATGCACACATACCTCCACTGACAGAGCTGCAGCCTTTGGCTTTTGTGAACGCCTTCAGCAGCCTCATCCCAATAGGCTGGTGTTCGGGGGGGAGGAGACAGGGCAGGGGGAGCTGCACTTTCAGTTGATCATTACTTAAAAACTGCAGCTCAGAGTTCATCCCAGCACTCCCCTACTCATCCAGGGCAGATCTGACAGACCCTCATTCCATCTCCCCCACTTAGGGCAGATCTGACTGCCCCTTCCAACTCCCATCATGTCCAGACCCCTGTCTGACCAGGAGAAGAGGAAGCAGATCAGTATTAGGGGCATTGTGGGGGTAGAGAATGTGACTGAGCTGAAGAAAGGATTTAACAGACACCTTCACTTCACCCTGGTCAAAGACAGGAATGTGGCCACCACCAGGGACTACTACTTCGCCCTGGCCCACACTGTGCGGGACCACCTGGTGGGCAGGTGGATCAGGACCCAACAGTACTACTATGAGAAGGACCCCAAGGTAACCCCAGTCTGTGAATGCATTGCTGTCCCTTTAAATCCTATCACTACCAGAGTGGTTTAACCCCCACTAGCACTGAAAAGGTTAAACAAATTTGCAATTTTGCCCTCTTATGTTTTAGGTGTGGGGGGGTGCTGCTAAACATGTCACACTAAGGGTTAACTTGAAGCCAATGCATGCTGCAGGTCAATGCACCAACTACTACTTTACTTAAAAAGCCCATGCAGTTAAAGCAGGAGGTCTGGCTTACCTGAGTGACAATTCCCAGAGTAAGTCCAGCTATCTGCTCATTGCTGGCTGATTCTTGGCAGTGACAGGGTTAATCTGATTTCTCCATTGTTTGGTATTAATTCTCTTCCTGTTTGTTGCTGCAGGAACTGGCTGTGTTCACACATTACTTTCCTCCCCAATTAAGGACATTTCCCTTTAATTAAATCGCCCCAAGCCTTGGGCAGTTACTGCACTACTCCCTTAATCAGACCTGCTCCAGGCTGTAACCTGGCCAGTGGGATTGACTCACTAAACAGTGACTGGAGTTAGAACTTTCTAATTCTGTTAAACATTCCAATTCACTATTATTATTATTATTATTATTATTATTATTATTATTATTAAATTTAACAGTAAAACCCAGCATTTACTGCAGCTGCTGGAATTATACTGGCATTGGGGAATTTATCTTGGCTCAGCTATTTCTGTCTAAACAGATTCACCTGGATTTCAATTCACTACAATTTGGTGTTTAGTGAATAAGCCCCATGGGTGGTGCAGACATTTGGCTCAGCAGTGACTGGCTGCTGGGTTTATTAAGGCCTAGAAGTGTATGGTTGTGGTTTTTATCATTTTTGTTCAGTTTTGTTGTTACCCTGAGCTGTGCAGCTTAATTTCTGTTTATTTAGGGTGTGTCTGCCTGATTTCATTCTCTGGGCATTGGTTCAGCCTTCAAACTTGGCTCTCTGACATTTTTGTTTAAAAATAAAATACAATTGTCAGACTTTTTATTTTAACTTATTTTTGCAATCGAAACAACTATTCAGTATCTGATTTACCATTCAGAGTGTAATAAGCCCCCCCCCCCCCAGGTGTCTGTAACATTAACACTGTCCTGTCTGGTGTAAACTGCCCAGAGTTACCCGAGAATCTCTCACTTTGTTTCTAAGCCCGCTATTCTGGCCTGAAGTTCTCCTAATCGGTGGTTTCTGGTTTTATATTCCTCGTTCCCCGTTGCATTCCTGACAATTCGCAGTGTAGTGAATGGCTGAGTGTGATGTGAGCAGACCTGCTGAGTGATTTAGTAAAACCAGAGGAAACTCACATTTGTAGGAGCGAAATCTCTCCAGTTCACCAAATTTGGTCTAAAATGTAGAGTCCCGGCTAATTCTAGACTTGCAGAATAAACCCACTGCAGATTTACTTACATTATTTTTAAACCTAAATCGTGCAAGTTGTCGTTAAACGCCATTAAGTGAATAACTGCCTTGTGTAATATTCCAGGGGTGCTGCTACCTGGCTGACGGGAGGTAGAGATTTTGTAATTTTGGCCTTGGTATGTAGACACTGTTGACACTGCAGGTCCCTGGAGGAGGTCAATTTAGTACATGGGGTGGCCCTTTAACCCGTGCACGGCTGTGTGTGCATTATATCACTATTATTTTACAGTCTGTTAGTAATGGTCTATAACAGACAGCCCAGCTGATTAGAACTGCAAATCCTATGACCCTTTTTCAGGAATCTGTAACCGCTTGGTGACTGTGTGATTGTGCGGGGCTTGGCTGAGTGTAATGTGTATGTGTAGAGTTGTCTGTAAGTGATTTTTGTTTGTGTAATCTTAAGAAAAATATCAATAATCAGTGAGCCGGGGCCGAGAGGGAGAACTTAATTTTATGGTTATGAACTAAATAGACGATTGCCAACAGAGCCCCAACAGTAAGAGCCGGGCCTGGTCACAATAGTGACAGTTGTACACCTGATAATTCCATGACTGATCACATCCCATCCCCCCAATAATACACTTCTAGGGTGCTAGTCAATAATCTGGGAACAGGGGAGAGCCGACGATAGGATTGCAAATATTTAGCACAAAGTGATTTTGGTGGGATGAAGATGTTTGCATATTATGTTTTTTCCTAAAATTGGCCAGTTTATCGCAATTCCTGGCTCTGTGACTAGACCTGTCTATCTGATAACTTGGCTGCAGTAACAGCTCAGCTATAATGTTTTGCAGTTTGGTTTTTAATTCCGTGATTTCTCGCATACCAATAAAAGAGATGACCCATTCCGCACTTACCCGTACCGAGCAGACACTGGGCAGTATACGGTGAAACGTGTTTTTATTAAGGTTTCAGTTGGAATACCTATTTGAGAATGGAGTGGCCGTATGTTCGTTACAGTTGTGTGTTAAATCTGTGTCCCTGTAATCCATAAAATTAGCTTTTATTAAACTTTTTTTGCAGAGAACCTACTATCTGTCTCTGGAATTCTACATGGGTCGCACCTTGCAGAATACGATGATTAACCTGGGCCTGCAGAATGCGTGTGACGAAGCCATCTACCAGGTAGCCATTCCCCCCTGCACACTATGAGACTGGTAATCTGGTTTTATTTCTTGATTTAGCTCCGAGCCAGTGCCGTAATTAGCCGCTATTACAAAGATTTAAACATCAAGTCAAACTCGTCACAATGAACGTTTCTCCTTTATCCACCGACAACTATTTTACTGTCTGAACAACCAATTACAACTGTCCTGGCCCTTTACTGCATCCCAGCAGATCTCCTGTTTCCATAACACTATTGCCAATATGAGTTTATGTCCCATCTTTTTGTTCTTCTGACCCTGTGCTTCCTCCGACACCATTGTCTGATAACGGTTATCACGAGATCCATCCTGATCGCAGTCCTCTCTCCTATCCCATATTTGGAATGGGGTGTCCTAACTACAGTCTGAAATTCAGAGTCTGGATAATTCTAAATAACTACTGTTAACAGGCACATTTCATTGTACTTGTAGCAGAAGTAGATTTTGTTACCTGCCGGTAGTGCGGCCTGTTTACGTCTATAGCCGGTACCTGCCGGTAGTGCGGCCTGTTTACGTCTATAGCCGGTACCTGCTGGTACTGCGGCCTGTTTACGCCTATAGCCGGTACCTGCTATGACTGTTTTTCTAGTTGTTACTAACAGGTCCCACGATGTAAGTCTGAAATGGTGGCACTGAGGGATCTGTCAGGGACTAATCTCAGCCACCGGTTTGTGATAGAGATGGTCCGTTCTTGCAAGTTACACAGTACTCTAGTTCAGCCTTGCCTTATGTAATCGCCCTGTTTATTGATTCAATGAGCCGGCTGTGGGCACGGGGGGGGCATGAGGGGAGCCCGGACAGACTGTTCTTGGTATGCAGGAGGAATACCAGAGCACTTATTCACATTTCAGGAAATGCTCTGCCGCCAGTTTGCCATATCAACAGATTATCCTTCATTTATATGGAAAGGAACAAAACTTGCCCTGGGCCAACGTCGATCCTGCTTTGGCTCAGGATATAAAAACTCTTCTTGGATTGTCTATTTAAAAAAAAAAAAAAAAAAAAATTAAAAATTAAATAGCAGGGCTATTTACTACAGTGAGAATTGCTTGACATTCAAATACAATACAATGTGCATTTCAAATGTAAGGCCAAAATAGCCGATTTTTAGAAAAATTCTCCCAGTCCAGTCTGTGTTCGGTTTGGCTATTGTTTGAAATTCTCACTTTTTTTTTTTTTTTGTGTGTAAATCAGTCTGTAAACGTGGATTGCCAAGGATCCTGTTTCCTATATTATGACCCGCAGGGCCGTAGCTGGACACAGAGGGTTAATGTGCTGGGTGCTATTACAATATGACTAAATGGAGCAAATATGCTGCTGTTCTGTAAATGTCCCTGATGGCTAAGAGTGATGGGAGTTCTAGCTATCCACTTTCAGAAGAGCAAACTACTGCATTTAATAATAATTATGTATAATAAGATATTGGGGGCATATCCCACCTTCTAAATTTAAGAATAGCACGGACCTCCACTAAACGTTTACATTGACACTGTCATGAAACAGGTGATTGGTTTAATTTTTTTAGGAAGAGATGGGAGCCTCTGATCTCTACATTGTGCTGGACAGCTGCATAGACTCTGGTGGTTTTTGGTTCTAAATATCTCCCATAGTGAGGCCTCTGGACCTCAAGCAATGAATTGACTATCTCATTGTACTCCATCTGCCAGCTTAATGTCCTCTTCAGCAGCCAGGTTGTTAGATTGTCATTAATGGGGGATGCAATGACCGGACTACACATACCTGCTGACATGGGGTAATCTTTACGCAACTATACACAGAAGGGTTGTGTTGTGTATGTTTGTTTTTGGAAGGGCAGGTGCTAACCTCATGCTTTGTTTACCCTAATCTTCTTCATGCAGCTTGGCCTTGACATTGAGGAGTTGGAGGAGATGGAAGAAGATGCGGGTCTAGGGAACGGGGGTCTTGGACGTCTGGCAGGTACGTGACTTGTTTGGATTCCAAATACTCAGCACAAGGAACCTGTGACCTGACGTACATGCCATTACTGTTACATATTATATTGTAATCAGAACTCCATGGGATGTCTGGATTAAATGTGGGTCCTAAAAAAATAAATAAATAAGTCCTAATGAATCCCACCTGTTATCTCCATGTTTGTGCAGTTAGTTTAGGAAATTCTTGTAATAGTGACTTTGTTTTTGCGATGTCATTTACCTGATCGTTGGTAACAAGATTCACTAATGACCATTTACGTTTTCTTTTAATCAGCCTGTTTTTTGGATTCTATGGCCACCCTTGGACTTGCTGCGTATGGTTACGGGATCCGATACGAATACGGTATTTTTAATCAGAAAATTCGAGATGGATGGCAGGTAGGTGTCTGCAGCAGTTATTTGGACCATTTTTAACGTGTGACTGACTGTGGGCACAGTGTTCAGCTATTCATTTATATTTAAACAAGCTATGTCTCCCCCACGTTGAGGTATAGTGGTATCCATGTGTCTGTACCAATAATGACTTCCTCTTAGTCTTAGTTTTTCATTATGAGGAAACCTGTTGCGTTTTAGGAGCATGGCTGTTGGTGTTGAGAAACTGTAGGTTTTGTAAAACTTTCCACTCCATAGTTGCCCAAGATTGCTTCCTTTAAATACTGCCAAAAATGAGCTCTTTGTTTCATACAATAACTGAGCGGGGAGGGGGTTATGTAATCTGAATGTCTTTGTTTATATTTGGTGAACACGATTTTCTCCTGATAAACTGACACTTGTCTCTTTATTTACCTTCCCATATTCTCCTTAATATAGTGTCTGTGCAAAGACCGTGACACACGCATCTAGTCTGTAATTGCAATTTGATTTCGCCCCCCTTTTTTTTGTTGTTGGATTTATCATTTCAAAACTCCCCCAGGAACACCATTTAAAGAGAAAGCAACTCTGCGTTTTGTTAAATGAAATTTCTGATCTTGGCTTGATTTTAAAAACCTTTTTCTCACAGCACGTTGTTCCAGTTTTACATAGTTAGTTACTAAAGTGAATTTAAGATGAAAACAGTCGAACTGAAGGAATTCTCCAAGTCCGATATATACTTGCAGTTTGGCTACTCTGGCCTTCAATTTGAAATTCACTTTGAATTCTGACCGTGACATTGTTCTCTTTGGAGTGTGAATATGTAAATAAATCCTACAGGAATGTACAGCTCCCTAACAGGCAAACACAGTGACCCGTTATGGGGTACCCAGGAATTCGTACCATGCCACCCAAAACATGCTCTTTCTTTTTGCAGATAGAGGAAGCAGATGATTGGCTGAGACATGGAAACCCGTGGGAAAAGGCGCGTCCGGAGTACATGCTTCCCGTCCACTTCTATGGGAGAGTGGAAAATACGAAAACTGGGGTCAAATGGGTTGATACGCAGGTAGGTGACTTTGTATTTGTGTACTGGGAATTTGTGGAGAAACACTTTCTTCACCAAAAGTAACAGAGGTGGCAGTAATTAATACTGCAAAGTATGACTAATATCACAATTCTTTTATTTACTATACACACCAATAAGGACCCTACCTCCTGCCAAGCGCAATTCATCTTTTAAATTTAAACAGGTACTTTTTTTTTTTTTTTTATTATGGGCACCCTCACATTTGAAAGGAACTGATGGGAATCACTTGGGATCCAGAGTTTTTCCGGGAGATTATTAAATCGTAGACAAGAGATCCTTTTCAAACCCTGACGCAGTATAAGGGTAGCTGTAGAGATTAAGTAATGTTTTTTTTAAAAATTGTTTTATTGTCCAGTTCTGGGACACTGCCTTCGTACAGACCAGGGACAATGCAAATTCCAGATCTTTGTCAGTTGGCTCGTTGCGTAATACTTGCACAATTCTGCGACCTGAAGTTAAATGTATAATTGTGGAAGCTCTTTCAGATCTTCGGATGAAAGTTCTTTCCTCACTTAAAACCAGCCCAGTCCTGATTTAAGAATCTGTTTTGAATGTACATACTTCGATGATATAGCTGTATCTCACCTGGGTCCTTTGTGCTTGTCCTTTTATCAGGTTGTCCTCGCCATGCCGTACGATACGCCGGTTCCTGGATATATGAATAACACCGTAAATACCATGCGACTATGGTCTGCTCGAGCTCCTAATGACTTCAACCTCAGAGACTGTAAGTTTGGGCAGTGGAGGCTGTTGCTGTGATGGATGGTGGATATTTTATTTTGACTGCAGGTATAGTAAATGAAAGTACCTGCTTGGACTAAATGCACAGATATTAGAGATCTGAGCGGCCTGGTGTAGAAAAGTCAGTTTTTGTTGTGCTGGTGGGACACATGGCCTCTCCCTTTGTCCTTTTTCACCCGGTATAATTCATTACTGTGCAGCCATCCTGAATGTAAAAATCTTAATCCTTTTTCATTTCTAGTAATCAAAGAGTGTGTGTGTGTCAATCTGCAATCTGTACATTTTACTGCGATAGTAAATCTGTGTGTGACTCTCCTAATGTATAGCTGAATCGGCCCTGTTATCGCAATCAATGAAAGCGCTTGAGACTCTGCATGGCTACTCCTGCATTAAATCCTTGTGCAAATGGGTTTTATGACCAAAACAACTTGCAGCCAAGACTAACATTTAAAATGTTTTGCAAACCAGACTTTATTTATTCTGTAATCCTGCTTTGTTTCCCTCTTTTCCCCAGTTAATGTTGGAGATTACATCCAGGCTGTTTTGGACCGAAACCTGGCTGAGAACATATCTCGCGTCCTGTACCCAAATGATAACGTGAGTCTGCTTCAAGCTGCTGTATATAACACCCTGTTTGCATACTATACAGGGAGGTCCAGTGGCTTCCCACCTGTGTGTTAGTTGCCTGTTAGAAACCAACCCAGCCCAGGTGTTCTGACACTTGGGTTGACTCCTTGTTGTATATTCTGTCCCGTGAAAGTAATTTTTTTACATTTTATTCTTTCTCTCCAGTTTTTCGAAGGAAAGGAGCTGCGTCTGAAGCAGGAGTACTTTGTAGTGGCCGCTTCCTTGCAGGATATCATCCGTCGATTTAAAGCAGCTAGGTTTGGCTGTCGGGATACCATTCGGACTGGATTCGATGCTTTTCCTGATAAGGTACTGCATCCCTCTTAAATGTTGGATAAGCAGTCCATCAACTGACTATTATATAATCAGAGGGAGGGGAGGAACACCCTCAAACTTGCTCGGTGGCCCTGGTGTTGCAATGTGCTGAGCTGACTTGCTTGCGGTTTTGTCCACTAGTAAGCAAGCATTTCTTGGTAAATTTAATGACAGCCAGAGTTGGGAGCGATATACCCGTCCAGTATGCTTCCAAACATAGAATCTGTCATTTGGCTGTTTATGGAGGATGTAATGTAGAAGAAACGAGTTGAAATGCTAGTTTCTGAAGCAATAGGAATAGAAGTGGACATTTGTGACGTCTGCCCTCCAGCTGCTGTAAGAGTACATTATTTGAATGGCTGTCAGAGGATTCTGGGAAATGTAATCCTATGGGTGATGTATAGGGAATCCCTGTTCTGAAAGATACATGTTGCCTATCTTTTCTGTTGTGTGGAGCTTAAATGTTACATGTTTTAAATCCTAAACCCAATGACTGAACAGGTGGCCATCCAGCTGAATGACACCCACCCGGCACTGGGGATTCCAGAACTCATGAGAGTCTTCCTGGACATCGAAAAACTCCCCTGGGACAAGGTAACAAACTCTAAGCGATAACTGTGACCATTTATATCTTCATAACAAGACCAATACCAATTGTTGGTATATACTCTGGTGGGTCTATGCTGGCTGGGCTTCGTAGCAATCTTCACAAACACCGTGACAAGGTTCTCCATGATTGCCGGAAGGTAACTTCAATCCTCTTGCCTCTTGCTGTGCTTCCATGATGGGTGTTGGAGCCTGTCTCCAGCAAAACCTTTTTTATTTTTTGTCTGTCTGGCCAAGGGCTGTGTTTGTTTTTAGAGTTTCTGTGCATTTTGTGAAGAGCAGTGAACATACTTGATACACTCTCTGCAGTAACTTAGCCAGTACGTTTAGTCAGACTTTACAGTGGAAATATTATTATTTTTTTTATTTTTTATTCTTATTTTTTATGAACACCCATAAACTGGGTGAAAGATGCAGAACACAAAGTCCCTGTCGTTCAACAATCCCCTCACCTGTACTTTTTTTTTTTTTGCTTCTGACTCATATTCTCTGTGCATGTTCCTCAGGTCACTAGGACACAGGCCCTGCAGTGCTTTGGGTGGAAACCAGTGACTTGCAGTGTGGGGAAAAACTAGAATTAATGGAGTGATGTTACATTTTGAATCATTACTTTTTATTGGTCACTCTGTTAAGGTAGTAAAAGGTGGATGTAGGGGGGTGTTGATGAATATTTGGAATAAAACCTGGTGGACAGATGAATATATTGCAAGCTGAGGATTTTCACATAAACTTGTAGAATGAAACAGACATGAATTTGACAGAAGATGGAGCGAGGAATTTAAAAAAAAAAAAAAAAAAAATGAAGAAAATTTTAGGATAGAAATAATGCTGTGTTTTGTAAGATGATCAAATAGACTGATAACTTTATGAAATTCTAGTTCTTATCGGTCTTTCCTTTGTAAGATTAAGGAACTAAGGAGTTGCTACAGAAACCAATGAGGAACTGTCTGTGTTGTGAAAAAGCCAATTCTATCCAACATGCATGTTTGTGTGTGTGTGTGTGTGTGTGTGTGTGTATTTTTAATGCCTATTTATTTCTTACACCATATAAACATTGTCTAATTTCATTCAGAATTGTAAACCATAATTACAGTAGTGTGGATTGAGAGGTGTGTATATTTCCTCTAAATTGCCACGATTGTGACTGATATCATTAAATTTGAATAATCCTCATCCAGGCCTGGGAAATAACCAAGAAAACATTTGCCTACACCAATCACACGGTGTTACCGGAAGCCCTGGAACGTTGGCCGGTGGAATTGTTTGAGAAGCTCCTGCCGAGACACCTGCAGATAATCTACGAGATCAACCATAGGCATTTGGATGTAAGCATGATAACCTCCTTGTGTAGGGAATTTGTCTACAGAATCTGTAATTCGCAAGGTTTTTATTTACTTATTTTTCTTGGCATCTCCCGTAATGCGCTGTCTGCTTACAGGAGGTTGTGTGTTAATTGGGCTGATGGATGAACAGTTACTGGCTGGAGAGTAACCTCTACTAAATCTGAAAATGTTTGTGTGCGTTTTTAAATATTTGCCTCTTAGATGATAAAAGGCAGAATGAATCCTCTTAAATGTATGAACAGTCTAATTCCCGTGATTATTGTACAGGTTTGTGTGTATGCCCTCAATCTGTCGCCAGCTTCCAACCCTGTTAGGAGGGTACATCTAAAGCACCACATGTTGGCATAATTCATTAAAAATAATCATGCGCACGGCCCACTTGTTTACTTTCCAGTCCTATTAATAAGGGCCCAAGGAAATAAAATGGCTGTTACGTGTTTGACCTAATTATATAATTTGCCTACTAATTGTCTGATTACTGCAATGTGGTGCTTCCTTCATGTGTCAATTTATCTCTCTCCCGCACTGGTGACCTCTATTTATATGTTTATCTTTTTTCCATTCTTCGGAAATATTAGAGAATCTCTGCCCTCTTCCCTGGAGATATGGACAGACTGAGGAGAATGTCTTTAATTGAGGAGGATGGTGGTAAAAGGGTTAACATGGCCCATCTGTGCATCGTGGGGTCGCATGCTGTGAATGGCGTGGCCAGGATCCATTCTGAAATTGTCCGGGACAAAGTGTAAGAACGACCGTTGCTATGAGATGTAAAGAATATGTTTCTAATGTGCTGTATTGACCTATTCTTCCTGTTTAAAGTACTCCTGTTCACTGGTTTCGCTACATCTGTAAGTGTTTCCAATTTTTCACTCTGGGATGTGCTGCACTTGTGCAATTTAATGCGTTCTAGAACTTCATGAAAAATTCTGGATATTTATCTTAAAATTACAGCACTTACACTTTTTTGGTAAACTTGTAAATTTTGCAGTCTTTATGGATTACTTAACAGGTAACCATTCCAGGGCAACAAATACAGAATCTCACAACGCCAGCCCTCTGAATGACTTGTGTGTTTTTGTAGGTTTAAAGATTTCAGTGAAATTGAGCCAGAAAAATTCCAGAACAAGACAAATGGGATCACACCCCGACGATGGCTCCTCCTGTGCAACCCAGGGCTTGCTGAGCTAATAGCAGAGGTAAGTAGTCATCCTGGATGGACATGCTGTTCTTTCTCCCACACAGCCCATGTTCTGATGGGTTCAGAGAGAGCCTTGGCTCCGGGAGATGATGACCAGAGACTATTGCCGGTGTAAGCACTGAGCTGTAATAATACCTCTGGCTGTGGAAGTCACGTTCATTTTACAGCCGGTATAAAAGGTCTCCTCTGAAGTGATCTGACTGTCTTATGACTGGTACACTAGCAGTGATACAAAGTGTATTTTTAATTTCAGAAAATAGGTGAAGATTATGTGAATGACCTGAGCTTGCTGACCAAACTCAACAAATTTGTGGATGATCCTGGATTTATTCGAGATATTTCCAAGGTGAAAGAGGTAAGTTCTCACTCTCTGATATGTTCTATTTATCTTATTTTGGTTTCTGTTGTCGAGACCGGAGTTGAATTTGTACATGGTATCTAATGGTGCTCATTCTACCAATTAGGAGAACAAGCTGAAGTTTGCCCAGTACCTGGAGAAGGAGTACAAGGTGAAGATAAACCCAGCTTCCATGTTTGATGTCCAAGTGAAGAGAATCCATGAGTATAAGAGACAACTCCTCAACTGTCTCCACGTGATCACCATGTACAATCGTAGGTCTCCCACCATCTTTTATATCCAGTAAAGAAACAAAGTGATCTCTTTATAAAGGGCCCCACGATCCCTTCTCCTTCCCTTCCAGCCCATGTTTATATTGGTATATGTGAGTAAAGGTTTGCTTTACCCCTAACATAATATGAATTCCAGGAATAACCAGAAAAATGCAACCTTTTTAATTTATAAAATTGATTGGATTATTCATCTATTTAAATATTATGTTTACCTATCTCTAGTCATGTAGTCTATAAAACACTCCCAATGTGTAGCCTGATTACTGGTGAAGCATCATGGGGGATGTAGTTCTACAGCATGTGGGACACTGCTTAATATGTCTTGAACTCTTGCATTCAGGTATCAAGGCGAATCCTACAAAGGATTTTGTTCCAAGAACCGTTCTGATTGGAGGAAAGGTATGTCATGGTCTTACTTTCCACCCTTTTGCTTCTTAAGATTGACTCCTAAATTGTAAAAAAAATCTCATGAGTCTGACTGTAAATATGTTTTTTCATAAAAAAAAAAAAAAAAAAATCATCTTTTTGCTTCAAATCCTAAAATTTTCCAGCATTTACATAATAGTCTGAAAACTCCTTGAAGGCAGAGTTCTTCTGTAAGATGCAGCAGAGTCTGTATTGACTTGTCCAATGACTGCTGCTCTTTGAACAATATATTAAAACGTAATCCACTCCTCACCTCGCAGGAGGTAATTATGTTGTAGTAGAAGGAAGCTGCAAAAGGAATCTTAATCAAACTTTATCCTGGCTCTAAAGCCGTAATATTTTCCAAAAATATCTTGACAGATTTTCTTCCTACAAATGTTAATGGTCACGTGTTTTGTTTTTGTTTTATGAAACCTCATCAAGGCTGCCCCCGGATACCACATGGCAAAGTTGATCATAAAACTTATAACGGCTGTTGGAGAAATCGTGAATAATGACCCAGCAGTGGGTAACAAGCTGAAGGTCATTTATTTGGAGAATTACAGAGTCTCGCTTGCTGAGAAAGGTAAGTGCTATCTGCGTTTAATAAGCGATCTCACACGATAGAAATAGAACATCCTCGTCAGCAGCTGCTCAAACTCTTAAAGGACCACGACACCTACTCAGAGACTGCTCTGTCAATTATTTCCATCATATAAATAGTCACTTTTTTTTTTTTAATGAGATGGTTCTCCTTTAAACGTTTATGATAAGACAAGTATAAACATGCAGGAGGGGCAAATCCGAAATTAATGGAATGTGGCCAACATTTTCAGCTTTTATCGTCTCCTGAGTGTGTTGGTAACCAGAATGCATTCTCTTGGCAGTGATCCCGGCAACGGACTTGTCTGAACAGATTTCCACCGCAGGCACTGAAGCATCTGGGACGGGAAACATGAAATTCATGCTGAATGGCGCTCTGACCATTGGCACAATGGATGGCGCCAACGTGGAGATGGCGGAAGAGGCAGGAGAAGAGAATTTGTTTATTTTTGGCATGAGAATAAACGATGTTGAAGAGATGGACAATAAAGGGTATTTTTATTTTAATATATTAATACAATTGGTCTAAAATTATAAAACTCTGTCCTTAAAAATTATTTCCCCATTCCTCCAAAAAGTAATGAATTAATTAATATTTAAAATTTATACGAAGGCAAAACCATTTTAACCCTTCAAGAACCAGAATAAGTTGGTGTCGATCACCTTGTGCAGACAGTCCTGTTATTTTGTCTCAATCTGCAGGTACAACGCTCTGGAATTCTATGAAAAAATCCCAGAACTAAAAAAGTGTATTGATCAGTTACAAAGTGGCTTCTTCTCCCCGATGCATCCTGACCAGTTTAAGGATCTGGTGAATATGCTTTTCTACCATGACCGGTGAGTCTAGTGCAGAATGGCCCCTCAAGCAATCAGTCCAAAATGTAGTCGATTCTCTCCTTGTCTTGGGATAAGTTCCCCTTTATAATTCTGACCCGTCTGACCGTATTAGTAAGCATTTTCCCTGCCATCAAATGAAATGATTTGTTTCTTTATATCGGGGTCTATCTTTTTGGGGGGGGGATGATCTCCTACAGGATAGGCTGGGATGTAATATATGATTGGGGCTATACAGATAAAATAAATGTTTTATTTCTTAAAAAGGTTCAAAGTCTTTGCAGATTATGAAGCCTATGTGAAGTGTCAAGAAAAAGTCAGTGAGTTATACAAGGTAAGCGATTTCCATATTTTAAGATAAGCAGCGATCTTACTTTGGTTTCTGATGTCCCCCCAATCACCCCAGACGTAGTTTGTATAGAATATTGCCCCCTACTCCTCCTCACAGTGCATCCCATAATTCATGTTCGTTCTAGTCTGTGTTCTTTTAACGGTTAGTATCTTGAAATCTATTTTATTTTTGGTTTCCTTCTGCAGACTCCTAAGCAATGGACAAAAGTTGTTATTAAAAACATAGCAGCCTCTGGGAAGTTCTCCAGCGATCGGACCATCAAGGAGTACGCCAGGGATATCTGGGGCGTCGAACCCTCTGATTTGAAAATCCCACCACCCAATGAACCGCGGGATGCCCTTGATGAAGTGGTCGCTTGTGCCCAAAAAGCTAAAGCCTGATCTGAGCTCCTGCACAATTTTAAGACCAGAGTATCTGTTCTGACGTTCTAGAACACTCTGCCTTTAACCTAGTGAGAGAAACTCTGCACAACTAAAATTTCACGTAAAACTTCCGCTTTCTCATTTACATAGCCTGCTTTGTGGTTTCATGCTGGTCGGAGACTGGAGTCTGCATTTTGCTCGGCGTAGTTTTGTCTTGGAATGATGGTTAATACGTTTACAACCTGAAACCGTTTTTTACACTTTTTGTATCAGCCGAAGAGTGTTTGCTAGGAATCAGATGTTTTCTACAAAAAACATCTGCCATTTTGTAAACTATTCTGCACAAATTAATAATAAAAATAAAAAATGTTGAATTTGATTTTCTTTCATTCTGCAGATATTTGGTTAAATGACAATCTTGCTGTAAATTTTTGTTTTTCTTTTGCCAAAAATCTTCTACTTCACCAGACAGGAGCAAATTCCTATATTTAAACCAAAATTGCCTTGTGTGTTGTGCTTCTAAAATGAAGGTTGGAAACAGAATTACAATATTTAGGTCGTAATAGACCTGTATAGTTTATATATTGAAACTTTAAACAATAACCATGAACCCCTGTGGATCACCTCTGTTGTTGTAACAGAAGTCATCAATCCATGTTCTTGTAGAAAGCTTTCCACTTCACGTTCTGTCTTGGGCCACGTGGAGATCTGGTTTTATCCAATAATGTTCTGCTTGTTGTGAAACTACATCCCCCATGATGCCTTTCTCGGCATGCAGGCTGGTGGTACTGAACTCCTATGATGCCTTGCTGGTAATGTACCAAGGGAGTTGTATAGTCGCATAGTCATGTTAAACTGTAATTCCTGGATCACTGCCCCAGGGCTATCTCTTAGTCATTGGGGGGGAGCGAACCCATCTAGGGCTGTAGATGGTGGTAGATATTCTGGGATGTGAAATGTACCAAGCATGTGCTTGTCTGGATCATGAAATGTGTTCTAACAAGTCTTAGACCTGGAACTTTATTTTTTATTTTTTTAACTATTTGGTGCCTTAACGTTTGCCTTCTACCTCTGTAGCCAGAAATCGCATGTTTCTGATGAGAAATGGGATTTCTTTGCTTGGTTTTTGCCTGGGTTATAAGTCAGTCACTCTCAGATCTAGTTTGTTTTACCAAAGCTTTGGAAATTCATCACACTGCTCGAGGTGAATAAACAAAATGTGTATTTATTGAGAAATGTGCAAACATAGACGGTGTCTGGCTGCGGCCCAGTATATTTCCAGGTACAGATTCCACAATTTAGATGGAGTTCAGGAAATTCCTACACAAAGCACAAACCTGCGTTAATGGATGTCTTTCTGCTTAGCCGTCCTGGATAACATAACCTGCTACGCTACACTCCATTCTAGAACCTGCATTACAACGTTTCATTGCAATGGTTTCGCTGTTCAGCTACATACAGGGCTGTTAATCCAGCTCGGCCTACATAACCATGATGGGGAGAAACTTAATTTGAGTTGCCCTACCCTCACCTGCCTGTTGTTGCAGTATATACTGGGTTACCAAGACTATCACCACTCTTCTGACTCAACATAGAGGGCTATCTTCCATCCTCTACAGCTATTTCACAGTCTGGCACATTAAAGACCTTCCCATAACATCCAAAAATGTCTAATCTAGCGTTCTATTAATACGTCGGTCTAAAACCTAATCAAAGTATAAACCTGACCATGGCTTTTATAACTTACACCATGCTCTAACACAATAGACCAAACCGTGACCGAACCATTCCTTACCATATTATGCCTGGCAGTTTGGGGTCTTTATAAATAAACTTGTGTTTGTAGCCAAGAGCCGCAGGGAATAAAACCAGCTTAACCTCCCGGGAATGAGGAGCCATCAGGGCTGTTTCATGGAGCTGTGGAGAATAATGTTCATTGGTAAATAGGTGAAATTAAAATGACTCTCGTGCTTTGTGTTAAATCACCCATATAGACCGGTTACTAAATGTCTACTGAGACCTACATGAGACAAGCAGATTTAGGACTAGCTAATATGCAAAATATCTTTATGGACTCAATTTTATTTCCTTCTCTGCCCATACAGAAGATTGATGGTTAGAGAGACAAAATGAGAAAAAAAATTCACTGGTTTTATTGGAAGTAAATCTTAACAGCTTAATAAAGCTGCAGATTTCTTGTCTGCAACCTTTACAAGCCCTCCCCTTCTGACCACGCCCAGACTTTCTGTGGCTGTCCAATCACAGGCTTCCCAATGCCGCTCAATGAGAAGTCTTTGCAAGGCAGGTGTTCTGGGCAAGTGCTGCCTCTTGAGTTTATCTCCACTGAGCTAAACAAACCAGGAAGTAACAGGACAGTGTGTCTGATTTGCAGTCAGGGGGTGTCACAAGGTTTATTTAAAAAAAAATTTCTAAAATGAAAAAATAGGATAAACTTAACAAGTAAAGCACTTCAGAAAGCGACGCTAATTTACATGTTCAAATGTTGGGCCAAAATAACAAAAAAAACAGCATACGCCAGTCGTGAGAGGCAATATTTGTCCAACCTGCAGAAGGTAAAAAATCCAAAAACCTTTTAAGGTCCCTGTGTGTAGTGATTCATGTTGTTTTTAAATATTTCCTGATAAACAAAAAAAAAACCAACAAAAAAAACGAGCAAGTTTCTAAAAAGTAAATTACCTTTTTGGCCAGTGACGAAGGAACTACTTGGTCATCTTCCGCGTGCAGTATTAAGAGAGGGCTGGAGAGAACTTTAACACTACAAGAAGGGGAAAATCTCATTCCATTAGCTCTTTGTTCTTAAACCCTTTTCATAAAACTCCAATAATGACTCCGAGCTGAGACATGGCTTTACAGTAAGCAGGGACTGGACCCAAAGTATTTAAAACACAGGCCCTGTTAATATATATTCCAGAGCCCCCTGTGGTTCCTCATTCTCACAGACCCCCAGGTGCCATAATATCTGTGATCCCTATTGTTACAGCCCCATTTAATGACTACAAGCATCGCACCCTCTGTATAGAATGGCAGTCAGTAAGGATGGAATACTTACTTTTCATCGTTGGGAAAGACATTATTGCTCAAAGCAAATGTATCCAGGAAGAAATATTCAAACCAGGGGAACATGTGGTAAATCTAGGAAACATAATCCTTGTTAGTGTTTGAGGTTTCCATTCCAGAACTCTCCTGGAGCTAGCGTTGGATGCTGGCCCTGCTGCATTCTAGACTGCCATGCCATTTACACACTACACGGGGCATTTTCTCCAAACCATTACCCGTTTACTAAATAAACTCCACATTCGGAAGCAACGTAAGATTCATAGATGCAGTGAAGGATTTACTTACTTTCCCAAAAGGATGATAAGCACCGGCTTCCCGAATGTTAGTATACGGCGCTTCTAGAATAACCGCATCCGGTGGGTTCCCTGAAATGGAAGATCCAGAATTATCAAGAAAGGAAGTATAGGAGCATTTCAATCCGCCAAATCCAAGCTGGGAGAATAGAAATACTGCAGGGATAGTACCGCCCAATACTCACCCCTTTCTTGGAGTGTTTTGGCTGCGTTCGTTGCTATTCTGGAAAATAAAAAGAGGAAATGGAATGTCCAAATAACGACAGATTATTGCTTCAACGGCAGATCTACTAAAGCAGCACCGGCTAACCCGAACTACAATGTTAGGGCTTACTGAGCATCGTGGCATGTGTGATTCAACAAAGCACAAGATTCCAGAGCATTAACCTTTACTGCTCCCACTAGAAGGCTATTCCAGGTATCTACTACCCTTTCTATATCACTGTTACTGCTTCCACTGGAAGGCTATTCCAGGTATCTACTACCCTTTCTATATCACTATTACTGCTCCCACTGGAAGGCTATTCCAGGTATCTACTACCCTTTCTATATCCCTGTTACTGCTTCCACTGGAAGGCTATTCCAGGTATCTACTACCCTTTCTATATCCCTGTTACTGCTTCCACTGGAAGGCTATTCCAGGTATCTACTACCCTTTCTATATCACTGTTACTGCTCCCACTGGAAGGCTATTCCAGGTATCTACTACCCTTTCTATATCACTGTTACTGCTCCCACTGGAAGGCTATTCCAGGTATCTACTACCCTTTCTATATCACTGTTACTGCTCCCACTGGAAGGCTATTCCAGGTATCTACTACCCTTTCTATATCACTGTTACTGCTCCCACTGGAAGGCTATTCCAGGTATCTACTACCCTTTCTATATCGCTGTTACTGCTCCCACTGGAAGGCTATTCAGGTATCTACTACCCTTTCTATATCATTGTTACTGCTCTCACTGGAAGGCTATTCCAGGTATCTACTACCCTTTCTATATCGCTGTTACTGCTCCCACTGGAAGGCTATTCCAGGTATCTACTACCCTTTCTATATCCCTGTTACTGCTTCCACTGGAAGGCCATTCCAGGTATCTACTACCCTTTCTATATCACTGTTACTGCTCTCACTGGAAGGCCATTCCAGGTATCTACTACCCTTTCTATATTACTGTTACTGCTCCCACTGGAAGGCTATTCCAGGTATCTACTACCCATTCTACATCACTGTTACTGCTTTCACTGGAAGGCTATTCCAGGTATCTACTAACCCTTTCTATATTACTGCTTCCGCTGGAAGGCTATTCCAGGTATCTACTACCCTTTCTATATCACTGTTAATGCTCCCACTGGAAGGCTATTCCAGGTATCTACTACCCTTTTAATATAACTGTTTTCACTACTATTTCAAGTAGTGAATGAGCATTGGTGATGACATATATTTTAAAGAGTTTGTGTAGAACACCTTCTAATATGTAAAGGTTTTACTTTAAAAATGTCCCCATAAAATGGAGTGTTTAACGGGTCCTAACTCGTGTTTATTCTGAATAGATTAATATATTTGCAGTTGTCGTTATTTCTACATTTATATAATTTGCTACAAACTACATGCATTGTGATCCATACCCGGTGCCCAGGGAATGCCCCCACAAACAGACAGGGCTCCCGCGGCTCCGAGCCTTCACCCATTGGTATAAATACACAGAGTCCTCCGTCACGCCCTCCTCACTCGGTTCTCCGGTGGAATCGGCAAACCCTGGGAAGAGAAGAGGAAGAGATGGACTCCAGGATAGACACCGGGCACGGGGACTCTCAATATAGAGTTTATTCAACCCGGGGTAACGGAAGAAATATTAGCAATTCAAGGACAAAGGGCTAAATACTAAAAAAAACATTGAAAGCTTTGTTTCCATGGGAACTGTTGGTTATTTAGCATTTTTGCCTCGCTAAGAATGGCGCATGGGGCACTAAAACACTCCGAGCTACTTAATAAATCCCAACTAAACCAAACCTTGTCCTCTATAATCTTACCAAACGATTCTATACGGGTAGAAAAAGTTTAGACGTCATCATTAACATCTATGGCAGTGTTTGTAAATAAATTATTTGCAACGTTTTCTAACAGTATTGAATCATTTGGAAAGATGATTAAATTGAGGCCAATGTCAGCGATAACAAGACATTCTAAGACACATATTAGAGACAAGTATCGAAACTTTAAAATATGTTTGTAACAGAGAGCCCCTAGTGTCACATGTGTGGTACTGTAGGTTAGGAACAGAAACACACTGCTTGTACATTGTCTGTAAATTACAGCAGAATTTCAGGGGGTATTTTCCCCTTTCACTATCCTCAGCCCTTTGATTAACCCACCCCCTGGGAGTCTGATTTGGTTTTTCCTACCTCTGTAGTCAATAGCCAAGACGTGAAAGCCGGAAGCACTGAGAACCTGAAACAGAAACTACCATGAGCTACAGAAACGTAACACAACAATATCACACTGACCGCGTAACTCACAACAATATCACACCGACCAAGTAACTCACAACACTATCACACTGACCGGGTAACTCACAACAATATCACACTGACCGTGTAACTCACAACAATATCACACTGACCGAGTAACTCACAACAATATCACACTGACCGCATAACTCACAACAATATCACACTGACAGCGTAACTCACAACAATATCACACCGACCGTGTAACTCACAACAATATCACACTGACCACGTAACTCACAACAATATCACACTGACCGTGTAACTCACAACAATATCACACTGACAGCGTAACTCACAACAATATCACACTGACCGTGTAACTCACAACAATATCACACCGACCGTGTAACTCACAACAATATCACACTGACCACGTAACTCACAACAATATCACACTGACAGCGTAACTCACAACAATATCACACTGACCGCGTAACTCACAACAATATCACACTGACCGAGTAACTCACAACAATATCACACTGACAGCGTAACTCACAACAATATCACACTGACCGTGTAACTCACAACAATATCACACTGACCGGGTAACTCTGAGAGTCCGGGTGGTTTCGGCATTCTTTATATGATTGCATTACATTGGGGCAAGTGGCAGATGTATAATTAAGGCTGTGAACGGAGGGGCTAAACACAGCCGACCAATCAAAGTAAGAGTATGGAACTCATGTTAAACGTCTCGGAAGGACGAAAGGCCACGTTCAGAAAGCTGGAAATTAAATATGTGACTCTGAGATACGGCAAATGGAGCTGTATCCACTGAGCTATTTCACCAGCATATACTTTCACATTCCTCTTTATTTAATTGTTTTTTTAAATATATATATGCTGATAGATAGCAATTTTGATTAAAATATATATGCACACGCATGAATTGCTTGAATTAATAAGCAGTCGTTCTAGATGGGAGGTGATATTACAACGCCCTACATAACGACGCCATTTTAAATGCTATCACTATGGTTAGCGGTAGTTAGATTTTAGGGGGTGCAGGTTTAGGGGTGCTTGGGATTAAGGGGTACCGCATTCAAGATTCATTATATTATAAATCCTATCAGTAAAGGATGCAGTGTACAGTATCTGGAATGTCTACACTTTTAAAATGTAGCGCTGATATAAAGTGACAAAAACTATTTTCAATGTGAATCCTTTATTTTAGCTTTATAAGTGAGGTTTCTTTTTCCACCTACATACGACTTAATGCCTGAAACAAAATGCATTAGTCCTATTTCACATAGTAAAAAATAAAATTTGGTTATAAATAGACCTGATGGATAAAAATGAACGTATTCGTAATTTTTCAATAAATTGTTTTAAATTGAAAAGAATACTTTGACTCTGGCTATAAATATTTTATTAACAGGTTGGTAGAATTTTCATGTGAAACAAAAAAAGAGCAATTTAACCCCTTCCACACAGACCTGTGAGTTAATTTTTCTAATAATTCTAAAAAAAGGACAATTCTGCATATTATAACAGTTATTATATATTATAGATTATAACAGTTATTATATATTATAGATTATAACTGCTATTATATATTATAGATTATATTATAGATTATAACTGCTATTATATATTATAGATTATAACTGCTATTATATATTATATATTATAACAGCTATTATATATTATAGATTATAACAGCTATTATATATTATAGATTATAACAGTATTCACCTTCATAAGCTGCACTCGGTGGTCTACAGCCCTGTAAACGAAAATAAAAAAGAGAATTATGTCAAAATCCATAGAAATCTCTGGACACGCTCTGTAACTGACCTTTAGGTGCCCATTTACTAAACAGGGAGTTTGATAATCAACTTGTACAGAAAATCTGGGAAAACAGAACCCCAGTTCAGCAGAATTAATAGCTAGATGGAGCTACCTCTCTTGGGATGATGTCAGGGATCACAGGCTGAGGAGGGCAGATGGCATTAGGAAGCTGATCTATAAAACTTCCATTGCAATTTATTAGAATAAACAGCCCCTCAGGTATTTGCTATGGTCTAGCCATGCGGATGTGTAGGGCTGTTCTCATTGGCTAAGGACGTTAGCTGAGCACTCTAGAGCGCAGCCCTATGTTGGACCTCCTTAGCTCAGTGATGACATTGAGGTTCTCCTGCAAAAGTGAGCCAGATCCAGCGCAACAGTCTGCGGGACCCAGGAATCTGTCAAACCTTTCTAAAATGATTTGCCGAATTACCCTGGGATGGTACAGAGGCAGTACTGGCACCATAACCACATTAGGGGGCTGAAGTGTCTATGCTGCTTAGATTGTTCCTTTAAGCAATATTGCCCCTAATATTATTTAATATTGCCCCCATATTATTAAATATTGCCCCCATATTATTTAATATTGCCCTTGTTTTAGCTGTCACTCCATTACCCTGACCTTGGATCATATTTTGACTACGCTTTAATCTGTCTAATATTTAGTCCGGCCACTCTAAGGCCCAGTAAGATGTTTATATTTCCTTTGTCCATTCCTTGTTATCCTAAACTCTGCGTGTTAGGGTTATACTCCGAGACAGCTAGGTCCTCTATATGTGCAGATGACCCCCATATTATTTAATATTGTCCCCAATATTATTTAAGTATCATGTGCTGGGTCCTCTATGTGTACAGCTGACAGATCCACATGTTTTTCAGAACACTTGAAACAAGCTATGAGGAGAGACATACGAGTGCTGCCCCACAGTATGAGGAATTTACACGTTGTCACAGGGAGTATCTCCCCAATAATGAAGGAACGTTCTTTGGGATCCCTCTTTAATTGGTTTTCCTCCTGTAACATACAAACTTAACGCAGTAACAGGCAGAACTTTTAATGTCCCACCAATAGGAGGGCCATACAGTGGATCTGGCACGTTCTGTGTCATGGAACAGACAACAAGCAGCCTGTCCAAGGAGGGCCGCCCCGGGGCCAACACATAGAAACATAGAATGTGACGGCAGATAAGAACCATTCGGCCCATCTAGTCTGCCCAATTTTCTAAATACTTTCATTAGTCCCTCGCCTTATCTTATAGTTAGGATAGCCTTATGTCTGCCCAATTTTCTAAATACTTTCATTAGTCCCTCGCCTTATCTTATAGTTAGGATAGCCTTATGCCTATCCCACACATGCTTAAACTCCTTTACTGTGTTAACCCTACCACTCAGCTGGAAGGCTATTCCATGCATCCACTACCCTCTCAGTAAAGTAATACTTCCTGATATTATTTTTAAACCTTTATCCCTCTAATTTAAGACTATGTCCTCTTGTTGTGGTAGTTTTTCTTCTTTTAAATATAGTCTCCTCCTCATTTAACACACATAAATAACATTAACAATGCTTTATAGCTGTGTTGTCCTCCTTTAATAAAGGGAACACTTAAACAACACAATGTAACTCCAAGTCAATCACACTTCTGTGAAATCAAACTGTCCACTTAGGAAGCAACACTGAGTGACAATCAATTTCACATGTTGTTGTGCAAATGGGATAGACAACAGGTGGAAACATAGGCGTGCGCAGCCTATTGCATTAGGGTGTGCACCATAAAGCACAAGCACACGCCGCATATATATATATATGTATGATGCTGGTAGTGTGCTACGTGGGTGAGGGTGTTTGTGTGTGCGTGCTTGTGAGGATGCTGTTAATGTACTGTGTGTGAGGGTGCTGTTTGTGTGTGAGGGTACTGGTAGTGTGCTGTGTGTGTGTTTGTTAGGGTCCTGTTTGTGTTTTTGAGGGTACTGTTAGTGTGCTGTGTGTGTGTGAGGGTGCTGTTTGTGTGCTGTGTGTGAGGGTGCTGTGTGTGTTTGTGAGGGTGCTGTGTGTGTTTGTGAGGGTGCTGTATGTGTGTGTGGGTGCTGTATGTGTGTTGGTGCTGTGCATGTCTGTGGGTGCTGTATGTGTGTGGGTGCTGTGTATGTCTGTGAGTGCTGTGTGTGTCTGTGGGTGCTGTATGTGTGTGGGTGCTGTGTATGTCTGTGGGTGCTGTGTATGGGTGCGTGCTGTGTATGTCTGTGGGTGCTGTGTATGTTTGTGGGTGCTGTATGTCTGTGGGTGCTGAATGTATGTGGGTGCTGAATGTGTGTGGGTGCTGTGTATGTCTGTGGGTGCTGCATGTGTGTGGGTGCTGTGTATGTCTGTGGGTGCTGTGTATGTCTGTGGGTGCTGGATGTCTGTGGGTGCTGTGTATGTCTGTGGGTGCTGTATGTCTGTGGGTGCTGTATGTGTGTGGGTGCTGTATGTGTGTGGTGCTGAATGTGTGTGGGTGCTGTGTATGTCTGTGTGTGCTGAATGTGTGTGGGTGCTGTGTATGTCTATGGGTGCTGAATGTGTGTGGGTGCTGTATGTGTGTTGTATGTGTGTGGGTGGGTGATTGTGGGGGGTGGAGGTGGGGGTACATTATTTGCTATCCCCCCTCCCTTCTTACCTTTTATAGGGAGGGGGGATCGTGCTGCTGCTTCCTTCCCTGGTGGTCCAGTGGAGGAGGGGATCCTTGCTGCTGTGATCCCTGGTGGTCCAGTGGAGAGTGAACTCCAGCCCCCTGTGGGGCTAGAGTTCACTCTCGCGAGATTTGAGCGTTGCCGTGGCAACGCTCATATCTCGCGAGAGGAACCCGGCGGAGCTGCCGGCAAGAGCTCCGCCGGCTCCTCTCCTGCCTCCCTCCCTGCATGTGGGTCAGTGGGGAGGGAGGCTGAGAGCAGAGCCGGCGCTCGGATAGCGCCGGCTCTGCCTGAGCCGACAGGGGAGATCCTGAGATCTCCCCTGCCGGTCTCAATATACATAGGCGTGCCGCGGGGATTAGGGTATGCCCAGGCACACCCGGCACACCCCATGCGCACGCCTATGGGTGGAAATTATAGGCAATTAGCAAGACACCCCCAATAAAGGAGTGGTTCTGCAGGTGGTGACCACAGACCACTTCTCAGTTCCAATTCCTTCCTGGCTGATGTTTTGGTCACTTTTGAATGCTGGCCGTGCTTTCACTCTAGTGGTAGCATGAGACGGAGTCTACAAGCCACACAAGTGGCTCAGGTAGTGCAGCTCATCCAGGATGGCACATCAATGCGAGCTGTGGCAAGAAGGTTTGCTGTGTCTGTAAGCGTAGTGTCCAGAGCATGGAGGCACTACCAGGAGACAGGCCAGTACATCAGGAGACGTGAGGCGTGGAGGAGCAGCAGGACCGCTACCTCCGCCCTTGTGCAAGGAGGAACAGGAGGAGCACTGCCAGAGCCCTGCAAAATGACCTCCAGCAGGCCACAAATGTGCACGTGTCTGCTTAAACGGTTAGAAACAAACTCCATGAGGGTTACAGCCCAACACCGTGCAGGATGTTTGGCAGTTGCCAGAGAACACCAAGATTGGCAAATTCGCCACTGGCGCCCTGTGCTCTTCACAGATGAAAGCAGGTTCACACTGAGCACATGTGACAGACGTTTTGGCAGTGGGTCAGTAATGGGGTGGAAATTTCTTTGGGGGGGCCGCACAGCTTTCCATGTGCTCACCAGATGTAGCCTGACTGCCATTAGGTACCGAGATGAGATCCTCAGACCCCTTGTGAGACCATATGCTGGTGCGGTTGGCCCTGGGTTCCTCCTAATGCAAGACAATGCTAGACCTCATGTGGCTGGAGTGTGTCAGCAGTTCCTGCAAGACGAAGGCATTGATGCTATGGACTGGCCCGCCCATTCCCCAGACCTGAATCCAATTGAGCACATCTGGGACATCATGTCTCGCTCCATCCACCAACGTCACGTCTAGGAGTTGGCAGGTGCTTTAGTCCAGGTCTGGGAGGAGATCCCTCAGGAGACCATCCGCCACCTCATCATGAGTATGCACATTGTAGGAAGGTCATACAGGCACGTGGAGGCCACACACACTACTGAGCCTCATTTTTACTTATTTTAAGGACATTACATCAAAGTTGGATCAGCCTGTAGTGTGTTTTTCCACTTTAATTTTGAGTGTGACTCCAAATCCAGACCTCCATGGGTTAAAAAATTTGATTTCCATTTTTTAATTTTTGTGTGATTTTGTTGTCAGCACATTCAACTATGTAAAGAACAAAGTATTTCAGAAGAATATTTAATTCATTCAGATCTAGGATGTGTTATTTTCGTGTTCCCTTTATTTTTTTGAGCAGTGTATATTGTTTTAGAAATACTATTCTACAAGGAAACAGGAGCCATTAACATGGAATTTCATTAAATAAAGTCATTAATGTAAGGGAATGTTAACCAGTAATACAATGAGAGCTTAAAACTGCCCACATTGCTTGTTAACATAATCACCTGGTCCCCCCGTTTCCATGGAGATAAATTATGACCGGGTTCTCATCTGACAGAGCAGCTTCGTACCAGCTCTGATCCTTGCCTTTCGCCTCTTCTGCCCTGCTGGTGGGCACAGTATGCCTATAGGGGAAAAACACACAATTAATAAATGTACCCCAGCCAACTCAGCAAGACAATGAGACATAAGATCTGTTATCATCCCGGGCCTTCCAATGGGATATATATCACTAACCAAATATACAGTGTAATATAGAAATATCAGTCTTTCCTTCCACAGTCTTTTCCTTCCACACAGAGACCAAGCAATACCCACCAACTCCACTAGAGGCTCTGAAGTACACACTTTCACCACTAGACTCAGCAATACCCACTGTCACCACTAGAGACCCAGCAATACCCACCAACACCACTACAGACCCAGCAATTCCCGCTGTCACCACTACAGACCCAGCAATACCCGCTGTCACCACTAGAAACCCAGCAATGCCCACTGTCACCACTAGAGACCCAGCAATACCCACTGTCACCACTACAGATCCAGCAATACCCGCTGTCACCACTACAGACCCAGCAATACCCACTGTCACCACTAGAGACCCAGCAATTCCCGCTGTCACCACTACAGATCCAGCAATACCCACTGTCACCACTACAGATCCAGTAATACCCACTGTCACCACTAGAAACCCAGCAATGCCCACTGTGACCACTAGAGACTCAGCAATACCCACTGTCACCACTACAGATCCAGCAATACCCGCTGTCACCACTACAGACCCAGCAATACCCACTGTCACCACTACAGATCAGCAATACCCACTGTCACCACTACAGATCCAGCAATACCCGCTGTCACCACTAGAGACCCAGCAATACCCACTGTCACCACTGCCCACTGTGTCACCACTAGAGACTCAGCAATACCCACTGTCACCACTACAGATCCAGCAATACCCGCTGTCACCACTACAGACCCAGCAATACCCACTGTCACCACTACAGATCTAGCAATACCCACTGTCACCACTACAGATCCAGCAATACCCGCTGTCACCACTAGAGACCCAGCAATACCCACTGTCACCACTAGAGACCCAGCATTGCTCACTGTCACCACTACAGAACCAGTGTCACCACTACAGAACCAGCAATACCCACTGTCACCACTAGAGACCCAGCAATACCCGCTGTCACCACTACAGAACCAGCAATGCATTTGTTCTTTATTGTTTACATCTTCAAGTTAGTTTAGATTAGTTCTTTCAAATCCATCAGCAGCCATGATGGAGTGTGAGTTATTAGTTATAATAAATTACTAGTTATATCAATCATGTCAGTTGACGTAGATGTCTCTTACCAGACGCCCACAGTGATCCCTTCTTCGGGTGTGAGGTAGAAACTGGTGGTGTGATTCAGGATCTCTCCGGGCTGCCTTGTATCAACAAAAAATGGGACCTTCACTGAAAGATAATAAAAGCAGAGTGGTCACTCAGAATGCACCATGGACATAGCTCAACTCAGAACACAAATAGATAATCAGACACGCTCTACACACCGTCCAACTATTTGCAGACATTGGCATCTGTATGAGGGAGAGGGGGAACACAGGGCAATCATAGACGGGTCTCGATTAACAGAGCTCAGAGTCAACTAGATAGTCAACATAGAGCTCTGAGACGGAGAGAGAGAGAAAGAGAGAGACTGCCAGGGGCCCTCTAACAGTCCTTGCACCCAAGGGGTCCTCATCAAATTATTTTTAACGATTTAACTTTTTGTAACAATTTAAGCACAACACAGATATTGTTTTGTGCTTGTTTAGTTCCATTTCTGCAAACTCTGGAAAAAGTGGGGTGTCCCTAATTAGAAGGTACCCCTGGTAGGCCACAGAGTACTAGAACTGTCCATAGGGACCCCATGGTTATGGCTCTAAAATAAAAAATAAAACAGTTAAATAACTTAGTTTTATTCTTCAGCGTGAAAAAGCCTTAACCTGAGATATATAGAGACTTGATAATAAAATGATAAGTGTGATCACTCTGCAAGAACAATTAATTTTTTAAACTTGCTCCGTTTCCCCCATTAACCAGCTGGAGGCAAATGCTCTTAAATTACTCTTCATCCTGGGAAGACAGCTAGATCCATGTCTACTAACCGGCCTAATGCAATCTAGACTAGTACAACCAAACCCATACAGTCTATCACATACAGTATTCTCAGCATTCCCCGGGTCCTAACTCCAAACTAAGATATATTCAGGATAATACACATAACAATGAAAATATTAGAATCATGACAATGACAGAGACAGAATTATAACAATAATAATAATAACAGCATCATGACAATAATAAAAAAACAACAAAATCATAACAATATTAATAACAGAATCATGACAATAATAATAACAACAAAATCATAACAATATTAATAACAGAATCATGACAGTAACGGAATTATGACAATAATAATAATAACAGAATTATACCAATATTAATAACAGCCTCATGACAATAACAGTAACAGCATCATGACAATAATAAAAAACAAAACAAAATCATAACAATATTAATAACAGAATCATGACAGTAACAGTAACAGTATCGTGACAATAGTAATAACAGCATCATGACAATAATAATAACAAAATCATAACAATATTAATAACAGAATCATGACAGTAACAGTAACAGAATTATGACAATAATAATAACAAAATTATACCAATATCAATAACAGCCTCATGACAATAACAGTAACAGTATCGTGACAATAGTAATAACAGCATCATGACAATAATAATAACAAAATTATACCAATATTAATAACAGAATCATGACTAATAATAACAGAATCATGATGAAGTAGGATATCTTTAAAAAAAAAAAAAATGTTTTGATTTTGACTAAATAATAAATAAAATACTCCTTTCATCCACAATATTTTAATCTTTGTATTTTGTCCACATAAAATCGCCATCGTCAGATCTCAAGAAGATAAAAAATCCGAAAGCAGCTTCTGTTTGCCAATAATAAAAACCCAATAATTATTTGAAGAGCAAATGTACACTTTACTGTATTTATAGTAAAAATATTGAGAGCTAACTTTGAGTTATCAATAAAATGGAATATAATTAATGTAATAATTTCTCATGTGTGAAGGGAGACTACAGGTATTCTATTCCTAATCAGTGATTTGTGTAAATAGACATAATGTCAGCATTAATATAATACATCCCACTTTTTGCACAAAAAAAAACATTTTCTAAACAAAAACATATTCTTGATATAATACTGTTGGCACAAAAGGAGAATCATAGGTTTAAAGAAATATCTAAACGGTTTGAGTTTTCCTGTAAACCCTGCCTGTTATTCATTGCTATAGGATGTTCTCAAGTCATTAAATACTTACCCATGTTTAAATAAACTACCTTGGCGAGCAATACTGGGAACAGCCTAATGATGAATGGGACGGTAACATAGACCACCAGAAGACTCAACCCAAAGATTTTCAAGCAGGTAAGCCACCAAGACGAAGATCTAGGAGGGAATAAATATTGTTATACGACTTGCCAACACACAGATAGACTGAGGGCCTTAACGCATTCTGCGGTGCCCTAAAACAGAACTGGAATATGACATCATATACCAGCGCTTACATCATCATTTTATGGACAATTCCAAGGAGATTGGAATGCTTATTAAAATATATTTTGAAATACATTGTATATGTAACCCTTGGATACTGGATGTTTTCACCCAATGAGAAATCTGATGGAATTTAACTTGTGGTTAACGATCAGAAAATGTTTAAAACTAATGGTCGCCTCCGATCAGCTACACAATGGAGAGTTCTTTAAGGACTAAAAATAAAACATATATTTCATAAGTTAAATATTCAGCATTCTCTAACTGTGTTCTCCTATAGAATAAAACTGATGGAACATGCATACTTTAACTTTTTTGTCCAGGAATGCGGCATTTTAGAAAACACAGGGGGCGGCCATTACTTTATCCTCGTCTGATCAATTTCTGGTCACTGACGATGATCTGAATTCTACCTGGAGTATGATTTGTTGAAAACACTGAGCAGTTATCTAATCTCAGCTCCCTCTAGCTCCTATTTTGTTTTCTTGTTGTAGGTGAACCTGTGCGTTGGGGGGGAGGGGGGGTTATATAAAAAATATCACACGATTCCCTTCAAAAAGTTGCAAATGTGACTTCCTTTGCTGTAGAATGTCTACTGCACTTAACCTCCAGGTCTGCAATTAATTCAAACATTAACACAATGAAATTAGCAAAAACAAACTGAACTCAGATTTTTAACCAGCCAGGGATGTCATATATTCTTAATCAGAAGGAAAGGAGGAACAGGATGTGAAAACTGTCTTAACAAAACTTTTTTTAATGTCACATTAACACAGAAATCACATGAGAATAAAGTCACCTGACATGGTTACCACAATAAGGTTTTCTTTCTGTTAACTGTTTCATTACCATATAGAGCGTCTCAAAATGATATATTTGCGCAAAATAATTAAATAAAAGCAATATTAGATCTGCACAGTATAATTAAATAGTATCTTATCGTATTATTGGAAAATAACGAAATATTAAATAAACACGTTTCATCAAGGAGAACATGGGAAATGGAAAAAAAATAACATATCTTTTCTGAAAAACACCCACATTTTAAAATCAGATTTATATCAACAATTAAAACATATAAACACCCCTGTTCCACAGATTGCATTCTGGGAAATATTTAGCCAATACAGTGAATTTCATAAAAGGTTATAAAATGGCACAAATTGTAAAAAGCTTTACAGTTAATTATATCACAATCTTGTTATCCCCAACAAAAAGGTACATTTATTCGCAGATGTATTAAATATATTTAAGGCCGAAAAGCTGAAATAGAAAATGTTATTAAGTTCAGCTATTTTGGCCTAATTCTGCAGAATTGTTTAGTAAATATTGAGTCCACGTTTCGCCATTCAGTTTGAAAACGGTATATTTACAGACATGTTCGCATCACGCACAATCGGTGTAACTCCTCACAGAATACGTCGTGAGGTTTTGTTTACTAACCTGAGTACCCTGCAGAGCTGACCAGGGAAATGCGAATATTGGGGGAGAGTAACGGAATAAGAATGTTGCTCGGTACGGCTATTTCCCCAGATTGTCTGCAAGGGTCTAAAATGTGAATTCCCTCATTCATTTTGGACAATTCCCAATTCAGTAAATAAACCGCTATTGCTAATTGTATTTTAAACTGAAACATTTGTACATGACACTCATGGACAATGAGATATGTTTGAATTTATTTATACGTAGAGCTTAAAAACAATCATTCATGCACTGGCGCAGAAGAATGAAACATGTCTATATCGCGAGTTAAAAAAGCGTTTCCAATAATTTGTGTTTACACTTTAATATCAGGGGCCGATAGTCCACGCGCACAATCAGCAAAGTAGGACAGCGAATACATTCATGGTTAGCACGCATGTGACAGTCATTATAGAATGTTCTGTAAAATTTAGAGCAAAGCAGAGGAAATGGGAAAAAGACAGATATTGATGTTTTTCCCCCAGTTTGGAGATTTCAGTCTATAATTTGCTATTTGTCTCTCAGCCCGCCATAATTTGCTGTCTCGTGAATAAGTGTTTTTGTGATGTGGGAATGTAAATAAAAATCATTTTACCTTTTCTTATTTTTTGAGAAATGCGGCTGCTTTGTCTGGGATTTTGTCTCCGAGCCTCTGCCATGTAATGGTCTCCCAGTGGCCCCTTTATTTGGAGGATCCCGCCGTTTCATGTCTGTGTCCCGGCTTGGCTCTCGAATAATGAATGTACAAACTCAAATAGGTCAAAGGAGAGAAGAGATCCTTACTTCCTCTATATTTATTGCTTCATATTCAATAAGAACACGGCTCGCTTTTATGGCAGTTCTGGGAGGTTCTTAGTGATCTGACATAAAAGGACAAAATACATTAATATTATGATCATTATTATTATATTTAGTAATATATCGCCAACATATTCTGCAGTGCTGTATTATGGGCAAATATATCCCAGGGAGGAAAATAAAGGGGTATTCATAGGAAGTGCTATTTCCTATTGTGATTGGTGTAGTTGCAATGCATTGCTCTCAGCTGAGGTGGTAGGGACAAAAAAATGGCACAAGGAACGTAACTGTGATAAGTTCCAAAAACAGAATGTACTAAAAACAGGAACTTGAAGGAAAAAAATAGCTGAATTAAAGATAATGCAATAAAATAGCAATTCAGCAGTTTTAAAAATGTTTCTATGTATTTTGACAGAGGGTAAAAGAAATGTTTGCAAAATCATTCTTAATGTGGGACTGGGGGGCTGGGAGGGCACATAAGTAAAAAACACCTTATAGAGTAGCATTGACTCTGATGTAACAGATTTTTTTTAATAATTGACTCCAATAAAGATACATTTGATATCCCAGATTTAATCACACCAGATTTTCCAAGTATTTATAATCAATCCAGATCACACCAAGCTGGATATGAAGGGGTTAAAATATTAGCCTGTTTTTTTTTTTTTTCTTTACTGATCACACAAAACACCAATGTCCAAAGTCTAGATAATTCATTGACAGTATAAGGGACAACGCCGTGAACTTTATCCCATTTGCCTTTCAACGCAGTTTTTAATTTAAATATGTATATTGGAAGCCAGATTGCAAAGTTGTGTTTTTACTTAAAAGGATTCTTTAAGGACCATAACCGCTGCATGCATTATTATTATTATTGCCATTTATATAGCGCCAACAGATTCCATAACGCATGCATGATTTGCGTCAGACATTAGTGAATGGGTAAAATGACAGACACAGCGGTAATCTGTTGTCAAATTACAAACACTAAGAGCAGATACCAATAACGGTCAGTAATGTGTCATGGCTAGAACTTCAGGGAGGATAAACTACGTATCCCATAAACCTCTGCTAGATAAGAGGTTATGGGATAAGATCAGACCCCAGAGACCAGGAAAAGAAACGTTACCTGTAATAGTAGATATAACACAATATGAATAATTTTAAAATAAATATTTGAGGCTTTAAAATCTATAAAGAGATTGGTTGTAAAATATGAATTTGCACCCAATGAAATCACGGGATACAGAGTCATTTATCTCAGAGAGCAGAATTACAAATATTTTCACATAGATTTATAAATCTGCTGACTTTGCTCGTGTTAATATGAAAGGAACCAACCTGGTCAATTAATGCATGATCCTACAGTGTGTGAATGCTACATACCACTGACCTGTGTGGATCTGATGGCTGGTAACCGAGGCTATTCACAGCTTTACTCAGTATTTGACACTGTCTCCCCCGAACCCCTGTTACCTCTGCCCATTGTTTCCACTACATTTACACATTGTAAAAGAGGGCCACTTTATATTTAGGGGGTGTGGGAAGGACCTGGGTTATTCCTGGATATTTAAGGTGACTTCATGACCTACTGATAATCCTTAATGGAACAGTAATATATTTTAGAAAGAGATATTTTATGTCTCTGTGTCAGTACGTCTGTCAGTATGTGTCTGTATGTTGTCCGTGTGTGTATCTGTATGTGTGTCAGTGTGTGTTGGTGTATCTATATGTAGTCAGCATGTATCTGTGTATCTGCATGTGTGTCAGGTTCTCTATCTGTATGTGTGTCTATGTGTGTCAGTGTCTGTGTGTATCCGTATGTTCTCGTGTGTGTGTGTGTGTGTGTGTGTGTGTGTATCTATATGCGGTCAGTGTGTATCTGCATTTTTGTCAGGTTGTGTATTTGTGTGTCTGTTTGTGTGTTTCTATATGTATTCAGTGTATGTATATTTGTATCTACGTGTGTGTATCTGAATGCATTGTATGTTCTCATTGTATGTTTATGTGTGTATATATATATATATATATATATATATAAGTATATATATGCGGTCAGTGTGTATCTGCATGTGTCAGTGTGTATATCTGTGTGTCATTGTTTGTATCATTCTGTCTGTCTATCTGCATGTGTGTCAGTGATGGTATCTGTGTGCCTGTGTATGTGCATGTGTGTCAGGTTGTGTATCTGTGTATCTGTATGTGTGTCAGTGTGTGTATCTGGATGTTCTCATTGTGTGTATCTATATGTGATCAATGTGTATCTGCATGTGTCAGTGTGTGTATCTGTGTATTATTGTTTGTATCTGTCTGTCTATCTGTATGTGTGTCAGTGTGTTTCTGTATGTTCTCATTGTGTGTATCTATATGTAGTCAGTGTGTGTATCTGTGTGTCTATGTATCTGCATTTGTTTCACAGTTTGTATATGTGTGCCTGTGTATCTGCATGTGTCAGTTTGTGTATCTGTCTGTATGTGTGTCAGTGTGTGTATCTGTGTATCTATCTGTAGTCAGTGTTTGTATTTTTTTGTATCTGCATGTGTGTTTCAGGTTGTGTATCTGTGTCAGTCTGTGTATCTGTATATCTGCTTGTGTATCACAGTGTGTGGGGCAGTGTATGTGTATATGTGCATACATCTCAGTATTCAAACACACTCCTGCATTGAAACATTAATACTACATACAAACACACCTGTGTTAAAAACACCAAAATTATATATAAACACACCCCTGCATACACATAAATACATGCTTGCATTCAAATGCCAGCACCACATACGAACACACCCCTACATTCACACACACATACTCCATACAAAACATGCTTACATTCAAACACACAAACACTGCTCATTGCAAGCATGGGACAATGATAGATCCACAACTGTCAAAGCATTGTTGGAGTTCTATGACAGATGGGGAACTTCCGATAGCGGGGCCCTAAAGAAGCATTGCACCCGCACCCTTTCTAGTTTATACAAATACAAAAAGATAAGTCCTGCACTCACTCCCATCACTCCTGGGCGGCAGCAACGACCACAGTACACATCAGCCCCAATATATAGTAAAAAACGTTTTTCTTTGGTTTTTACTATATATTGGGGCTGATGTGTACTGTAGTCATTGCTGCCGGCCCAGTAGTGATGGGAGTGAGCGCAGGACTTATCTTTTTCTATTTGTATTTACTTTGTATCACACAGCTAGGTTACAATGCTGCCGCCCATCCCATGTGTTCCCTATTAAGGGTTAATAAGTATATAGGGGTGTATATAAAAAATACCCCTCTCTGTCTCATTAGAGATATCTTTGCCAGAAGCTCAAGGAAGCAAGGTGAAAGGTCAGTGTAGGACCCGCTTTAGGGGGGTCTGCCTTGACGTTGGCAGGGGGGCATTCCCTCCAATGGCCAGTGGAGTAACTAAATGACCTCCATTTGTCTAAATATACATAGGGATTAAGGAGAGAGCGCAGGTAACTTTCCTCCCCTTTTTTTTTCTTTGCGTTTTACCCTTTCTAGTTTAGTTCCACCACTACATTGTGGTGGAGCTCTGTTATACACTCAGACACATTACTGGGAGTATTATTGCTGTGGAGCTCTGTGATACACAGACACATTACTGGGAGTATTATTGCTGTGGAGCTCTGTTATACACTCAGACACACCAACAATATGGAGCTCCTAGAAAAGAGGGATTTGGGCCCAAAATAGGGACACTTGGGAGGTATTGGTTTTTAGCCCTAATACTCTTATTTAGATCCTATATTTAACATACAGGGATCCCTGGTTCATATAACAAAAAGCATAACGTTTTTTGATGGGTTGAAATATTGCTCTAATCCATTTACTGCCAGGAAGAATGTCCGCTTTTTATCCAGTGATAATGCAATCTCTCATAATAAAGAACTCTTCGTATTAAAGGAATAATGAAAGGATTATATTGGGCTCTAATCCTCCTATCTCCGAGCTCCCACCAAGGAATGATCTGCTCCCATCTTCATCCTGTATAACAATGAGATGTGATTCTTCCTCTGTGAGACAGCTGATTAACACTCTATTCTCATCCAGAAAACGGACGCTAATAGCAATCATCATCGCAAGGGGCGTCACCTTGACGTTTCATTCAGAAATGATGATTAAAATAAAAAAGGTCATTCTCAAGCTTTGATTTCAAGGGTTCTCACATCCTTCTAAGGATGCTTATCAAAAATACTTAGACATTTATGTAATTGTCAGGAATTCAGAGTGAACTTAAATCTTGTCTCCAGGTGAACCTTAACATTGCTGATGGTTTTAGATTTTTCCTAATCCAGATGTATCGAAGTCACTTTGAATTCCCGGACATTAATAACACTTTATTGAATTCCACGGATAGTACAGGGCATTGCTGGAAAAGAGCCGCTTTGGAATTAAAATTATTTTTTTACAATTTGGTTATAGTTTACCATTTAGAAATTAACAGGGTTACTTACTAAAGAGAGAATAGAAAGTGAATTGAAATTACAAAGAAATTCCAAATTTACTGGCGAATAATATATTCACTCGCAATCAGGATCAGCAAGACTTTCCAAACACAATCACCCGATAAAGGAATTGTCAAACAGGAATGTATAATTGTATGCAAAGCAACGTCTCCACTGATTAATAAATATATATTTTTTTCGATTTAGAATGTATTATTTGAATTTAGGAATCATACATTGTTTGACCTGGCTCACTTTATATTATCGGTCACCTACGAATTGTAAAGCATGGTGGAATATACTGATATCAAATTGCTAATAATGATAATATTTTTCCAATGTGTGATTTTATTGTCCATGTAGACAGGTGACATGTATGTATGTTCAGCTACCACCAGGTGGCAGTATAGAGCTATTAAAGATTGCATACATCGCCCTGCGCAGTGCGCACAGCACAAACCTTTATTTATTCTGATTACAAGTTCTGTGCGACTTCAGCTATTGTCTCGCTCTTAGGCTGAGTATTCACAACATCATTTGTTCAGCTCATGGAAACAGTAATAATACAAGGTCATACTTACAAGGTTCACACCAGCGTTTCTGACCTTAAAGAGACACTCCAAGCACCATAACCACTGCAGCTTATCATATTACTACAGCTCATTGTATTATTACAGCTTGTTGTACTGGCTGTAGCATATGGAGACAATATGGGTCAATTTGGTGGCATTGAATGACCCAGCGGTAATTTTGTCCACCCGTGAAAGTTTGAGTGATTTGGCGTGGCTGAATCCAGATGTTCATACATGTGTGATCACGCCACTTTAAAACGTTGTGATGATACAATAAACTGTAATAATACAATAAGCTGTAATGATACAAGGAGCAGTAAGCATACCTTAAATTGCAATAATACAATAAGCTGTAATGATACAAGGAGCTGTAACTATACTATACATTGCAATAATACAATAAGCTGTAATGATACAAGGAGCTGTAACTATACGATACATTGCAATAATACAATAAGCTGTAATGATACAAGGAGCTGTAACTATACGATACATTGCAATAATACAATAAGCTGTAATGATACAAGGAGCTGTAAGCATACCATAAATATTAAATTGCAATTAAATGAGATTGCCATAATACATATGATCTAATGATAAATGAACTTATAATAATCAAAAAAGATAAAGAAATAACACAATAAGCTGTAATGATACAATGTGATAGGAGCTATTTCTTGTGCGTGCAGAGTCCCCCTCAGTGATACCTGCAAATATCAGAATTAAAGGGACAACACTTAAAGTACCAAAACAACTTTAGCTTAATGAAGTAGTTTTGGTGTATAGATCATGCCCCTGTCTCAATTCTCGGCCATTTAGGAGTTAAATCATTTTTTGGGGTATAAACATTTCCTAATAATATCACTGAATTGTCTACTTATTTAGTGAATATAATCAATGGTAAAATTCTCAAGAGAAAAATGTTTAAGAAAAAAAATTCAAAACGAAGAATAAAAAGTAGCTGAAAGATTCCCCCCCCTCCCCCCCGCTCTACAGAAAAGGCAGCAATGTATAACAGGTGGAATAACGGCGCGTGTGAATCTGAATCCAGCATTTGTTACATGTAACCCCCTATGTGCACATGGTGGGATTTCAATGTAATAACAGCTGTATGGCGAGTGTCGCTCAGCCCACCCTGATATCAAGGCACAAAAATCACACAGACCCCCGTGCGGAATGGAAGCAGCGGAGGGATTTGCAAGACAGGATAAAAACTTCCCTAATGAATGCAATGAGAAAATCCCAGCAGATATCATGTGTTCATAATCTGCTTTTGACCTTGATTTGAGCCACTACCCTGTCTGCCTTCTCATTTTCTAAATCAGGAGAACATTCAGGATACCTGCTGGGCAGGGCATGCACTACGCATTCACTAACCAATCGCAAGACTGCAAAAATATCCGAGCTGCAAAAATACGTGATCAGGCAAATCTTTTAAAAACGAAGACTTTATGTCTAAATTTCTCAGTAAACATGCGCAACATGAGCAATCACCATGGAAGCCAGTAGAACGCATCTACTAATTCTGTTGGTATCCATGGAGACTGTTCCAGTTTTAGAAATTTGCACTATTTCCTGTTAGTGGCTGCCAGGTCTCTCTGATGTTTTCAGCAATCAGAATGGCCTTCCGCATGGATTTAGACATCTCTTCCAGACACAAAGTATATTTTACGATCTTCAATTTTTTTCCGGCCCAACCCCGGCTTTAAGAAAGTGTCCGTATGGCACCAAATCAATGGATACATCAGATCATTAGCGGTTTGTGATATCCACGTCCTGTGCTGGGTCCGCCATGTAGCCCTTGCTGTGTCCGTATGGCACCAAATCAGTGGATACATCCATCAGATCCTTAGCGGTTTGTGATATCCACGTCCCGTGCTGGGTCTGCTATGTAGACCTTGCTGTGTCCATATGGCACCAAATCAATGGATACATCAGATCATTAGTGGTTTGTGATATCCATGTCCTGTGCTGGGTCCGCCATGTAGCCCTTGCTGTGTCCGTATGGCACCAAATCAGTGGATACATCAGATCAATAGCGGTTTGTGATATCCACGTCCCGTGCTGGGTCCACCATGTAGCCCTTGCTGTGTCTGTATGGCACCAAATCAATGGATACATCAGATCCTTAACGGTTTGTGATATCCACGTCCTGTGCTGGGTCCGCCATATAGCCCTTGCTGTGTCCGTATGGCACCAAATCAGTGGATACATCCATCAGATCCTTAGCGGTTTGTGATATCCACGTCCCGTGCTGGGTCTGCTATGTAGACCTTGCTGTGTCCATATGGCACCAAATCAATGGATACATCGGATCATTAGTGGTTTGTGATATCCACGTCCCGTGCTGGGTCTGCCATGTAGCCCTTGCTGTGGCCGTATGGCACCAAATCAATGGATACATCAGATCATTAGAGGTTTGTGATATCCACGTCCTGTGCTGGGTCTGCCATGTAGCACTTGCTGTGTCCGTACGGTGGTGTCTAAATGCTACAAAAGTTTGATAGGACAGTTATATAGACGACAAGTTACATCGACAGATCAGGATCCATGCAGATGTGACTTTTGTCGATTAAGAGAAGACTAGCAGAGGGTGTAAGAGTAAAAGAGGAAGTAAAGACACTGCCAAAACATGATCACTGACCCCTCTGCAGTCGTGTAATAATGTTGCTGTTTCCTGTCAGCACTATAAAGATTTAAATTCAGGAGACGCCCACATATTCACTAAGGAATGGGTACTATGCCCGGAGCTTTGTGTGGTTCATGGATGCTAAAAAATTAAAAGGTGCCTTACCAGTTAACCCAGCTTGTCGCCAGTGCTATTATTGTATCCAAGATGCTGCAATGCCTTCGTAAAAAAAAATGCAATTTTCGGGGAGGTAATGGTAAAAAAAATGTAATCTGAAATCTGGCAAACTCTTGAAAAATGATCCAGTGCTTCTAATTATATTAAAGAAAAGTCTGAAGCTACACAAATAATGTGATTAGCTCGTTATCACCCAAATACTGAGGAAAAGCTTGAATATCATCATTATCGAATGATGGGGGTGGTCATTGATTTAAACACTAATGTGTAACAAGATGAAAGATGATCTGCAAAATGTAGGCCAAAATATCTAAATAAGAAATCGGCCAACTCCCCTGTACAGTGTCACCGCTCGGCTCTTTTAGAGAAGAATGTAGAGTGTCCCAGCTCGGCATTTTAGAGTAGAATGTAGAGTGTCACAGATCGGCATTTTAGAGTAGAATGTAGAGTGTCCCAGCTCGGCTCTTTTAGAGTAGAATGTAGAGTGTCCCAGCTCGGCATTTTAGAGTAGAATGTAGAGTGTCACAGATCGGCATTTTAGAGTAGAATGTAGAGTGTCCCAGCTCGGCTCTTTTAGAGTAGAATGTAGAGTGTCCCAGCTCGGCATTTTAGAGTAGAATGTAGAGTGTCACAGATCGGCATTTTAGAGTAGAATGTAGAGTGTCCCAGCTTGGCTCTTTTAGAGTAGAATGTAGAGTGTCCCAGCTCGGCATTTTAGAGTAGACTTTAGAGTGTCCCAGCTCGGAATTTTAAAGTAGAATGTAGAGTGTCCCAGTTTGGCATTTTAGATTAGAATGTAGAGTGTCTGTGGAGGATAGGGCCCCACGTAGCAAGGAGCTCCCACCCATCCCCCCTCTTCCTTTCTCTCTCCCTTCTCTTTTTTCTCTCTCTCTCCTTAGCTTCTCTGCTCTCTACCTCTTGGCTGTTCTTTCTTCTCTTTTTTTTTCCTCTCCACTATGGAATTTACCTTACTCAGTCTCATCCTTCTTTATTATTCTTACTCCCCTCCCTCTGGTCTCCCCATGGGAGGTGGCGTTATTCTTTTTTCACCTCTCTTTAATACGAAGTTACGGTTGGATGAACAATGCAGTTTATGAGCGAGTGGGGCTTTTCTGTAGAATGGGATCAAGGTATAGCTGCTATGACAGTCGCACTTTTCAACACCTATCTTCAGATAGCGGACTCATGGGGCATATGTCAGGGATTGACAAGTGCAGGCTATATAATCATACTTGACGAGGCCAGGCACTACGATTGTACTAACTTGTTATATTCATCAATCCCCTGATATTTTTTTGGGGCATCTCACACAGTTAATGGGTCCCTTCTTAGATCAATAAGCAAAAAAGTAGCAAGAATGCCATTGCTCAGTAGAATGGAATTTGAATTCGAATGAGAATGGAGTCCAGCGTGTTATCCACCTTACTGTCCGCTACTAGAATTGTCTATTTTTTTCCCCCTTTTTTAAAAATTTTTATGTCTTATTACTCTTTAACTTTAAAAATGTGCTGTATTAACCTGTGACAATGTTAAATGCTGTAAGCTGCACACAGAAGCTGATGTGGCTCTGTGTATGTGTTGTTGATACATGCATGACAAAAATAAAGAATTAAAAAAAAAAAAAAAGAATGTAGAGTGTCACAGCTTGGCATTTTAGAGCAGAATGTAGAGTGTCCCAGCTTGGCTCTTTTAGAGTAGAATGTAGAGTGTCCCAGCTCAGCATTTTAGAGTAGAGTATAGAGTGTCACAGCTCGGCTATGTTAGAGTAGAATGTCACCGCTCTGCATTTTAGAGTAGAATGTAGAGTGTCACCGCTCGGCATTTTAGAATAGAATGTAAAGTGTCACAGCTTGGAATTTTAGAGTAGAATGTAGAGTGTCACAGCTCAGCATTTTAGAGTAGAATTTAGAGTGTCACTGCTTGGCATTTTAGAATAGAATGTAGAGTGTCACAGCTCGGAATTTTAGAGTAGAATGTAGAGTGTCACAGCTCGGTATTTCAGAGTTTGAATTTTGCAGTTGACCTGGTTCTGCATTTTTAGTGATTCTAGAAAATACATTCAGCTTGTGTTGACGTTTACAATTTAGGTCAAAATTGGGAATTTAGGCCTTAAATGTGAAAATGACTGAATTCACTGAACGGTTCATTTGTTAAACTCTGCATTGAAATCAGAATGGCAAAATCTAGGCTAAAATAGATGATTTAAAAATACAGCTCGGCTATTCTAGCCTGGATTTGCATTTGGAGTCACAGCTCAGCTTTTCTAGCCTGGATTTCCATTTGGAGTCACAGCTCGGCTGTTCTAGCCTGGATTTCCATTTGGAGTCACAGCTCGGCTGTTCTAGCCTGGATTTCCATTTGGAGTCACAGCTCGGCTATTCTAGCCTGGATTTCCATTTGGAGTCACAGCTCGGCTATTCTAGCCTGGATTTCCATTTGGAGTCACAGCTCGGCTATTCTAGCCTGGATTTCCATTTGGAGTCACAGCTCGGCTATTCTAGCCTGGATTTCCTATTATTTCTTTCTATTATTGTGTTATCATATTGTTATTGTTACAATGTTACAATGTTACGAGTATCAGTCCATGTTGTTACATTGTATCCTCCTCTAGCCGGAGCCCCTCCCCCAGCCCTCCTAGCTGTGTGTGAGAGAGTGGCAGAGTAGTAGATGCATGTGTCTGCCTCTTGGGGGAGTGTGTGGCCCCTTGGCTCCCTGTCTGGGTGTCTCCTCCTCCTGGCCGGTGGCTTGGCGGCTCATTGCTGAGGAGCCCGGGCTCTGGTACTTACCGCACAGCTAGCCAGGATGCAGTAAGGGCCCAGCTCAGGACCCGGGGCCCATAGGGTGAGTGTATAACGGTTTGAGGATTCTGGGGAGGGGGACTCTATGTACTAAGCATCGCTGCGACGCCAGGCCGGAGAGAGCGGGATATATAGTAAGTACAGAGCCGGGGGTGATGTGATATGTTAACCCCATGGCTTGTGCAGGGCCCAGGCAGGATAGTGGGGTTTGTTCTTCATTACTGTGGCATTGCAGGGGTTAATGCCCAGGGGGGCCCTTCATGCTGTGTGTCAGTCAGGGCTCTGGGTAGTGGGGAAAAGATTTGGGTTTGTGAGATAATGGCACTTTCTCTTGTAGTTCATTTGTGGCATTTCACTAGTTAATAGTTACTGATTGTTATCTCCCTCCCACCCCCCAGCTGGGCATTCAGTGGTTAAATAGAAAATACATGCATGGGGTCAGTGTGTTCCTGTTTCATTGTATTAAATCCTGCCTGTTTGCATTGTCATACATATTGCTTGCTGTGTCTTTGTGATGCTGTTTGTGTTGCTGTGCCTTTGTGATGTTGTGTTTGTGTGTTGCTGTGCCTTTGTGGTGTTGTGTTTGTGTGTGTGATGCTGTTTGTGTGTGTGTGTCTGTGCCTTTGTGATGCTGTGTGTGTTACTGTGTCTTTGTGATGCTGTTTGTGTGTGTGTGTGTCTGTGTGTTACTGTGCCTTTGTGATGCTGTGTGTGTTACTGTGTCTTTGTGATGTTACAGATTGTGAGATACATTCACTTCAGATTTGTTTCCATTGGTTACTTTGTTGCTGATTCTCTTAGGAGGTTAAATGGTTGATATAGATTATCTTTATATGTGATTAACACTTTTTAACCCACACTGTTCTGGTTTTCTAGGACTGTTCGGTGGCTATTGCTTTTTGATTTCTGTAGCCAGCCTTGTGGCTATTCCCCAGATCACCCCATGATTTAACAGAGCTGGGTGCTGACATTGATTGAGCTCCATAACTCTGGTAGATATTAACCCCCTAACAACCATGCCATCTGTCATAATATCAGTTTGCCTCACCATGGTTCTCAAGCGGTTAACCGGTGCAGTGTATGCCTAGTCAGGCTCCCATGTGAGGACAGAGCCTGGGGGTCTGTAACTTCACCCTAGCTTGTGTTTGACTTGTGCTCCTGGCTGCCTGGGCATGTGGAAGCTCTGTTCCTGTGTTTAAATGACTCCCTCCCTGTATAACACCCAGCAGTCCCAGATCTTCATCAATGCCCCATTGTGCTCTGGGTAAAAAGCTAGTTCTGTCTGGGTTTGGTGCACCATAAATGTACCTCTTATTTTGGGATACCAGGTCTTGTAAACAATACTGTCTGCTGTTAAAGTGATAACGTTTAACCATTTGACAATAAAGTGCGACCGTACTGATATGCAGTGCATTGTGCGTACCTTTTGGCCCTCAAAGGGTTAATGACCCCTTAGGTCTGCGATTACCAATAAGCAGTTTCACACTGTTGTACTCTAACTCCCATGATGCTTTGCCAGCTGATTTGAATGGTTTCTTTAAGCTAAGGACAAGCTTTTTGTGTGGCACTTAAGGGGTTAATACAGTCTCTGCTCATGCATTTTTACTCTTGGTGATCATCATAACCATCCACCTTTTTTGTTAAGAAATATTTGGCAGGAGTAGGTTTGTGTGATTGGGGGGGTGGTTAACTACCCTTCCTCCTTTTTAACCCCTTAAGGACACATGACATGATTCCCTTTTATTCCAGAAGTTTGGTCCTGAAGGGGTTTGGACACTTATTGTAAATGCATGCTACGGGGCTGTCTTAATGGCAATGCTAATATTAATTATTTTCCTTGTGATCAGATTTGTTAATGCCATTCCTGAATCCCAGAACCACTGGGACGCTATCCGCTGCCGTTCATCCCAGTAAAAGGAGTTGTTTTTTTTTTGTTTTTGTTTTTTTCAATGGCTGTGTATTTTATTTGTTTATTATTTTTTTGGACAATTTTTAGTTTTCACTTCAATAAAATACATTGTTTAGTCATTTAATATAAACAAATAAAGTGAATAAACTCCTAGCTGTTTCAGAACTAAATACTGAATTGTAGGCTATTGGCTATTTAGGACCAAACTGAGAAGAATGTTCCCTTCCAGGCTGTGAAGGGTTAAGCTGTGTGTTTGTGGCAGGCTGTGTAAGGGTTAAGCTGTGTGTTTGTGGCAGGCTGTGTAAGGGTTAAGCTGTGTGTTTGTGGCAGGCTGTGTAAGGGTTAAGCTGTGTGTTTATGGCAGGTTGTGTAAGGGTTAAGCTGTGTGCTTGTGGCAGGCTGTGTAAGGGTTAAGCTGTGTGTTTTGTGGCAGGCTGTGTAAGGGTTAAGCTGTGTGTTTTGTGGCAGGCTGTGTAAGGGTTAAGCTGTGTGTTTTGTGGCAGGCTGTGGAGGGTTAAGCTGTGTGTTTGTGGCAGGCTGTGTAAGGGTTAAGCTGTGTGTTTGTGGCAGGCTGTGTAAGGGTTAAGCTGTGTTTGTGTCAGGCTGGGGGCAGGGTATGAGATGTTTATTTAGTTGGAGAGACTTGTTGTGTCTCTGAAGGTGTCTCAGTTGCTAGGCAGGCAGGTGATGCTTTGCCATTGTTTAGTTTCAGCCCTGGCCCTCCAAGGCTAGTCTCAGTGTCTCACATCCCCAGAGCACTGAATATCCAGGCTACCGTGCCAATGTGGCAGATAACTGGTTAAAAGCCATATCTTCTTCTCTGGGCCACATCCAGCCTTGCAAACTGAGCACAATACACAGCGTTCCCCCGCCCCCCCCATTGACTGGCTCTGCCAAATGACTGCATTCAAAAATGACATTAAAAAAATGTTTCCAGGCCCAGCAGGAAAGCATTGAGCCGTTAGCTGGATCTAACGTACTCGCTAAACAAAGCGCAGCCCATCACCGCGCTGTCACAGTTTGAAAGGAGCAGGTAACAGATTAATTATGGTCAGAAACGTGAAATAACCTTGAATTTTTCCTACATCGCACTGTGGCAGAAAACCTTATAACAATACGGCTGGCCCAGTAGTGGGAGGTTCTGCTATAAATATTGCGGATTGTAAAATACTATAAATGCACTGTATGTGGAAGGCCCAAATCTCCTATTTTATTATCCTTTTATAACACACACCTATTATTGGGCTGAATTACAAGAAACGCTGTTAACGTTTATAAGCGGCTCTGTTTAAAGGACCCAAATGACCGTTCCTTCACTCAGTCCCTGTTTTATGGTGTATGTGCCTTTAAGCTATTCTGCAAGTTGTATTCTTTATAAGCCACTATAACAGAGCAGGGTGATCTATCGCACCCCACGCAGTCCTTGTTTGTAGTGATCGTAGCCCTTTCATTGGGAGAATCTTGGATTATGATATTTTATTGCTGAATTCAAAGTTTTTTTGCAATTTATGTAATTCTGTTTTGTTTCACATTTACTCATTTTAAAAAAAGTGTTTATTACTTTACACCTATGCAAAAGCAGGCATATAAAGAAACAATTGGCATTTTTGGCCTCTCGGGGATCGCTCTTTTAGAACCAGGGACAAAAGACTCAATTCATTACTATTTGAAAGTGGTGAAAAGCTGGGTCTCTGTCCGGCCTCCTTAAATAATGAATGGTGGTGAATGGGGGGGCCTGCCGTGGCGCTGGCGGGCCCTTTGAGTTTAACACCTGTTAGAAATCACGAATAGCTAGGATAACAGGATTAATTTCTGTGGAATTCATTTCTGGGTCTGACTGTATGTCCAGAATCCAAACATCTGCACATGGGAATTGTCAGGAACTCCATGCGAATTTCATGTTTAGGCCCAAAATATCTGAATTAAAACCAGAGCTGGCTTGAGAAATTCATCCCCTTCGCCCATTTTGGCCTGAAATTTGAATTTCCAGCAGTTTATACTTTAGTAAATAACCCTGTTAGATGTTGGGGTTTCTCACCATGGCACACTTATATCCCTTCAATGGGCCCACGGAATGATTAATATTTGTGAGCCCCCCATGTTGGCGTCTCTACTTTTTACCACATTTTACTGGGGTGTTGGTGGGGAGTCAGACCATGGCGACTTTCCTTGCTCGCTCCGATGTGATATCTCGACTATCTCTCACAGAGCGCCCCCTAGAGAAGTACAGGTCCTTGGCACAAGATAAACTTGCTGATCTCCAGGGCCCGTTACATTTCAATAATTGTAGCAGTATCTTTCTGCATGAGGTTCAGTTTTGGGGGAAACCTGGCAAAATCAGGAGTAACTTTCCATTGTGATTGATCCACTTTCTAAACCCTGCCCCCTCAATGTTTAGCGCTACATATCCTTTTTTTCTTTCTTCTCTCATTGTGGTAGCAAAGTTGACTAGTTAAAGCTTATGGCCACCTAAACCCTTCCTTGGCATTACACTGGCATTGTATATTTTTTAATGGCTCATTAAAACCCCTGTTTAAAGATAGCCATCCCTTTGACGATATATATATATATATTTTTGGATCTGCGCAGTTTACGGTTTTCATTTTTTAATTTCTTGATCTTCCTGTATTACTACCACCATATAAAGTCACGGTTTAAAGCTTGTTTGGGAACGTTGCGGAGTATCACCAGGGGTTTGTATTTGTGTCACTTCACTATAACAATATTTAACTTTAACTCATTCACAATTAAAATATTTTGTCAGAGAACGAAGCATTTTGATGTTTTTATATTTCTGGCTAATTGATCGGATAGTTTTACCCTTTGATTAAGTTGTAATTATTGTCTTATACATATTCAAGCATTTCCCCTCCCTTAATCCAATATTCATATTCGAAGTGTTGAATATTCAGACATTTCTTTTAATTCAAAGTTATTAGCCAACGTTTACAGCTGTTTACTGCTTTCTTGCCAGGGGGAAAGAGGTCGAACCACCGTACTAATAAATTCCTTTTGTTGCTTGAACACTTTAGATAATTTTAGCTTTAAACACAAGAGTTCATTTTCTACTTAAAGCTCTTTTAACTGAAATGCAACAAAATAAACATACAGCCTCTCACTACAATTGGCCAAGCTGGTTCAAAATTAGAGTAATTGTTTTTCTAAAAGCCGATTTTTTTTTTTTTCAATGATCTTTTTTACACGTTTTATATTTACTAGCTATTGTTATTTATATTCCTCCTTGGCTTGAGAGACATAACGCTAATCCAACTGAAAGGAACAAGGTATTGAGTGCCTTGGTCAAAGAGCTTCCAATCTAAAGAATATGGCGTCTTAATGCCAAGGTGGATTGCCTAGTTTATTAAGAACATAAGACTGTAAAACTTTATATGAATTAATTAGAGGATAAGAAGAAGAAGGGAATTGAAACAAAAATAATTTCTGGCAGCTGAGAAAATTGAACTGGGTAGATGAAACCCCAGTTTCTAATGTTTTTTGTAGATAACAGACTACGAGAGTCTGATCAGGAAGTGATGCAGCCCTAGATAAGACGTGCAGTTTAAATTTAGTTCTAAGTTAAATGGCCATTGTGCGACAGATAATCAGTCCATCATGCAAGCAGTAATGATTTGTCTTTGCTTCGTCACTGAACGAGCTGTAAGAGATGCTGATATATCAATATTTAGGCGATTTATTGTGTAAACTGTTTTGGAGAATTAGAGACTTCTTGGGGCATTTCCTAAATGTTGATACTTCTACACAAAGCATAAAGAACTCCTATGCCCACAACCCTGAGTCAATTTGTTCCATTTAGTCCAGTTAGACTAGATGTTTTTTATAAAGCGCTATAAAAAAAAAAAAGCAAAGGTTAGAGCTTGTATCAGAAAGTTATTGCTCTGAACAATATTCGTCCAGCACCTGATGTAAGCTCCAGAATTAGTTTTGGTGGGTGAAAATGTGAGGCTTTGTGTCGGTACCCATCAAATTCCTCCAGAGTATATATTTCTTTTTTTGTCAGTATGTTTCTGGGAAACTGGCCTGAGATGAGCAATGACATTACCAGCAAATTGCTACTTCTACACCGATTAGGGGCAGCCGGCAGGTGTTCACACTCTGTGACATATGACAGGTCTGACACCTAAGCCCACGCTACCTGTATGTGGTTCAGGGGTCTGCCTCTAGTGCAACCTATGGGGATCACACGTTTCAATTTGTAGATGTTAATTTCTACTAATCAAAAATATTGGGACCCGAAAGGTGACACACTACAGGTTTAATGGGCCATCCTGGATTTGGTTTTGTACTTACCAATACCATTATATCCATTTAATATCATATTAATACACCCTGTCAAAACAGGCAATGGGTTATATAAACAATCCCAGATTTCATACATTAAAGGGACACTATAGTCACCAGAACAGCTACAGCTTATTGAATTTGTTCTGGTGAGTAGAATCACTACCTTCAGGCTTTTTGCTGTAAAAGCTGTCTTTTCAGAGAAAATGCAGTGTTTACATTACAGCCTAGTGATAACTTCCCTGGCCACTCCTCAGATGGCTGTTAGAGATCCTTCCTGGGTCAGGGCTGCCTAAAATGCATCCAAACATTCAGTGTCTCCTCCCTCTGCATGCAGGCACTGAACTTTCCTCATAGAGATTCATTAATTTAATTCATCTCTATGAGGAGATGCTGATTGGCCAGGGCTGTGTTTGAATCATGCTGGCTCTGCCTTTGATCTGCCTCCTAGTCAGTCTCGGCCAATCCTATGGGGAAGCATTGTGATTGGATCAGGCTACCACATCTGAAGATGGCAGTGGGCAGGTCTAAAAGAAACCGGGACAAAGCATGCAGCTGCAGACTTGAATACAAGTAAGATTTTACTATATTTAGGGAGGCATGAGGGGACCAGGGTGATTAAATGCTTCTCTATGAGGAGATGTTGATTGGCACAGCGTGTCGTCTTGCTGCGCATGTGCAATGGCCTCCCAATCATTTCTTATGGGAAAGCACTGGATTGGCTGAGATAATCCAATTTGGAGGCGGGTCAGTGTTTGGAGTAAGATGCGAAGAAATAGATTCGGTGCTGGCAAAAAGGTAAATAAATCCCCTTTCTTATGGGGGTAAAGGGAAGCCAGGGAGCTAAATGGCACATGTTTGTATTCCTGACAGAATAGTGTTCCTTTTAATATTGAATCCTTCTTAATATAATATTAAGAGATGCCCAGAATATTTTATTATGGATTTAATATTAAGTACACCTTTGCTTTTGCACCTCACCTTTACATATATAATCTATAAAAGTTTAATGGGAATTGTATTTTTTTTCTTCTTTTATTTTCCATGTAAATTCATTGTCTGTTTGGGCGCACAGCTGCAATCTAAAACGCACGGTGTCGCGCAGTGTGGGAATGCTACTAATCTTTCTATTTTTATGAATAATTCATACTACAAAAGCAAATCAAATTCACAGTCACTTATGGCTGAATCTCGAACATTATTTTAGTTTCCCAGTTATTAGAAATGTGACCCCTCCTGGGGATTGCAGCATCACGTTTTTAAAATGACATTTTAAATCACCAACCCATCAGTTGCTACATTAATAAAACTTTATTACCAGCCGTAAAAGCTGATTTGGTGAGATGTGTTGTGTTTCCATGAGTATCCTCTGTATATACATTCATTCACACCTTTATATTTGCTGGGGAAGATCTCATCACATTTAGACAGTCGTTACATCGTCCCCAAAGCTAGGAACATTGGCCTAAATATGTCTCAATTTGGTAGTAACCACCCGAAATGTGCAGAGTATAGTAAACCCCCCCTCTCTCTCCTTAATGTCATTCTCTTCATTCAAGTCACATCTTTAACTGCAACACCCTCCTGTTTGCTCCTAATCGTCAGAAATGTAATTTATCTAGAGAATTGCTACCCTATGAAATGTTGATGCTGCAGGCCACAGAATTGCTTGGCATTTTTTTTTATTTACCTAAAATAAAATTAACACAAATTTATAATTTGCCATAGTGTGTTCCACAATAATTGTTCAGCAGTGGCGTCCATATGAAACAGAAATGAATAAGAGGGTAGCATGTTCTTACAGGGGAAAATAAAAAGAAAACGATAAAGTCCTATGCACGTTTTATGGAGCTGTAACTAGCTCCAGTATGAATGGCATACAGTGGTACAATCCCCACTTGCAAGGATACGTGAGAATGAAGTCTTTGTAGTAGGTGGACCATAAAAATAAAAAGAAACAACAATAGTGCTCACTGAATATAATGCCAGGAGTAAGGATAAAAGGAAACGTACTCACATTTGCCAGAGCAGACGGGCTGCTCTATGGATCAGGCGAGGGTGGTATAATTCCCACCAAGGATGTCTTTGGAGTAGTACTCACTGGAGATAAAAATCAGGTGCCAGGCAGTATGCGGTAAAATAAAATTAAATTGTGATAACATACATACTAACATAACATACTACCCTATTATTCCTTTCTGTTGTTTCATACGTACTCCACTGCTGAACCCACCCTGCTACGCCCATTGAGGAATTACCCAGACACTTGGTAGAAAAATACTGCAGTAGCCTCCTGTATGTGATTAAAGTTAAATTTACAGAGCAGGAGAGGAAAAAACCCCAAAACTTCTAAATCAAGTTAACATCTGACTGAAAATGAAACCATTTTTTTTTCATGCAGGCTGTGTCAGTCACAGCCAGTGGAGGTGTGGCCAAACCGTTATAAACCGAAACAAAAGTAATTTAACTCCTAAATAGCTGAGAATTGAGCAGTGAGGCTACAGGGGCATGATCTATACAGCAAAACCGCTTCATTAAGCTAAAGTTGTCTTGTCTTTAGTGTCTCTTTAAGAATGATGCAAATAATTAATAAATAAAAGAGGAAATGCTTGTTTAAGGTTTTTTAATTCTGCAGATATTTGCAGAGCAGACTCAGCTCTTACTAGTCTCCACCAATCAGTCTCTTATCTCATAGACTCCCATCCAGCAGGAGTCTGAGATAAGTCATTTCTCCCCAGCTGCTGTTGTACTTGTCATATATTTTTATTCTGATTTGATTCTATCAGCTTGTCAGTTAGTGGTTAAAATAGAAGAACCTTTGACCCCAGTCTCCCCCACAAATAGTTTTGTTGCAGGGGTAGGTAACCTTTGGCACTCCAGATGATGTGGGCTAAATATCACATAATGCTCTTACAGCTATTATCATCATGGGAGATGTAGTCCAAAACCATCTGGAGTGTCGAATATTGCCTACCTTTTTATTGCGTTGTGTTAGATCTGTGTGTGATCCTTTACTCCAGCACCACTAAGGTAGGGCTATGCTATCCACCTCTTTATCTGTAGAATAGATTAGATATTGTGGTGGTGGTACTCTACACCCATTTTTCCTGTCTACTCAGCTGGACCACACAGTGTGTCTTGTCTGAGTGCTGACAGTACCCCATCATGGCTGCCCTGGGTCCTCAACATTCATATTCTGCTCACAGCGTTTTTAGGGGGCTGTGGGTACCTGCAGGCACCGGACATGGAAATGCAACCCTGAACATTGGCACCAATAACAACAAGGAGGGGTGATGGGCATCATTGAGTTTTTGAGTCTCCTCACTATCAGCCTGACGTCTAAAAGATACCTGACTGGCTACTAAATTCTCAAATATTTGATAACCCTCTGCCATAGGCAAATCTGAATTGTAAGTATTTAAACCTCCTGCTTTAAAGTTAATATTAATTCATTCGTCCTTCCGATTCTCTGATATTGTACTGCATGAGCAGTTTCCTGGATATTGTACTGCATGAGCAGTTTCCTGGCAAACTTCTATTTAAAAAAATAAAATAAAAATTAAAACAACTCAGACAAACCTCACTCTGCCTCCAAAAAAAATAAAAAAAATTTAACAATTTACAAAACCAACAAAAAGGAACCAAACAAACAATTCAACACAGACAAAATAAACTCCATGTTTTCTCGTGAGTTCAATATGTTGAAAGATAAAAGACAAAGCTAGAAGTATTTTAGTAAAATGACTTAATGGTGATTGCTAATTACAATGCATTAGCTGGCAGTTGTTGGGTTTTTCCTGGCAGGGAGTCGGTATATGCAAGCATAATGTAATTAGAGAGAGCAGAAAGAACAGGCAGAATTCTTGATCAGTTCATATGGGGATGGTACATTTAACCCCTTAAGGACCAAACTTCTGGAATAAAAGGGAATCATGACATGTCACACATGTCGTGTGTCCTTAAGGGGTTAAAGGGACAGTACCAGATAAAATGGCCGTGTCTTTGTGTGTGTTGAAATGCTTTGTAGTAGATGATGGTCAATGATTGTTTACCTTCTAGTCCTTCCTCTTTTTGCCGTCAGTAACTACTTCCTATGTTACATGTTTTGAAATCAGACATTTACATGAATTATAATGTAATAAATAGAATATGTCATGCGTTGTCTCTATAAAGGGACCATAGTATGTATCATAGGAATAAACCTAGCACTGCATCTTGATACGTTGTACGGACTGTGGTCCTTTGTCTTCAATAAAACAGGGAGTAAATGCATGAATTCCCGACTTCAGTATTTAGAAAAAAGAAACATTGGAGCATTAAACCTGATCTAAGACTAAATAGTCTGTGACTGTGTGTGTGTCTATAACATTATAATAATAACTTTTTTAATATGCACGAACGCGAGCTTTTAATCACACGGACACTTGACCAGATTTGCAGGTAGTGAATGTTAGTGATGCCATTATAGTCTGCTCGGATTGGAGTGGTGGTTGTGTTTTGTTTCCACGTCATTACATGTTGCTAAGAGGAATCATTTTTGATAATCTATAAAAGGTTTGGGTTTTCCTGGTGTAAAACAAATGAAGATTGTTAGTAACCCCACTTGGCTAATTTTGAAAGGACTAATGTTATATGATATAACTTCTCTATTACTGGCTGCTGCGTATAAAAATCTTGTTACCAATTCGAACTGAGGCTCCAATAAGTACTGTCATCCACTTATCCAATCTATTGTCCATTTACATATAATTGTTGTTGACCATACTCCTCAGGACTTATCTTGGAGTATCCGGAGATAATAACCAGTTATCTTGTCTAATCGGCTTCTTTTGAATCCTCAGACTGAATTTATGTGCTTGTACATCAGGATGACCATAAGCATAAACCAAGCATTCTTCAATGTCCTCACTGCCATGGCCTTGTGAACGTACCAAGCATTCTTCAATGTCCTCACTGCCATGGCCTTGTGAACGTACCAAGCATTCTTCAATGTCCTCACTGCCATGGCCTTGTGAACGTACCGAGCATTCTTCAATGTCCTCACTGCCATGGCCTTGTGAACGTACCAAGCATTCTTCAGTGTCCTCACTGCCATGGTCCTGTACTCGTACCGAGCATTCTTCAATGTCCTCACTGCCATGGTCCTGTGCACGTACCAAGCATTCTCTTGTGTAATCTTTGAAGTCAATTCAGTGCTCTGCTTAAAGTGTTAAAACAGATAATATATTGGATTTTAAGTCCTTTCGCATTAATTACAAGGTATAGAATTACATGAAAATACTACATATCTCATAACATTTCCCTTTCTCATGGGGTGAGTACAGAGTCCTCTGAGATCCTATACCGGATTTTGCCAATCTATGGCACAAGTATCAATCATGGCAAAGGCACAGGAGGCTGCTATACCCAAATGGGCCCGCTAGTGAATAAGGTGATCGCCATAGATGGCCCAGTGCTCATGTAAGCATAGTGGAGCATGTGGTCTGCACTTCCAGTGGGTGCGGACCTCCTCCGTTATTTGATGCCTCTGAACATTTTGAAGGATTGTTAGTTACAACAGCCCCATGGGCCTCCCACAAATATCACCCAAAACTGTAAACAGCCCATATAAGCACACAGCATCACATGCAACCTCTCCATACACAAACATACAAACAACCATACAAGCAACCCTCCACACACACAATGGCGTGAACAGCCCTCACACAAACACAACACACAGAATAGTACAAACTGCTCTCACATATCCCACATACAATCCACAAAGCAGCCACTACACTCCAGGCAGAATTCCAGAACAAACGCACTTTAATTTAAAAAAACAAAATAGGACCAACAGGACAAGGGGCGTCATTGTGTTACCTTGGCACTGCTTAAAGGTTACCTGGGCTGTGCTAGTGATAGGGTTCTTCATGGGGTCACTGTTAAACCAGCTGTAATGGATAATGTGTGAGATGTCTTCACTATGCAAGTTCTAGACTAGCTAGGATTGTACAGTGCCTTGTATATAACTGGTAGAATCCCCAACTGTCCTATGCAATGTGCTAATCAAAAGCTGTGTTGGAATCAACAGGTACAACCGCTATAAAGAATTCTTATTAAGGTCATGGAATGGGGGTCTGGCAATAGGCTACAGTCTCATTTTATCCCCTCAAACATGAATGATTTGAGACCCTGTGATAAGGAAATATGTATATCTGAATGCTTAGAATTTATCTTACTCTTGGCAATTTGCTACAATAATAGGCCATATCCTGTTGCTTTTAAAATTGAAGTTCTGGCTGGTCATGAAAATCCCTTTTGATAGGGGGAAAAGATTCTGACTGTACGTGTATATCTAAACGCTCAGCAATTCTCTGCTACGGCGACTTCTAATTTGTATCAGAAATGAGAACATCATGAAAATTGCTACAGGTTTCAAATTGTATTTCTTTAGAAAAATCCCTCTGATTCTAAGCATACTGCTTTACTGATTGAGCAATTATTTGTAGAATATATAAAAAATATATATATTTTTTTTGGGAGAGGGGGAAATTGCTGGTAAAGATTTTACGGCTGAATGCTTTTTTTTTTTTTTTTTGGTAAGTATTATTTCTGCTTTGTGGATTCTCAGTCCTGCTGCAGCTTAAATTTGCCACTGAACACCGTATATGTGCAGAACACATTGTGTGATTATTACATTTAATCGTATCTGTGATGGTGTGTTCATAATACAACAGGTGGATTTATTCAGCAGTTTGGAAGAAATAAAGTCGTGGTTTGGTGTATATAGACTGCCTTTGTTTTATAAGTAAATCAGATGTTCTCTCTAAATTAGAGAGTCAGTATTGCTCTGTTAATTAATAGTAATTTAATACATTAATTTTAAAGTTAACACATAGCCGCTCCATTTTATTGCTCCACTAAGTCTGCGTATAGACACAAAGTGGCTGCCACCATTTATTCTTCATATGGACATCTTATGGTCACTGACCAAGGTTTGACTTCTAACTGTATTGTGATTGGCTGTTCAGTTTTATCCAATCAGAATACAGATTTGATGTCCAACGGTTGGATATGTTAGATTTCCTGTCTCTCTCCTAGCTCTGCATATTTCAGCTTTGTAGACCCACAGGATTCTTGGAGCAGGTGAATGAAGGTTTGATAAATTCCATAACTAATGAATGTATATGTGACGTTGTATCTGGACAATTCTGGTTAGATAGTTTCATATATTTTATTACATTGCAGTCAGCTCAAAGGATAGTCCTTTTTCTTCATGAATGTTTCTTTTGTTTATTCTCTCTGTCTTTAAACAATGACTGGTCTATACAGTCTGGGTATTCCTTTCAGTTAATGAATAAAGTGAAACTGTCACTTTTTGGGAAATACCCACCATTGAAGAAAACTTTGAAAATTACCTACAGCTTGTGTTAAACTTTTTATTTTTTCCATGAGATTGTTTTTTTTTGTTTTTTTGTTTTTTTTTAACAATTTTATTAAAGATTCAGCAAGTTACATCACAATCCCGTTAATACAGAGTAAAGCCAGGGGAAATGATGGAATGTAAGAGGAGTTGCAGAAACGTTGAAGGATATTTAAGTGTTTGGAAAAGTGACTCAAATTCTGTCAATTTCAAAACACTTCTGCATAGTAAATTCACAGATTCTGTAATGTTTTCTTACATTTCCATTTCACATTGCCAACTTTAAAGTGGTAGGGAAAAAAAAAACCCGCTATTGAACAGTCACTGAAAATTGGATAAATCCGATGCATTGCGGGAAAAAAAAAAATTCTACATTAAAATGGTTAGGAGACAAAAGAAACAGAGGAACAAAACCTGAAAGATATAATAAATTGCCAAAAAAGAGACCTAAAACTGTCAGTGACACATTGATAAATTTACCCCAGTGTTTCATTTCTCTGTATGCTCTGTGTGCTCTCTCTATGCTGTCTGCCAGGTGTAAAGGACATACCAATGACTGTCAGGGAGCTAGGATGGAGACGCCCAGTCGCAGGATAAATAGGAGGAGGAGTAGTATATATTTTATTTTTTATTTTTCACATTTCACAAATACATATTTCTTACATTTAGGAGACAAGTTAACATAATATAAAAACAATCCTGGGAAATCTATTCCCTTTTAAACGAAAATGAACACAGTCCAAAAGAATAATCATGCGTTATTGTGTTGTGCTTTGTTGTCCTTTGTGCTACATTTTCTATATGTGTGTGTGATTGTCTGCTGTAAACAAAGAAATAAATTAATATTTGTATCTGGAAGGAAGTTACTTGTTTGCAAAGTAACATATTTGTTCATTTTGAAATTACATTATACCGCTGTGAATTTTTTGTAAACAGATGATTTTCTCAATGGTACCATTATAAAAATGTAGGGAACTCTTCCAATATCCCCACAAATTACTGTTTTTTGCTGCAACTTGTAAGGAATTAGAGTTGTTTTATTATCGTTCCACGTATAAGGGATAGGTCCTCCTGTAGCAATGTGTGAAGGATGTAATTTGTGTTCCTTTGGTGCAATGTGTCATGGATGGACATTGTGTCCTCCGGAAGCAGTATGTCATGGATGGGAGTTGGGTCCTCTCATAGCAATGTGTCTTGAATGGGAGTTGGGTCCTCTCATAGCAATGTGTCTTGAATGGGAGTTGGGTCCTCTCATAGCAATGTGTCTTGAATGGGAGTTGGGTCCTCTCATAGCAATGTGTCAAGGCTGGGAGTTGGGTTCTCCTGTAGCAAGATGTCATGCATGGGAGTTGGGTCCCCTTGTGTCAAGGATGGGAGTAAAATTATACTGGGAATTGGGCACTACTGACTATATTCTCTTTTTCCTGCAGATTGTAGTCGGCTATGGGATGGAGCAAGACCAGTATGAAGCTCGGCTTAAAGAGCTCTTTGACAGTTTTGACACCACAGGCACAGGGTCTCTGGGGCAGGAAGAGCTGACAGACCTTTGCCTTGCTCTCCAGCTGGAGGATGTTGCTTCATCTCTACAACAGGCTTTACTTCAAGACAACCCCCATGGCCGAGTAAGAAATCCTAGCCCATGATCATAATCACGAGTGACATGTGTTAGGGGGCGGGGAAAGAAAATAAGGAGACATGAGATACAGGGTGGTGATGTTCTTCAAATGCAATATTCTCTAGTCTAATAGTCACGCTCAAGGGATAAACTGACTTAACACATTTTTGAGTTTGAATTTTTAAATCTGTCATATTTACTAAGGCAAAGCAGGTGATAATCAGGGGAGATGTGATAAATAAGGAGACCAATCTCTCGATGCTAACTTTTTCAAAGAATAGCACTTTTTTGTTGTTGTAACAATAGTGGTTCGAGGTGCAATATCTTAACTTTTCGATTCTCCTAAATAAAACCATAATTGGCAAACAAATTCAATAAATACATGTATAAATTTCTTTATACATGTATCTTTCAGTAGATTCCCACATGATCGTTTGCCAACACTAGCTGTATAAAATAGTTATATAATATATATATATTCTCTCCCTCTCCCTCTCCCTCTCCCTCTCCCTCTCCTGCATGTGATTAAAGATCAATTTAGAGATTGAGATACAATTATTTAAGGTAAATTACATCTGTTTGAAAGTGAAACCATTTTTTTTTCCCATGCAGGCTCTGTCAATCATAGCCAGGGTAGGTGTGGCTAGGGCGGCATAAACAGAAACAAAGTGATTTAACTCCTAAATGACAGTGAATTGAGCAGTGAAATTGCAGGGGAATGATCTATACACTAAAACTGCTTTATTTAGCTAAAGTAATTTAGCTGACTATAGTGTTTCTTTAACCAAATGAGATTGTAAGATTGTAGAGATAATTTATTGATGGCTTTGTGATGTCCTACCCTTCCCTTTTGGGTTCTATTAGATATAGTCTGTGTAAAACTGGTTCACGAGCCTAGACTTTGCACCATCTGTCTTTTACACAGCTGTTTGGCTCGGCAGTGAAACGCGGATTACAGGAGACGAATGACTTTGCGTCCCGCATTGTTTGTCTTGCTGTTTTCATTCTTTTACATAATTATTTTCCTCTTTCAACGCATTTTGTAAACAATAGGACTTTTTGTTTCTTGGTAAAGACAACTATTTTCAGATTTCAGTTTTAAATCAATGTCCGATAGCTCTACTTTATCCTAATGATGGAGAAATGGCCATAACTCAGTGCTACAAAGCTCTGTAACTATAACGAGTGCTCTCATTCCTCTATTCACAATCTCTAGAAACCTTGTGGATTGTGTACAAGTGATTTAAAAAAAATAAAAATATATAATATATATATTTTTTCTATTTCCCCTTTCTTTCCTCTACTTCAAGTCATATTTAATGACCTGATAGCATTGTGTGTTTCCTTTGTTATAGAAGCAGAATATTAAATCTTGTATTAACATAGTAGAGTGCCCCAGTGTATTCTGGCACTTTGCGCTTTCCTAAGTAAATGCAAAACTAAAATATCAACATTGTTTCTGTCGATCAACACAACGTTCAGCCTATCAGTATGTGCCATTTGTGTCACATGACTGTCAGTTACAAATAAAGGGCCGGCTCCGCTACGCCCACCCGTGGCTTTATTAGTGAAGCAATCGTGATTTGCTTCACTGCACAAGAGATATTACGTTTGGAGTTGTTTCTTGGCGATTCAGTTTTTTTATAAGCACCTTGTAATTATTATTTGATCTTCCAGTGGTGCATAGAATGAACCTTTATTATCTGACTTTTTGGAAACTGTGTTTGTGCAATTTATTCATTAAACTTCTGAGTTTTGGTGAATTGATATCGGAGTTGCAAAATTAAGGCAAAAACAGCCGATCTAGAATAAATTACCAATTGAATGTATTCACAACTTTTTCAGCCTAAATTTTGCAAATCAGAATTCAAATTGCTACTATTTGGAGTTCAGGGAATAATCTACACTCATATATTCTCAAAATGTCTTATCTTATACATTCTTCAAGATATAAAAAAATCAATACAAACCAAATTATTATAATTTTTTGAAATTGTACGTAATGCAGTTTTTTTGTTTTTTTTTAATGTGTGGAATGAATCCTACATAGAGAATAAATGACTGACATTAACTGTAATTGTATATCCCTTAATTAATATATATATATATATATATATATATATATATATATATATATATATATATATATATATATATATATATATATATATATATATATATATAATGTATATGATCCTAAAGGCATTCTGACTTATTCTACAGGTTCACTTCGACCAGTTTAAAGAAGCTCTAATAGATGTGTTGTCCAGCCGGCTATCAGACAAAGACAGCTTTGAAGAACAAGGTAAATCACATTCCTTTTTATTTGGTAATCTATAACCTAACTTGTACAGCACACCTAATTAATAATATAAACCCACACAGTATAATGGAAATCTAACGTGTGTGGGAGCCTGGAGTGTCCCTGTAATAATATAAACCCACCCAGTATAACCAACTGTAACCTAACCTACACAGTGCATCTAACGTGTGTGGGAGCCTGGAGTGTCCCTTTAATAATATAAACCCACTCAGTATAACGAACTGTAACCTAACCTACACAGTGCACCTAACGTGTGTGGGAGCCTGGAGTGTCCCTTTAATAATATAAACCCACCCAGTATAACTAACTGTAACCTAACCTACACAGTGCATCTAACGTGTGTGGGAGCCTGGAGTGTCCCTTTAATAATATAAACCCACCCCGTATAACTAACTGTAACCTAACCTACACAGTGCATCTAATGTGTGTGGGAGCCTGGAGTGTCCCTTTAATAATATAAACCCACCCAGTATAACTGTAGCCTAACCTACACGGTGCATTTAACGTGTGTGGGAGCCTGGAGTGTCCCTTTAATAATATAAACCCACCCAGTATAACTAACTGTAACCTAACCTACACAGTGCATCTAACGTGTGTGGGAGCCTGGAGTGTCCCTTTAATAATATAAACCCACCCAGTATAACTAACTGTAACCTAACCTACACAGTGCATCTAACGTGTGTGGGAGCCTGGAGTGTCCCTTTAATAATATAAACCCACCCAGTATAACTAACTGTAACCTAACCTACACAGTGCATCTAACGTGTGTGGGAGCCTGGAGTGTCCCTTTAATAATATAAACCCACCCAGTATAACTAACTGTAACCTAACCTACACAGTGCATCTAATGTGTGTGGGAGCCTGGAGTGTCCCTTTAATAATATAAACCCACCCAGTATAACTAACTGTAACCTAACCTACACAGTGCATCTAACGTGTGTGGGAGCCTGGAGTGTCCCTTTAATAATATAAACCCTCCCAGTATAACTAACTGTACCTAACCTACACAGTGCATCTAATGTGTGTGAATGGAGGTCCCTTTAATAATATAAACCCACCCAGTATAACTAACTGTAACCTAACCTACACAGTGCATCTAACGTGTGTGGGAGCCTGGAGTGTCCCTTTAATAATATAAACCCACCCAGTATAACTAACTGTAACCTAACCTACACAGTGCATCTAACGTGTGTGGGAGCCTGGAGTGTCCTTTAATAATATAAACCCACCCAGTATAACTAACTGTAACCTAACCTACATGGTGCATCTAACGTGTGGGAGCCTGGAGTGTCCCTTTAATAATATAAACCCACCCAGTATAACTAACTGTAACCTAACCTACACAGTGCATCTAATGTGTGTGGGAGCCTGGAGTGTCCCTTTAATAATATAAACCCACCCAGTATAACTAACTGTAACCTAACCTACACAGTGCATCTAACGTGTATGGGAGCCTGCAGTGTCCCTTTAATAATATAAACCCACCCAGGATAACTAACTGTAACCTAACCTACACAGTGCATCTAACGTGTGTGGGAGCCTGGAGTGTCCCTTTAATAATATAAACCCACCCAGTATAACTAACTGTAACCTAACTTACACAGTGCACCTAACGTGTGTGAGAGCCTGGAGTGTCCCTTTAATAACATAAACCCACCCAGTATAACTAACTGTAACCTAACCTACACAGTGCATCTAACGTGTGAGGGAGCCTGGAGTGTCCCTTTAATAATATAAACCCAACCAGTATAACTAACTGTAACCTAACCTACACAGTGCAGCTAACGTGTGTGGGAGCCTGGAGTGTCCCTTTAATAATATAAACCCACCCAGTATAACTAACTGTAACCTAACCTACACAGTGCACCTAACGTGTGTGGGAGCCTGAAGTGTCCCTTTAATAATATAAACCCACCCAGTATAACTAACTGTAACCTAACCTACACAGTGCATCTAACGTGTGTGGGAGCCTGGAGTGTCCCTTTAATAATATAAACCCACCCAGTATAACTGTAACCCAACCTACACAGTGCATCTAACGTGTGTGGGAGCCTGGAGTGTCCCTTTAATAATATAAACCCACCCAGTATAACTAACTGTAACCTAACCTACACAGTGCATCTAACGTGTGTGGGAGCCTGGAGTGTCCCTTTAATAATATAAACCCTCCCAGTATAACTAACTGTAACCTAACCTACACAGTGCATCTAATGTGTGTGAACCTGGAGTGTCCCTTTAATAATATAAACCCACCCAGTATAACTAACTGTAACCTAACCTACACAGTGCATCTAACGTGTGTGGGAGCCTGCAGTGTCCCTTTAATAATATAAACCCACCCAGTATAACTAACTGTAACCTAACCTACACAGTGCATCTAACGTGTGTGGGAGCCTGGAGTGTCCCTTTAATAATATAAACCCACCCAGTATAACTAACTGTAACCTAACCTACACAGTGCATCTAACGTGTGTGGGAGCCTGGAGTGTCCCTTTAATAATATAAACCCACCCAGTATAACTAACTGTAACCTAACCTACACAGTGCATCTAACGTGTGTGGGAGCCTGGAGTGTCCCTTTAATAATATAAACCCACCCAGTATAACTAACTGTAACCTAACCTACACAGTGCACCTAACGTGTGTGGGAGCCTGGAGTGTCCCTTTAATAATATAAACCCACCCAGTATAACTAACTGTAACCTAACCTACACAGTGCATCTAACGTGTGTGGGAGCCTGGAGTGTCCCTTTAATAATATAAACCCACCCAGTATAACTAACTGTAACCTAACCTACACAGTGCATCTAACGTGTGTGGGAGCCTGGAGTGTCCCTTTAACATCCAGCAGTCTAAGAGCTGTTCAAAAGTATGATTTCTTTGTATTAAAGGCACTTGGTATTCTCAGCATATACTACTAGATATACAGTCTGAAACACTGTAAGCAGGATTCAAGCGAATGCAGTGTATAAAAAAGTTACTAGTAATCGGAAACAATACGGATCAGGGTAACAAAACACACAACTGTCCATTCCAATAAAAATATGCTTGTCTCTTAATTTGTTTTGTAATAAATTGCAAAAATACATTAAAATGGTGAGTAACACTCCTCCCCCCCCCCCTCAAAATGTATTTATTTTTACTAAAAATAGAGAATTGTCATTATTTGCTTATTGAATAAAAAAATAAAAAAAATCTATATATATCTATCTATATATCAAAGAATCCCTCAAAACAAGTCTTGTTTGTTTGTTAATTTATGTATGTTTTTGGAAAAAGTTACAGAAAGTGTGGGCAAGATATCCTACAAGCAATCAGTAATTTACATACAAATAAGATGCTCAGACATTTTTGTCTTCATATAACAGTACGTTCAGGTGACAAAAGTGAATTTCTGAAGTACCATTACATCGTAGTGCTTTAACGTTGACAAGTTTGCTGTTGTTAAAGTTTACCTCTCATGCCTATAACAATGAATGCTCTTTTCAAAGAACAAAACTTTTCATCTATACATTGTGTTAGCAGATTTGCTCGCAAATGTCTAAATTGGAAGAAAAAAAAAAATGTTTTCTTCTCCCATCTGTCCGTCAAATCTACAGCATAGACAATATAAATAAGAACCGACTGATCAGGGACAGCAGTAAAACCCTCCCAGAGGCGGTAGTTCTGCTCTCCACACATAGCAACCACAGTGCATGCGCAGTGGTTGCTATGGTATAGAGTATTTTACCTTTCATCCTCTATATCATAAACTTTCTTAGGCAGTATTTAACATTAATTACACCGTAGTCAGATTTACCCACGCCCCACTGGGACGTAATATATGTATATTCTATACACGCTGACGCCATGAGTGTTGTGGAATAGTTATGTGACCTACAAAGGATTGGGATTTGTGAAATAGTGTAACCTCTCAAACTGTTAGAGGAATTACTTTTTAATTTTTTTCTGAAAATGTAAGCATGTTTTTCAGCCAGCAATCTATTTATTTAGCATATCCCACCCCCAGAACCTTGCTGATTCTGTTATGATTTGCTTGTTAGTGTTTCCTTCGTACAATTCCTGACTCAGACTTCCTGTCTGCCTGAGCTCGATGTTACTCTGTTACAGGCCTCTGTCTGCGCCTTCTCTGGATCCTTATTTGATTTGTCACTTTGTGTTGGCTTTGCTTTCGCTGTTGATATTTTGTCCCTTGTTCTTGACGTACATTGGTTGCCTAGTGACTGAGTGACTCTTTAACATTACAACATATAGAAAGAAAATCCTGACCGTATGTGATTCTTTGTTCTCAGAACTTCATGGGAAAACTGAGTCTTTTGACTGTTGGATTTATCAGTTTAGAATTGGAGACACGAGGAGAAATAGCAAATTATGTTCTGCTAAAGTCTGATTTTTCGTTCCTTATTTCCAGATTTTTTTCTGTTCAGTAAACGCTATGGATGTGTTATTTTTGGTATTTTATTTTGTTTAATCTGGAATTTTGTGTGTGTGTGTGTACACGATTTGTTTGAATGTAGTGATCTAGATAGATGCCTGGTTATCTACATCACAAAATCAATGTAAGGTAGATATAGTGTTAAGGGGTGCAAGGGGGGTGTTGGGTTTGCAGATTTTCTTGTTAGAGTGCTCTGTTGCATAAAGTAGACACAATGACTAAACTACATACCAACTAAGAGGACCATGATTTTAATTTATTTATTTTTTTTTACTTTCCCCATTAAGGTGTTTTAAAAGGCTTGAATGATTTAAAAATACATTTAAAAAAATAAATAAAATAACACTGGCCAAGCTCAGCTTGTTTTATCTAAAACTAGGACCCAGAATCCTCTCTGTATAGAGTAAATCATATCCCGTCCTGTAACTGTCTTCTTCCTGAAGAATCCTTTTCTGGATGTTTAATGAGGAACACTGTATCTTTGTGTGTGTAAATGGAGGGATGCATTCTCCATATTGATATATGTATGATGCTTCATATAGTGGATAAGGAATCTCCTGTCCTGGGAAGGCCCCTGATGTAGGCTGTTTAGGATTAAGTCCCCCTCCCCCCCTCAAATTTAAGAACAAAGTTCCATTAATGCAGAGCTGTATCTTTTCCTGAAAAAAAAACATTCATCACGCTGCTCAGCGGCTCCCAATTACTCTGTACCAGCTCCTACAGCAACTGACCTTTCATTTGATTTAATGAATCATTCGCTACGACCCAGATTAAATCCTGGATTAATGAAACCCCCTTGTTCTGACCTCGCAGGGTGGGTTCCTGCGTTCTTTGTTAAATGAGCCGTTCGCAACATTCGATTACTCGGGTTTATTAGATGCAACTCCTGGTAAAAATATATAAACAGACAAATGCTGAGTTTTGTACACAATCCATTAAACAGCCGGTTCTAAAATGTTCTTATTCTGCAAAGTTCTGTTTTATAGAAAAGTACAGCGCGCTTTTTGTGCCCGAATAAGGATTTTCATAAAAGATCCACCATGTGCGGAAGCAGCTAGGTGCATTATTATTGTGTATGTACATTCTAGTTCATATCTGATAACCCTGATTAACATCTTGTTTATAAAGGATGGGGTTATAGGTGGAGTGCTACAAAGAACGCTTACAATATTCAATTAACGGTTCCAGCAAATGTGAGTGTTCAATACTCACGTTGTATTTTGGGTATTATTTTTACCCTTTTGGTTTATTAATAGAATTACACTATGTGTCCATTTTCTTTGTTTCCCTTCTGTGTCACTGATAAGACTACGCACCTCTTAAAGAAAGAGGGGAGCGTGCTGAAATCTAAGGAGAGTTGTGTTCTTACAGAAGTCCAAGCGGAGCACACATTTTAAACAATGTAATTATTAATAGTCAGTGGTTGCGTAAACAGGAACAGACTCATTTAGTAAAACGAGGAACAAAACTTTGGGCAAAATGGCTGCATAACGAGAGGGAGGAAGTGAGACAAGATCAGTAATTAACATTCTTCCTTCATAGCGACTTGCTTTTTTTGCATGCTTCAATATTTACAGTTTTTTTCCATATATAAACTCATATTTTGCTTTGCACAATGTTGTGCCATAAGCCTGCCTCTTTAGCCACGCCTCCCCACTCCAGAAAAAGTCTTCCATATCAAATGTACGTACACAGCTCAGCCACTAAACTGAACTACAAAATAACCTGCATTAATAGGAGAGGTCACCCAGGGAGGCATTAAGTAAGGATATCACTACCTGTTTGTTGGTTCTTACTTAAAAGCCGCTCACTCAATGCTGTTGGGTCTAAAAATGTGTGCGTACAGTAAGTCTTTCTGACATTAGGGTTGTGGCTAAAGAGACGGGCTTGTGGTGCAACATTCTGCAATACATTTATTCAGTGGCCGTGAGTTGTTGCTTTTATGAGACCGATTATTAAAACCTATGGTTGTATGAATTGTGGCGGCAGTGTGTTATTTCGCAAATCGAACTGTGGAATAGGCTCTGTTTTTGTTTTGTTTTTTCTTCTTCGCTTTATTAATTTATTTGGCCGGTAAATAAACCAGTCTGCGGCTATGTGACAGCCTAGGATTCATCAAATAGGCAATCACTAAAGTGATTTAAAGCAGCCATTGAGATACTGATCATGGTCGCGGTGTGTAATGCGAGCAAATTACCTTTCCTGCTTTTCTGTGTGGATTTATTGATTATTTTTTTTCAGCACCAGATACCTGATTCCAGATACAAATTGCAATCATCTGTATTTCAATAATAAAACCTACACGTATCTCCCATTGACCTATACATCTCATTGTATTGCAGTGGCTGAGATACCTGGTCCCGTTCTGAAATATTATATATGCATTATGACATCCACATGTGTATCTTATCCAAGAGGATTGGTCACTGCTCAGAAAATTCTACCATTAAATAAAACCATGAAAATCATCTATAACTTGAGTTAACTTTTTTAACTACTAGATGCTTTGTTTACTTTTACATTTATATTAAAGATTTAGTCATTGACCTAAAAATCAGGTTCAGTCCTGGCACAGCCAAGGCACACGTTGCAAATGAGGAGGAGAATTGAAAAGTTCCATTTCCTTCTATTCTCTTCCTACTGACTAGCAGGTGCAAAGGGCGGAGCTTAAAACAGTGACTAACAAGGAGCCAAGATGGAGGCGCCCAGTTACAGGATAAAACAAATATAGTGATATGGATTTCTACATTTTTATTTAGACCTTGCACACAGATACTTATGAAACATGGGTAATAAGTAAACATACTATTAAAAATCCTGAGAAGTGACAGAACCCCTTTAATCCGTATTTCCACGTCTTGTCAGGGTATGCAATACGCCTGGTATACATTAAGTCTTGCACCTGCAGGCTTTGTGAGAATATAAAACAGCTTGCCGTAATTATACAGGAAGAATAAAATAAACAGAAATCTCCTATTGCTAAGTAAATAATTAAACTCATTAAAATAAAATTTTTAAAAATTTAATTTTATGCACGTTTTTAATTTTTTTTTCTGTTCTCTCCTCTTCATCCTCTCTCTCTCTCTGTGTGCACTTTGTACGTGGGGCATCATTTTCTGCATTTCACAAGTGTATTCAGTTAAAGTACCATGTGTTTTGGCAATAACGTTGAAAATAATTTTATGTTCCAACTATAAGTTTCTTTTTAAGAAGCATCTCTTTGATTCACACTGCGCAATACCTTGCCCCCTGCTGCTGTCAAATTTATTGCAACAAAAACTAGTTTTTGGCTCTGCATATTAAATAATTTATTTGCAGTTCTCCCCCAGGGAATCTGCTTCGTTCTCTGTGCTCACTTTTAACACAATCCATCTCCACAAGAGCATTTGATTCATGTGTTTGAAGTGCAGAGCTCAAACGATAATACCAGAGTCTGTCTTGTTGTCCATTTGATATGAAAACACCTAAAGACGTCCTCTCTAATCACAAGAATGTCATCATCCAATTCCTGCTTGATCCAGATTTCATTACTTCTATGCTTTTTTTGTTTGTTTTATTTTCCTCCACATTTTTAACAAATATACGTCATGTCTCATTCGAAATGTAACCGTGTTTTTACAATATTTTATTACACAATATATAATATTGATGTATTCATTGGGAGGTCAAAATATTGTCGGCTTTAAAGTTGAAATCTTCATTTTAATTAAATTTCTGTACATGAAGCCACCTCTCTTGGATTGTTCTGTTGGGCAGTCCTTTGTATGGTCTGTGATATCTCTCAGGATCTCCTTCTACTTGTCCCCCTCCACCTTCTAAGATGTCTAGACCAGATTCGAAGCTACATAAATGACTATATATTATTCTGATTATTGTGTTAATATCCTAATAATTCCATGAATTATTAAGCAATGTGATTTATGTACACATGCCCTCCCCACCCCCCCACACACACACACTCAAGCCCTTTAAATAGAATTTGGACCACTGTGTTCTTATTTTAGGGTTAAACCCCGGCCCACCAGGTATGAATCAGACACTTGAAGTGAAACCATGATAAAGGGCAGGTAGGTACACTCTACGCAGGCCATCCACAAGATGTATAGACGGGTAGATTTATAAAATCTGTACAATGACTGATATAGAGTTTAGAGTGATGTAGAGACACTGTAGCTAGGTAAATGGCATTTTTATATTTCACTTTTTTTTTTACTCGTGTATAATTTCTACAGAATTCCATTACCCATAAAAGATTATGGCTGCTTTCTGGAATATTTATTTGCATCAATGTGTTGGGTAAAATGAATATGTATACCCGAGGACATGTGAGAAAGCAGAAAAATTTAAAATGTATCCTTTGATATTGTTAAAATGTCTTCTCCACAGATTGCTCTCCTGAAGTCCAGCCAAAATACATCAAAGATGGCAAGAAGTACGGCAGGCGGTCTGTGCCGGAGCTGCAGGACTCTCTTGAAGAGTTTGATGAAGAAACGGTAATTGAAGCTGAGGACGAAGTAACGAGATCTTCGCAGGTCAGCTCCAGAAATTGCGAGGAGGTAAGATGAATGGAATTAATAGCCGGAGGGACTTCGCACACTGATTGGGAGCTTGTTTTGCACCCTTAACGGCTATAATGATTACCTTGATCAGGCAATCTGCATCCGTACCCATTAGCGATTAAACGTAGGATGCATCCTCGTGTCCTTGTAAATGTATCCTTCATAGGCTAGCTTGTGAATCATTTCAAAGAAGGATTAACGTCCCGACCCATCAAAGGTGATGGTTTAATATTGCGTATACATTTTTAATAAACCATTCAAGTATCTGTTTCATTAGATCTGATGGATATGAGGGGGACACCGTGCATTGCTCACTGTTGTACTATCTGAGATTTTCTGTATCTTGCAAAAGTCTGGCATGGAAAAGAAAAAAGTGTAGATCTCTTTATGCCATCACTCCATGCAGTTAGTTTAAAAACAAAAGAGGTTCAAAGCAACTGGTAGGGGGGTGTGATATAAATATTCACAGAAAAATTACTCTACGCGGAAATAATGGCAATTTGATGTGCAAAGCTTTAATGAGCCCCGACGCCTGGTGAAGATCCCACCCATATATTCTTTAGGGGGGATTACTGCAGATTGGCGTAATGTGATGGATTCTTACCGGGTACAGCAATGGCATGCTGGGATTAAACAAATACCTGAACCATTGACGTTACTAAATTGTCTTTTTAACCCTTTGAGGGCCAGGGCAGTAATTTTTGAGCTTTGTTTCCTCTTTCACTTGAACTTGTATTCTTACAAAATGTACAATTTTCCCAGAAAAATCTATATATTGTTCTTAAGAGACAGCTCTATATTTTTTTGATGCCATACTTCTATCCATAGCACATCATTTAGTATGGGGATTAAATGCAAACTCTATCTAGACCAACACTAATCCATTTCCTATGGTAAGTTTACTCTAATACCATCCCTAACACCTACTCTAAAACAAAAACTTTACCGAGGGCTGGCTATTCCTAACCCTAATCCCAACATTTACGCTAACCTTAATTCAGGCTGACACTAGGACAGGGTTAGAGATTTTGAAGGGTTTGGAGGAGATGGGTTTTAAAATGATAGCCATTCTATCAAAACACTGGAATCCTAACTGGCCACCTTAGTGATGATCCCGGCAGTCCTTGGGGTTCTGAAGACCTTTATAAACCGCTCAGTTTTTAGTCTTGTGTTTCATTATGATTTCTCTAGATTTCATTGATGGCTTTTTCCTATCATACACTGCTCACCACAATGTGTCCATACATAGATAAACTATTCATTCTTTATTTAAAAAAAACAAAAAACAACCCACACAGAAAAAACAAAGAGAATATCTAAAATCCCCTTTCCACACAGCAACTCCATCCGGGGAGAACAGACAGGTGCTGAAACCTGCTCGGAATATTGATTGGCTGTGTCTTCCGAAGACACGGTTGAGTTAAGACTTGGAAACCTGCGCATCTCGCTGTCTATTTCTCGAGAAGCGATGTTCGCCTGGCACAGCTGTTCTTCAAAATATGTTTAATTAGGTTTCAAATCCCAGTCCTCTTGGTCCCTGGATTGTAGTTCACGGTAACGAACATGGGTGTTTTTTTTGTTTTTTTTCACGAAGCAGGCTGCAAGGTGCACACGTTCCTCCAGATTCAAATTCTGCACAAGATGTTTAATAACTTCGATTCCCGAGCAGTAAATTACATTTTTGGCATGTGTGCGTTAATGCTTCTTCATTGATGTTATGCTACGCAAAGTGTCTCCGGCTACAGGGGAACTTAATTCTGACATTAATTTGGTTTGTGAATCATTAATAATTTACTCGCATGAAAAATATGGAATGTGCAAATCATAGATTTTCTGTACATGGAATTTTTTTGATGTGTTACAAGGAAGACAGGAAGAAAAGTCATTAGACCTTTTCTTTAAAATAGCTGCCAAAAAGGCAAATATTCATACTAATTTCTAAAAAACCCAATTATTAATGTAAGTGTCGTGACTAGGCCAGTTTTATCCAGGTGGCTTATTGCATTAAAAAGCAGGCTATAGTCCTTTCCAATTATTTGTAGATATGAAGGGGAAAAGTTAAATAAGATTATCATTTTGGTGGAGATGTAACGGTGGTGTACAAACTGCCCCCCACCCAAATCCTCTTTATTTGACTACGTGGCTAAGGTAAAATGTGTATCTTGTGTGACTGCAGTGGTTTTCAGAACGGTCATCAAAGGGAGGGAGAAGGGAATCAAAAAACGGCAAGCTTTCAAACCTGCAAAGTGTACATATATGGTAGACCTGTGCGTTCGGGATTTGGCCAAATTGCGTTTCGACCAAATTACTTGTGTACAACGCATCATATGGGCGTGGTCAAACATTCTGAGCCTCGCCCATGGTACAAAAAATAAAGATGATTGATTGGCTGGGGCCTTGCCACTATACCTTTATTTTATTCACAGATCAAGTGAGAAGTGACCAATAGATGTAAAAATGTGAAATCGTGAAAAGGGGGGGGGGGGACTATATAAAATTAATGTATAAATTGAGACTTATACATTTTGTGATTTTTTTTTTTTTTTTTTTTTTCATGATCTGTGAACAAAATAGTGGGAAAATGCTCCTATCAGGGCACTGCAAAATGTATCCGTAAAATTTATATATTGTATATATCGGCCCTTATTGAGTTTTCTGAATGTTCCTTCAAATAGCTCACAGCAATGAAACGACCAGTAATGTCTTTTTAAACTACAATAAATGTGTCACATAAATGAATATCAGTAGGTCCTCAATACACCTAATATATTCTGCTATATCCCACCTCTGGTTAAACGTACAGTCATATCACCTACATTTGAAGGGAACTTTAAGGCACCATGGCAACTTCATCTGAAAAAGTTATGGTGCTGAGAGGACCATTACGCCAGCTAAACTTTAAAAATGTTAATGGATGGTTTAACACCAAAGTCTTGAATTCAGTGCTGTTTAGCTCCACCCCCTCCACTTCAGTTTCTCTCCGATTCTCTGACAGGGGAGCGGATAGGTCAATCCGTAGCCCCCATTCACAAAGCGGCTTGAGAAAAAGCGCTGTTTTTGAATTGAGAGGTTCTAATTGGCTCAATTGAGAGATACTGATTGGCTGAAGTCAATCTATGGCACCGCTGTCAAAGTCTTCCTGTTCATATCCAAGAGAAGCAGATGAGGAGGGGGCACTGGATTTGAGACTTTTGGGTTAAACCGTTAATTAAAGATTTAATCATTAAAGGTAGACTGGCGCCAGGGACCTCCTGGCACCATGACCACTTTATTCAGAGGAAGTTATTGTGCCTGGAGTGTTCCTTTAAATTCTTTCTTTTTGGCTGCTGCTAATTTTGGGACGGATTCCATTAATTCTCCAGATAATTGTCTATTTGCAGTATTCTTATTTATTTTCAATCTGTTTATTCCAAAACACAAACTAGCAATACCATTTTCAGATCTGAGATCGCTTTAGTAGAAAATCTAAGAAACCCTTAATATTTATATATAATACCAGTAACAAAATGACATATTTTTAATCCAAAAATGTTACATTTTGAAAGATAAGTACATGTATGCAATCCTGTTAGGGAATGTTTTATTACAATAGAAACCAAGCACAAATATACCGCAAGGTGCCCCTGTGTGTGGCAATAGTGATATCGAATACTGATAACCGTTATCAGTGATTCCAATTTTGCTCAACCTGAATGCTTATTAATTTTAATTTTTTTATTACATTTTTTTTTTTTACCATGGAATTTTGTAAAATGTTATGGCATAAAATATATGCTGAAAAACTTAATTTTTCTTGAGCTCTACCATTTAATAAAAAACAACTTATCAAATATCTATTTGAGCCTGGACTAGAAATTGGTTTGGCAGTAATAAAATGCTGTCCGATGTAGTCCGACACGAGAGCCTTGTTTCAATGAGTTATCTGTGTTAGAATGATGTAAAAAGTAATGTATATAATTGCATGCTTTATAAAGCAAATCCATTCCTTCGTGCAGTTTTGTCCCAATTAAACTCATGGCACGTGCAGCTATGTTAAACTGAGCCTTCTCCTGCAGGCCGTGAACATCGCATTCACCCAGCTCTGTAACAAATTATGCTCTACCTGATTCCAAAGGTAATTAAACATTGTTGAATCTGTGTCCGGTATCTGTTCTTTACCAGCTATAGTTTAGTTACCAGCTCCCCCGTGGGTGCCGAGGGGAAAATGAGACTGGATGGATAATGAATGTGTGTTGGGTCCCTCTGATTAAATAAGAGTGGGACGATATTAAAATTAATCATCTGGCTCCAGTTTTGACCCCAGGAGGATGGATTGTAACTAACAGTATGTGAGGCTGAGATGTATCCTCGAACCAGCAGATGAACATCCAGGGTCGGATTTACCTTCTATGTTGTAGCAAGGCCAGTCTCCTCAATGCTCCCTATTTCATATATTTCTAAATTTATCTCTGGCCAGTCACTGATGAGCAAAAAATATGACATTTAACAAACTGGCTGGTTGTCTGTAGACAGAGCAGAAAATTGTGCTAGTGGGGACGTTCTTGAACATGTTACATATGTCTCTAAAACGAGGGGTTAAAGAATGTTTATGTGAATTCACCTACAGACCTTTTCGCACTGGCGGTTCTAGGGCCAGGTCTCCAGTTTAGTATTATTTTTTTCTATTTTTAAAATTAATATAACCTCTTGTTCCTGGAAGATGAACTGGTTACTAGGATGATTTTGTTTGGTCGTTTGTAATGAGCCATAGAAGGGAAATAGATCATTTGTATGCCTTGGTCAAACACATAACGAGTGTGAAATTACTAACATGACCAAGCTGGCAGGGCCAGGGCGTCTAGGCTTCAACAGATTGAAACTGGGAAACTGGAGAATTTACTGTGGCTGGCTTGTCTCATCCGAGGAGGACATTTAGTTTCTTTTTTTTGATCTTGAAATAGATGAATAGCTTGCTCGCTCCATGCCTCAGTAGTTCTCTAAATTAGACCTCTCTTCTGGAGGAGGAACGAACGCCTATCACCAGGAGCAGATGGGAGAGCAGGGTATGTTGCTAGGTTATTGTTGACACTCAATGAGTACACTGAAGTAGCTGCAGATGCTGTGATGGGTCCTGGGCTAGTGACGGAGGCCTCTGACCATCTGCTTTTAAGCCCCTACAAAGCGCATGAGAATTTTAACAATACAGTCACTCATGTCTCTTCTTTCTGGGTTGTAATAGGTGTGACCCACCAAATCCAGCTGTAACACAGGGCAGATCTGTGTGACAATAGCTCCCCACAACACTGACACATGCTCTATGGCAACAATTCAAAGCTATCTTTTATACCACAACACACTGTAGGAGCCATTTTCTGAACGGCTTTGACCTGTGACCTTTTTAACCTCCTCTTTAGGCTGAATGAACGATTCGGTGGTGGGCTGCTGTGGGTTCTGTTGAGTGACGCAATGAATGCAGTAGATGGGCAGCGATGGGCTGGGAGTGCGCACAGCTGATGAGATTAAGATTACTAGAGGGACAAATTGCACTCGAGTGAACAGGTGTCACTGACTTGTCTCAGTCGCTCATAAAACACATTTATTAACTACTTATTACCCAGAAGGCTCCAGTGGCCCACATTCTGTGTGTTTTATAAAGACGTATTAGAAGATCTATCATGTACACATGGTATCATTAGAACACATAGTGATAATATAAACATTTTATTATGCTTATTGAGATGTTTTGTTTTTTTTGTTGAGTTGTTTTTTTGTTTTTTGTTTTTTTTACTTATTATAATATTGGTGTGTGTATAGATGTCAATGGCCAATTCACTATCGGGGTGAATTCAAAGTCAATTGCAAATTAAGGGCCAAAGTCCCTGAACTGAACGTGTATTTTTAAAAAATTTTTATTAATGTAGAAATATTTTGTATTTTGTTGCAGCTTTGGAAGAGTGTAGATGGAGAAGAATATGAAGCAGAAGGTAAGCAAAGTCATGGAAGAACTAAATACGTAGTAAAGACTGTAAATGCAGCGCAGTCTCTGGGGTCCGAGAAATAAAAGGTTAAGTAGATCCCATAACTCGTGGACAAGCTATTGTGAACTTCGTAAAACATGGCGAGTGATTACATTGTAGTTATACCAAATCCAGCATATATACTTCAGGGTTACAGGCTTATTGCAGCAGAACTTTCAAACTGATTTTCTGAATCGTATGTCTATAAATGCAGCTGTGATCTCACCGCTGAGACCAGGTAGCATTACCGATAGTCTCCAAACACCGTTTTTCTGAGTTACTGTAGGCAAGGAAGCCAATGTGTTTGGATTGCACAAGGCTGATGGGTAGGGCTGGAAAATTCCACTGGGGTTTATCTAGATAAGGAGATTAACGCGTGAGGTTGGGACTAGACATCCCACATCACGTTCAGCAGAACTCTCCTGCATCCTTGCAGTGCTAACCAGCCCGACACGACATAGAAATTGAATACAGGATTCCTTTCACAAAAAAATCCCATTACTTATCTGAGCCATGGCGGCTGTTATTAAAGATGTCTGCCAATGGCTTGTAAAGCCACATGCTTCCATTTGCTTTCCTATCGGTTATTTTTGTATTCCAACCTAGCTCAATCCAATGGCACCACACTTTGAAGCATTTAATATATTCATCCCCCCCCATTCTCTTAAGACTTATTTCCCTATTTATACTTTTTATTTTGTGAGTAAAAATATCCTTTAAAGGAAAAACAAAACTGATGCTAGTCTAGAAAACGAAGTCAGTTGTGCTGGTGAAAATCCAGATAGCAGGTGGTAAAAATTTTAGTTTTTTCTTTCCCTCCTGTGTCTTGTCAGGCTGGTGGAGACACATTAAGTAACAGACTTGGTAAATCTAATGCGTAAGGTGTAATACCTTAATAAAATACACGGCATCCAGCCAGCAGCCATTGACTGTGTCCGTTAGAGGAGCATAATACAGGCAGGGATCAGTCTCCATGCAGCGCTGGTTATTTTGTTACAATAATACTATAAGGAGATTAACTTTTCAAGTGTGCTCTGTTTGTAAGTGTCATGTGTTGCCTGGATATAAAAGTAATTACCTGGGCAGACTCGCTCTCTCTGTGACTTGTGGGATATCAATTTCTAACTGAATATAGAATACAAAAGATTTCATCCTGATAATCCAGACTTTATGGCAAGTACATGTTTTGGTGTTCTCTAAATCAAAAAATATTTAAATTTGACAATAGATTTGTACATTTTGGTCTAAAAACTGAAATAAGACCCTTGTTCACTATTTTTCTATCTCTGACATTTTGGTCTAAAATCTACAATTCACTTGTCAGTTCTGTATATTTCCCAGTTCAGTAAATTATCCTGCCAGGGTTATTTACTATGTGAGAATTCAAAGTGAATTTCCAATGTAGGCCCAAATAGCCAAATTGAGTATAGAATTGACGTAGAGATTTTTTTGGCCTAACGTTTGAAATCCACTTTGAATTCCCTGAAGATATCACTTTAGTGAACAAGCTGGTGTATGAACAAGACTTCACTAGAAGCTTAGTAAATGGGACGTTATTTACAAATCTATACATTCAGTACTAAACTATAGACCACTGGACTCGGCGGCAGTTTTCGTTCGAGTACTTTTGTGTTGTTTACTGTAACTTTGCTTTGCTCTGTTTGTTGTGCACTCCTAAGTGATATGCATGTGTTTTTTCATCAGGTCAGTTACGATTCTGGAACCCTGATGACCTCAATGCCTCGCAGAATGTCCTGTCTCCAGCGCAAGACTGGGTGGAGGAGAAGTTGCAGTTGGTTTGTGAAGACCTTGGGATTAGCAGAGATGGTCACTTAAACCGCAAGAAGCTCGTCTCTATTTGTGAGCAGTATGGCTTCCAGAATATAGACAAAGAGGTAACATGGCCAAACAAATCTCTCTGTGTAACAGCTGATATGTAGCTTCGAGAGTTATCTAGAAATATTCTAGAGTATAAAGTAAGTTCTCAGAACTGCGATCTGCTCTCTGTAGTCCCTTGTTATTTAACACAATGTGCTTGTTGTTCATTATCTAGCTGTTCACAAGACTTCCAAACCTTGGGTTTAGTTTATATTTGGCAGAGTTATTGTATGGTAGAGGTAGGAACAGTCCCTCCAACATAAATTCCCATGGAAGAATAAATATAATGGTAAAGATGAGTTGGCAAAAGGCAGGTATGTTGATGCAAAATAAAGGATTTTCATAGTTCTGCAGGAATTCAGCTGATGGTTTAAGGGTTTTTAAACCAGATATAAACGCATTTTAATGTTTTGAAAAAAACCAAAAAAAAACACATTTTTGCAATGGGTAAGTTACAGGACTATAACAATGAAAGAAGTGGTCAGTTGTGTCACCCAGTTCTAAAACCTCCTCTGGCTTTAGCCGATATCAAAACGTGATAACCATTACCTCAAGACTGCGTCTAAGGCCAGTCCTCAATACCATCCTTTAACCCCCTGCTGTAATATATCCTTCACCCCAGTCCTGTAATATATCCAGAATTGTATTCCACCCTACTCCACCTTGTGTCTCTCCCAATATTCCTGATAAGACCCCTTTCATCTCTCTCTGCCTATCTCCCTAAACCTTCTTTGTCTCTCTCCTCATCTCCCCTAAGCCCTACTACTCATCACCCATCCGTACTGTTGTTGATGGGAACGTGCTTAAGCGACACGGTTTTGGTTAATATCATATGATGAAAACAACCGTATTCCATCGTGGGATAAAGAACTCTATGTTCTTTTAATGGCAAGGTGGATTTTATACTCCATTTAAACACGGTTGGTGTAAAGTCATGCCTGGAGTTTAGTTTTTAGAGAGCTTTATTTCCAGGCAAATTATGTGATCTTTATGCCGCAAAGTGCTTTGAACATGTAAAAATAATCTTAGGAGCCTATCCTCATGCATTGCCTGATATAAGGATGTATTGATCTTTTCATATGGAATTTCCATTACAAAGAATGACTGTTCTAGCTAAGAATTAGTAAGGTTAGTGGTAGATGGTATATTATGTTGTTTACTGAATTACAGTATAGCAGCATAGAGCATTGTATGATGTCTGCATATTCTTTTTTGTTTATTGCTCACCACCGCCCCCTAGTGAGGAGACCTTTCCTTGTAGATGATCTTTTGTTGGGAACAGAATTGAATTTGTCTGGGCTTAACATGATTACATTGAAATTTCGCATAAATTCTAAAATATTTCTAACCAAGTGCCCTTATATCTGCAAACAAATATACAGTTTCTACAAGCTTTCCCAATTTAAGGACAATGTTAACCCTGATTTTTATATAGCTGTATTCCACTGTAAGTGGGTCAATTCCTAGACTCTTTCTCCACCTGTTGTGCAACTTCCATTTCAGTGGCATTCTAAAAAAATTCAAGTTGTTCCTTCTAATGTAATGTTACAGGCCCTAGAAGATGTCTTTCAAAACATAGACCAAGATGACACCATGAGCCTCCAGGAGTTCATCAGCAAAGTGTGCAAAAATACCAAACCTTTAACCCCTTCTTCCTCTACCCCATACCGACACTTGAAGAGGCACCTTTCTATGCCGGTAAGGTATAAAGATACTTATGAACTAACCATTATGGTTAAATCCATGGAATTTATTAATTTCTGTTGAAATTTGGTGCTGAATCTAGAATGTGTTGGGTGCATTCCCCATGCACTTCATACAGTAATGGGTGCACTGGGAAACCAGGTTCTCTGCATATATAATTTAATCTACTGAATCAGTAAAACCATATAATTCAACACTTGGCACATTAGTTGCTACCATTATATTTGTTTAAAAAGTGGGGTTCTTAGACCCTTAAATGCAATTCAATGTGATATTTATTACTTTGAATTCGTTTTGATAATAGAAAATTGAATTTGTGAAATTTTCCTCGAAACGACCCTATTGGTGAAGATCCGTCATTGTCTGTTTTTGTCTGTAATTTTTATTATTTATTATTTTTATTATTAAAAAGCACTCTATATCCTTGTTCTTTGTAAACTATGTGGTATAATCCAACAATAAGAAAGAATCTGATGATTTATCTTTGAAATTTAGTATTTTCTCTGTTTAATTAAAGTCCTATGATGAAAGTGGAAGGCGAACTCTTACACCCTCGACCATGACTGGATCAATTGGTTTCCGCCTGTTCTCCAAGCTTGATGATGGGACTGGGTATGGCTCCGTGGAAGATATTATCGATCTGTGGCATGAAGATGGTGTGGAGAACAGCCACGCAATCCTCAAGGTACAGTGTCTGTATATATTCATTCAATTATAGACTGTATCTTGTCCTCTGAGACCACTCTCTTTTAATGCTCATTTTTGAAATGATCATTTACAGTGTTCTGATCAAATTATCATCTGACATGAAGGACAGTGGGTGCCATGTCCACATTGGATGCTAAAATAATCCCATCTTACTGAAACTGACAAAGGCATTGCTCCTTTAGTCTATTCTTCCATATTTTCTCTGAAACGTTCAGCTTATTTTGTGATTTATATTGATAATTAATAGAATTAATACAGAAATTGCACACCTGGGCATAAAAATAAATAGAACGTTTATATTAGGGGGAAAAATGTCAAATGCAGGTTTTCTGAAGTGGTGTCTATAAAATGCCACTTAATATGTAGATTTTATTGTACCATTAATCCTTGCTTGATTCCATACAATATTATCAGAATCCTGCTGTGTCCTCCTGGGTAAGAATGCACTAAGCTCAGATTTGGAGGTGGAATCTCTCTTGTGGAACGTGTAGAGAATAACACCGTGCATGGTAATCACCAGCTTGATTTTGCTACATGCACGAATAATTCTATATTCATGACAAGAAGCAATGATGAGCCCCATTAGCATATGGCACCGCCATTAATCTCTCTGTGCGTCAGAAGCATAAAGTCATAAAAGCAATTTCATAATCTTTCATTTATAAAGTGTTAATTCTACCTTAACGAATCTACAGTATGTTAATGAAACTGAATAATGTACTCTAGGAAAGCATGTAATTGTTTTTTTTGAAATATGCACAAATTCGTTCGTCCAAGAGTTTGAGATGTGAAAAGCCTCTTCTGTATGTACGTTACACAGAGATAAGCAGGTGTACACCTAAGTACCAATCTCTCTGTTGTCTTTTTACTATTATACTTGATTTTGGTATGTTCTAATGAAAAAAATTACATAGATGGCTGCACATGTGCACTTTCCTTTTTTTGTATTTATTTTTTTTATGTTCTAATATTCACCATGTTGGAGCCACATCCTAGCTTGGCGCCTGACCTGGGTGTTCAATTCTGTTGTAATGTCCTCTGTGTATACTTCAGTGTTTGAGTTCTCTCTTAAGTAGATCTGGTGGATGCAATCAGTTGTTGTCACTTATTCTGCCTCTCACATGCACCATGTTTTGCAGGCTCTGGACTTTAATTTGGAAGGGAAAATCAATCTCACTGAGCTAACTATGACTCTGGAAAATGAGCTTCTGATGACCAAGAATGAAGTGTACCAGGCAGCCTTGACCAGCTTCCGTTCTGAGATCCGCCACCTGCTGTAAGCCCATGTCCTGTTCTATTTGTTCTAAGCCTGGGGTACGAAATTTATGGCAGTCCAGATCCTCTTACAGCCAACTCCTGGACGAGCCACTAGTTTTACCAGTCTTTATAGTTGGGTCATCTACAAAAAGTTGGCGGTCATTCAGTGATCAACTCTGGTATATACTATATTTTGACGGAGAACAGAAATTGAATCCAAACCTCTTAAGCCACTTTACATTGTAATTTCTTATTAATCCAGGATTTTCCATCTCTGCACCTCCCCTCTCACTTTAATTTTTGTTTCAACCAATTCAATTAATCACCCTTGGTTTGTGAGGTCCACAAAACGTTTTGATATTCTTGGGCATCCACATGATGGGACAAGAGGAGGTGCTTGGATCATTTTACTCAATTTTATTAATTCAACAGTTCTGAGAGTCTGTTCCTCAATGAATGTTCCCATAGCTCATTGGTTCGTTTGAGACCCACCAATCATGTTGTCCTTTGAAATGCAAACGTTGCCTCTAGCATGAAATAGCGATACACATATACTTTCAATACTGTTCGATATGTAAGAATACTCTTAGCAGGGAGCGCATTCTGTTTATGTAGTGTATAGTGTGTAAGAAATAAAACTGGGATGAGATGTTTATTTGTATTCAAATACTTTGTTAATGGATAAAGCTGCTGGCTTTTACTTTGTTTTAGATTCCGTGCAGGGAATGTTTTTCCAAGTAAACATATAATATAGGTTTACATTAAATATACCTCATTTTGTTATCCACCTATTTACATTCCTTCCTTAATAGGGAAAGTGCGGAACAAGCTGCCAGAGAAAAAGAAAAGTTGCGTTCAGATTTGGAGAGAAATGAAAGGTTTAAAAGCCTGATGGCATCGGAGGTAGATGATCATCATGCGGCAATTGAGCGTCGAAATGAATACAATCTTCGGTACGTTCAGTAGTTTACAAGATGGAACTTTATCGTTGTTTGTGACATTCCATGGTAACACAGACACTGGTAACTTTTGGTCCCACATCCACTGTGGACTACATATATTATAATATTTGGCCATATTCTATGGCTTCCATTTGGTTTAACTGTTGAGAAGGGCTGATTTTTATTGCTTGATTTACTGCAGGAAAGCTAGAGTGTTCGGGTGCAATATTCCTTAGACACTTCTGGCCAGGGTAAAGTTTAATTTGTTGAAAGATCGGCTGTGACATTTTATCAAATTTAGCTGAAAATCACTTCACTAATTTTATTATTGTATTACCAAGTAATACACGTTCATAGATTTTGAAAAGTGCAATAAAAACTAGCACTAGCAAATAACAGCATTTTGGCCAACATTTGTATTCTCTGAGTTACTAAAACGGAGGATCTCTTCTCCTATAGTCACTCAATAATGTTCATTAAATTAGTCATAAGCTGTGTTAATTCCTAATATTTTAGGCCATGATCAGCTGAACTGAAAAATTAACCTGGAATATTGTTGGCAATTTTAACTTAAAAATTTTGAATTCACTTTGAACTCCTGTCAATTGATATTTTCTTGAATAACTCTGAACATAAAAGTAATGTTGTGTTCATTAAAATGCCAATTACTTTGAAATTCACAGTATGTATTTGAAATTATTGGGATATGAATAGTTTTAGTGGTCCATGTTCTATCAACATGTTCCCACAAAACAACTGTTCAACTCCTAAACTTGCTGTTGCTGCTCTGACCATGGCATGGAGGTAGGTCCTCTGAGTGGTCACGGTTGAGTTTATCCTCCTAACTATCTATTGGCTGTGTCCACTTTTCTCCTAATAGTAAGCTTGATGACGAATATAAGGAGAGAACCTCCATCTTGAGAAATGAACTGAGAAAGGAGAGAGAGCAAATCCTCCAGCAAACCAGCCGGCAGCGACAGGAACTGGAGCAAGAACTAGACAAGGTGAAAACTGAAGAGAATATCCTTCGAGATCGTCTGATGTTATCTTTAAAGGTGAGTGAGTTGAAGAAGTTGTACTGGGGCAGGGGAGAGGTGGAATGGGAATAGCATATACATTTATCGTCACCTATAAGATCCCTTTGTAATGGTGTATCTCTTATGCCTATATAATCTTTCCTTTGCTTCCCTTTTATTTTTATATTTTTATTTTTTGCATGTTACTTTCTTGCTTTTTTCCTGAAAAAAGGGTGGCACATTAAATCACTTGAATTTTTTTTTAATTTTTTTTTCTGTTCCATTTAAAAGTGCTTGTCATGTGGTTGTAACTGGTGGTTAGGTGGCATCTTGGGTGCAACTAAATAATGCTGCGGCAGTTGGTCTAGACTTCATTAGCATGGTCAGTACTGAGCCCTGACGGATGATGGAAAGCCTGATGCTAGACCTACTGTACTTGCCAAAACTTGCATTTTGAACTCTTGTCAATAAACCGTTTTCAGGAGAGCAGCCGCTTAGAGAATGAGTTACTGGAAACCTCAGAGAAGCTACTTGAATATGAAACTCTTGCATGTAAACTTCAGAAAAGCCTGGATAATATACTGCGGGAAAAGGTTGGTGGAAAAGTTTGTACCGTAGTGTAAACAACTTTTAGAAAGGCTGAACTTGAAGGACATATGTCTTTTTTTAAATTTTTTTTTAACCAATATGTGTAACCTTTACTTCTCCAATGCTCGTTCGTAAAATTGTCAAATTTTTTGAATTTTTACAAAATCTTCTGTAGTAAGTGTGATAATGTGAATACTGTGGAAAGCTGGAATTTGACATAGCATCTTGGCACCAGATAGCCAGTGACAATACAACCACCCATGTCCTTCCCTTAATCTGCCCTCTCTCCCACTCCGACGGGGGGAATAATGTCAATAGGGGATACTGAGCTGCAGGGAAAACTTGGCTTCTGCGCTGGAATGGAGGTATGTTTTAGCGGTTCTCTTTATATTTTTAAAGTTTTTTTTTTTTTTTTTTGAGTAACTCTTTAACAAATGTATAGAGCTGTAAATGCAAAATAAGCAAGACATTTTATATTGGCATAGATGACCAGATTTTGGTGCTAATTGGGTTATATCTAGGAAAAATATATATATATAATTTCCTTTGTCTCTAAGCCTAAACATTGCATCTGTTGGGCAGACTACATGGGCTGAATGGTTCTTACCTGCCGTCACATTCTATTTTTCCATGTTACAGTTTGGTGACCTGGACCCAAGTTGTATTGAGTTCTTTCGCCAAGAAGAGAAATTGTCACATATGAGGAATGAGTTTGAACGGCAGCGCAGGGTGAGTGAAATGCGTGACATTCTGACTCTTAATCTTATCCATGGGAATTTTTTTGTATTTTTTAATTTTAATTTTTCATTCAGGAGCTGCAAGATCGGATTGATGAACTGCAACTGGAGCTTGAAGAGTATCGATTGCAGGGTGTTAGAGGATTCCGGTCATCCTTAAAGAATTCCTTGTCTTTCGAAATGGACAGCAAAAATGTTGTGGAGTGTGACCAAGGTAACAAGTTATTACAGTTAAAAAACACATTGTTATTGTCTCCCATATACTGTGTGTCAGCCTCCTTAAACTGGCATGTTAAGCTGACCAAAAGATTTATTATCATTATATTTATTTAAAGGGCAATAAATATTTATGGAGATTGTGTGAAAGAACTGTTAAACTTGTTACCATCAGAGAATGTTTGCAAGCTTGGCTTTACTTGAAATCTGTATAGCAGGGCAAAATGTCCACTAGCAATTAACCTTAGAGAGTAAAAAGCTAGCCCCGATGAGTGGAAATTCAACCCTTGGAAATGTTGACCCCCTCCCACTACCTTTTGAGGATCCTATGGGTTGTTTGATAACAGCAGCTTACTGTAACAGTTTATGTAAATTCTCTGTGACTAGTTTTTACATTTTGTACTAAAGGATTAGATTTTCATCCAGAATTGCAAATGTATATTTTCTGACTTCCATAACTGTAAAAACAACAAATATAGATTCCACAAGTAGCTGTGTAAGGCACGTTCACCTCTAGTGAGTACTCGCATACTACAATAGCAATGGCAAGATATCCCGTTACAGAACGTTTGCAGCAGCAAGCTACTTTAAGTCTGGGGTAGAAATGTTGCAAATGAAATGTTGAGACCCTGTGTATAGGACTGTGATGATCCTAAGCAGACAATAAAATATATCAATTATTAATCAGACCAGTTTTAATCTCAAATTGTAATTTGCATAAAAAGTCTGCGATAATTAAAAAGTAAAGCCAAGGAATTCTTGTATCTGAACCACAAATTTGATAGTGGCTATAGGACATTTCCATAGTCCTGCCCCTACAATCTCTTCTGTCCGGCAAAGCTAGTGTACTGGCTTCTGGTGGGTAACCTCGCTCCTAAAGCTTGTCCTCTTTTCTCACTTAGGCATAGGCGCAGAGGAGTGTCCACCTTTAAACATGAGCATAGAGGCGGAAATGGCTATTGAACAGATGCGGGAGCAACATCAAAGAGAAGTGGAGAACCTCACTGTGGAACTTGAATCCAAAGTAAGAACTGCATGTTTCTGTCATAAAAGCCACTGCACATTTACCTACAGAACTATAAAAAAAAAAATTTGGGGTGTAATTAACATTGCATTAAAAAAAATAACAAAAAAACCCAAAAGATATGAAAAGTATCAAACCGTAACAAAGGTGAATAAAAGAAACTTGGAATACAAAATGAAACCAATACCAGCTCCTGCCTAAAATACATTCAAATCTTTAATGGCCATGCAGCCATATTTGTATTATTTTATATACTTTTGAAAAGTCCTGCAGCCATGGTGCCAAACTCTGGTTGTAAGATACTCCATTACCAAAACATGGCAGATTTCTCTCCAATGTTCCCCTATAACTAATCTGGAAACTGTATGGATCAATCGACTCATTTGAATTGTTAGTGCGCTAGGAGTGGGTTTAATGAGATTTTATGCAGGTTTTTGGCCACAGCTATCATGAATGGCATTCTCCTCTGTTACGAAGGGAAATACACATTGTTCCACTTCAGTCATTGTCCGGAGAATGAGAGCTACAATTTATGTATTCCTCCAGGTAACATCTAGAGATCATTTTGTATTTATTTTCCTTCAAGTACACCAGCAGTTATGTATTGCAGTTTGAGAACATTTTGACCCATTGTGCAGTGAAAAGACTTTCCCAGATCAGGTTTTTAGTTTTCTGTGAAATATATTTTATTTTGGCATAAAACCTGTTATTGTATTGCCCACTCTATTCATTCATTCACTTCTATAGCACTTCTTAACTTGGGCGTATTACAAAGTTTAGCTATTAATGACAGGTAGCATTTCAGCTGAGGGATATTTTATTACACAAACTAGAATAATCAAGAACCTACTCTTTCATAAATACATACCCCTCCCCACAACTGCTATATTCTAGCTTTACATGGGGTCAGTGTGTGTTGATATTTATAATGCACTGTTTATTTCAGGTGATCCACTATGAAGAGCAAGTGAAAGAAATTAAATGTTCATATGAGAGAGAAAAAGAAATTGTTCAACAAAAATACCAAAAAGAGGCTCAAATAACTGAAGAGCAAATAAGACTCCTTAAATCGAGACACGTAGAGCTTGAAGCGGACATAGTCAAATTAAAAGAAGAGAAGCAAATGGCAATATCTAAACACAAGCAGGAGCTTAGCCATATTGAAACAGACTTTAATAACCAAAGGGTCCAACTAGTCGAGCGGGAGACAGTCCTTCAAGTGCAGCTCGAAGAGGTCCAAAGGGCTTTCTACAAAGAAAAAGAGATTTTGGTACAAAAAGCATTGGAACTAGAAAGGAATTTGGAAATGAAGATGGCGGAAATGGTGAGAAATTTTGAGAAGGAGAAGGATCATCTGGAGCACACATTTAAGGAGCAAATATCCAGTTATCAAGAAAGACTTGACCTTGAAAAAAATGACCTCAAGACAAGGCTGCTGGAAAAACATCAGATGGAACTTCAGGAAGAAAGGTAAGTGAATTATCCTTCTAAACGCAAAAGATAAAAATTGATAATTTCTCAATTCAGGGGACATTTGCTGTGAGTCTTTACACCCCCCTCCCTCCTTGCAAGTTTATGCTTCCAAACTTCTCTTGGAAGTTAATAAGAAAGTCACTCGACAACTCTCTGACAACAGTAAATTCACCAAACACTCAATCTTACAAGCTATGATATCTAGATAACTGGAGGAAAGGGTACCATGCGACCCGGTGTGTGAAAATGATTTCTCATATTCTGTGTTACAAATTTTATGCATAAATTAAACCTATACCTGGTTATGTTTATACATTTAATAATATAATTTTGGTTTATTTAAAAAAAAAAAAAAAAAAAAGTCCCACAAAATATGAAGTTCCCCAACTAGAAGATTTATAACTGACATCTCATATTAACAAATCCCAATGTAACTATACTAATTATAACCGGCAACCCACAAAACCATTCTAGATTTATTGACTTGAGACAAAAAATTCTTCCAGATACAAGCTGCTACTTATACATGTTACGTTAAGCTGTACCCCTTCTATCCACAGTTGTAACTTCTGCTGGTTAATAGTAGCTAATCAATTGCTCATTTTCACCATTTTCTGCCTTGTGCTATTTAAATTATTGTCACGAACTGCAGCATTATCTTCACATTTGTAGCCACTCCACAGTTATCCTTCTCACGTTCATCCATGTTTTTTTTACCACATGTTGGATTTTAGCACTAGTCCGGTTTATCCCGTGATTTATTAGAACATTTATTAGGTGACAGTGGTGTCACTGACTCAAAGTGACAATTCAGCATTTTGTATTAGTTCTTTTGTGTTTTGTGTAATTTTTATACAACAAAACATTTTAAATTGTTTTGCTTGTATATATGTAAGACAGAAAAATGTGAAATATCACAAAAACAAAGCCCAAGGTAAAGAAATGGAAGGGGAATGAAAACTATGGTGTTTTGTAGACTTCTCCTCCTCTGTGCATCTTCTGTTCAATGATTGTGATTTTAATGCCTGCTGCCTTCTGATTGAGTGAACACTGCACAAAGACAATCACATTAAAGCTTTGTGCTCAAATATAAAAATAGTAAAAGGAAATATACCTTGTCTTGAGTAGAATCTCCTACTTCTGGGTCTCTTGATGGCAAATTAAAAAAAAAAAATCCAGACCTCCTGCGGTGTTACAGTAACTGAAGTTAAGTGATCTTATTCTTAACATTTTTTTTAAAGAATTTCTAGAGTAACAAGATACATCATACAATCTTGATTAATACAAAAAAAATTAATATACCATTACAAATTACAAGCTGTGCAAATCATAACTCGTGAACACACTAATTTGATCTGCTGTATCTCGGCAGAAATTAATTTTTCACAGAAGGAAGTCTGGCTAGGTCTTTCTCTGGTTGATTGAAAAAGATTACTTAACAGAAGCTACTGTGGTGTCATCGAGTCTTTTGTAACCTATTGATTTCGAATGAACGTTTCCCTCCCCCCCCCTGCCCCCTGTTTATCTGTTTATTTGCCAGTCACATTACCCGCTTGTGTCATTGGAACTTAGTCTTAAAATAGACTGTCTTTTTGCTGTGGCTCAAATTAAAGTGATTTACGTTTTTGTTTGTTTTAAAGGGAATTTAGCATGGCAACATTTTTGCCTGTTCTTAATTATAGACCTACTGGAAATGCTTGGACTAATAATTATTTAGAACTGTGAAATAAGTTGACACTTTATCAATTAAATAATTTGAAGTGTATGCCCTTAAAAGCCAATACTCAAATATTTGTGTGATTGTACTAGACTAGAGTGTCCTTAAGTCATCTCAACACATTAACAGACCATTCAGAAATTAAGTTTTACCTACAGTCTACGGCATTTGGCCTGCACCTACACATTCTGGAAGGGGGTAAAGTTAAGCCTTTAATGAGTAGCTGTTTATTCTCCCTAGTTACTTTATATATGCCCCTTTCAAAAAAAGTTTTTTTTTCTCGAATTCTTGTAAAATTTGTATTCACTTTATACATGTTGTCTCTTTAATCACTTAAGAACCAAACTTCTGGAATAAAAGGGAATCATGACATGTCACACATGTTATGTGTATTTAAGGGGTTAAACTGTTCACTATTTGTATCATTCACAGGTCACTTCAATATCAACATCCAGAGTCCTAAGCTTCAGGGTAGACTGTGTATTTTACATACTAGATGGTGCTTCTCTGGAATGTAGTTTTCTTCTAAAATGCAGTATTGACTTTGAATATCCGACGGTGCAGGGTTTGAGACTTTATCATTTTAATTACCACAATTGCTATTGTGTTTAATAATTGAACGTATTGTACAGGTACGGCATTTCCAGAAAATCTATTTTAAGAGCAGAGCAATATTTAAATGCTAATTTTGTCTGTCTTTGTAATCTATAATATAATTCAAAGTATCTACTTCATGATTCCTGCTTATAGAATGTTCCTGTTGAAAGATTTTAGTAATTTAATATATTCGCCATGTTTAGGGAAAAAATGGAAACCGAGTATAATAGAAGACTAGTAGAAAAGGAAGATCGATTTGGCATGGCGTGTGAGGCTGCGGCTAGGAAGCACAAGGAAGCTTTGGCAAGCCTTGAAGAAAAGTTTCAAAATAATCTTCAAGAGCTTGTTAGCCAACACACAGAAGAAAAAGCCAAGTGGCAACTGGAAAAGGAAGAGCTTATTCAAGAGGATGAGAAGGTACAAAGCGGGCTACAGAAAATACTGGAGGAGAAGTCCACGGCGTGTTCTACTCTTGCAGAAGAAAAAGACCTTCTAGAGAAGAACTATATGGAGACGTTAAATAAATTAATTACAGAAAGAGATGACCTACATAAAGCACTGGAAAAATGTAAAGTTACTGCAAAAAAAGAAAAGCAAGCACTATCTGGGAAAATCACACAGCTAGAAAATGACTTGAAGGAAGAGGTGACCGAGAAGGATGAACAAATATGTAATTTGGAGAAAAATGTTCAGGTTTTAGAAGAAACTATTGAAAAACTGGAACAAAAACTCCAAACAGAGAAAAAGGTGCTTGAGTCCAAACTCCTAGAGTCAGAAATAAGTTATAGAGAAGTTCGTGAGCTTGAAGACGGCAAGAAGAAGGAAATGGTTCTAGAAGTATCTGCACTCCAAAGCACCATCAGTGGACTACAAAATGAGATTTCTAATTTATCAAAACGTAAGGAAGATTTAAAGTTGTTGGAGAAGGAAAACGCAGACTTAAAAGTAGTCCTGTCTCGGCTTCAGGATAATTTGGTACACCTTGAAGAGGAAAGGAGTGTCTTAAGGAACCTGCAAAATATATACGAGCACACGGTTAAGGAAAACGTGAGACTTAATGCAGAGATTTCCAGATTACAGAATAAACTGGACATGATGGAGCAAGACATTAGCAAAGCGATTGAGACAGCGGGAAATCAAATTGCAGAAGCACTGTCTGAGGAAGAGAGCCACAGTTTGAAGTCCTTATTGGAAGAGCGAGCTGAGCTATTACGTCAGTCCGAGAGAAATGTTCAGAATTTGCGTGACACCATTGAAAAACTAGAACAAAAACATAAAACTGAGAAAGAAGAACTTAATTCTAGGCTCGTAAAGTCAGAAATACATTATAGAGAACTGTGTGAGGCTGAAAAAAGTAAGAAGAATGAGATGCTTCGTGAAATATCCACACTTCAAAGCACTGTCGATGACCTACAAAATGAGATCGCTACAATGACAAAACTTCAGGGAGATTTAAATTTGTTGGTGAAAGAAAACTCAGACTTGAGAGTTGTTGTATCTCAGCTTCAAAATAATTCTGTTTGTCAAATGGAGGAAAGAGCTGTTCTAATAAATCAGCAAAACGGGCATGAGCAAACGCTCAAAGAAAACTTGGAACTTATTGCTGAGATTTCTAGATTTAAGAAGAAATTGGAAATCATGGAATGTGACACTAGCAAAGCCAGTGAGACAGAGGGAAGCCTACAACGGGATCATGTAGAAGGTAAAGATTTGAAGGTCTTGTTGACGGAGAGGGCAGAATTATTAATTCGGTCAGAGAGAACCGTTCAGATGTTAAAGGAAACCATTGAAAAACTGGAACAAAGACATAAAACTGAAAAAGAGGAGCTTAATTCCAGACTGGTAAAGTCAGAAATCCTTTATAAAGAAGTCTGTGAATTAGAAAAAAACAAGAAGGAAGAGATGGTTACTGAAATATCCATTCTTCAAAGCACCATCAGTGGACTGCAAAATGAGATTGCTTCATTGTCAAAACTTCAGGGAGATTTAAAGTCCTCACAGAAGGAAAATTCGGACTTAAAAGCTGTTGTATCTCAGCTTCAGGTAAATACTGACCTCTCTCAAGAAGAAAAAAATGTTCTAAGAAACCTGCAAAATACACATGAGCAGACCGTCAAAGAAAACGTGAGACTTAATGCTGAAATATCTCGATTACACAAAAATATAAACATAATGGAACATAGTCTCAACAAAGCCAGTGAATCAAAGGGAAACCCTGTTTTGTCTGATGGAATGAGCAATATCGAAGATCCGATGAATGAGCAAAATGTGGAAACTTTGGAGGATGCAAACCTGAGGCTTCACTTCAAAACAAAAGAGCACAAATGCACTATGGAGATATTTAAAGACCTGGAAAAATGTTACGAAGATACCAAAACAGAGAATGGACATCTCAGGGCACAAGTTCTGCTTCTTCAAGAAGACCTAAATCATTTGTCCCTGGAATATGATCTTTTTAAAAAAATGATGAACTCTGCAGATTTTGAATTCCCAGAGCTCGAAGAAATGCACGTCACAATTCCTGGGCTAAAAATGTTGTTGTCTGTTGCTAAAAAAGAAAATGTGCATCTTCTAGAAAACCTAAAGGTGATGGAAAGTAAAAATAAGGAAGCTGTGGAAAACAATAGGGAGCTTTCTTCTGAAGTTTCTTGGCTGCAAAATGAAATACAGAACATGGAGGAGATGGCTGAAGCTTCCCTTAAGCTTGAAAACCTGTATGAAGACACTAAAAATGAAAACCAGGAGCTTAAAGAGCTTGTTACTAAGCTCCAGGAAAAGATCCATGATTTTAAAAGAAAACCAGACATGAAGTCCGTATTGGATAAAGAAATCCAAACGACTGATTTAACCCCTCAATTCAGTTTAGAGCACTATGCTAAAAATGCTGAAATGCATTCCCCAACAACTTTAAGTCCTCCGACAGTGTCTCCGTCATTTAATGTGGAAAATTGTTTGACGCATCAACAGCATGAGCGGCCAAAAGACACCTTTCCAATCCCGAAACAAGTCCGAAAAGAAGAGGGCATAACTCAAACTTCAGAGATCTTTAAAAGTGGCCGAATGGATTTAGCTGAAGAGTCTGGGTTGATGAGAGGAGCACATGAGCAACTTGTATGTCATAGATGTTTGCAGACAGAGAAGGAGCAAGATCTTGTAGATCCTGAACAAATCAGTGAGATGATGAAGAACATTGACGTTCTGAGGTAATGTCCATATGTAGCCATCTGTTGGCATGAAACTTATCAAGAATCTATCTACCTAACATCCTATATCTAACATCCTATACTGACTGGAGGAGAATCCCAATGTAACAACCTTAAACTTTTCTACAATGGCTTTATTTCTTGTCTTGGTATCTTTTTACACCGCTCCTAAGCCGTTGAGGCACTTTCCTTTTCAGTTATTCCTAGAATCCTTTAAATGAAAACCATAACCTCTTGGTGTTTGCTATATCGTTCCTTGTGAGCCTTTATTCCTCTGTTTTAACGTTTCTGCTCTTCCCGAGCTGCACAAACCTTCACCTGCTTTTATTGCTTGACTAACAATTCACCAATGATTCAAAAATCATAAATGATCACTGTACTAATCACTGTTGATAGGGAGAGGATTGATATTGTGTATTGATATCAGAAACTGATGTAAAAGATATAATTTAGTGAGTTACGATTAACATGTGTTTGTTGATATGCAAATTGGCCATAGTGTAAGTCAGTTGATAAAAGGGTAACAATGGGTGGACGCATGACCAATAAACCATTCGCTGACCCATCAGAATATTTATAAATCGTATATATTATCAATCTAACCTTGTATGCAAGTTAATTCCAATATTTCACTGTTTATTAGCATATGAGGGACTGTATATCCCACAAAATGGGTATGGTCACAGAATTCGTAATCTTCATTACGAACTGTGTATTTCTGTACATTTTTACTACAGACAGTCTTAAAGGACCACAATAGTGCCAAGAAAACATACTCGTTTTCCTGGCACTATAGTGCCCTGAGGGTGCCCCCACCCTCAGGGTCCCCCTCCGCTTGCGTGCTCTCACTGTGATTTTCACAGTGAGAATCACGCAAGCGCCTCTAGCGGCTATCAATGAGACAGCCACTAGAGGAATTGGGGGAAGGCTTAACCCATTCATAAACATAGCAGTTTCTCTGAAACTGCTATGTTTATAAAAGAATGGGTTAAGCCTAGCTGGACCTGGCACCCAGACCACTTCATTAAGCTGAAGTGGTCTGGGTGCCTAGAGTGGTCCTTTAACCGTGCAATGTGAACATTGCAGTTCCTCTAAAATTGTTACGTTTTACATTGCAGGGTTAAGGGGATTTGGACACTGCACCCAGACCAATTTAATTAGATGTAGACTGGGTGCCTATATTTTGTCAATTTAAGAAGATAAATTGTTAATGTCTGTGGAAACCTCGCTGGAGAAAAATAATCTCGTAGAATTCAGTATACATGGCGAATTTCACATAATACAATGTGTGTACATATAGCAAGAGCTTGGGCATTCAGCTAACCAGCAGAGACTGCAAAAGGTCTATTGGTGCCTTTTGCAGCTCCTGCGATTTGTAAAAGCTATGTTTCTAAAGTAATGGATAGACCACAACCATCAAGATTATCTCCAGTCAATTACATAAAAAACATGGCTCTGATTGATGGCTATGTAAACTAAGCTGTGATAGTGTTCCAAACACTTTGTCTTTCTGAAAAGATATGTAAATGTTAAGTTTTGCTTTAAAATCTTCTTTCGCTAATCATTACGGATTCTTCTTTCAAGATGTGAGAATAACGAACTGAAAGAGGAAAGATCTGCATTAAAATATGAAATCGCCACTTTAGAAGAAGAATGTGACATCCATAATCAGAAAATGACAGCACTACAGGAAGCTTGTGAAGAAATGTGGTAAATGGATCATTAACATTCTATTCTGTCATTTTTTGTTTACCCCACCGATGGCCATATCCTGCGCTTTCCATTTTAAAGGGATATTCCAGTGCCAGGAAAACATATTAGTTTTCCTGGCACTGCAGGGCCCTACAGCGCCCCTCTCCCTCTCACCCCCATCCCAAGTTCCTGATTTATAGGGGTCCAGCGCCGATATCCCTTGGCGCTGGGTCAGGTTCTGCCTATTCTCCTCCCCCGCCGACGTCAGCCAGAATGGGCGCGCACGCGCATTAGCGTGAGGCACTCCAGCGTTGTATAACACAGTTTTCGTGTTTAAAGAACACGGAAGTCCCTCTACTGGCTGTCTCATAGACAGCCACTAGAGGAGCACTTAACCCTGCAAGGTAATTATTGCAGTTTATAAATAATTACACTTGCCCGGTTAAGGGAGGTAGGAGTTGGCACCCAGACCACTCCAATGGGCAGAAGTGGTCTGAGTGCCTGGCATGTCCCTTTAAATACGGTCATTTTTCTATTTATTTCTTAAATTGTAAAACTGCAGCGAAAGGCACAAGGGGATGGAGGCAGAGAGACACAAATGAGAGTTCCTGGTTTATTTTTTTATGCTTTTTTTTATTAAAACCCATACCTAGATGTTTCCATATCCTCTGCTTAAAAAAATCCCCCCAAAAATATATCTAGCACGTGTCTGCACAGAAACCGTTAAGACCATAGAGACTGTCTGTTTCCGAATCCTGTCTGACTCAAGGTTTATGTATACAGCTGAAGGATCCTGCCATGGAATAGAATTTGTATCATTTGTTTTTACATTAAAATAAAAAAAAACTTAAATCTATTTCCTTTCAATACTCGATGAAAAGATTATTTTCATAAAATATTTTAGAGGTGACCCTTGTCCTTTCAGTGGCGGATCCAGAGCCTGATCTCGGGAGGGACACTTGTAGATTATTTAAAGAAATAATCCAGGCACAAAAACCACTACAGCTCAGTGTAGTATTTATGGCGCCAGTAGTGCCAGGATCCCATCCCAGGGTAAGTAGTCAAACCGTTTAAGAACAGTTTGACAACTTACCTGGGGTCTGCTGGGATATAGGGCATAGGAGCAGTGGTATGCGTTAGGGGTGAAGTGTGTGTGAAAGGTGCAGTGTGAGGGCGGCAGTGTATTTCAGGGTTGCAGTGTGTGTGTTAGGGGCAGTGTGTGTTAGGGGCAGTGTGTGTTAGGGGCAGTGTGTGTTAGGGGCAGTGTGTGTTAGGGGCAGTGTGTTTGTGTGTGGGGCAGTGTGTTTGTGTGTGGGGCAGTGTGTTTGTGTGTGGGGCAGTGTGTTTGTGTGTGCGGCAGTGTGTTTGTGTGTGCAGTGTGTGTATGGGGGGCAGTGTTTGTGGGGCAGTGTGTGTAGTGTGTGTATGGGTGTGTATTGTGTGTATGGGTGTGCAGTGTGTCTAGTGTGTGTATGGGGGCAGTGTTTGTGGGGCAGTGTGTGTGTATGGGGGCAGTGTTTGTATGGGGAGGGGGAAGGAGGCTTTTTAATATTTAATTTTTTTTTTATTTAATAAAATAAATATAGATTATGTCCCCCCTCCCTTCTTACCTTTACTGGGAGGAGGGGGGACATTTCACCATCCCTGGTGGTCCAGTGGGAATCCCTGGTGGTCCCAGTGGTGGTGAGGTGAACTCTAACCCGCGCTACAGGGCTAGAGTTCACTCTCGCGAGATTTGGAGCGTTGCCGTGGTAACCACGGCAACGCTCCATGCTTGCGAGAGGAGGACCCGGAGGAGCTACTGGTAAGAGCTCCCGGGTCTTCTCTCACTCCCTCCCTCCCCTGCCGGCTGCCAGCACAGTGCCTGCGGATCGGGGAGGGAGATCTCCCTCCCCAGTCCGCAGGCACATTGCAGGGCTGGCACTTGGACAATGCCAGCCCTGCATTAGCCCCGTTGCCCACCCCCTGGATCCGCCACTGTGTCCTTTAACGTAGTTCTGCAGAAATAAATGTGGGATAACTTTGCCGGACAGTGGTGAAACCTTGAGACCTTAAACCAGACGTTGAGGTCAGAATGTTGCTCACTAGTAACATTGTGTTTGTACATAATCTTTTTAGTATTTTACTGCTTTCTCAAACGCATTCTTGTATTTTTGTCTCTTAGGGTAAATTTTGAGACTGTTCAAAATGAGAAAATCGCAGTCCAGAATTTGGTCGAAACTTTAACCAAACAGGTGGGTTCTTCTTCTTCAAGATTAGTACGTTCTATATAGCATTCTCATGAGTGTCTCCTTTTGGAAAATTCATGAAAGGACTCCAGAAATGGACAACTTGGGATCCAAATAACACTGCATCAAAAAGGCAGAAAAAAAATGATATATATAAAATTATAAATGTTTTATGTTTTTTTTCACCACATTTTTCCTTTATTGATTGGGTTGGTTTATGTGTACGGAGGTTTGCTTAGGGTGCTCTAATCTCTCCCCTTTACTGACTTGCAGGGTTTCATTTCTCACGGTTAAGTTAGATGTTTAAATATTCTGGCGGTATGTAAGCACACTAGGCTTAAAATTAAATACCATGCGGCACAAAACACGCTGTACAGCTGCCTTTTTTCTTGATTTCTTATACATCAAGTTTGCTGTCTCACCATTTTATAAATATATATATATATATACACACACACACATATTTAAATAAACATTGTGTTTTAGTGAATTAATGAACTATGGATAATTTTCCTTAAGAACACTTTTGCACCATGAATGATATTAGCGGGCGTATCTACCCTTGTGCTTTATCCTTTTGGTAAAGAAAACAGATTTATTCCACTTTAGAAAGAATATATCACAACAAACCTTTGGTGTTTTATCTCCAGTGCAGTTAAACATATATTACTGTCTAGTCTTCTATATAGTCCCAGGTGATACCTTCAAGAAGGTTTGAGATATGTATATATGCGTGTATGTATGTGTGTGTGTGTGTGTGTGTATATATATATATATAGATATAGAGATATAGAGATATATATAGATATATAGATATATAGATATATAGATATATAGATATATAGATATATAGATATATAGATAGATATTGGATATCAAGAAACAATTCTGAAACTACATAATGGACAGTCTAAGTGATCCATTTATTTTAACCTGTGTTTTAGATGATAAAATAGTATTTATTTTCTAGGTATCCGAACTAAAAAGCAAGAATCAGCAGCTGGATTCCCAAAATTCTGAATTGTACATTAAGAATACAAAGAATCAATCGGATATTCATGATCTGAATAACAGACTGAGGGCTCTTCTTAAACACAAAGACAAGAGGGAGGCCAGGAGCAACGAAGAATGGCAGAGAGAGAAGAATTGTCTGAAAGATGAGATTGAAGGCTACAGGTCAAAGGTGGAATTCACGTGCTATTTGGTCACTAACTGGCAGATCTATCTATACAGTATCTATCCATCTCACAGCCACATGCTCCTGTAATAAAAATAACTGAAATAATTTTCTTTTATTCCAAGGTGTCGGATTCAGAAAAAGAACTGTCGAAAGTCCAGTCACATAATCACATTTTGGAGCAAGAAATTATCCATCTTAAACAAGAGATCGATGCTAAACAGGTAAAATATATATGAAATCTCTTGGTTGGTTTGTCAATGTCCGTTGTATATAAAACGTTTCCAGCTCACAACCAATGTATCATTTTAACTTTGGGTGCTTTCATTGCCAATTTGGTGCTGGTCCCCGCATCTTGTCCAGGTCTCCAACCTTAGGGGTGCTTTGTAAATCTAGCTGCTGAGTAGGATTATAGTCCTAAAGTCTTGGTGTCATATGAACAGGGTTATATACTAAAGTAAGAATTCCAAGTAAATTTCAAATGGAAGGTCAAAACTGGAATTCCTTTTCAATCCTGCTGAAGTCTCACTCTGAAAAATGTCTGAAAAGTAAATAAAAAAATACATGGAGCATAGTGTCCCTTCAATAAAGTTGGGGAAAAGAAAGCATTTTGTATTTAGGAAGCATTAACAACACATCATATGGTTCATTCTTCTGACACTTCAATCATGCAATGTGGAATAAACAGCCATCTAAATAGTTTTATTTATATATATATATATATATATATATATATATATATATATATATATATATATATATATATATATATATATATATAGTGGTTTTGTTTAATTTTGTTTTTTTTGGGCTGTTTTTGCAGCACTCGAGGTCCTCTGAATTTGCTGAATTCAAGAAAGAGATTTCACGGTTAACAACTAAAACCGAGAATTTGTTGAAGGAAAAAGAAACTCTCAATGAGGAGCTGAATCGATGTGTAGAGAAGGTAAAATGCAAATACTGTGTTGATATTTGCTGGTGAACTTAACTTTATATATCTTGATCACCTAGCCACAAGGCCTTCCCTTATAGAGCACAGCTATATATGTTTCCCAGTGAGAGAGGTGGCGGTTTATTCTCGGATAGGCGCACCCATATATAGAAAATATAGCATTCAGGTGCATTACCTCAAGTGTTTCCCTTTCTAATCTTTTCTGCCACCAGTAAGATCTTTATACATTTGTTCCCATGATGTTCAAACTTTCTTGTGTTTAAATGTGTTCGAGATTCTGTGTGTCATCCCTTAACATAGGTAGGTGGCATTCAAGGACTCCAGTACCAAGGACAGGGATGGCGGGGCGAGAGATTCCTGCGGCAATGCATAACTTGGTAGCTTTTATAATGAGTATAGTAATGGTTTGGGCTAGTCCTGTGAGAGTTTTAGGGAACATTCCGAATAGGAACCTTTCAGACTCCATCGGTAGATTTATATTAGCGACTGGATAAGGGAATTCATTTGCTTCCAGAACCGTCTAAGATCCTGGCACCTCTACAAGACATGCGACATATATCCCACAACAGTATGGCATCGCCAACACTGCGGCCATGTCTGGGGAAACATATCTGCCAATCTCTGCGGTACTAGATACCACCTCACAAGGCATGTTTCAGTGAGTCCCCCAGTGGTTAATATTTGTTGGGCTCACAGTTCAACATATAGAGCAGCTTGGGCAGTGTGGGTATTCGTGCCAGGGAAGAGTAACACGTGGTCAGCAGTTTGGTACAACCCTTTTGTGTCCAGACACATTTTATGCATGGGTCGCGATCAGTCAGGGTCTTGTAATGGCATTTTTTGGGTAAGTAGGATATGCTTGACCGTAATGTCCGTGAATATCTCCATGGGAGGGGAGCTGTGTTTGGAGTTCTGTGAATTGCTTCATCCTAGAATTTCATATAAGTTGGTAGACCTGCTTCTGACCTGAAAATCACATATATCCACATTTTACCTCTGCACAATTTAGTTTAATCTGCTTCTGACCACTGCGTTTGGTGGACATCTAGTGAGTAGTAGTGGGGCCAGCATTAGTCTTTGCATGGGAGCTATGAGTTGGTCAATCCAGCTATGTCATATAGTGAAAAATTAGTGGTTTACAGCCCTTCAATGCTGGGATGAGGTATACGTGGTGGACCCCACAGCTATTAATGTATGGTGAATGCACTAAGAATTGAGTCTTCTAAGGGCAGCCACAGTGGTTGTCTCTGAGTGAGGAAGGTAGCAATTACCTGGGATATCACAGTTACTCTATACTAAACTCTAATGCCTGGGACTTTCAAACCCAGACCTTTAATGAGTGTTTGTTTTTTAACTGATGAATATCAAATTTATTTTTCTTTTGGAGAAAGTTTCACTTTTGGATCTGTGTTAGGAGCTATGCTGGGAATCTACTGTTATCTGACCTTATGCTGCTGAACCTAACTTGCTGCTGCTACATTCACACCGCACTCACAGCAGCAGGTTAGATTGTGCAGCTGTTGGTCAGATGACAGAGTCTAACCCTACATGCAATGCTCAGTAAGACAGTAAAAATAAAAAAATCTAAAAAACCAAATGAGAAAAATGCATAAGTTAAAAACAATAACTTTCATTAAATATAATGAACTTTAAAACAAAGCTGGAAGAAGTAAACATTTGATGACTGTTGTCTTTTTAAGGCTGACTGACCATCATAAAATAGTAGTTTATATACTGCTCCTTACAAAAACCCTGAAAGAACGTGACATTGTTGCCTCCATATTGGAGAGAGATTTATCGAACAGGGTTGTTTCGTAAATCGCACCATCTGGAAGTCTTATTGAAAGACTTTAGCAATATCCCGCAAATTGTATGCAAATTGCTACAGTGTTTCGCTGCACAGTATAATTGATTCACAGTTTCTATCCAAAACAAATTAATTCCGTTCCAGCAAACAAGCAATTTATTAGTATATTTGAATGTCCTGTAATTTAGGTTGTTGTACATACAGACTAATTATGATCTGTGTCAAATAGTCTGAGCAGTTTTCCAAATCCCTATAACACCAGTCGGCTTGTCACTGGTTTTAAGATATTAATCTTCTGTTACCCTTTAATTGTATAATTATCATCCTTAGTTTGTCAATTGTCTAAAACAGAAATAAAAATAGATTAAAAGCAGAATGGGAATTCTGTGTATTGTTTACAGATACAAAAATCTAGATATTCCCTAAACTCCAAAATACAGTAAAGTGAAATGTTAGGAATGAATGGCTGATTTGGAATAAAATTCTTTAACTCCACTATAGTCACAATTTTCGGAAGGTCCACTTAATGTGGTGTATAGAGTGGTGTCATTATAGCTGTCCTCTTTTAAAAAACAAACAATCCCCCCCCTCCACACATTTTTATATTTATCTGTAAAATTTTAAGAAAATTACGCTATAAAAAAAAATAAAAAATTCTGCTTTAACAATCTGATATTAGATTAAAAATCAAAATAATTGGTTATCAAAATAACCTCCAAACCTGATATGTTCTCAAACTAGCACTATAATAGCTCACATTTTGGTTAATGCTATAACGGTATCCATTACTTGTTAATGTCTATTTCTAAGAGCTCAGTAACACATGGCTCATTATATCAAGTCTTTTACTATTATTATTTTATTTTATTTTATTTTATTTTATTAATTATTTTTATTTATTTTTTTGAATGCCAAATTTAGAAATGATTTAAGTGACCTGTTGTTTCTCTCTATTGTATAATTAACTTCTGCTAACTGTTTATCCGCAGTGTGCTAAAGTCGGTTTTCTAGAGAACAAGATTGCAAGTCTGAAGCAGGAACAGAATTCTCTGGAACAACAATCTCAGGGGCTGAAATGCCAGCTCACGGTTTCTCAGGAAAAGGTGAGATGCTTATTTGTGTGCAGGTATACAGGGGTTCATTGCCAGCATAGACTCTAGACAACTCTGTAGCATCATATCTCGCAATTTCTGTTGCCATCAAAAAGTTTTTTCACAAACTAAACTCAATGTGACAGTCCATGCTAAATTCACTGTAAAAGCCCATTCTGTGATTGCATTTAGAGATCTGAAATATATTTTAATTCAGCTATTTAAAAGATTATAGCAGGTGCATCTCTTGAAATATATGATGTACATTAAATAGCGGATTTCAAATTATGTTAAATTCAGTGTATTGTAGAGAACATTCTATTTTGTGTCAAATAAAACGTGCCAGAATGGGGCACTCATACTGTATAAATGGTCGAAAGCAGAAATGGAAGTAATTCAGTTTTACATTAACATGTTTACAGGTCCCCCTCTGTCTTTCTGTGCTGTAGTGGTAATGTGTTTTGTGTGTCTGTCTGTCAATATTTGTGTCTATGAATGTATGTCACTGCAGAGTATGTTGTAGGGAGGCACAAACAGAGACTTTAGAGAAATTATGACTTTAACAGTCGTTGGTTAATTAAACTCTGTGTAATCTAAACAAAAGCTATATGGAGGAGATTCGAGAAGACCATATTGCACAGTCTTACATATGGATCTCCATAAAAATAAACGAACCCTGTAGAGTTGAGCATTTTTTGTTCATGAAATAAAGTTTGCTTTTCTATACAACACATTGACTGCTCTTCTCTTCCCTTTACAGATTCAGAGTCTAGAAGAAAGCCTACACACTGTGAACATCCAGTTGTCACGGATCAAGTCTGACCTGCGGGTGGCATGGCAAGAGAAAGAGGCTTTAAAACAAGAAGTCATGTCCCTACACAAGCAGCTGCAAAATGCCAATGCCAAGGTAACATTGTAACCCATCCTAGCGATTCTGTTTGTAAAGTGAATAAGCATCTCAGACTCGATCAACATTGGCACGGTCTTTCAGGTGACATTAGTTTATCAATGTTTATTTGCCACATTCTAGAACCAAGTCCTTGAGATGGCAATGCACTCCTCAGGATTACAAAACAATCAGAAGAAACTCTACTGGGATGATCTAGAACAGTTGATGGAACAAGAGCAACAGCTTTTAAGACAAGAAAATGAAAGACTTCAGAGAGAGATTCAGAATACAAAGACGGATCTAATCCAATCCAGAGAGAAGGTAGCTTCATTAATGGACCTCTTTCAGACTCCTTGATTATTTTATCAGAATATTGCATTGACCTATTTTTGGCACAATGTAAAATTTTAGTCCAATATATCTTTGTTAATATTATTCTATAGCTGTACAAGAAATTAGAGTAGCCAATACAGAAAAATAAACCATCTTCATTAAAATGTCTTCTTGATGTAGGTTCGGCAGCTGGAATCTACAGTACTTTCACTGAAACAGCAAAAGCAGCAGAGCCAGTCCAGCATGGTGAAAGTTTTGGAGCAGGAAAAATTAAGCTTAAAACGAGAATGTGACCAGCTGCAGAAAGAGCTCACCTCTGCAAACAGAAAGGTTGTCACAACGTTATTTTAATGGGATGACCGGTTAAAATTGCAAAACTATACTGACATCAAAAAAAAAAAAAAAAAATCTGTTCTGTTGATTGTGTTTATTTGGTTATCGTACACTTTAAGGCATGTTACAGAAATTTAGTAACTACATTTTTCACTGTTCTTTTTTTTTTTTTTTCAGATAAGCCAGTTAGCCTCAGTTGGTCGGGAAACGGACACAATTATGATGGAAAATGAAGGTTTTAGATCGAACGTAGGGAAATTCGATGAACATCGTTTTGAGGTTAGTGTCTAAGTGCTGTTCATTCTGATTCGTTCAATCCAATACCCTGGGAGAAACAGTTTTTCTGTGTTGTTGCAATTCCAGAATTTTACCCTTTATTTTCATAAATTGTAACATTTTTTCATTGCACATAAAAAATAAAATAATATATATAATTGCTAGATGTGTGTGGCAGAAGACTATGGAAGATCATAAAAACACTGTGAGCAGACAAAAAATGTTACAGCTTTTCCTACAGTTAGTCCCTGCTTATATCTCAGGCAAGAGATGATAAAACAAAGAGTTAACCTCTTTAAACTAAATACAACTTGATACATATTTTGTTAAAAGTAAACCATGAGTCTAGTTCCAATGAGATCATCCAATGGCAACGGTTTCTTACCAAATATCACTAGGCTTTAAAAATAAACAAGTATTTACATTCCTCCCGGGGAATGCAGAACATAGGACAAGAAGCGGATTACTCACAATAGCACCATGACTCACCCTTGGGGACTGTCGTAGTGTTTCCACCATATTGGCTCGCCTCTCGGGAACAGATTGATTAATCTACTCTAATATACTAATTTATATGTTACATTTTTTTTCTCTTTTCTCTTCTGTGTCTTTTGCAAAAAAAACAAACAAACTATACCTTTTAACCTCTAACCAGTTGACCCCTGTTTCCCTCCTGCGTCTATTGTGTCTCTAGACCTCAGGGACGGGAATGGTCAGAGATGGGTCCAGTTCTCATTCTGAGATAGATGGTAAAGGTAGACTAATACTTCGATCTATTCAATGCATGCCAGTAAAACATTTCCTTCATTGTGTCCACTATCGCCCAGGAATGATTTGTAAAACTTCCATCTGTTTGCATGCTACGAATTCAATTTATCGCCCCCTGACGATAAAATTTGTGTTATTTATTAATGCTAGTTTGGCAGCTAGAGCCTATGGCATTTCACTTTTAGCATTTTGCTATTTTGGGGGTGTTTTATAGTACTTAGCTTTGTTGTATTTTTTAAAATATATATATATTTTGTGATACTTACAAAATGTTAACATAAATCTTCACATTGTGAAAATAAAGTGAGTCAGCAAGATGTTTCAGTGCTTTTTTTTTTTTTATATAAGCTAGCGTGCTTTAACATGTGTTAAGCATTCTACTGAGCCAATAAGAGTCTTTGTACTTCTACATTCTCATTGGTTGCGATCCATGTTGTAATGTACGCTTCACAGCAGCCATATTAGTTCTATTCTATTGTAAAATGTACAGTAACAAAATACATTTAGATACATTTTCTATTTCTATTTTGTTTGTTCTTTTTAGCATGTTTAATTTCTGTACTTCTAAATTGTTCTTTTTTCCCATCATGCATTGATTGTGTCGTGAGTGAAATATCTATATCTGTCTATTGCCCTCACGGTGTCTTTGCCATACGTTCATTCTTCCCAATCTCTCTGCCAGAGGTGGCACATTCGTAAACCTGTAGTAGAGACTATAAACCTACTGTGGCCATAAAGTTCTTTTTTGAGATAAAGTTAATTTCTGACACTAAATACGCCCTTATTATATTTCTGAAGATGCTTTAAGTTATAGTTTTTGAATACATGGTTCTATTCATGCAGGCCCTGCACTCCGCTTCCAGTGTAGCACTTAGTCACCCACCACTCCAGCAGCAAGCCAGTGTCACCGTGCCGGTGGATCAATACCTACAATGCCAGCCACAACTACAGCAGGCAGACCGGAGAAACCAGCAACTTCATGCAACGAGTCGGAGCTCCGAAACCAACAGTCCACAGGTCAGTGTGGTGTGCCGACAACCGTATGATTCATTTCCAATTTTCATCCTTTTACAACTTTTTTTTGCAGATTTTAGGCTCTTTCACTACACTTGGCTTTCTAAACGAAAGTCACTATTCTGGTTCACTGTAATTTTCTTGCATCCAAATGGACCTGTTGTATAATCAGAGCTTGATTGACCTATTTGTCTTCAGCACCCTTGTTTAAGGCATACCATATGGCACGTAGGTCTGGCTAAATAGCATACTTTACAGTTTATATCATTTAACCAGTCCTACCTGTGGAGATGCCTCCTATAACTTTTTTTTTTTTTTCCTGTGAGGGGGGAGAAGGGTGTGTTCTAGACTTCAGCATATTCAGCATACCTATGCAGAAAACACCATTTAGAAGCATTTCTAACAGAAGTAGGCAGCATGACCTCTGCAGTGTTGTGGCACAGGGAATGGGAATCTGGTCCTATGCGTTCAACAGTGCAGGATCCCCAAGAATCTATTCTACAGGGCGCGTCTCGAATTTCTGCACAGGTATTCTCCTTGAGCTGCTCAAGTGCAGCTGCTTCCAAGAGGACACCTCAGGGGCTACTTTACGTACACCTGCCACTTAGATGTCCTCACAGGAAGTAATTGAGAGCCGAAAGGTCGGACGAAATTGCCGGCCAATTAATCTGGGAATTTCTTGACATTATTCGTTTGCTGAACAGTTGTCTCAGTTTCGAAACTAAAATTGCACCATTTATACTCGTTCCTTGATGAATCACCCAAGACTATAGTATGTACCTGCAATAAAAATAATTAACTACTAACAAGTTATTTATCTGTCAAAACATACTCTGAATTTTGGCCCACCCTGTAGAAGTCTTTTCTCTATCTCCAATGCTTCCTTTTGACCAATGGTCTCCTAGAAGAAACCTTTGCATGAAGTTCCATTCTTTTTAGCTTGTGCAATTTATTGGATCATTAATGGTAGATTTGCTATTTTTATTGTTTGCTTCTTAATTTAATTTTCTTAAAGGAGCCATGATTATGATGACACAATTTTGTAATCAAAAAGGATTTCGTAGGTGAACATCTTTGTCATGCAGGCGAAATTACTAAAAAAACAAACAAACAAAAAAACGCACTCTAGAAAAGATTTCAGCTTACACAACACCTCGAGAGATTTGTGCTATGTATGGATTTTCCTTTAACCTGTATCTGAAGCAGACTTTCCCATCTGCTATACAGACCTCACCATTAACTTTTAAAATGTGACACACGTACGGTACAGGCATATTAAAGGTCAATCCCAACATGTCCCTATACTTTATCTGAAAATGTGTGATCGACCATATGCTTTTGTAAATCTTTCGATTATAGACTATACGTTGCCTTGAAAGATTGGTAAGGCCAATATAATTGTAATACCATTTTGTTTATTTCTTTCATCTTCATCAAGAGACCTTTTTCAGATAAATATGGAGGTTTTTACTCCACAATTCACTCATCTCCTTTCATACTTTTTGGAACATTTTGCAATTTCCTATATTTGGTTTAGTTCAATATTACCTGCATCTAATGAGCCAATTTAATTGGTTTGCATGTGCTCCAGTGCACTAATTAAGCTTTTTGTGCATTTGTTTGGCTTTTGTACACTAATTAGGATTCCTGTAAATTAATACTCCAGCTAACAGCTCTAGCAATAATTTCTGTAAAAATTCTCACAGCACGATGCTCTTTGTCAAAATGTCTGTCGTTGTACTGTCCCTGTGTACCCTTTTCTGTATTTGTGAAATGTAAAATGTTAATTTTAATTGGGTTTTCATATAGGGAGATGTCACTAAATAAAAAAATGGACTTAATTGGTGGGGGGGGGGGGAGAGAAATGATGTGTTAACTTTGTGTAAAATACTGGAGTCAACAAATTTAATATATAGTATATTTACATGAAAACTGTCACTTCCCAGCCTTTTTAATATTATGTTTACTTATTCCTATTTTAACAATTATCTGTTTGATATGAAAACTAAAATTAAATGTAGAAATTCCCAACTCTTTATCCTACAACTGAGCGCCTCCATCTTAGCTCCCTGTCAGTCATTGTTATAAGCTCCGCCCTTTACACCTGGCAGTCAGTATAGAGAGAGCCACCTTCATCTTAGCTCCCTGTCAATCATTGTTATAAGCTCCGCCCTTTACACCTGGCAGTCAGTATAGAGAGCCACCTCCATCTTAGCTCCCTGTCAATCATTGTTATAAGCTCCGCCCTTTACACCTGGCAGTCAGTATAGAGAGAGCCGCCTCCATCTTAGCTCCCTGTCAATCATTGTTATAAGCTCCGCCCTTTACACCTGGCAGTCAGTATAGAGAGAGCCGCCTCCATCTTAGCTCCCTGTCAATCATTGTTATAAGCTCCGCCCTTTACACCTGGCAGTCAGTATAGAGAGAGCCGCCTCCATCTTAGCTCCCTGTCAATCATTGTTATAAGCTCCGCCCTTTACACCTGGCAGTCAGTATAGAGAGAGCCACCTCCATCTTAGCTCCCTGTCAATCATTGTTATAAGCTCTGCCCTTTACACCTGGCAGTCAGTATAGAGAGAGCCACCTCCATCTTAGCTCCCTGTCAATCATTGTTATAAGCTCCGCCCTTTACACCTGGCAGTCAGTATAGAGAGAGCCGCCTCCATCTTAGCTCCTGTCAATCATTGTTATAAGCTCCGCCCTTTACACCTGGCAGTCAGTATAGAGAGAGCCGCCTCCATCTTAGCTCCCTGTCAATCATTGTTATAAGCTCCGCCCTTTACACCTGGCAGTCAGTATAGAGAGAGCCGCCTCCATCTTAGCTCCCTGTCAATCATTGTTATAAGCTCCGCCCATTACACCTGGCAGTCAGTATAGAGAGAGCCACCTCCATCTTAGCTCTCTGTCAATCATTGTTATAAGCTCCGCCCTTTACACCTGGCAGTCAGTATAGAGAGAGCCGCCTCCATCTTAGCTCCCTGTCAGTCATTGTTATAAGCTCCGCCCTTTACACCTGGCAGTCAGTATAGAGAAAGCCACCTCCATCTTGGCTCCCTGTCAGTCATTGCTATAAGCTCCGCCCTTTACACCTGGCAGTCAGTATAGAGAGAGCCGCCTCCATCTTAGCTCCCTGTCAATCATTGTTATAAGCTCCGCCCTTTACACCTGGCAGTCAGTATAGAGAGAGCCGCCTCCATCTTAGCTCCCTGTCAATCATTGTTATAAGCTCCGCCCTTTACACCTGGCAGTCAGTATAGAGAGAGCCGCCTCCATCTTAGCTCCCTGTCAATCATTGTTATAAGCTCCGCCCATTACACCTGGCAGTCAGTATAGAGAGAGCCACCTCCATCTTAGCTCCCTGTCAATCATTGTTATAAGCTCCTCCCTTTACACCTGGCAGTCAGAGTAGATCTAGCATACAGAGAAGAGGAGAAATTAAACAATGTTTTTATTTATTTTTCTCATTAGCAATGTGTTCCCTGGCTGTGCCTTATCTGAACCAGATTATGTAATTTGCTAAATATTAATATACATGTTAAAGGGGAAAAACAGTTTCTCTCTCATAAAAAAGCTAAAACAAGCTATAGGTGATGTTTTATTATGGGTATAAATTTTAGATTAGTTCCAGTTCCCCTTTAACAAACTGAACCTAAACCTCTTCCTAACTGGGTGCTTATTTGGTTAAATAAAAAAATAACAAACCTTCATTTCTGACCAAAGTAACGCTGAAATACTAAAGTTAACACAACATTCTATACATTTTTACTGGGCCTTTTTTGCGGGTCCTTTTACAAAACCAAAAAAAATAAATCACCATAATTCTTCTAAATGGCAAGTCATTGACTTTTTTTCTTTGGCTCAACCGTAAAGTTAAATTGCTCCCTAATTTTTCCTTTTTTTTTTTTTATTAATGTGAGATCTGTAGTTACGTTATATCTTTGCATGTTCTAGCATGTCTGTCTGTTTTACGCAAGTTGCAAGTAGTGTAATACTTAGTGTGAATGCTTCCAATTGCATTTTTTTCATAGGGCTTGCTTCCGGAGCAGCGAACACTGCATGCAGACTCCTATCGACGGATTGGTCGCCTCTGAAATGTGACTCGTAATGAGAACCCTTAACTAACCTCCTCTAACAAACTCTGCTGGCATAACATGAGCACTCTAGAAGTCTGGAGCACATTTGCTTTGCTTTTTTAACCTTTAACTGTGCAGTATTACTTCCATTGTAATTATCGGTGTAGAAATATTTCCTGTAAAATACCTTATTTAAAAAAACAAAAATCCACAAATCTCTTTTGTTTGTATTTATGCTATTTATTAGAAAGCAATTCATTCCTTACCTTCCCCCTTGAAAATATTTTTTTTTCTTTTGTAACTGTGTACTTTTGTTTTTTTTAAGAAAATCGTGTTTTATACAATGCTATTAAAATTTTGTTTATGATCTATTTATACAGGATTTTGTCTATGATTGTAACATAATTTTGAACAGAATTTGATTGGGCCAGAAAATAAAATTCTTTTAATTATATCATATTTTGTGCCTTTTTTATCCAAGTTGCTTTTGGAGAATCTTTTAATGATAGATATATGAAAAAAAAATTATATACATATTTTTTTCTTCTTTTTACACATTACTTCTGTATTTTCAGTAGTTGGCCATGAAGAAAATAAAAATATAGAGGTTTTTTTTTTTTTTTAGTGACAATGTGTAGACACCATTGATTTCACTAGGTGGCAGTACTACTAAACTAAAGACTTTTTTTTATTTTATTTTTTTATTTTAAAGATTCATATTATGCTAGAATTTAATTATAAACTTTAATTTAGAACTATGTATCGCCAGTAAAAATGCATATTTACTTATAGAACAAGTAGCAACTTTGCAAGTACCAGGACTGACTCCATCACAATCAAAAAGTCTAGTTTTTACTGAGGCTCTACAGATGATTGGTAACGTTACTAAAAGGATTTCTAATATTGATCGCTAAAACCAATCTGTGAGCATTCCTTTGACAGATTGAAACATAATCTAAGCAAAATAATTAATACTGCAAATTAAAATAATTTTGATGTTTCACTTGTTCAGGAATTGGAATATGCTGGCATAACAACTAAACGTTTCATTTTAAGAAAGGGAAAATAACATTTAACCCATTTTCAAGTCAAGGAAAATGCTGCAAAATGTCGTAACCACACGACTTGCTACTAGTGAGCTACATGCAATTTCCTAAGTACAAATCACAAACGTTTGATGGCTATATTTCTCGTAATGATGTAAAATCCAAGATAAATTGGATCATAAAAAGATCCACCATGGTGTGCTCGCAATGTCATTACTCTGACTATTTATGTAAAAAGCTGAAGATTTCTACTGAAATGAAACCGAATTATTATAGAAGACGCTAAACATTATCTAAAGGTAATTATGCCTAAACCTATGCTTTCTAGTGCTTTCAAGATTGGTAATATTGTGTCGTACCTGGATTTGGAGTGAATATTCTAAATACAATTTTCCTTTTCTGTCTGGATAGGTGACCTAGGTAAAAGTAAATAAACAATTTGAGGGGGTCAGAATGATTGGAAAATCCCTAAACACTATGGATTTTGGACTATTGATGGTGGCATGTAATTAATATAGTTGGCGTGTTTTAAAAGGAAGGCGACTACAATAAAACAACATTGTTAGTTTTTGTATTTCCAGAGACTGACTGCAAAATTAAAACATAGAGGACCGGTAAAAGGTGTTGTTTTTTTTTTGTTTTTTTTTTTGCTAGAAAAGAGGGGTTTTCAAAGGAAGATAAAAAGAAATGTATACATAACAGCATGTTCTACGTTTATCATGCTGTATCATACAGCTCAGATCAGTTTGTTTTCGTCTTGGACTGGAATAATCTTTTATACATGGGATTTGGGGCACAGTATTTAGTTTCTTTTCTACCCGTCGAGCCACTGACCATTTTCAAAAACTAGTAACATTTACTCACAGCAGATAGCTGTTTAGAGAACAGACTCCAACGTTCTCTTATTCTAGTGTTTGCCTTGCCCCTCTCGCTATAACACAATTCTGCATGTCTTCTATAGAGTGATCAGGAACAGCTACTGCGCAGAATGGAGACGCGCATGACAGAAGTTGAACAAAAACTCAGAATTGTGAAGATGCTCCTGCAGGAGAAGGTGAACCAACTGAAAGAACAGGTAATGAGCTCTGCTAGGTGACAGAAACCTGGTAACTGAAGTGATAGCAGATCCCACTGCATGGGAGAAATATAGAAAAAAATGTATATTTTATTACGATCACAGATATAACACAAACTAAAATGTAATGAATAATCACTTAATATTTATCACAACACAAATGTCCTCTGTGTTTTTCAAAAGATAAAACAGTAGTCTGGTTATCCTTTATACAATTATTATATCTAAACAAAAATGTATAATGCCACAGTATGGGCCACTTAAAAGCTAAAAATGGAATTCTAAACACCAAAACCACTACAGCTCAGTGTACTCACTATGATGAAATGAGGCCAAGGTGTCTGTCCACAGGATATTTTGGCAAACCAATTTAAAGAAACCAGTGGTTTTCCCCAGCAGATATGGCCCGCTCCTCTTCAGCTGTATTGATTATGCAGTGCCCTACTCACAGGACTCCCAGCCAATAAATGCCATCATTACGGATAACGGCAACATGAAAGGGTCCGTTATGCATTAGTACGTCAGGTTTGGAAGGTGCAAACTCTGGGTGCTGGGAAAAGCCCTGAATTTTGGCCAATTTTCCCCAAACAATATGACAACATAAAGTGTAACAGCGCCTTTTTAAACCATAATCCCTACCGAGAGCTGTAATAACAATGAACTGTAGTGGCTATGGTGCTTATACTGCCTTTAAAACACATGCAACACCACATAGAGAAACTTTTGGGGTGCCCTAGCCTTTCACTGAGATGCCTTGATTGAGGGTATTTAAGTGATCTCTAAACGGTGCCAAATCAGGTTATATAATGGTCTATGAAATCTTATCTAACATTAATTATCTACATTAGATTTGTCACTGACTTTATAAATAAAATCTGTCAGATGGAAATGAACTATTTTATAAAATGAACACGTATTTTTACTTTTAAATTCAGAGTGGAACAGAAAGAAATGTATTGTATATCAATATATTGTGACTTTGTTACTGTTAAATGACATTTTAGAAACCTTTTCTACAAAGGTTACATTGGAAAGGTTGTACAAATGTGTTATTGTGACAATATTGTATTTTCGATGGCACGAGGTGACCTGATTTGGCTAATAAACAGTTTGACTTATTGGTTTGTGAGATCCTACAAATCCGACAGACTCTGTGACATTGTATTTCAGAGATGCTGTCATGATACAGCTATTATTATTTTTTTTTTGTTGATTTTTAATGTCCTTCTTTAATGAAACTGCTCCTTTTCCAGGTTGCCAGAAACATGAAGACTGATGCCAAGTTGAAGGATTTATATGTGGATAATTCCCAGCTGCTTAGGGCTTTGGCCATGAGTGAAGAGCGACACCAGACTGCTGCCAAAAAGAACTATTTGTTAGAAGAAAAGATTTCAGGACTCAATAAAATAGTGAGGGACTTGGCTCCATCTGCTCTCACTTCGGGAAACAGTCCAAGGAGATTCTCTCAACTAAAATATGAAGACAAATCTCAAAGTCCGAGCACTCCTACAAGGAAACATGCACTGACACCAAATCTCTCTCCAACTCCATCTTTCCATGATCCAAAAAGGAGATCCCAGAGCTAAGCTAGTTTTTTTTTTTTTAATTCACCTCGTAACTGCCACTGAGCCCTGAAAGACATCAATGTGAAAATCTGCCAAACATGTTATTTTCACTAATGTGACATGTTATTTTTAGTGTTCATTGTATCTCTTTCTGCTCTCAGGAAAGATCAGCCAGATTTTACATTGCAATCTATGCAAGTTAAGGGGTTTTGTGATGATCTACTTGTCAACTTATACGAGGTTGAGAAGTCATGTCGACAAATTAGACTTTACTCCAAATCCAGGGTTAAATCAGTGTTTCTCAATGTCACGTCAGGTTTTGCTATACCCCCATTATAACAGAAATTCGTAATCCCTAAATCCTGATCGATTGTGGTTTTGAGAACCAAATTGATTCTGGGTGAGTAGGATTTAGTCTTGGCATGTAGCGAATGGATGGGATATGCACAAAATTGAGAAACTGGTGGTCTTACACCATGTTGCTCCACTAAGAGAACCAAACACTGCCCGGGCATGTCGTAATATTGAAAATAGTTATTTGCATATTTATTAAACTCAGATCTCTGTATTAATGTTAACACTGCCAGACTGATCTCCCACTGCCATCTGATATACAATGATCTATGGTGCATTCCCTTCAATGTGATCATTCCTCTCATTCAAATATGGAAATCTGCCATTATTGTCTCCATATTTATCGCTCTTTCGCTATCGTGTTCCCCCGTCAACTTCCGAAATCAGGTCGTTAATCCCTAGCTGATCTGGTACAGTGCAGTTAGTCATTTGGCAGGTAGGTTACAGCTATTGACCGTTGCAAGCTACAGCAGTAGACTGGGTGAAGAGCAAGTGGTGAAGCCAAGAGCCAGTAAGTAGATGTTGGTGATTAATATGTATCAATCCCTTAAAGCTGGAGTAGGCAACCTTCGACACTCCCGATGTTGGGGACTATCTAGTCAATAAGGTTCGGACTGCCATAAAGCTGGAAAAGCATCAGGGGAGATGTAGTCCACAACATCTGGAGTACTGAAGGTTCCTTACCTCTGCCATAATGGGTTCTGTGTCCTCTGCTCTCCATCTAAAAACTCTGTTGACAGATTGATTGCAATGGGCTGAACTCCAGGTTGTAAAACCTAGAACTTGAATATATACATTTATTTTCCATTTTCTAATTTATTGAAAAAGTCCAGTGGCTGTGTAAGGGGAGATACCAAGCACTGCCATAAAAGAGCTTTAGTACGGGGTTTATTTAAAATGCTGAATAATTGTCACTGTCTTTACTATTACAGTTTCTTCACTGCCAGTTCATAATGAAGTTAAAATGTATGAAATGCAAGGAAAATCGTACTAGTTTTGCTATTTTAATTTTTTTATATATATAAATATTTCAGCGAAGTGCATTGAGTCAATAATATGTATTGATAACTTATAATAGTGCCTGTACACGACTGAAAATTATTAATTGACCAAAATTACCAATGGAAAAAACATTTTCTAAAAGAAATGGATGCTCAAATCTGTGTGTGTATTTTTGTCTCGCTGTCTTTCATTCTTTGTGTCACTCTCCTCTTTTACATATATTTGCCATTTAGTTTATTTTAATATATTTTTAAAGTAATGGGAATTTATGGCTACTATATCATTTTTCTTTAATCAAATCCAATGCCATGACACAGAAGAGATCTGTGCTTCCAAAGAACAGCAGAAGAAAAGTTTAGAAAAGTGTCTTTTATATAATAAAGTTTTGACTTTTCTGCAATTTAGAGCCAAAAAAAAGGAAATATATAATTTATAGATCTCAGGAAAGACTGTGAAGATTGTAAAAAAAAAAAAAGAAGCTTAATAGAGGTGTTAAAAAAAGAGACGTGAAACCGAAAACATTTGCCGGAGGAGAAAAAGGTGACGGACAACTGCTCAACCACTGCTATTCCAAAAAACGATGTAGATTCAAAAACTATGGTTAGGGCACAAAACAAGCAACACATTAAAATCGAATAAACTGTCAAAAAAGCTGAAATCTGTCTGCAACACTTTGATAAATCTCCCCCACTGTTTATAGAATGTTTTAATCTCTAAAGATTTATAAAGAATTGGTAGTAGAGGAAGATCTCACTCTATCTGTGGGTTATTTGTCACACCATTCCACTCATCTTCTCCAAGATGCATTTTAATTTTGCCTCTTGGTCGATGTAGTTGAATGTTTGCATCACAGATTTAGTTTAGTAAATACTCAGATTTAAGTACTAATTTGCTGTGAATTCAAACTGAGAATGGAATCGACTTGGAGCATGCTTTTAATAGTCTATTTGTGTCTGTATTTTTATCACTCTAGGCATCCAGGCCACTTCTTCTCAATAAAGTGGTTCAGGTGTAGTGACCATGTAGAGTTTGACCTGCTATGTACAACATTACCCTTTGGTTAAATTGCAGGAATCAAAATACCTCTAGTGTGTCTCTTCATGACACTAGAGTGAGCTTTCACTGCTAAAATAGTCACACTAAGATCTTCAATCAATACTTTGCTTTGATTAAGACAGTTGATTCAGAGGGGAGCAGCATTTTGCTTCTCATCCAAAATGCTTCTCCATGAGAAGTATTGGGTTGGACCAGAATACTGAAGACGTTGGCATGCTTGTGACAAGGAAGGAGGTAGAGAGGGTGGCTGCAACAATACCATCTCAGCACTGTAAACAAAGTAGGTAAAAAGTATATTGAGCTTAAGTGTTTCACTAAAAAGGGGGTGTATAGAGGTCACTGTAATGGAACTTATTGTTCAAAAAGAATATTATTTTCTGGACTATTGATTCCCTCTCTAACCTGTACTTAGTTTCCAATAGGCTGGTAAATGACATTTTACAATTCACATAGTATACGAAACATTCAGAAATGAATCCCTTGACCAGATAATGGGGAGGGTGAAAGATCGGTAAATAAGTTTACTCTTGACACTCATCAGCCACAACATGAAACCCACCTGTCTATTATCGTGTAGGACCTCCTGCTAAAACACACGGACTCCACAAAACCCCTGAACGTGTCTTGTGGTCTCTAGCACATACATTAGTAGCAGATCCTTTTAAGTTCTGCAAGTTGTGAATGTGACCTCCGTGGATCAGATTTGTTGTTCCAGCACATCCCACAGACGGTCAATCTGAGATTTGGGAAATTTGGAGGCCAAGGCCAAACATTAATATCTTTCCCTCAATGCATCCCTGAACAATTCTTGCTGTGTGACAAAGTGCATTATCCTGCTGACAGAGGCCACAGCCATCAGGGAATACCATTGCCATGAACGGGTGTACGTGGTCTGCAATAATCTCTAGGTAGGAAGTACTTGTCAAAGTCATATCCACATGAATGGCAGGACCCAAGGTTTTCCAACAGAGCACTTCCCAGAGAGTAACACTGGTTCCATTGGCCTGCTTTGTTTTCAATTTATTTTTCCCATAGTGCATCCTGCTGCCATTTCTTCCCCAGGTAAAAGATGCACATGTACCTGGCCATTCACCTAATCTAAAAGAAAATGTGATTCGTTAGACCAAGCAACCTTCTTCCAAATGCTCCACGGTCCCATTCTGACTCCATTGAAGGCACTTTTGGCTGGACTCACGGTCACTATGACCGGTCTGCGGCTAAACAGTAGGGATGTGCATAGGCATAAAATTTGGTTCGGAAATTCGGGTAATTAAAAAAAGAGGAAAGGAAAAAGAAAATGGAAAAAAATAAAAAAGGGGAAAGGGGACGAGAGATAAAGAAAAGGAAAAGATCTTATCCCTCTAAATGGGCAGACAAAAAACAAAACAAAAAACAGATTTAAAAAAATAAGGATATGATACTAGATATAAGTGATTCTCACTCTCTCCAGGAGAAAGAAGCAAAGGAAAAGGATAAAGGGAAAATTAAATTGAAGAATAGTACAAGGATAAAGTAAAATAGATAAATAAGTATATATATATATATATATATAATAACAGTAAACTAGGGATGGATGGGCAGGGGGTTAGGAGACCCGGGAGGTTTTTTTTGGGGGGAATAAACAAGATAACACAAAATATTTATGATGACGAGTACCACGACCTGAAATATAGCAGCACTAGCAAAACTATATGAGGCAGGTACATGTCTGAAATAAAAAAAATAAGAGACAATCCGACTACCTCCCTTGCACAGTCACATACCCTCTCACCCAAACCCCCTTCAAAAACAAAAAGCAGAAGAAGAAAAAAGGCAAAACACTCTCTCTCTCTCTCACACACACACTTAAAAGCAATGTGGCTCCCCAAGTTTGCAACAAGTAAAGTACAAACATAATTTATCTCTGTCAGTCTCTTGTGCCATCTCAACTTGTCTGGTCACATGAATGCAAGCCAACACCCTGACAGCCTGATTTATATACTATCCCACCTCAATGACTCGGTGTGCCTTCATTGGCCAAGTGTCAGTGACAAAATCACCATTAATTGGCTTTCTTCTAACATCAATCACAAAAATGTGCTCATTTCATTGGACAGGGAATAGTGAAATCAGACTGGGAAGCAAGCATTACATTGCACAAAAGGAATTTGCTTATTGGTCAAGAGTCCTGTCATCATTCACGTAATTTTCCCTTCCTCTCACTTGTTTTGAAATTTTTCAGTAATTCAAATCACTTTGGCGCTTCGGCACTTCCGAACAACCGAACTTCGGCACTTCGAACATTCGTAAGCATCCGAATGGCATGAAATTCATAATAATGTACATTCGGAACTAAATGAATTGCACATGTCTACTACACAGCCCCATACACAGCAAAGTGTGATGCATTGTGTGTTCTGACACCTTTCTATCATGGCCAGCATTAGGTTTATCAGCAATTTGAGCTACAGTAGATCTTCCGTGAGATCAGACCAGACTGGCTAGCCTCGCTCCCCACATGGATCAACATGCCTTGGGCACCCACAAGCCTGATGCCGGTTCACTGGTTGTCCTTCCTCGCACCACTTTTGGTAGGCACTAACCACTGCGCACCGGGAACACCCCTGCAAGACTTGTCTTTATGGAGATGGTCTAACCCAGTCGTCTAGCCATCACTATGTGGCCCTTGTCAAAGTCACTCAGATCTTTTTGCTTGTCCATTTTTCCTGTTTCCAACACATGGAATTCAAGAACTGACTGTTCACTTGCTGCTGAATATATCCCACCACTTGACAGGTGCCATTGTAAAAATATAATCAACGGTATTCACTTCACCTGTCAGTGGTTTTAATGTTGTGACTGATTAGTGTATTTAACAAATGTGGATTTTTGCATTTCATTTTATTTTTCATACCACATAAATACATATCTGTTTAACCTGCAACTGGGCTCCCTGTCAATTATTGTTATAAGCTCTACACCTGGCAGTCAGCATAGAGAGAGCATACAGAGAAGAGGAGAAATAAAACTATGTTTGAATTTCTTTTCTTCATTTGCATTGTGTGCCCAGACTGTGCCTTGTCTGAAATGGATTATGATGCGACTTGCTAAATATTTAATATAAATTTAACTTTAAGAGAAGTGCCATTTCCCCTTTTAATAACCTTTTTACTGGTAATTTATTCAGCTTCCACAAAGTCTCTAAACAATAACATTTAATTTTCTGCAAACCTGCAAATCATGTCATGCAGAAATACCTAATTATTCCATTAAAACGATTAATTTCAGTAGGAATGCAGTGGAATGCAGTGGAATGCACAATGACATGTTTTCAGTGGTGAAGACACTGTCGTGCTATAAAGCATTTGTTAACCATTAATCTTATCTGACTAAGCCAGACCTCTGACTCTGCAGAGTAAGATACCAGAGGCAGAAGCCGAGCATGGGAGTAACTATAGACGTGTAGACATTTATTTGGAATTATTACATTAAACATTGTGACCACATGGCTCAGCGCAGGATCTTCGCACTGCTTGCATTATGTATAGCTCAAATTCACAGTCAAAAAATCCTCTCGGAAAAGAAAAAATGTGGCGATCCTCAATGTGAAAGTAAGTGTTTGGCCTGACTATGTTCTAATGTCTAACCTTAACACTGCAAATGTTTGTGAACTACATTACCCACAATGCATAGCCAGGCCCTACACAGCGGCTCTGGTTCTATTGAGTTCCTGTATTTTGCCCCAAATAATCAAGTTGGTTTTAGAATGTTTTTGTTTTTCCAAGTATTATCAATATGCAGAGTTTCATTGTTACCTTTATTTGAAGGTTAATATGTTACATTTAATGCAAGTTTCATATAAATTATTTTTGTTCATTTTTTTTTGTTTATTTGTTCATGAATTTACTTAAAGCACCGCTGGCTGGAGGTAAATACAAGTCACAGCCTTATCACACGGCAGGGCAAAGTTCGCTGGCCATAGTTAGATCAAATACTGCTGCACACTCACATTCTATCAGCCTCTCTAGAAAGAATTATGTGGGAACTATTACACCTGAAACAAGATCATTTTTGCATCCAGCAGCTACTGTTCTTCTTTTTTTTTATTCCTTTATATATGGTTCGGTATTTTGTAAATAATGTATTTATTGCAAACATAGCCATAGGCGTACAAATGCAGCTGGACTGCTAGCTGCTGAACAAGCCACCAGGGAGTTAAAAAGGTGTCCTTGAACTATGCTATCCACTACCCCACCCCCGCCTGGCCACCCACCCAGAAGCCACTGATCCGAGGGGGAGGAGGGAGAACCTGACATACACCTCATACAGTGCCAAAACTTACAGCCAACCTACACATCCACTCAACATTTTAATAAATATCCTAGTGTGTTGCAAAATTGTAAAGCGCTTAAAACGGTTTTTGGTTTTTGTTTCACTGAAGTGGTTATGGTGCATTGAGTAAGTGTTTAATGGACATCATAATTTATTGAAGTTTAGCAATTCATTGATCACTTGTTTATCCCAAGCAAGGTAATACTCAAAACAAGCCCTTATGTCTTTCTTTATACGTGGTATATGTGGATACTGGCTCAATGTATTAAGGAGAGCATGGTGTTTAGCTCTCACAGTGCTCAACAGATTTGTCACTCATTGTTTAGCATATTTCCATCTACTCCAAACATGTCTTAACCCTGGGAATCTCAAGACTTTATGTTTCTAGAAAATTATTAAAGAAACAATAATCTTCAACATACCTTCTGTTTATAGAAAAGTTAAAGGTTTATCGACCATTAGCCCGCTGTAGTGGTTATGATGGTAGCAGTAGTCTGGCCCCATACCCCGGTAATCATGCAATCTAGCTTGCCCTTTTACCTGATCGTGCCGGGGCATCGAGGGTTCTCTTCTGCAATGGCTGGGTGCTGATCTTGTCACTCATTCATTGGCTGAGAGTGTCATTGCTGAACAGACCTGACACTAACCAGCCCTTGTTAAGTTCCTTATGAGGAATTCAGCTTTCTAAGTCATTATCCTGTGTATTTAAGGTTTGATGATCAGAGCACAAGCTAATCAAGACTATGTAGGACCTGACTGCAGATATCTCAGCTTCAAGATGGGAGCGGAAGTCAATGTGTATTATAAACTATCTGGGAAAAGAGAAGACCTGTGGCAAGGAAGTGTAAGTAACCATCAGACCGTACCTAGGAACATCAATGGGTTGCTGGCTCTGTAGCCTCATCCATACTCTTCCAATGCCTAAACAAATAGAAGCAGGAGAAACATCCTTCCATATTTGTCAGATAGTGGGACCATACTTCCATATTGGTTAGGCAGTGGGACCATACCTCCTTATTGGTCAGGGAGTACGACCATACCTCCAGATTGGTCAGAGAACAGGGCCATGCTTCCATACTGGTCAAACACTAAGAAAAGTAGAGAGAGCGATTATGAAAATGACACAGATCTTCCACACCTTCTCTTCATTTTAAAGGGAGCACGCATGACTTAGAGCATATTTGCAACTGCAAATTTCACAAACCCTACACTGTTGTAGTCCAATGATCAACATTTTTTTTTAACTAATAATTAATTCAATAACTCAGTATGCTAGCATTGCCCAATAAACCTCACTCCATGCTGGCAGTGCCCAATAAACCTCACTCCATGCTGGCAGTGCCCAATAAACCTCACTCCAGGCTGGCAGCACTCAATATTATTATTATTTATAAAGTGCCAACAAGTTTCGCAGTGCTGTACAATGGATAGAATAACGGACACACAGGAACAGAGGGATTGAGGCCTCTGCTCAATGAGCTTACATGCTAGAGGGAGTGGGGTATAGTGACACAAAAGGTAAGGGTAGGGTAGAAAAGTATGTTGCTAGGATAGTATTTACTGAGGGCTTAGTGTTTTGTTTTGATGACAGTTACAGGAGAGGAATCAGGGTGCAGGGAGAGAAAGCTGTTCACAGTTAAATTGATACGCTTTCCTGAATAAGTACTTTTTCAAAGATTTTTTTGAAGGAGTGGAGACTGGGTGAAAGTCTAACAGAGAGGGCACGGGCATTCCATAGGAATAGTGCAGCCCTAGAGAAGTCTTTAAGGCGAGCATCAGAGGTAGTAGTACGCACAGAGGTTACACTTAAATTTTTACTGGACATATTTGTATATTAGTGAGAATAAGAAGGTCGGACCAGTATTGTGTAGAGATTTGTAAGCAAGTACCAAGATCCTAAATTGAGTCCTGTATCTTATGGGAAGCCAATGGAGGGACTGACAAAGGGGGGAAACGTGGGAGGTGTGGGCAGACAGTAAGGTGAGCCTCGCCGCCGCATTCATTATAGACTGTAACGGAGCAAGTTGGGAACACGTAAGACCACTGAGAAGAGGATTACAGTAGTCAAGGCGAGAGAGGACAGCGGCATGGACAAGCAACATAGCTATATCAGGCGTTAAATAGAAGCGGTTACGTGCTGTGTTTTTGAGATGGAAATGGCTGGATTTGGCGATTGATTGATTGGCAGCACCTATAAATCTCACTTCCTCTCTTACAGACCGGAAAGGCATATGGATTGTTTTCAAAAGATGCTGTGAACATTGAAGAGATTTACATTACAGAGGAATATGAGGTCCCGGCACAGGTAAGGGGGTTTTATTTCTTGGTTTAATTAGTATTGACAAGATGTATGTCTTATAAGAATGAATGAAATGGTCATAGGGTGGGAGGTAGTGTGATACCAGGGAGAAATAAAATGGAGAAATAAAAGAAGGTGGGTGTTTCTGTGGGGGGTAAGGATTAAATGGGTAGTGGGAATTCGCAGAGCCATGGGTCCCATATTTTGTTGAAGTATTTAGTGGTTAGGGCCGAAAGCTTATCCATTTCCTTTTCGTCATCTACCTTACGTATCACCATGTTCAGTGGTGGGACATTGGGTCTACCCATGTTCTCTGCGATTACTCGTCTTGTGACTAGTGCAATCTTAGCAATTAATTTGTTTTGACACCTGGGAGTATTCTGTGTGGTTTCAAGAGGAGCCAGATCCACGGCCTAGTGGTATGTCTGTGTGGAGTATCCTTGATATAGATTGTGATACTTGGAGCCGTAATTTGTGTGCATTCCAACAAGATGTTGTGCCTTTACTACCACAACCCTTTCAGTACAGGTCAGAATCTGATTTGCTTTAGCCTGAGAGGGGTGAGGTACCATCGCATTAGAGTTTTGTAGGCTTGTTCCTTATGGTTTACAGATAGTTATCGTGGCTGTGGGCTCCCAAATATTTCCCCAGTCTGTTTGGTATTCTGGAGGTCTGACGTCCCTCTCCCAACCTGACATGCATGACAGTGATCCTTCATAGCAGGATTTGATTATGAGTGAATATAGTATGGAGATTTGGCTCTTTTGTAACGGGCATTGCAAAGGCAATAAGTGCTGTGACGCCTGCTTTTTTATTGTCCAGGAAGCTTTGGACTTGAAGCTATCAGAAATGATCGAAGGTGTTTAGCGGAGTGTGTTGTGGAAGGTCTGGGAAAGGTATAATTTGTTGGTTTTGAAAAATTGGTAAAAGCAGATAAGGAGCTTATTGGTCTTTTAATTGGTCCAACTGACCAACAAGAAATAGCTTGTTAACCTTCCTTGCACAAGTCATCAAATCAGGGAGTGAGAGGGGGAATTGTCATATTTGTTCTGGTCATGTGCAAAAACTATTTTCTAAGTACTGATAATTTGTTAAAAAATATATTTTTTTCAGTTATTTTTCAAGCCATTTAGGTGTTGAATTTGCCAAGTCTCTCGTGGTTCCATTAAAGTTCTAATAACTGTTCTTTTGATGGATTTTGATGGGCAAAACATGAGTGCTTAATGTACATTAAAGGTCCATATTTCTTTGATTCGATAATGGTCAAAATATTTACAAAAGCATTGAAATAGGTAAATTGCGATTCAGAATCGTTAACAGCATACAGGCAGATGTTAACATGATGATAAATATTGGACATTAGACTGTCCAATTCAATAATAAATTGCCATTTAATAATTTGGAATACAATAGTCTTCTAATATGTTCCAGAGTAAACCATATTCACAAATTATATCATTTTATATTTTCAGGAAATTGATTTTGTTTGTCTAAACGGGGGCGAATATATTTTTGAAAATGAAGATAGTGTTCTGCATAAAAACAGAGAAAATGAATATATGGAAATAACTTTTGATCTGAATGAAACCGAAGATGGGATCAAAACACATTCAGGTAATTTTTGTATAGAAACGAACAAAAATAAATATAAATCTAAAAACTCACTGTGAATTAACCTAAAATGAAAACAAACGATCAGTAAAAACTGGGAAAACAAAACAAAAAACACTCAAATTCTGTCCTTGCTGTACAGTAACAAATGCTAATCTTGCAGTTAGAGATGGCCTATGGCGTCAATTTAATACTTTTAAATAAGCTTTTCAAATAATTATTTTTTGTTATGAACTTTTAAAATGATTTAAAATTATGAAAAATATATTCATATTTTAATATTGTAATATTTTTTATATATATTTAAAAAAAAGTTTATCCAACAATATTAAATCGAGCCCTATATGTCATAACGCTCAGCCAGCCTATAGCTGTACAAAATGTTTGATCTACTGTCAATATGATACACATGGGTTATTGCCTAAAGAGTGAATAGTTTAGATTTCTAAATTAAAAAATAAACTTTACATCAAAAAAGATAAACTTTACAAATTCCCCATTATCACTCCTTATATTTTAAGTTTTGCTATCCTAGCCTAAAATTTTAAATTCACTTTGCATTCCTGAAGCAGCATACCAACATTTTACAAAAAACACTGAAAATGTAACTGTTTTTGTTAGAAAACAGGCAGGAATGGCACACAGAAATGTCGAATGGATATATTGTTGTGTTCCAAGGCTGGTGACATTTATAGATTTTTTTCACTGACATTTACAGGATGTCCTGTTGAGTAGCAGGAGATTGTATTTTTTTTCGCCTGAGATATCAGCACCTGTGAATATTATCAAAATCCTCTATTACAGCCAAAGTAAATGTTTAAATTATTTATTCTGCATATCAGGCAACCTACTATTCTCTTTCATTATATGAAACTACTGTAGCAATACTCCCACAACAAAAAAATAGTTTTCGATAGTGTCTAGCAGTGGGTATATAAGTATAAAATGATATGGATAATTCCTTTTTATTATCTTCCAAAATACTCTTAATTTTCCTAATAAGATTCACATATGTATTTTCATTTTGTGTCTCTCTTGAGTTGTTCCCAATTATACCATCTATTTCATCTAAATTAATGTACAATTCTGTACTCCATGTCCTCAGTGACGACTATTATTCTGTACAATTGATCATATGATACTGTCTTCTCGTGGGTTCGATATCCTTTTCAGACATAACGTAGTATTAACTTTGCTTTTCAAGTTAATACCTGACATTCTGCAGTTTTTCTGAAAAGGGAGTCGTTGTTACCTTTAAATACTTCACTGATTTTCTCATAAGGGTCCAACATTCTCATACAGTATATGCTACTTATCATTTACCAACTGTTATTTGCCAATTTATAAGTCTTGAGCCTTTTCTGCCATTTTCTTAACAATTCCCTATTTTATCTATGTGAAAACAGCAAACATCACTCAATAACATATATTCTTTTTTTTTTCTGGGGTTTTTTCTTTTACAGATGATCACGTTAATAGAGATCAAGAAGTAGATCCCAGTCTACAGACATCTGATCAAGAGCCAGAGAAAGCAGTTCCTGCAGAAAAACAGTCCTGGGGTCCTTCAGGTTTTGCAAGGTGGCTCGGTTTTAAAAAGGATCAAGAAACGGTAAAGGAAACTATGCAGATGGACACAGAACCAAGAGAAGATGACACATTTCGCACAAGAAGAATTGCGGCTTCTGAAGAGCAGGATGTTAAAGGATTAGATGATGCGCAGACAGAAACGTCTGGCTGGTTTAGTGGAAGAATAAGACGTTTCCTGCCTTTTGGACAAAAAGATAGCAACTCTGGTGAACGTAGCACCACAGATGAGGTTAACGATATGAAGCAAGATGATAATGTGGCCGATACCGGAATGGGTGATGAGGAGAAACAAATTGAAACTAGTGAACCTCATGAAGCTCCGTCCAAATGGCTTAATTTCGGATTTGACAATGTTCTAGGACTTGATGAAAAAAATGACGCAATGAAACCAGAAGCTGAACAAAAAATAGATGACTCCACAAAGAATGAGTCACCAGAAGTTTTAAATCAAGATGACTCATCCAGGCCTACTCACAGTATGCAAGGTGAGAGCACAGATAATCTTGTGATAAATGAGATACAGGAAGATCCTTCCAAGATCAACAATGATTTGACACAAGTGGATATTCCTAAAACACTGGAAGACTATGTTGATCTGGATGCTTCCATTGGTGGGGTCAATCCAATAGAAGAAACTGAATTGTTGACTGGCCATTCTGACAAACAAACAGTTAGCAACAAATTAGAAACTCCCAATGACTTTCAAGGTAAGAGTGCACAGATTTCTACCAATGGGAGGAGGGATCTTTCATTGGATGGATACGGTGCAATACATTACATCTTTCACACACAGATACAGGTTTCAAATTCAGGCATCGGATCTATATATTCTTACAACACCATGGAATCCTATAGGATATTATTCACTATACATAGATCTATGGAACTGGACTTGGTAACTAAAACATTAGGCCAAAATAATGAAATTGCTATAAAATCTCTAACTCAGTCTTTTTTCAAATTAAGTGAGAGAATAAGAGAGATTAGAGAGATTATATTTTGCTATGTTTTATCTCATACATTACGTTATTCATATTTTTTTCTGTTGTAGATGAAAAGATTTCAAAACTGCACCAAGAAGACACAGAAATTGGGGAAGCCGATGCATCTATGCTAAATTTGAACCTTTTAAAGGAAAACACACTTTTTCAGGGGCAGAAATCTGATACTGATACAGAGGAACCATCTGATGACGGATTCTTTTCCTTTTATGGTAGATATGAGATTATTTTATAACAACGATTAATAATGTGAAGATTAGCACACAAATTTATGAAGGACAAAAAATAGGTTAATTAAAGTCACTTAATTTCTGATTCATTCACCCATCTTAAAACCTGGAAACATTTTAAATAAGCAGGTATTATGCCACCCAAACTATTAGCTAGAACTATCAACTTATTGTGCTAATCAAATGGTCCTAATTCTGGTTCTCATATAATACCTTAATTACCCCAACTCAAAGTTATCCACAATTCAGACAAAATGTTTACTCATTATTTTATATGTTATCTATTATTAATAAATTAACTAACTAACTTGGAGGCTGATAGGGATAACATTAGCGGGAAAAACTACCATCATATTGTATTATTTCAAATAAAAATTATTTGTAGTATATTCTCCAAACATAATTTTTAATGCATATATGATGTCTTACCCTGGATCTTTGGGGACAGTTTTGAGATCCTCGTAACTTGCACATGACATCAAGACTTGTGAATGTGCTAGAGCTCTCGGTTACCTGCGTGGGCTTATGTTAAATAAGGAGTGCTTCTGATCAAATCAGATTTTTATGATGGTTGCCCATAGAATCAAGGGAGGCCAGGAGAAAGATTGAGATGAGCTTGTATCTAGGCGTTACAAAATAATACACAGAGAAGCAAAACAGATGGTTGATAGGTTTACATAAATGTAGGATATGAAGAAACCTGGATTGTGTGACCCCAGGAATCTGCTCTTTCACTCAGAGACCCTGAGAACCTGTTTTTTGACAATAAAGCTGGAATAAAACTATTAATCTCAGCTTAAACTCATTTATTTGTAAAACGTGCATTGATGGCTTACCTGGTATTGTTAATTTGGACCTATTCAAATATCTTTATATATAGCGTACATTTTGAATGTGCTATTCTTTTATCTTTAAACACACAGATGGCATTCGGCTGTGGGACATGGCTTACTCGAGCCTTCTTGAAATCCACTCAAGCTACGTGAGTCCTGCCTTGTCACTGATGACAGATTCAGTTGACAAGGTACATTGATGATTACAATATATTTATATATGATTCCTTTTCCTGAATGTGAATCCATTGTGTCATGTCATCCATTGTGTCATTCTAATTACATTCAGGAGAATGTAATTAGAAGGCCAGTTAGAAACATAGACACATAGAATGTGACGGCAGAACCATTCGGCCCATCTAGTCTGCCCAATTTTCTAAATACTTTCATTAGTCCCTGGCCTTATCTTATAGTTAGGATAGCCTTATGCCTATCCCACGCATGCTTAAACTCCTTTACTGTGTTAACCTCTACCACTTCAGCTGGAAGGCTATTCCATGCATCCACTACCCTCTCAGTAAAGTAATACTTCCTGATATTATTTTTAAACCTTTGTCCCTCTAATTTAAGACTATGATAGTTTTAGTAAAAGTATAATGGACACCTGGTTATATGACCTCTTTCTGTATGACGGCAGCAGACATTTGTTGTTCAATGAAACACGTTTGGTGTCCTGCACTCTGTCTCCTAATGCACATCTATCTTTTGACCAGTGTCAGTGTATACGGAGTGAAAATGCCATGCAGTGCTACTATGTTGTTCATATGACAGTTTGTTTGATGTGTGATTGGCACAAAAAAAATTTAATATACAGCTTATTGGGTTGAAGTGATAGGATATCTATAAAGAAACTTTGTGTTATTTCATTAAACTGTGGGTAAATCACAACATGGAAATTGCAAGTTTTAAACCATAAAAACCGAACTGAAAAAATAGCCCTAATAGAAATGTTTTATAATTCAGCAACTTCGGCATTAAAGATCATTAAAGATTAATGTTCAGTTTTCTAATCACTACCATGTTGCACTATTTGGTGCGTCCCATTATGTGGTTAAGTTAAGAAAGTTCTGAATAAGAAGTAATAGAATACATGGAATATATATTAGTTGCTTGTCATTAATCCACCTGTGTCACCCCCACCATTGCACAAATGTCAAAGCCGGATCACCTTACAGGAGAGCCACAAGCCCAGCCAGATCACACACGCTGCTTCTACAAACGACTGTTTGCTGATTAGCTCCCTGACATATCTATTATATTCGGAATAAAATAATTCATTTGTATGAGGAATGGAAAGTTTAGAAGTTGCAGATGGGGTAAGTTGTGAGACATGGATTAGATTCTAATTGAGTTTACATGAGTTAGTATATCAGACTCTCAGACTCTCAAAACTCCAGTGTGCACAGTCCGAAACACTGCACGTGTGCTATGGGATGTTATTGGTGTTTGTATGTAGAAATAATGGTGATAGAAAAGTTAATAAGAAAATTTCTTCATAATAATCGATTAGGAAAGCTCACTGAAGGATTCATTTTTCAGTAATAAAAGATTGAAAATAAAACATGCTGTATTCCATGTCAGCACCGTTGACATTGCATTGATCTAAGTAAACACATTGTAGCGTGATGTAAAGTCCTTTTATAATCTTTCTGTTGATCTACTTAGGGCTGATTGCCTAAATGGTGGGTTTTGGCAGAATAACAAGTGAATTGCAAGTTATAGAACAATAATTCGACATTTCATACTAAATGTAGCGGATGGCACCAGGCGACCCTACAAATATACTGTATATACCTGCATTCGTGTATCTGCTGTATTTTCTATGTATTAAAAATAATTGTATTCCTCTGATTGTTCGGTAGTTTCATTCCCTTAGTTTATTCGAATGAAACTACTGAACAACCAGACCTCCCCTGTGTGAAGTGTGTCCTCAATTACCCGTTGCAACATTGTTGCGAACGGGTAATTGAATAGTAAGTAGCCGTCCTTTGTTCTCGGGGGTGGCCGCCATTCGACAAACGAACACGTGGCGGCGGCCGTTTTAAAACTCCCGAACAGCGGTGTTTTGCCGTCAAGTGTCTGGAACTAAAATCGGACACTCGAGTAGGCGAACACCGCTGAGACCTCCACAAACCTGGTCCGTTCGGTTCCAAACTACCGAATGGCCCCTCGTTCGGTAGATAGAAAATACCGAACGAGGGGATTCAGGCGAACCCTCCCTAGCCTCTATAGCTAGAGGTTTTCGTGTATTTTATTCCCTTATGCCAGGACCGACCGCAGGGCCCATTCGCATGGAACCTTATTCGGCTATATCAGTTAGTGCGGTCGGTCATTTTATTCCCTCCATACATTTCCCAAACCCCTGGTCTGATCTGGGTGATTTTTGGATATGTTGTTCACCCAGATCAGGGGTATCCGGGGATGTAGGATTTAAAGAGGTACCCCTACGTTTAGGGGTACATCCAGAAACGGGGGGAATTGGTGTGCTGGATAAGGGGATTATGATGCTGGCTGAGGGGAGGACATGTGTGGGAGGTTACCAGGACAGGATTGGCTACTGTAATAATTACTGTAAATCCCTCCCTTGCATGGGAGCATGCTTTATAAGGAGACTGTGATTAAAGGTTTGTCAGTTATGCTCCTGAAACTGTGTGTCGTCCAGTTATTGGGATTGCTGTTGGGATATTGCTGTATTTTACCTGCTGGAAGCCTTGCCTGTGGATTTACTATTTACTTGTTCCTGAGCCTCACTTGGATTACAAGCGGAGATATCCTGGGTAATATTGCATCTCCGCTACATTGGTTGGCAGTGCTGGGATCCAGACTCACAGAGGAACAAGCCTAAATGGAGTACGGATGGAGATTGATTTTGCCACACTAAAACGCTCCACGCTAAAAGACCTTCTGGAGGCAAGGGGTATACAAGCCAGCAATAAGACAAAAGCGGTACTCGTTACTGAACTGATGGCGGAGTACCGAATGGACGGCGATTCGGTTCCCGAACAGGGGAATTCGGGAGAGACACCGGAACAAAGGGAGTTCCAGAGGCAGGTACAATTTCGGCTGTCTTTCTATGGGGAACACCCTCCAACAGAGATTGTGTCAAAAACGATGACGGAGGTCCAGGAATTTATACTGAGGAGTCAAACTGCGGCCCCAGAACGCAGCTCTACAGTAAATATGCCACAGGAAGGTAAGCCTAAAATACCGTACCAGGCTTTTAAAACATATGTGGAGGCAGAGGAAGATATAGATGCTTTCCTGCAAGATTTTGAGAGACTGTGTGCACTGCATAGAATCAGCGCAGAGGACTGGGTACCTATTTTGGCAGGGAGGTTAACTGGGAGGGCAGCTGAGGCGTACCGTACTGTGCCTAATGAAGAAATACGGAATTACAATAAAGTGAAAGAAATTATATTGGCCAGGTATGCTATAACACCAGAAGCATACCGGCGGAGATTCAGGGATTTAAAGAAGGTAGAGAAAGACTCACACGCAGAGTGGGCATGCAGACTACAACGAGCAGTCTTGGGGTGGGTGCAAGCGAGCAAGGCACGGTCTATGGAGGATGTATTGCAAATGGTACTGCTGGAGCAATTTTATGAAGGAGTAACCAGCGAGGTACAGGAGTGGGTAAGAGACAGAAACCCTACCTCCCTTACCGAAGCAGCCAGGAAGGCAGACGAGTACCTGGATGCACGCAGGCAGCAAAAACCTGCAGCTCCAAAAGTACCTTTTAAAACCTTTGGGGGGAACAACTACACGCCAGCTCTACCAAGACCACTGCCACCACCCCCACCGCCCGCTGCACAGCCACGTTTCCGCCAGCCCACGTCGGGCCCGTGCCACCACTGCCAGAAATGGGGACACTATAAAAGGGAATGCCCCCAGCTGCGGGACCGTTCCACCTGGATTCGCCCCGGCCCACCACCACCACCGGAGAGCAGCCGCAGCCCACCACTACCAGGACATCGTGGCCACACCGTATGGTTCAGCAGTTCCCATCACAACGGTAGAACAGTGGGAGGTACTGCACGAGGCGGATCCAGTCCAGGCTAATGCTGACAACCGCCAGCATCACAGGCAGACCGTGTATCTGGAGGGTAAAGCGGTTCAGGGGCTACGTGACTCAGGAGCCACCATCACCCTGGTAAAAAGTCATCTAGTCTCAGACCAGGCTAAACTAAATAAGACTGTGGCCGTCAGGGTAGCCGGGGGAGCAGTATACCGGCTACCTACAGCAAGGGTACATTTGCATTGGGGAGCGGGGGCAGGGCATGTGGAGGTGGGGTTGATGCCGCAGTTACCGGCGGAGGTTTTGTTGGGGAACGATCTGGGGAGGCTCACATCTGCTTTTGAGCCCCAGACACCCACCACAGGAGAAGCTCACCCTGTGGTTACGCGACAACAGGCCAGCACCCAGGACTACAACACACTCCCGGAGGTTCAGGTAAGAGATCCTTCCCCTTCCCTTGACTGTGTGCCCTGGGCCCCTCCTAACGAATTTGCAGCTGAAGTAGTGACTGACCCCACCTTGCAGGTGTATAGGGACAAGGTGACAGCAGACACTCCTGGGGGGGAGGGCGAAAGGTTTATTTGGGACAAACAGCTGCTATATCGGGAGACGGATAAGAAGGTATCCGGGTCAGACCCGATTGCGATGAGGCAGTTAGTGGTACCTCAGCGGTACCGGGCGGAGTTACTACGGATAGCACATGACATTCCGCTATCTGGACATTTAGGGGTCAGCAGGACCCGATACAGGTTAACCCAAAGTTTCTTTTGGCCGGGGATTAGCCAGGAGGTGCGGAGATATTGCAACACGTGCGATACCTGTCAAAGGGTGGGGAAAAGGGGGGACCGGCGCAAGGCCAAGTTACATCCCCTTCCCATAATCGAGGAACCCTTTAGCAGGGTAGCAGTTGACCTAATAGGACCCCTCAACAAAGCAAGCCCGTCAGGTAAAAGATTTATCCTGACAGTAGTAGATTATGCCACTAGATATCCAGAGGCGGTGGCCCTGACGAATATACAGGCGGAGACAGTAGCAGAAGCCCTGATGAAGATATTCTCCCGGGTGGGACTCCCCAGGGAGATTGTCTCCGATCAGGGCACCCAATTCACCGCCGAAGTCACGCAGCGCCTCTGGAAGTTTTGTGACATTAAGCCGGTCATTAGTTCCCCTTACCACCCCCAGACGAATGGGCTCTGCGAACGTTTCAACGGTACATTGAAACAAATGCTCCGAACCTTCGCAGAGACCCACAAGGACTGGGAGAAGTTCCTGCCCCACCTCCTCTTTGCTTATAGGGAGGTGCCGCAGGAATCCACTGGGTTTTCCCCATTTGAACTATTGTTTGGCCGCAGGGTACGAGGGCCTTTAGATTTGATCAGAGAGCATTGGGAGGGAGAACGGAGCACTGACGGTACCCCCATCATACCATATGTGTTGGCATTCCGAGACCGCCTTGAGGCCTTAACTCAGACGGTACGCGAGAATTTGCAGGCGGCTCAGACACGCCAGCGCACATGGTATGATCGGGGCGCCAGGGACCGTAGCTTTCAGGTCAGGCAGAAGGTGTTGATCTTAAAACCCGTCCGACACGATAAGCTGCAGGCCGCCTGGCAGGGCCCTTATAAGGTGGTAGAACAACGGTGTGACACCACTTATATAATCGGCTCGTGCGTTGGTACTGGGGGGCGACGCATGCTCCATGTAAACATGATGAAGCCCTACCAGGAGCGCTCTGAGGAAGTGACCGCTATATGTGCGCCTAACTCCGAGGAGTTTGACAGTTTACCTCTCCCGGATCTGCTGGGAGAGGGTCAGTTATCCGGGGACTTAGGGGAAGTCACCCTGGGGGATCGGTTGAGCCCACAGGAGCGGAGCGAGGTACAACAGCTGTTGAGGGAGAAGCAGGATATCTTCTCTAATGTACCTGGTTACACTCCTCTGGCCACTCACAGAGTAGACACCCCAGGGCAACTTCCCATGCGTCAGACCCCGTACCGCATCCCAGAAGCGGTACGGGCGAACATGCGCAAGGAGATCGATGAGATGCTCCAGCTGGGGGTGATTGAGCCCTCCGACAGCCCCTGGGCATCTCCGGTAGTACTAGTACCAAAGCGGGACGGCACGACCCGGTTTTGTGTAGACTACCGGAGATTAAATGAGAAGACGGTATCTGACGCCTACCCCATGCCCAGGATAGACGAACTCCTGGATCGGATGGCGAGGGGGCACTATCTCACCACGATTGACTTGTGCAAAGGGTATTGGCAAATACCCTTGGCGCAAGACGCCATCCCTAAGTCGGCCTTTGTCACCCCATTCGGCTTGTACCAATTTAAGGTCATGCCGTTTGGGATGAAAAACGCCCCGGCTACTTTCCAGCGGATGGTGGACCGCCTCCTGGATGGGTTCCAGGAGTATACCTGCGCATACCTGATGATATTGCCATTTTCAGCAATACCTGGCAGGAACACCTGACCCATATAGGAGCGGTCCTAGACAGGATTAGGGCCGCTGGTTTAACACTGAAACCAGCCAAATGCAGCATAGGTATGGCTGAGGTACAGTACCTAGGTCATCGGGTAGGATGCGGCAAGCAAAAGCCGGAACCAGCCAAAGTAGAGGCTGTAGCTCAATGGCCTACCCCTAGGACTAAGACTCAGGTGTTAGCGTTCCTAGGAACGGCCGGATACTACCGGAAATTTGTCCCGAATTACAGTGCCCTGGCCAAACCTCTCACCGACTTGACCCGTAAAAACCTACCCCGCCAAGTAACCTGGACCCCGGAGTGTGAACAGGCATTTCAGTTGTTGAAAGATGCATTGACAAATGCCCCTGTCTTGGCAGCTCCCAATCCAACTAAACGTTTTCTTGTCCACACAGACGCTTCTATGTTTGGATTGGGAGCAGTATTGAGCCAAGTCGGGGCCGATGGCGGAGAACATCCCGTGGCTTACATCAGCCGGAAACTGTTACCTCGAGAAGTAAGCTACGCCGCCATCGAGAAAGAATGCCTGGCTGTGGTGTGGGCCCTGAAGAAATTACAGCCATATTTGTACGGACAAGCTTTTTCCCTGCTCACGGATCACAACCCGTTAGTATGGCTAAACCGGGTGGCTGGGGACAATGCCCGGCTGCTGCGCTGGAGTCTGGCGCTGCAGCCCTTTGACTTTAATATCCAGTACCGCCCGGGTAAACAGAATGGAAATGCTGATGGGTTGTCTCGACAAACTGACCTAGAGAAATGATCCGTGAGCCTCCCCGGACATCCCCAAGCCGATCCGTGTTGGATCAGACTGTGTATGCCGGCTTGTGGGCAAGGGGGAGCAGTGTAGCGGATGGCACCAGGCGACCCTACAAATATACTGTATAACCTGCATTCGTGTATCTGCTGTATTTTCTATGTATTAAAAAGAATTGTATTCCTCTGATTGTTCGGTAGTTTCATTCCCTTAGTTTATTCGAATGAAACTACCGAACAACCAGACCTCCCCTGTGTGAAGTGTGTCCTCAATTACCCGTTGCAACATTGTTGCGAACGGGTAATTAGTAAGTAGCCGTCCTTTGTTCTCGGGGGTGGCCGCCATTCGACAAACGAACACGTGGCGGCGGCCATTTTAAAACTCCCGAACAGCGGTGTTTTGCCGTCGAGTGTCTGGAACTAAAATCGGACACTCGAGTAGGCGAACACCGCTGAGACCTCCACAGCCCTGGTCCGTTCGGTTCCAAACTACCGAACGGCCCCTCGTTCGGTAGATAGAAAATACCGAACGAGGGGATTCAGGCGAACCCTCCCTAGCCTCTATAGCTAGAGGCTTTCGTGTATTTTATTCCCTTATGCCAGGACCGACCGCAGGGCCCATTCGCATGGAACCTTATTCGGCTATATCAGTTAGTGCGGTCGGTCATTTTATTCCCTCCATACATTTCCCGAACCCCTGGTCTGATCTGGGTGATTTTTGGATATGTTGTTCACCCAGATCAGGGGTATCCAGGGATGTAGGATTTAAAGAGGTACCCCTACGTTTAGGGGTACATCCAGAAACGGGGGGAATTGGTGTGCTGGATAAGGGGATTATGATGCTGGCTGAGGGGAGGAGATGTGTGGGAGGTTACCAGGACAGGATTGGCTACTGTAATAATTACTGTAAATCCCTCCCTTGCATGGGAGCATGCTTTATAAGGAGACTGTGATTAAAGGCTTGTCAGTTATGCTCCTGAAACTGTGTGTCGTCCAGTTATTGGGATTGCTGTTGGGATATTGCTGTATTTTACCTGCTGGAAGCCTTGCCTGTGGATTTACTATTTACTTGTTCCTGAGCCTCACTTGGATTACAAGCGGAGATATCCTGGGTAATATTGCATCTCCGCTACACTAAACTTTGCGGTTATCTCCTATACCATCTGTTCTGATTATGGTAATCTCCTATACTGTCTGTTCTGATTGCGGTATTCTCCTATACCGTCTGTTCTGATTGCGGTAATCTCCTATACCGTCTGTTCTGATTGCAGTAATCTCCTATACCGTCTGTTCTGATTGCGGCAATCTCCTATACCGTCTGTTCTGATTGCGGTAATCTCCTATACCGTCTGTGCTGATTGCGATATTCTCCTATACCGTCTGTTCTGATTGCAGCAATCTCCTATACTGTCTGTGCTGATTGCGGTAATGTCCTATACCGTCTGTTCTGATTGCGGTAATCTCCTATACCGTCTGTTCTGATTGCGGTACTCTCCTATACTGTCTGTTCTGATTGCGGTAATCCCCTATACCGTCTGTTCTGATTGCGGTAATCTCCTATACCGTCTGTTCTGATTGCGGTAATCTCCTATACTGTCTACCGTCTGTTCTGATTGCGGTTATCTCCTATACCGTCTGTTCTGATTGCGGTTATCTCCTATACCGTCTGTTCTGATTGCGGTAATCTCCTATACCGTCTGTTCTGATTGCGGTAATCTCCTATACCGTCTGTTCTGATTGCGGTAATCTCCTATACCGTCTGTTCTGATTGCGGTATTCTCCTATACCGTCTGTTCTGATTGCGGTAATCTCCTATACCGTCTGTTCTGATTGCGGTAATCTCCTATACCGTCTGTTCTGATTGCGGTATTCTCCTATACCGTCTGTTCTGATTGCGGTTGTCTAGGTATACCGTCTGTGCTGATTGCGGTTATCTCTATACCCGTCTGTGCTGATTCGCGGTAATCTCCTATACCGTCTGTTCTGATTCGGTATCCTCCTGAACCGTCTGTGCTGATTCGCGGTAATCTAGGTATACCCCGTCTGTGCTGATTGCGGTTATCTCCTATACCGTCTGTGCTGATTGCGGTAATCTCCTATACCGTCTGTTCTGATTGCGGTAATCTCCTAGACCGTCTGTGCTAATTGCGGTAATCTCCTATACCGTCTGTTCTGATTGCGGTAATCTCCTATACCGTCTGTTCTGATTGCGGTAATCTCCTATACCGTCCGTTCTGATTGCGGTAATATCGTATACCGTCCGTGCTGATTGCGGTAATCTCCTAGACCGTCCGTGCTGATTGCGGTTATCTCCTATACTGTCTGTTCTGATTGCGGTAATCTCCTATACCGTCCGTTCTGATTGCGGTAATCTCCTATACCGTCTGTTCTGATTGCGGTAATCTCGTATACCGTCTGTGCTGATTGCGGTTATCTCCTATACCGTCTGTGCTGATTGCGGTAATCTCCTATACCGTCTGTTCTGATTGCGGTAATCTCCTAGACCGTCTGTGCTGATTGCGGTAATCTCGTATACCGTCTGTGCTTTGATTCTTGTTGATTTGCTCCTATACGTCTGTGCTTTGATTCGGTATCTCTAGACCGTCTGTGCTGATTCTTGTTAATCTCTATACCGTCTGTTCTGATTGCGGTAATCTCCTATACCGTCTGTTCTGATTGCGGTAATCTCCTATACCGTCTGTTCTGATTGCGGTATTCTCCTATACCGTCTGTTCTGATTGCGGTAATCTCCTATACCGTCTGTTCTGATTGCGGTAATCTCCTATACCGTCTGTTCTGATTGCGGTAATCTCCTAGACCGTCTGTGCTGATTGCGGTTATCTCCTATACCGTCTGTGCTGATTGCGGTAATCTCCTATACCGTCTGTTCTGATTGCGGTTATCTCCTATACCGTCTGTTCTGATTGCGGTAATCTCCTATACCGTCTGTTCTGATCGTGGTAATCTCCTATACCGTCTGTTCTGATTGCGGTAATCTCCTATACCGTCTGTTCTGATTGCGGTAATCCCCTATACCGTCTGTTCTGATCGTGGTAATCTCCTATACCGTCTGTTCTGATTGCGGTAATCTCCTATACCGTCTGTTCTGATTGCGGTAATCTCCTATACCGTCTGTTCTGATTGCGGTTATCTCCTAGACCGTCTGTTCTGATTGCGGTAATCTCCTATACCGTCTGTTCTGATTGCGGTAATCCCGTATATATGAAGTTTACACAGTGAGGGCCAGTCAGAGTAACATGCTGCCCATTTACAGATATTTTGATGTGACCATAAAACATGGTGGATTTGGTAACCATGGTTACAGCCAGACAGGTTTCTGGGCCTCAGTGACCTGAGACACTGTCTGACTAACACCCCCACAACTCCCAGCCAGGCTGAGGGCAGTGTTGGAGAGCTCTGACAGGAAGGCAGGCAGAGGCTCCCATAACAGACACTCTCAGTCAGTGACGTCACGGCCAAACTGCCGAGCGCTACACGCTAGAGACTAATTCACCAGGTACCATTAAACTCATCGGAGTAGCATTAAACGAGCTGCAGATCTATACCAGCCTCGGAATGTATTTGCTAGCCGGTGTTTAATGTGATTTTAATGCAATCTGACAGCTCTGAGTAATGGTTATCGGCGGCCGCCATTTTCTCGGAGACCAAACCTGCGTGTTATGGACTCCGGCAACATGTCTCCAGGAACACGGTAGCACTGTTGCCATTGCCTTCTCTCTCTAGTGTTTGGGACTCAGCGCAGGCTCTCTGCGGTTAGGTGAAACCAAACGTGATAGCGAACGGGGGGAGGCAGTTTTATATTTGTTGGATGGAATAAGTCCTGTGCCGGTATTATATGATTAAACCCTCACAGATATGACAGGTTTCTGCAGACATTCCGCCTGACACAGTGTCCCCCGCCTGGCTCGCTGTGGGAGCTCCCCCCCCCCATGTCTCTCGGTGACATGGTACGGTCCGGCCGGTAGCTCAGCTGGGGCTCCGGGGGATCGGGGGCTCTAAAGACATGGCAGGGCACGGGGATGGGCCCCTGGGGGCCACAGAGCTATACTATGCAGTGATGAAGGAGAAGCTGCAGTGGGTGAGTGGACAATCACTGGGATTCCTGCTACAATGGACTACATCTCCCATCATGCACAGCCACAGGTTACTCCATTACTGTGATACTGTCATCATCAGCCCCTGCTACTAGCCTGGCTGGGCATCATGGGAGTTGTAGTGCTCAGCAGCTGGTGTGCCATAGTGTATCCCTTTTCTGTAATACCTGCTTCTAGCCTGGCTGGGCATCATGGGAGTTGTAGTGCTCAGCAGCTGGTGTTCCATAGTGTATCCCTTTACTGTAATACATGCTTCTAGCCTGGCTGGGCATCGTGGGAGTTGTAGTCCTCAGCAGCTGGTGTGCCATAGTGTATCCCTTTTCTGTAATACCTGCTTCTAGCCTGGCTGGGCATCATGGGAGTTGTAGTCCTCAGCAGCTGGTGTGCCATAGTGTATCCCTTTTCTGTAATACCTGCTTCTAGCCTGGCTGGGCATCATGGGAGTTGTAGTCCTCAGCAGCTGGTGTGCCATAGTGTATCCCTTTTCTGTAATACCTGCTTCTAGCCTGGCTGGGCATCGTGGGAGTTGTAGTGCTCAGCAGCTGGTGTGCCATAGTGTATCCCTTTACTGTAATACCTGCTTCTAGCCTGGCTGGGCATCGTGGGAGTTGTAGTGCTCAGCAGCTGGTGTGCCATAGTGTATTCCTTTTCTGTAATACCTGCTTCTAGCCTGGCTGGGCATCGTGGGAGTTGTAGTCCTCAGCAGCTGGTGTGCCATAGTGTATCCCTTTTCTGTAATACCTGCTTCTAGCCTGGCTGGGCATCGTGGGAGTTGTAGTCCTCAGCAGCTGGTGTGCCATAGTGTATCCCTTTTCTGTAATACCTGCTTCTAGCCTGGCTGGGCATCATGGGAGTTGTAGTCCTCAGCAGCTGGTGTGCCATAGTGTATCCCTTTTCTGTAATACCTGCTTCTAGCCTGGCTGGGCATCGTGGGAGTTGTAGTGCTCAGCAGCTGGTGTGCCATAGTGTATCCCTTTACTGTAATACCTGCTTCTAGCCTGGCTGGGCATCGTGGGAGTTGTAGTGCTCAGCAGCTGGTGTGCCATAGTGTATTCCTTTACTGCAATACCTGCTTCTAGCCTGGCTGGGCATCGTGGGAGTTGTAGTCCTCAGCAGCTGGTGTGCCATAGTGTATCCCTTTTCTGTAATACCTGCTTCTAGCCTGGCTGGGCATCATGGGAGTTGTAGTCCTCAGCAGCTGGTGTGCCATAGTGTATCCCTTTTCTGTAATACCTGCTTCTAGCCTGGCTGGGCATCATGGGAGTTGTAGTGCTCAGCAGCTGGTGTGCCATAGTGTATCCCTTTACTGTAATACCTGCTTCTAGCCTGGCTGGGCATCGTGGGAGTTGTAGTGCTCAGCAGCTGGTGTGCCATAGTGTATTCCTTTACTGCAATACCTGCTTCTAGCCTGGCTGGGCATCATGGGAGTTGTAGTCCTCAGCAGCTGGTGTGCCATAGTGTATCCCTTTTCTGTAATACCTGCTTCTAGCCTGGCTGGGCATCGTGGGAGTTGTAGTGCTCAGCAGCTGGTGTGCCATAGTGTATCCCTTTCTGTAATACCTGCTTCTAGCCTGGCTGGGCATCGTGGGAGTTGTAGTGCTCAGCAGCTGGTGTGCCATAGTGTATTCCTTTACTGTAATACCTGCTTCTAGCCTGGCTGGGCATCGTGGGAGTTGTAGTGCTCAGCAGCTGGTGTGCCATAGTGTATTCCTTTACTGCAATACCTGCTTCTAGCCTGGCTGGGCATCGTGGGAGTTGTAGTCCTCAGCAGCTGGTGTGCCATAGTGTATCCCTTTTCTGTAATACCTGCTTCTAGCCTGGCTGGGCATCATGGGAGTTGTAGTCCTCAGCAGCTGGTGTGCCATAGTGTATTCCTTTACTGTAATACCTGCTTTTAGGCTGGCTGGGCATCATGGGAGTTGTAGTCCAAAACAGTTGGTGTTTGCCCATCCCTGCCATATTTACCAACATTATCTGTCATTGTGTGCAGCCAGGACCTGGGTCACTTGGTCAGATCTGGGCTGCTGGCTATTTAGCAATTGGCCCCTACAGTGGGTTCAGTTATATGTGTTTATATATTATTGATACAGTTTGTTATCTAAAGGGTTTAAAGGAAACTCACCGCTGTATCTCCTATAAGTTAATAATAATATTAACTAGTATTTGTATAGCACCTTTCTCCCAGTGGGACTCAAAGCGTTTTTCAGCACACGCTCTCATAATTAACCAAATCGGCAGCTGAATAGTACTAGATGTTATTATTGTTGGCCCTGGACACTGTCTTAAAGGAACATTACAGGCACCATACCCACTACTGTGCATTGTAGAGGCTATGAGGGGTGCACCTTCCATTGTAACGAGTCAAAACATTTTAGAATGGCTTCAGTACCCGGCCCCCTCAGAATCTCAGAGAAAGAGGAAAGACTGGATGGGGTGCGGAAAGCATCTTAGGTGTTAAACCTTTCAAAAACGGTGCCCAGCGGGACTGCATTCTGTCTGTCTGTCTGTCTGTCTGTCTGTCTAAATGTCTTACAGCAGAAATAAGCGATGAAATGACAGCATACATTTTTCTTGATTTCCTAGTAGCTAAAGGTTAGCGTGGCTTGTAGTTAATAACGCAGCGTTACCTATTTATTACCTGTGACCTTGAGGAAGACCCGAACGGGTCGAAATGTCGATCAGATGGATGTTAATTATTTGATGAATTAAAATTCCAGTTTATTTTACAAGGACCACAGAGTACATCTCTACTTTCAGAGTGCATGTCTACTTTCACATAATATATATATATATATATATATATATATATATATATATATATATATATATATATATATATATATATATATATATATATATATATATATATATTTTTTTTTTTTTTATTATTTAATGAAGAAGAAAAACCCAGAGAAATTGTGAAATTTTAAATGAACAATCTAATCCAAATGAAATATTTCTAAAATACAATTTGTGTTTTCGTAGGTTGTCTCTTCTCTCCCGGATGATCTCCAGCCTGGCTCGGATTTCTATGGCTGCTCCTGGGAAGTGGTGATCTCTACGGCCGTGCTGGGATTTCTTTCACTGTTAATGTTTACATGCAGAACCGTGCGCTCTGTAAGTAACGATAAGGTGTACGTGTGCCTACGTTCTTTATGGCATGTGTAAAGACTTGGTCCTGCCTTTCTTCCTCCGCGTTTTACCTTGTAGGGAGTCACGGCCAGTGACCGTACATCACGTATGTCAGTGTATCAAAATGGAGAGGATGTGAAGCTCCCAATAACAATCTATTAAAGAGGAAATGTTCATTTCCTCCATCCTTTTCTTCAGAAATTGCTATTGCACACTTACATGGGGTGAGGTATGTTTAAACACTTACCTTCACTGTTGGAAAGTGCACATAGGGCATGTTCTCCCATGAGTTCCTGGATGTTTGGACGTAGCTGGGAATCATGGGACATTTTAAATTGGCATTGGATGCCAGGCACAGCTTTACATTCAATACAAATTCAGATTAATACAAGTGTTTTGTGTGCACACAGTAGAGGGTGGATTTAAAAGCCCATATGATGTTAATGCATTATAAATGTGGCGTTGGCTGCAGCTATTGTAGACTAACTTCTCATGTTCCTCGGCCATCCTTTATCTGGTAAAGATTAGCCATTCCTGGCAGAGCACGTTCTCTCCTCTTTATTTAAGCTGTTATGGGTAACGTCTCTTTGATGTGCAGGAAATCCTGTTCAGCCTCCCCGCACTTTTGCAAGTTTTGTTGATTGTATTACAGCTGATCTGTTTAAAGAAGTGGCGGTGACGATGAAGAGGGAAATAAATTCAATACTTTTAATGTCACAGCTCTTATTGACTTTTAATTCTAGATTTGTCTTTTTATTTTCTGTATGTTATTAATGTTTCTATAAGTAAACACAACTCCATTAATGCTTGTTCGTTTAAGTCTGTAAGTGCTACAAAGCTTGTGTTGATAAGGTCTTGGTAGATAAGAGTTATAAAAAAATATATATATATATATATTCTTCAAACTGAGCTCAGAAGGAAGCAGCCACAGCTGGATAAGTGCAGTGTCGGAAGGAGGGCATCTCCCCTCTCCCCCCCCCCAGGGATATCACACTACATATGCTGCTGGCAGTAACGTTGGAGTGGGAGAGATATGACAAGGGGATAGAAGATTTTAGGATGACGGTGAAAGGAGTACCACAGACATGACATGGTTCATATAACTGGCCTCTGTATCCAGATAAAGTGTTATACTGCGTAACGTGGGGTTTAAGGAATCATGTTAATGTTTAATAAAATATTATTATCTTGGTGTTTGTTTTGTTTAAAAGCAAGGTGATATATCCATTTTTATTCTTCTTTATGTTGCCATCTAACCGTTTTCTTATATTTTTTTTTCCAGGTTAAAAGCAGATGCTATTACAGTAAGTCTACTCTGATTCATGCCCCCTTCTGGTCTTAAACTAGTGACTGCAGACTTTGTCGCTATTTTCTACCGTTTCCTGATTCCGTAATTCTCCATCAGTCTAGGGGCTTTAGTGCCTCCTCACCAGAAGGGACCTTCTTACTGCTGGGAGTTGTATGTGAAATAATTAGCTCAAGATAAAAAAAACAAAACAAAAAACACCAGTGGAACAAATATAAGAAACTAGAATGGCCATCTAGGATCTAAGTGTATAGTGTCCAGGTCACAACGCCCTGATATTGAGATGTGCAAAGTGGGGATTTAACCTGCGTGTTCGAGAGACCGCATGGAGATTAAAGAAACATCCCCAGACTGTGCCCATGAACGCAGGCATTCTGGTTGGCTATTTGAGTTAATGTAGTGGAGGGATACATTCATGGCAGCCTGCCCTCTTATTAAAGGCACAATATTAACACATTATAGTATAAAGGGGAATTGTTTGACTACTCAGAGATTAGGTCAAACTGTTATGTTTGTTTAATATTTCTATCACAATGTATCCTGGTGCTATATGTTGGTGGAAGCTGCCATCTTATGCTGTGTGTGCCCATGCCAACCGGTTTGTAGGATACTGACTGGCATAAAAGGGGAGTGTCGGACCAGATCCCTCAAAATGGCCGGGCTCAGGTTTTCGGTTTGTTTGGCAGAAGTAGATTTTTTTTTTTCTTTCCCCCACTGACCTGCATTACATATTACACACCAGGAAACAATAGAATTGTGTCTGCTGAGAACATGTTACAAACTCCATTACATCAGTTCTCCTTTTTACAGCTGCAGAAGTTCAGGACTTTCACCTTGTAGCATTTCAAGGCCTAACTGTGGCTTTTTGACGGCCTTGTAAAGTTATTTTATTGGCACATTTAACCCTTTCTATATATTTTCATATTTAGACCTCGCACAGGGACATCGTGTCTCAGAGTTATTCACTGGTGTGTGAATAGTTTGGAATTCAAAGTGAACTTCACATTTTCGATTTAAATAGCTGAATTTGGCAAATTTCTTCCAATCCATATTTGGTTCGTTTTCTGTTTGCTATTCATTGTTGTGTAACATTTATGGTGTCTTTTTTTATTTTAATTTACCTCATTTTAAGGTTGATTTAACAATACAAGGTTTTTCACATAGGGTGGTTGGGGGGAATGAAATCTTTGTCTTTTTATGCCGTGAAGTTGTGTGTTGAGATGTGCTTGGATAAATATGTGTCTTAGAAAATGTTGGTCATCAGGTATCAAGGTGAGGAGAGGGTGTTCTGGGGAGTTTTATTTTCTCCCTGTTAATTAGACTTGATTCCCAGAGCTTCCAGGCTTCTCTCCAGAACTTTTTGGGGGGTCTAGCTAGTCTAGCCATAATTTCGTATGTCTTAGTGTTTTGTATCGTTTGGATGCATAGGTTTATGTCTGGAGAGGCCTTGGAGAGCCAGGCCCTGCTGATTGTAGACAGAGCTGCTGCTATGATGTGATAAGAGAGGTATTTTGCAGCTTTTGTTATGTCTTTTGGGAGGAGTTGTAATAAGTAGGTCTCCGGGCGTAATGGTATTGTTACACCTGCTGAATCCTTTATTAGTTTCCCAGAACTGATTCTCAAGCACGTCCACCATATGTGGTACATAGTACCTGGTGCTGATTTACACCTCCAGCACAGATCTGATTTGTCAGAGTTCATGTGTTTGAGCCGTGTGGGCACCATATACCATCGGTAGAGGATCTTTCTGGTTCGTTCTATATGTGAAGTACATAGGGTAAGTGTCTTGTTTGCTAGATAGATTTTGGACCACTGTGTTTGGTCCAATGTCTTTTTGAAGTCTGACTCCCATGCTTTAACAAAAGAGGGTTTCCCGGTGTGAGGTTGTCTTGTAATGAGTGCATATAGTGATGAAATGATTTTAGTGGGGGTCTTTTGTTGAGTACAAAGTTTAATTTGTATTTAATTTGTGGTGTTTGGGGATTTGTCGTCTTGTCTGTTTCGGTAGTCGTCATGGACATTTGCTTTATGAGCCAAGATTTTATTTGGAGGTAGGAAAGGAAGGCAGATTTGGACAATCCAAATGTAGTTTGGAGGTATAGGAATGAGTGTATATTTCGGCCATCTAACAGCTGTTGTACCCGGGTGATCCCGCATGCGGTCCATATTACCGCAGAGAAGGTGGGGAGAAGGGTCGCGACTGCAGTTAGGGGGGTTACCGGTGATATAGAGATCCCCTCTCGGGGCTTTATTTGGTGTATGTCCCACATAGAGAGGGTTAAGGATGTGGTAGGTAGCATGTGGTTGTATTTGGGTCAGAGGTGGTGTGGGAGCCACATAAGTTCTGTGATTGCGTTGTTGTCCGTGTATGCGGCCTCTATATCAAGCCAGGTCGGCTGGGTTTTAAGATGATGTGCAGAGATTAATGGGCTTAGTTGTGATGCTATGTTGGGTACACCTAAACCTCCATCCTTGCATAATCTGTGGAGAATTGTAGCTGCTACTCTAGGTTTCTTGTAGTTCCAAATGTAGTCACTGAAAGTTTTTTGTATGTTTTTCAGATAAATTGGTGGAAGCGCGATGGGTAAAGTGCGGAACAAATACTGTAATTTGGGAAGGAGAATCATTTTTATGGCCGCCATGCGGCCTAGCCAGGATATATATTTTCCTTTCCAGGTGAATAATCGCTGTTTGATTCCTTTGGCTATCACGTCATAATTGGCTTGGAAAAGGAGTTGGGGATTGGTTGGGAAGTCTATACCTAGAAATGTGAGACTATTATTGTCTTATTGGTACGCGTAGTTAGCTTTCAAAGTGCAAAGTGTCTTGTCTGGCAGGAAGAGGTGCATTGCTTTTGTCTTGGTTATGTTCAATTTATAATAGGAGCAGGCGCTGTATACTAATGTGTGGGTTTGTAAATGATAGCATTATGTCGTCTGAAAACATCGTGATCTTATGTTCGGTTCTTCCCACTCTAATTCCCTGTACATGTGGATCATTTCGTATGAGGTGTGCCACAGGCAGGGGGCATCCCTGTCTGGTTCCATTTGTGATTGGGAACTCTATGGATTGAAAACCACTGTTTGCTACTCTGGCACTCGGGGTGGAGTACAATGCTGATACTAGGGACATGAATCTCGGGGGAAAATTAGTCCCTGCAAGTTGGGCTTTTTTTTTTTAAATTCCCATTCCCGTCATTACTCCCTCCCCTGAATTTTACTGAGCCCCGGGCCGCATACTCCTATCCGGCTCCCCCCCTCATGCAGGGAGACGGGCAGGCCGAGACGCCCAGGACCCGACTCACTGCCCCTAGTGTTAAATTATCACTCATATCATGTGTTGGTGGAGAGCGTTCTTAGCTAATGAGTTCATGAGGGCTCGGGGGCCTAGGTGACATGAGATGGTGCTGTGAGCCATCAGGCTCAGAATACTTGCGGGTTTTCTCCCCAGGTCAGCGGCTGGTTTTAGCGTTTGGTGGGTGACTTCATCCACTCTAGTCGGAGTCTTCTTGCTCTTGTATTGTCCGTTTGTGTATTTTCTTGCTTGTTGATGCGTGTTGATGGACCGTGGGGAAGTCTTCATGCGGCTTGCTTTTATTCCTGCTTTCACTGAGGATGTGCTCTTTAATGTGAAAATAATGTATGCGGATGAGCATGTCTCTTGGTGTAGTGTCCGGTAAGTAGCGTGGACGTGGGACCCGGTGTGCTCGATCTACTAGGAGCATATCATCAGGTGGTACCGAAGCAGTCCTCTGACATAGGCTGGTAGTTCCGCTTGTGTCACCGACTCTGGCACTCCTCTCAGCTGGAGATTGTTTCTCCTCGACCGATCTTTCAGATCGGCTAGCTTATGTTCTATGAGTGATTTCTTGTCTGCCATATTTTCCACATGGTCCACCAGGTCGTTGTGAGCCGTTGCAAAGTCATCCATTTTGGATTCCATGTGTGCTGTCCTGCAGCCTAGTTCTTGGACGTCCTTGTGGGGGGAGTTCATTGAGTGTTGCCAAGCGGTAATTAGCTTGTGCGATAGAGCATCTATTGCTTTTGTGAGGTGGCTTGGAGTGAGTGTGTCTTCCTTGCCCGAGGTGGTCGGTGAGAGATCTCCATTGTCTGTGTCCTCACCGCCATCTTGGCTGGGCGCCTGACATTCACTCACGGCCTGATTTGATTTTTGGCCAAAGAAATTAAGTTTTTCCGCTTTGGAGGCATTCTTTCTTGCTTTGGGCTGCGACATCTTGATGTCTTATGCTTTTCCCGTTTTCTGTGTGCTAGGATGGCGTCGGATTTTTAGCCCAGATTCCGAAGCTCAGGATTATGCATCCATCTCGTCCGGCGGTTAGCCACGCCCCCCTACGGTGTCTTTATAAGTTTCCCGAATGATTGCGGTCAGTTTGAATTCATGTTGTATTTTGCCTTCTAGGTAGAGAACACAAACTTGGCGATAAGATTGTGGAGGCGCTGAAAGAGAAAAGTGAGGTGTTAGAGAAACTCAGCGTTGTTCAGAAACAGGTAACACAACAAGTTATTTTGTTTGTTTGTTTGTTTTTGGTTGTAGTATCTGAGAATTATCCAAGTGACACAGTGACACCGTGACACGGGGCATTTATTGCCTCCATAGTGTGTGTGTTGGTTTGTTTTTAGTTATAGTTGGTTTGCTTAATTGTTGGCTGAACTTCACTAGTTAGCTAAATGAATATTCTCTAACCGTATAAGGTGAAAATTGTCGGAATTTCAAATTTAAGGTTAAATTAAACTATGCTTCTAGTTTGGTTTACATTGGCCTTAAATTTGCATTGAAACCCCTGACAATTCTCACTTTTTAGTGAATAACTCTGTGACTGTTTAAAGGGACACTGTAGGCACCCAGACCACTTCAGCTCATTGAAGTGGTCTGGGTGCCAACTCCCACCACCCTTAATTATTGCAGTTTTTATAACCTGCAATAATTACCTTGCAGGGTAAGTCCTCCTCTAGTGGCTGTCTACCAGACAACCACTAGAGGGACTTCCGGGTTCTTAGATGACTTTTGGTTGTCTAAATGACGCTGGATGTCCACACGCTATGCGCATTAGGTCTCCACTGCTGGTGGACGTCGGCTGGGGAAGAGCGTTGGCGGAGTCTGACCCAGCGCCGAGGGACATTTGCGCTGGATTTAGCTAAGCGTTTTAACCCCTTCAGCGATGTGGGATGGGGGGCAGGAGGGAGTAGGGCACTCCAGGATTCTCTATAGGATCCCTTTAACCTGATGGAAGTCTCTTATTAAAATCAATAGAGGACACAGGGTAATTGTATTAACTAAAAAGAACCATTTGGTTTGACAGAAGACATGATACAAATCAAGCTTCCTAACTTTTTAGAGTAAGTTCGTATATTTGGATTTAGTTCTGGAGTGCGTTTATTTGAGTATTTTGGATCTGCGAGTCATTATTGCATACAGATGGTACAGGAAGTAGTTTGCTCCATAATGGCATGGAACTTACTGGGTGCATATCTTTACCAATATTCTAACCATTTTCTGTCTGTCAATCCCTTGTAGTATGAGGAGATCCAGGAATCTTTACAAGACTCAAGCCAACAAAAGTTAATCGCCGAGATATCTGATCAAAAGGTAAAGTTTTATTTCACACGACCATTCTCCACAATTCTCAATTTACTAAATAAAATAGTTGGTTTTAAGGGACGCTCTGCCTGTAATGTGTCAAACAGTAACTGTCTTATAGAGCGTATTTGTACAAATCTAGTTTCGAACAATATTTATTTGTAATAACCCTGAATAACGGAGTCCACATTTATCATGTTCAGGTATTGGTGGAAACGCTTCAGGATTCAAACTCTGCTCTGGAGGAGAATCTCAGTAAAATTGAAGAAGAGCTGGAAAATGAGAAAAGACTGGGCTCAGAGCTTCAGGATGCGGTAATGATCGTTCCTCTGGGTGGGAAGTGCTGCGCAGTCCGTACATTCCCCAAATATATTGAAGAAGTGAATCTGGGATAAAATGGAAATGGATAAATAGAAATATTAACTAGCCGACAAGTGATCCGATGGGATACATTTTTTTTTTTTCCCCACCCTCCCGTGATTGAATAACTGCTCAATGTAAAGATCCCAGGAGCCCCTGTATGTAGAGTCTGAATTGTCTGAGACATCTCCTATTCTCTGCATACTAGGGTATTTATATATATATATTTATTTAATCTCTCTATTACTAAAGATGAGGGTGGTGGGGGGTCTTTCAGCCTCTAATATCCCTTGTAACCTCTAGTTTTTTTTGTTGTTTTTTTATGGAATTCAGTGTCACAAGCTGTTGTTATTGCGGAGTTGGTGAATGCATTCTTTTTGTTTTACCAGTTTAATAAAAATATAATGCGTGTCTCAGTTTTAAGACGTTTCACTATTACACGGATTCACTTCTGGATTGCTTGAAAAAATTCTGACATGTACACCGTTTGCACTTACAGGTTTCTGGATTAAATGAGAAAATCAGAGATTTGGAAGAGAAATTTAAGAAGGAGAAATCTCAGAAGGAACAAGTAAGTCTCTTTTTTCCAAGATTAGTAATTGTTTGTGTGTTTCTACATAGATTATAAAGATATAACTCTGAACGTCAGTGTCCATACTGTAACCAACAATTAAGGGAAATTTTAAGAAATAATCTCCAACTTTAGCTTTAAACTACCTATAGGCAAAATGTGAGATAAATATTCGGCCAGGGACTGTTGGTGCAAATTGATTTTGTGAATTAAAATCCACCATACTCAGACTGCAGGGATGATCATAATAAAAATGTTATGTTAATATTTTCCTAAAAATCAAATGACAAATTAAAAATATTAAAGGATCACTATGGTGTCAGGAAAACAAAGCGGTTTTCCTGACACTATAGTGCCCTAAGGGTGCCCCTACCCTCAAAGTTCCCCTCCCGTGGCAGCGTACCTTAATCCAGCGCCGGGCTCCCTTGGCGCTGGTGACATCTCCTTCAGCGCCGATGTCCGCTACTGAGTGGAGTGGAATGCACATGCGCGGCAAGTGCCGTGCGCGCATTCTAACAGTCCATAGGAAAGCATTTCTCAGTGTTTTCATATGAACGTTCTGCACGTTGGATGCAAATTTCGCGTCCAACGTTGCAGATGCGCCTCTAGCGGCTGTCAGGAAGACAGCCATTAGAGGCTGGATTAGCCCTGCTATGTAAACATACTTTCTCTGAGACTGCTATTTTACATGTGAAGGGGAGGGACCTGGCACCCAGACCACTTCATTGAGCTGAAGTGGTCTGGGTGACTATAGTGTTCTTTAACTTTAAAATCTGTGAACTCACACTCACTGTGTAGTCAGACATCATGCGTCTTCTTGTTCTGGAAGGTATAGCAGATTTACTGGTTAGTGAAATACAGTAATTGTCTGTTTAGAATTGTTTACCAGGGAACACTAAAGCACTTTTCCTGACATTATTGTAAAGTTTTATTGAGCACCCTGCTACTGTCCGCTCTGAGTGTGACCTATAACTGGCGCAGTTTGTTAAAAATCACACCGCTTCTCAGAGCTGTCAATCAGACGGCCCAGAGTGTGATTTCCGGGCAGCCTATAGCAATTTATTTCCCCCTAAGTTGGACTTGGTTTACTTGGCTATGTAATCACATTCATGGACAATGGCTCTTACAAACAGCTCATTTGGTTGGGAACCTTTTTAATGCAATTATCCCGTGTTTTTTTTATTTTGTGTAATCTATTATCTATATGCATTGTAGTTAGTTGGGTCACCTTTAATCCATAGTTTCTCTATCTGTTGATCATTTTATGGCCTTAGAAAGCTTTTCATTAATTCTTCCTTTCACTTTTTGTTTTCACGTTTGATAAAAAGAGAGAAATTGCTGTTGATCCAATCTTTTGTGTCTGGTTATAATTTCAGTAATATTCTATTGGCTCCTTTATGGAAGTTTAACTCTGTGTAATAGGAATATTTATGGTTTTTGCAGATACGCACAACTCTGAAAGTATTTGAGATCAATCAGGGAAGGCTTGAAACATCTCTCCAAGACTCTCTGGAGGAGAAATCTCACCTGCAAGAAAGCATTAAACAGGTATCTGCTATTCTCTGTGAGTGTGGAATAACCGCTTCACATGGATTTCCTTCTCATTTTATGCAGACAAAGCATTGATTGCATTGTTTTCTTGTCATTTATTTGATTATTCTACAGGATTTTACAACAATGTAAATAGACACAATGAAATATCCTTTCTGTTTATATATTTCAGTTGTCCATTCATTTTGTGCTGTATTTTTATATTTCTTACTGAATCACAAAACCTGGGTGCTAGTTTGAAGTAGAAAATTTAAGGAAAAATATCCAGCACACTGTGGATGCACTTGTAATATAATGTCCCTTTAGAACTGTGTCCTGCAACCTTTTAGCACCCGAGGCCCGGCAAAAAGAGGACAAATATTTTGTGGACCGGCATCAGACAGAAATAAAAACGAATGGTGTGTGTGATGGTGCTGTGTGTGTGTGTGTGGGGGGGAGGGGGGGGGCGCGCTGTGTGTGTGTGTATGGGTGGGCAGTGTGTGTCAACGCTGCGAGCTCGCGAGAGAACCTGGCGAAACGGCAAGTTAGAGCTCCCCGGGTCCCCTCTCCCTCCCTCCCCTGCCGGCTGCCGCATTACACTGCTAGCGGGCCGGAGATGGAGATCTCTGATCTCCCCTCCGGTCCTTCAGGCACGGTTTGCGGCAACTTATTGCCAGTCCGCGAAGGTTTTCACCCGACTATACCGTCGGGTGAAAGCTTTTGCGGACTGGCAATAAATTCTTGCGGACCGGCTTTAGAAGACCTCTTTGACTGACTATGAAAGCACCATAAGTGCCTAGTTTGTTTGTTTGTGTTCCACTAAATATTTTTAAGCATACTTCCCTATGAATTCAAAGTATGATCTTTACCAATGGTAAATATGAAACTTCTTTGTGCTTGTGTTTTCAGCTTTCCAAAGAAGCCGAAGGATGGGAAGAACGTTTTAGCGAACTTTCAGAGAATTCACGCATGCTGATCTCTTCCGTAGAGGTTATGCAGCAAGACCTGAGCAACAAACAGAGTCAGATCAAGGTATGCATTGGTCAAACCTTTTCACCAACATATGGATCGTGTTTCATATCTCGGATTACTGGGATCACAGTAAAAAAAAATGTGTGGAATGCAAACAAATCCTGCATAGATGATTTCTGTTGCAGACATAAAATAACGAAGGCAGGATTGCTCCATAACCTTAATTAATAAATTAGGATATTTAATATGTCCACAAACGTTTACACCATAGATGGTTTTGCACTTCATTTCCATTATATGTCCGCTAACCTGCAGAGTAAAAGCGTCTGGTGTGCTAGGTTTTAGAATGGCAGCAGATTTGGGACAATATAGGAACCACTTGGCAACATGATGGAGTTTATTCAATCATTACCAAATTGAAAACAGGATGTAGGTCAAATTATCCATGTCTAACTGTAGTAGAGGTTTTTAAAATTTCTTTTTTTTTTTTTTCATTTAGCTATGATTTGGTGCTTAGTGAACAAACCTGTATACCTTTTGTTTGTCGATGTGTTGGTTTTGATTGGCAGTAGAGAGGTATGCGTGATAACGAAACCTCTTCTTCTGTAATGCCTTCTCTCTTGCTCTTCACTTAACATAAGCTGGTATTGGCAATTAAAGAACTTCTAACATATGGAAACTCATGGGCAGGACCCTCTACCTGTTGTATCGGTCTGTTCTTATTGTGTTCTCTTTCCCAATTTACAGCGCTGTGGAATATGTTGGCGCTTTATAAATGTCAGTAATATATGTAACCGTTTATGATTTGGAGTGTAGCATGGGGCATACTAAGTGGTTTTTTGGAGATTGGTTTTAAGTCAGAATCCTTCAACCCCCACCTTTTGCAATGTTGCTTGAGGTGGTAATGCACTTCTCAAAATGTATATTATTTTTTTGTTTCTTTCTAGTCGTTAATTGATAGTTTGTTAAAGATGAAGGACTGGAGCTCTGAGGTGGATGACGCGAATGAGGCAGATGATAACACAGCCCTCGATATCAAGTGGGACTTTGAAAATGGGGAGCCCTTAGGTATGTAAAAAGACTACAAAATAATTGTAAGCTAAAAAAAAAAGCTAAAAAAAATCCTTCTATTTAAAGTTAATTCATCTGCTGAATTTCTATTAAAAAAAATAAAAAGGAAAGGGCTGCCATCAGTGGAATGTATAGTATGTTTCTAATTCTCATTAAACCACAACGTTGATTAAGGCATTTTACATACGAAACGTTGTAGTTTTATTGAGATTGGAATAATACTATACATTTCACTGATTTCTGGCAGTCTGTTCCTTTTCATTTATTGTATTGACTGAGGGGTGAGCGGTCCCCTTGGGATTTGGATCCCGTGTGCGACATTCTTTGTTATACTGGATTTCTATAGTTTGCGGTCAGCTGTCTCTAAACCAGGAAGCTGCTCAGCCAATCAAGAGGCTCTCGCTCTATTTAACGGAGCATGGAGTCCTCCTATGAACCCCAGTTTATGATGTAGTTAGCATGTTGTTCAAGGCTGGAATCGCAGCTGCTATTGGCTGTGCTGATTCTTCATTCACAGACATATTGGATGTGACGTGGCTCAGGGTCCTTTAATGTGAGCTTTTAGGGAGCTGATCACTAGGGGTGGGAATTTGTACAATGCATATATTACAAAATGTGGCATTGTACATCATAAGCATACATTAATATGGTGTTTGGAGAGTCTATTTAAACAGTGGTGAGGTTAAAGGTTAAAAAGCATTTTTTTTTTGTTTTCATTTTATCCAGGAGACCCTCAGAAGCGAACCATACAGAAGCTGATCCATGCTGCTATGGTATGACGAAACACATAAAGAGCCCTCCGCTTGTTTGTAATAACTGCACAAACAGATTGGAATGTAGTAGAACCTACAATATTAGCAGGCTTAATATTAGATTGCTGGCCCTTGGGACAAATCCTGCTTCAGCTGAAGAGGACATTAAATTATTTAACAAAGAGAATTGCAGAAACGGGAAACCCCTTAATAAACTTTCTATATGCTCAATATAGATCAATATTTGCTATTTTGTAGAGTTGTAAAATAGTTTGGTTATTTTCCTCCCCTCCACTGTGAGTATTCTACAGATGGCAGGCAACTTCCAGTGAAGTTGTTATGGTTCCCAGAGAGTCCCATTAATGTAGCCTAGCCGGTGATTTAGTTAGACATTAATCAATGACTTGGCAGGATTATTGTATTAATTCTGTAACCAGGATACTTCATTACCTTCTCCAACTACTTTCACTTCTGTTTACGTAGCTGAATGCATCATTAAGAAGTGTTGAGTCTGAAAAGCAGCAGATTTATGAGAACCTCTCAGATGAAGTGAAGGCAAAAGAACAGCTACAGGGTAAGTGAGCATGCCAAACTGGTTTATTAGCTGGCAGTAAAGATTAGTCAGTCTTATCATTAAAACATTTTTTTTAAATTAATTTGCATTTAAGAAGTTCTATGTTCGCCTTCTAGTTCTAAAAGAGCATGCGACTATATGACATCACACATCCTGCCGCCTGCATAGGGGCTGTCTCAAACTAATGTTCTCAATAGAACGCATCAGGGTAGTGCCTGCAGCTAAAAGTTAGAGTGCCCTCAATGATTTGCACTGTGCACACAGCCTCCTGCTACCTGAATTTATTTATAATAAGAAAAAAGTTTCACACACAAAGGTAAAGGTGGTCCAGTGGATTCCAGGCTTTGGTTCTCGGTGTCCTTCAGCTCCTGTGCCATGACATACACACAGTCTGATACTTACTGCTTCTGTTTCTTTTCACAGAATGCATTAATAATCTCCAAAACTCCAAGCAAACTCTGTCCACTGACAACAAGTGCCTTGAAAGCGAGATGGAGATGCTGAAGCAGAAAATTAGCGTAATGTCTGAGATGTACCAAGAAAATGAAACAAAGCTTCACAGGTATGGCTGATCACCATGCTAACGGTACGGAAGTGGGAGAAGGAAAGACATTACTTCTTGGTGGCTTATTTATAGAGAACAAATCTAAAGGAAAGTTCTAACAGTGGAGCCATTAACAGGAAAATTCCACTGGTTTCCTTTGTGACTGCATCACTAGATCTCCCATGATGCACAGAAATTAAGGACATTATTTGGCTGGCTGAGCATCATGAGACTGCTACTGTCGGTCACGAACATGGCACAAAGTGCATATTCAATACTACACACAAACCATAAAATAATTCTAGGTTTCCTTTTCTATTTAGTGTCTCACTGCAGTGTTTTGATATAACTGAATTAATTTAGCATTAACATTTTCAATTTCCTTTCAGAAAACTAACAGTGCAAGAAAATGAGCGAATGCAGAAAGAGGAGAAACTGTCCAAAATGGATGAAAAAGTGAATTTAGCTGCTGGAGAACTTGTCAACATCAAGTAATTCTTTTTATCCATTCAGACAAAAATACTGCTTTTTGGAGAATTTAAATTGCTCATTTTCTCCTCATTGATTGCAGGACTCGCGTAAAAGAACTGGAAGAGGAGATTGAAAAGACGGTCTGCTCCTACCAAAGCCAGGTTAGTTGTGGTGAATACAGACGGTCTGCTCCTACCAAAGCCAGGTTAGTTGTGGTAAATACAGACGGCCTGCTCCTACCAAAGCCAGGTTAGTTGTGGTAAATACAGACGGGCTGCTCCTACCAAAGCCAGGTTAGTTGTGGTAAATACAGACGGGCTGCTCCTACCAAAGCCAGGTTAGTTGTGGTAAATACAGACGTTCTGCTCCTACCAATGCCAGGATAGTTGTGGTAAATACAGACGGTCTGCTTCTACCAAAGCCAGGTTAGTTGTGGTAAATACAGACGGTCTGCTCCTACCAAAGCCAGGTTAGTTGTGGTAAATACAGACGGTCTGCTCCTACCAAAGCCAGGTTAGTTGTGGTAAATACAGACGGTCTGCTCCTACCAAAGCCAGGTTAGTTGTGGTAAATACAGACAGTCTGCTTCTACCAAAGCCAGGTTAGTTGTGGTGAATACAGACGGTCTGCTCCCACCAAAGCCAGGTTAGTTGTGGTAAATACAGACGGTCTGCGAGAAGGACCCAAAGAGTAAAAGTCTGGCCAATACACAATAAAATGAAAGTTGTCTCAAAACTAACAGATTCTCATGATATCCTTAGATCTTACAGTGGTACAGTAGGGTCACTCTGTGTTTTCAAAGTGGACCAATCTCGTGCGTCCCAAACCTCCCATGCTGCTATTGCGGTCCTAGATGGTGGCTATTTTTTATTAAAGCAACATTCCTAGGTGCACTGATTATCTAGGTCCACGGGTAGTGGACAGGGATGGGCGTTGTTGAGATGGCTGTCAACAAGATATGGTATATGAGTTTCTGTTTAAATTTAGGGATGCCTTCAGGGAGAAGCATTGCTAAGTAGATGAGTGGGGGCGGAAGGGCAAAGAATTTGCAGCTGGTCTGAGCGATTTCGGGAAGATTAAATGGTTGTAGCAAACTACGTTTCATTGCCACCCATTGAGGTAGGGGGCCTTTGAGAAAATGAGGCAAGACTGAAGCCATTATGAAGGCATGATATGTTTTAACATCCAGAACTGCTAAACCCCCTGCCTTAGTTTATTGCCTTCATGGCCACTCTAGGTCTAGTGTCTGCCCATATCTAGTAATGTCCCTTTGGACATGTTTAGGAACCAGATTTTAAAGTAAATTTTGTTTTGAAAAAATGTGTATTACAGGATCAGTGTCAGTTAATTCCTAACCATAATCTCTGCGTTTTGCCAGCATAATTACCTGAAAGTGTTTGTTTAGATTAAAGGTGACATTATTCTGGAGTTTGAGTCCACTCTCTGCAGTTGATGTACATGCATCATTTGAAAATCGAGAGCCACAAACTGTGTCCTTTACACGACAGTATATACACGATCTAATAGCCAATGCTGTACACGAAGACAGTAATAAATGCTTACAAAAAATAATCTGCTTAAATGAATAGCCTTATGTACTGGAAACGCGTGGCGTACATAACGTAATACAATAACTACTACTATAAAAAAGGAAAAACATGCACTTTGTACCAAAGACCACGTTTTCATAAATTAAACCCAACATGAAAGCGATAATCTGAAATAGATAACGCTACAAATCCATAATACATGGAGGAAACCGCCATTTAGAACTTTCTTTTAGAAGATCACCAGGATAGCGAGGGTCAGGGTCACATGGATGTGAATGGATAAAAGGAGATTTAAGAAATGTATTATTTTTTTTTTCCTTCAGGTTTCGTCTTACGAAAAGAAATCCCATGACAACTGGGTAAGTTATAATTGTATATACCGAGGATTATTGCGATGTAAAATGATACAATTTGTTAAATCATTATTTCTATTCCGTTAAGTTCTGCTTAATGAGAATCTGTATATTTAACATGCTTTGTAATTTGAAGCTCACAGCCAGAGAGGCGGAGAGACATCTCAGTGACCTTAAAAAGGAAACGGCGCACCTTCGCCAAAAGTAAGTTGTTCATGTTGTAGTACATGTTACACCTGAATGGAGCTTGCTATGTGAATAAACAATATAAATAATCATAATGTGTCTGTGGTGGGATTCATATATTGCCTGCTGAGCTCCCTAATGTAACATGGGGATTGGGGAAGGGGAATAATGACCACCCTCCCTACCCATGTGCATTTAATATTTAAATAGATCTGGAACTCTAATATACAGTCTATAGAGAAATAGGCTTTATAATGCTGTGTAGCCCAGCTGATAGTATGTTATACAATATGTGGCACGGCCCACTGTTACATTGGATCCTGCCAGAACGCTGTGATAAATCTAGTGATTCTCAGACTGGCTATGTGAAGCCCACTCATCCTCTGCAGAGCAGGTATTCATAGTCTGGCTTTGCTATAGGATCCAGGAAAAATATTACAATTCTCATGATCTTCAGATTTTCTGGGTATTGGTTGGGAATCGTACACTAAAACATTGCGTAAATGTCGGCTCTTATTTCATTAAAGCTATCTCTATTCATTATCTCTGCCTCTCACTTCTCAGGTTAACTGAAGCGGAGTACAAGGTGGAACTTATTGAAAGAGATCCCAATGCCTTGGATGTCTTCCATACAATTGGCAGAGGTACGATTTACTATATTATTATTTCTTGCTTTCTCTCATTTGGGAAAATGTAGATCGTCATTATTATTATAATTATGTCATGTAATTATGTGCCATACAACCTTTTATGTAATCAGATCGTATACACTTCCATTGTTAGATTTTATACATATTTAAAGGAGCACTATAGGGTCAGGAACACAAACATGTATTCCTGACCCTGTAGTGTTAAAACCTCCATCTAGCCACCCTGGTCCCCTCTTGCCTCCATAAAAATAGTAAAATCTTACTTGTATTCAAGTCTGGCACTGCAGGCTTTGTCTCTGTTTCCTGTAGACCTGCCCACTGCTTGCTGACCTCAGCAGAAGTGGTAGCCTGATCCAATCACAATGCTTCCCCATAGGATTGGCTGAGACTGACAAAGAGGCAGATCAGGGGCAGAGCCAGCATGATTCAAACACAGCACTGGCCAATCAGCATCTCCTCATAGAGATGAATTGAATCAATGAATCTCTATGAGGAAAGTTCAGTGTCTGCATGCAGTGGGAGGAGACACTGAATGTTTGGATGCATTTTAGGCAGCCATGACCCAGGAAGGATCTCTACCAGCCATCTGCGGAGTGACCAGTGAAGTTATCACTAGGCTGTATGTAAACACTGCATTTTCTCTGAATAGACAGTGCTTACAGCAAAAAGCCTGACGGTAATGATTCTACTCACCAGAACAAATTTAATAAGCTGTCGTTGTTCTGGTGACTATAGTGTCCATTTAAAGAAATAAAAAAAAAAAATATAAATATATATATATAAAAATAAAATATATATATATATATATATATATATATATATTTTATTTTTCGGTGTTCCTGGATTAGATGGGTATAAGGGTATGCAAATATTTTTAATAACTATACTCCAAATACTTGCCTTCATCTTTCATTTCCTGCTATAAATATTCCTTTGAATTTAAACCATATATGTATGTCCAAGGGATGAAGGAAAGGGGAATCTTGGTTTGTATAGCAATTGAAACTTTAATTAAATGAACCTTTTACAGGTACAGTTTCCGGGCTCAGCAGATCTTTAAATAGAGCTGATTTGCAGTAAAACATGTGATTATACCCTCTGTGTATTGGTATAATAATCCTGTCTGCTCTTGAAGGCTAGGATTGGCTGGTCTTGCATTATAGATGGATGTGGCGGTATATCTGCTTTATTGAATGGCCTTGTAAATACTAACATGTTCTGGGAGAACATAAACTCTCTCTTCTGTTTTTCTCTCAATAGCATATGCAGATGTTTATATGAACCACCAAGGTATTAATGTTCATATTCATAGAATAAATACCATCACATCAACTACATTCATTCCTAACATTGTTTGTCCTGTAAATGGTCTTTACTTGGAACATATCCGACCTTTCATATTGTGCTGAATATAAATGTGTGTGTATAGTATGAACGTGCCTTACGGAATCCGATTTTTTTATTTATTTATTAATTATTTATTTTATTATGATGTATGCCAAAGGCGCTTATGTTTAAATAGAGATGAAGTAACAATTAATGTAAATATTTTATTTTCCCCTTAAAATAGCACAGATTGGGCAAGTCATGCAACTTCAAACTGTTCCAATGAGTCTGTAATGACGATCATTTTTTTTTTAATTTTTTTTTTTTTAACTTTAAAAGGACTCAATTAATGTTGCCGTAAAATAGGTTTATGAACAAAGTGAGGGAAGGAGGATAAAATATCACCTTTTTTATTCTAATGAATACCCCCATGCCCAGTCTGCGTGCTTCATCACACTACAAATATTAACAAACATTCCCATGTTTTGTAATGAGTTCTGGGAATAATCTCATTTTCTTTATTGTTCCTAACATGGTCTGTCTGAATCTTTTTAGAGAGCTCTCCGTACGGACATTCCTACTTTAGCCGATTGCATGAAAGCAGAACCTTTCTCTCTCCCCCCACGCTATTAGAAGGCCCCTTGAGAATTTCACCCATGCTTCCTGGAGCGGACAGAGGTAACTGAGAAAAACCCGTTTTCTACTGCTTCTCCTTTTAATACCAAAGAAAGAGAGCGGAGCTTTGCAAGGACCCTCAATGGTGGCTTCATCGCTTGCAGTGCAATGGCCCGGGGGTGCAGGGGAAGATTTTATCTTTCTCAAATACTCCTCTTCTTTTGGTGAAGGGGTTGTTTTGTGGTGCCTGCATGAAATATATTTTATTGTAATTTATTTAAAGGTACACCAATGCACCATAACCATTACAGCAGAGATGGTAGTTTTTCCACCCTGTAGTAGTTATGGTGCTTGGACGTCCTTCGAGTAAGGAAAAGCATCAACTCCATTACAGCTTATTGATGTGGTTATGGTGCTAAACAAACTACTCTTAAGAAAGATATATGATTTATTTTATTCTATAAATACTAATGACAATCAAGCGTATTGCATCAAATGCCTAAATAGTCCTTTGAAGTGACCCCAGCATCTAATTTTTGCCAGGTTCGAGGTCACCAGGATATTACCCAGCATTCCATAGCCGAGAGCAGAGAGATGTAAATGCTGAAAGAAAAGCAGATCACCAACGGACTCTCTCAGATGCTGGTTCGTTGTCGCCTCCATGGGACCGCGAGCAGAAAGCCAGCCTCCCCCCACCAGGTAACGTGGCAGGAACAACACATGAATTGTGATGCTGGGAGTCCAGAGGCCCTTTTTTGACCTCTGATTGGCCAGCTGTTTGATTACATGAAATTTCATGGTTGTCTATAGGTCTGTCAACTAAATCAGGATAAAACCATTGACTCTCAGCTGGCCTTTTCAGGAAAGATTTATCGCAGTGTTCTGAAAAAAAATTCCTTTTAATGAAATGGTTTAAAAAATGGTCTAAAATGTTGGCTTTGCCTGCCTAAATGCCACTATTCTACAAAAGAGTGAATCCGAATGCTTTCCTGGGTGAAGAAATGATGGAACGATTGCATTCATTGATAGTTAGAAGACGTCATATGAAGAAAAAAAAATCCAACAGATTTAACACATTGTGCAGGGAAGGGGTCAACCAAAACCTTAACAGAATGGCTGCAGATAGTTTGGCACTTTAATAAATTCCCCCCTTGGGGGCTAGTTATTTGCATGTCTATTGGCTAGAGGGCCCGCTGTGTTCATCTGTTGAAGACCTGCCTTTTCTGAGATGTTCCTGAAGATATAATTGTATGATAAAACTGTCTATGCTTTGTGTTGGTATTTCTTTGAAGTTTAAATGCAATTAAGAGGAATAGATTGACTTGACTACAAATGCCAATGGCTGTTCTTGTGCGTGTGATGCGAGATGATAATCTATGAGTTATTGAATAAAACTATGGCATATAATAAGTGGAATACTTAGATTTTACTTTATTTTTACTTAATCATGTTTCCTTAATCCAGAACCACTTTTCCAACATCGAAGACCGGAGCGATTGTATCATTATCCTGCACCTTCTGGAAGATTCTCCGGTCCCGCAGAACTCACCAGAAACCAGGGAAAACCATTCCACGACTCAACAGGCAAGTTATTCTGGTTACCCTATAGCTCTTTACAGAATGTTTGTTTGGTGAGTTAAGATGTTCCTAGAATAAAGGTTTCCTAAGTCGGCTCCAGAGAGGTGGACACAAAATTCACAAAGACATAGACAAACATAGCATTCTGTGCTAGGTGTGTGTTGGCAATATGGCCAGCACAAGTGGCTTTCCCGCTGATGCTAATATACTTTTTCTGTGTTGTGGTTAGATGGACAATCTTCTCCAGAATATAAATCAAGCAGGAATGGATCTGAAGAGAATGAGGTATGTTGTAATAATATTAATAGGAAGAAATGGACCTAGAACGTTTATTTTCTGCTATATATCAACATTAATAGGGATTTCTGCTCAGGGAGGGATTTTTTTTAAAAGAAGAAAGAAATAGGCGTTAACTATATATAAGGCAGCAGTGAACCAGCAGGAATTCCCAATACCCGCTAATAGTTACCAAAATTATAAAAACAAAGTGGTAAACCGCACCAAAATAGTGAAATTGATAGATCGGTAATAATTATAGTATATATATATATATATACAGAAAATCCTGTGGTATGGGAATGTATATAACCCTCAAAAAGAAATGAATACAAGACAATAATAGTGCAATACGCCAAACGTATAAGTGCGTAAATAAACTAATAGAAGACTAACTCACACTTTGCAGAGCTACTAAGAGCTCTGCTATACAGCAGGGATTTTTCTTGACTGGTACGATTGTATCTAGGACTTGTGCTAGCCAGTGTATAAATGAGAGAGAGAAATTTTTTTTTTTTTTTTTAAACCTCCTACAATCACATAATGTCTGAATAAGGCTGCCTTGTAGGAATGGTGGGTGTTTAATTTTAGTCTCTATTTGCACCACGCTGGAATCTATATTGCGATCAGCAAACGTGAAGATCATATTTACTTTATATAAATACATCAGCTCTGCTGAAATCAGTCGGCATCTTGCATAATCACTATCACATCCTACTAGAACCTGTAACATTTTAACTTCTCCTGTAGAACCTGCGTGCTTTGCCAAGACCACCAATGGAAGGAGAAGCAATGGAGATGACACATAGCGTCTACACGGGCCATCCGCCTCTTATGAGGATGCCTCTGTTACCAATGGATCCTAGGGGGGCTTTTTTCAGAAGACCGTTCCCTATGCCGCCACCTCCAATGGAGATGTTTGGACCACCCCCTTATCATGGCATGTCGCCAATACCACCACTCCATGCTGCAAGTAAGCAAAAAATTAGGGGTGAAGAACACTAGTAAAGGTACAAAATACTTATCGGGGAGAAAATATCTAATTTACCCAAAAATTCAGGCAATGTTAAGAGTCCTTCATTCTGAGGGGCACTGCTAATTTAGTTAATTACATGTCATACAACAGAATGTTTGTTTCTTGTGAGCAATACAAGTCACCATGAAGATGAGAGGGGTAGTCAAGACAAAATTTTCATTAAAGGAACACTCTGGGTACCATAACAACTTAATCTCAATTAAATTATGGTACCAGTAGGTTATAGGTGCTGTCGTACCTTATTTAAACAGTTTACCCCACAGTTGAGACGGAACCAGTCTGCTCTCTTTAACTCCTTCCAGCAATGGTCTGAGGCTTCTAGGTGGAAGCCTTGAATTATTGGGTGCCCCTTTCAATCTGAAACATTAAATATACAGATTATTTGCACCATCACCACTTCTAAAGTCAGAAGTGGTCCTAGGTGTAAAGTAACCCTTTAACCTATTATGTTTAAATACAGTATCTCAGAATAAATTAAACTTATTAAAACAATTCACGCTATGTCTGGCGAAACAGAAGTACGCTTTACTCTAGGGATCCTTTATCGAGGAAACATATAAGGTATCGTATTCCGCTAGCACAATGCACAGACAAAACACAATAAAGGAAGTGTCATATCATGCACAAGTGATACAATTCCTGTTATTGTAAATGAATGGAACACTATGTTTCACTGTAGTAGTTATAGTGCTTGAAGAGCCAGAAGGTCTTTGAGCGAAGTATCGTAGTGCTTCGCTCAGAGAGCAAGTCTCGGCTCTCTCTCATTTGTAGTGCAGACAGGGGCGACAGACCCCACGTAAGAAGCCACTTACAGCAAGAGGGTGCATTTATTTTAGCTCCATTATAAACATTATTTCCTTTTGTTTCTTATTTCAGTGAGGAGCCCCATGCCAGTGCCGCATTACCCACCCTTCCCAGTGCACGGAGATCAGCAATTCCCTCCGCAACATGTGCGGCCAATGTCCAGAAGTGACCTCCCTCCAGCCAACGCTGCTGCTGTTCATGCACCTCCCGCCAGTGAATCTGTGCCTGAACCTTTACCGGAAAATAAAACTTGACATTGCCTGAAGATTTAATGACTCCAAATACCCAGCACCCCTTAAATAATTAACTTTAATATAAAAATCTTCAGTAGCAGATTTCAGGAAAGTGATTTGTACAAATTTGACAATTGTGAATAACTGGTATGTACATGAAGATTTCCCCCTCCCCCCCCCTTAATTTAAGATAATAGTCAAGAATTGTAGATACATTTTTTTTTTTTTTTTTAATAGAATTAGCTTATTTCTTAAAGCAGAGCTGCCTAACTCATGAACCTCAGTCAGAAGCTGATCCAAACCTACTGTAAATACTGAAGCAGAAAATACTGGTATGGGAGGAGAGAGGATAATTTTTTTTTTTTTTTTTACATTTTATAATGAAAAGAGCAGAGCTATTCTTCTGCTTTACTACTAGTTGTCTTTTTTTTTTTTTCAACCTTCAAATGATGAAATAATTGTAACAGGTAAGAAAACGATGACTTTCCGTCCTGGCTCAGAAATCCGGATCATGCAGATCAATGAGATAGTTTGTATGTGACCATATTATTCTTTGAGTGAGTATTGGAAAGGTCTGTAGGCTAATTTATCATGCTATACAAGTAGATGAGCTGGCGTTGGTGCTCCTGTTTCAAATTAAACTGTTTTTATGATAGGAATTGGTGTAGGTTTTTATTTTTCCATTCAGTATTGCCAGCAGTGTTATTAGAATATAGACTACTACAGAGTATCTATCGCCTGCTGTGTAATGTAAGTAGGGCAAAGTGCAATAATAATCACCCAGCTTACTGCTGTTTGCCAGCTATTTTCTGATCACGTTCAGAGTCGGGTTATGTTACAGGCCAGTAAGCACAGCATTCTAAGGCAGATAAAGAGAGTTTAATGAATTAACTGGACATCGGACACAATCCTTACAAAACCATAATATGGAGCTGTCAAATTTTAATGTCTCTGCTTGTAATGTATCGTGTTTGAATCTGTGAGTGTATAGAGCTGTGTGAATGGATGTAGAGTTAAATGTTTGAAGTGGTTAGGCTAAGGGGGGTGCAGGTTAGAAAGGGGTTAATGTCAGACTTAGAATACATAGGGTGGTAAGAGTATTAAAGGACCACTATAGGCACCCAGACCACAATGAAGTGGTCTGGGTGCCAGGTCCCCCCCTAGTTTTAACCATGCAGCTGTAAACATAGCAGTTTCAAAGAAACTGCTATGTTTACATTGAGGGTTAATTCAGCCTCTAGTGGCTGTCTCCCTGACAGCCACTAGAGTCTGCTTCAGCGGTTCTCAGTGTGAAAAATCGCATTGAACTCACGTTCGATGCCCATAGGAAAGCATTGAGTAATGGGTTCCTATGGGCGGTTTGAATGTGCATTCGGAGCAGACGGCGCTGGTGACCTCTCCTCCCCCTGCCGAGGGAGCCAGGAGCTAGATTAAGGTAAGTGGCAGAAGGGGTCCAGCAGGAGGAGGGGTTATAGTTGTGGTATAAGTGGATTTTAGAATTATAGTGTTTGAGAGAGGTTACATTTAGTATTGCAGTACATGGGGTGTTCATTAATTTTTAACAGTAGTTAAACCCAGGATTAAAGGGAAGGACACAGAGCTGGGACTGCACTGAGTTTTACAACCTCTATAACTGTTCCTGCCGCTCTGATATCAAACACAGGAGGCTGACTGGGCTACAGCGGATGCTGGCCAAGGCTCCTGGCACTTATCGCCACATCAACCCACCAAAGCTGTAAATAGGGCCAGTTGACTACTCTGCCTAATGATCATGTTTTACCGTAATTGGCAGCTTTGCCCTGTGACCCATATTCCCAGTCTCCAGGCTGACTAAGCAGGATAGGAATGGTCCTGAACCCTCCAAGACAAGGCTGGATATTGGTTGTACTGGAGCTGGTTAGATATAGTATGGGCATTGGTTTTGATGACCGGAAGTGCAATATCCAAACATCCTTACATTACCCACTATGATTCACTGTACAGAGCTTTAGCTCACAATCTAATCATCTGTCCTTCATGTAATATGCATTTTTATCCTCTACCTTATTCTGTGACCACATCATTCACAAAGGTCACATTCTGCGGAGAGACAAAGGGACGTATTTTATGTGTCTGGGGGTCTTATAGATGATGCCTTCGCTGTAGCAGTGCCATGAGCAATAAAACCAAAAAATAAACTTCCACATCTGAAACTCCCCTGGTACATTCAGAAGATGAGGCTTAGGCTACCAAAATAATATATACAAGGACTGCATCATTCTGCTAACATGAAATACATTAAAGTAAGCAAAGTAGGGAGTTTATTTTCTCTTTCCATTTAGGAGAATGTGCCAGTAACTATAATTTTATGGAAATTCACACTGGATTAGCTCTGGTTTAAAACCTACTGAGATTGAGGCAGGAGTCACCGAATAGATCCATAGAGCTGGAAGAGATCACAGAAGTGTAGCTTTATAATATTTCGGGATCTCTTTAGGCCACCCAGGGACTGATTTACCTGGAGACTTACAGAACTCTTCATAATAATAAATTTCTTTACCTTTAAATTAGTGCCATCATGAGCAGCTGGTAGAATATGCAGTTGTGATGAAGACAATGTTGTGGGTACTTTTATAGCCATCAATGGGTACCAAGCGAACAGTCTCTCTGGGGTATATGACAAACATAGCTTAAAGGACCACTATAGTGCCCTGAGGGTGCGGAAGGGGTTAAATTTACCTCTTTCTCCAGCGCCGCATGGGGAACTCTCCTCCATATGGCAGTCATCGGCTGAATGCGCATGAGCTGCACGCGCAGCCAGTCAGTCCACGGGAAAGCATTCTCAGTGCTTTCCTATGGACACTGGCATCGTCTCACTGTGAAAATCACAATGAGAAGCGCCTCTAGCGGCTGGATTAACCCTATTATAAACATAGCAGTTTCTCTGAAACCGCTATGTTTATAGAAAAAAGGGTTAATTCTAACTGGACCTGGCACCCACACCACTTCATTAAGCTGAAGTGCTCTGGGTGCCTAGAGTGGTCCTTTAATATCTGCCCATGAAGTCCAGCACTCATTATAGCTAGCACACATTTATTATTTATAAAATATTTTACCAGGAAAGATACATTGAGATTTCTCTCGTTTTCAAGTATGTCCTGGGTACACATATTGAGCTATTGTACAGCACAGAGGCATGTGGTGTTACTTTACCAAAGATACAAGCTACTCGTCTATCTTATAATTCAAAGTCACAGGACTACAAGATAAACAACTACAGCTTAGCAAAACATTTTGGGTGTGTAGATGATGCCCCTGCAATCTCACTGCTCAAGTCTCTGCCATTTAGGAGTTAAATCACTTTGTTTATGCAGCCGTAGCAAGACCTTTCCTGGCAGAGGCTCACAGAGCCAACAGGGAAAAAACATTTTTTTAAATTTTCCATCGGACCTTCCTTGATTTCGAAATGATGTCCTGCAAAGTTAATTAAACACACACGGGGCTGCTGCAGACTCTAGTGAACTATTAGATTATGAAATAAGGAATTATAAATTAAGACACAGAATAAAGGAAACTCAAAAAAACTAAAATTTAGACTCCTATTCACAAAGTGTGTAGGAAGACGCAAGTCACATACACAAAAGCATATCTCAATACTGGAGCACTGGATAGAAGGGAATCCTCAGTACGAACTCATGGACATGTAGGAGAGAAAATAGACCGCAAATAAGTGTAGATTATAAGTAATATTAACCCTGCACTGTAATCAGTTACACTTACAAGTTAATAATGATATAAAGGCATATCATGAAGTATCCTCCACTTATAACAGTTTGTTTATTGATTTATTGAATAAATATTTTTTAGTCACAGTATTCCCCCTATTTTGTTTATTCACCATCAACTGAAGGAGGATGGCTGTGGAGGATACTTCATGATATGCCTTTATATCATTATTAACTTGTAAGTGTAACTGATTACAGTGCAGGGTTAATATTACTTATAATCTACACTTATTTGCAGTCTATTTTCTCTCCTACATGTCCATGAGTTCGTACTGAGGATTCCCTTCTATCCAGTGCTCCAGTATTGAGATATGCCTACTATCAATTTATGCCTGTGAGTGTAATCAAACTAGCAGGGATTTGATGTATTTTGGCTTTACTACTCTATGAGTTTTTATTTTTTCTGTTCTGTAGATCTTTTTTGTTTCCATTATATTACGAGGACTGGGAGGAGTCCTATTTGTTCTACAGTTTGGAACTAATTAGGTATTTGTATACCTGTTTGTGTGTTTGTTCCTCTAATTGGTGATTAGTGTTTTTTGTACATACACAAAAGCAGCTTGATTAAGATAAAGTTGTTTTGGTGCTTAGTGTCCCTTTAAGGCCCATGACCGGATAGGTGTCAAAACAATACTAATGAACAGCACCTTCAGTACACTTTTGTTTGTTTGAGTAAATGTGTATTTTAGTAAAATCTCACTAAATACGACTATAAAACTTCAAAATGGCAGTCAAAAATACAATAAAGGGGAAAATTATAGAAAGCTAAAATTAAAATGCATAAAAATCTCATCATTACTTTGCTAAATAATGAATAATCCACTGAGTGGCAAGACACGTGGTATGCTCCAAGAGGAAACCACTAGAATAATGTGAACCAGCTACAAGTGAAGGGTTTGCTTACAACAAGAATACCAACCTTCTATAGACAAAGGAAAAAAAAGCCGACTCGCCAGTACGGCCGTGCTGTGGTCGAGTAAAGGATAAGCACTAAACAGACTGTTGGCACACAATAGAAAGAGAATCCTGGACATATAGATCCTGCTGACTCTGGGAGGGACCGGTGACATTAACTGATGTAAAGTTATGCTCGTGTAACGTCTCAATGACCTCTTCAGGGAAAAGTGCTGACAGTCAATAAAGTCACATAGTAGCATCAGCACATTACAACTCTAATTGCACTTAAAATATAAATAAAATATTGGATTTTAAATAACCTAATATAGCACGTTTAAAATTTTTATAATAAAAAATAAGTAATGTTTAAATTAAATCTACTACATAATTTGAAAGGGTTACTCCAAGGACCATGACCACTTGAGTGATTTGAGCTGGTCATGGTGTTTGGAATCGGACTGTGTAATGTTTCAGTAAGAAACGCTGCGCACGTAGACTGGAAGTACTTTACGACAGAGGTTTCAGAGTTATGCGAGCTCTAGGCTGGGTAATGTTAAATCTGTGCATAAAATGGCATTGTTCATCAGTACGCACAGCATGCTAGAGAGATAACCAGTGGCAGCACCCCCCTCCCCCCCCATCCAAGACTTCAGGGCGCTTCTTCCTCCATTGAAGGGAAAACATGGCCTTGTGGGATCGCAGGTAGGTTTTCCCTTGTTTGGACCATGCCTACAAAGCGTTTTCTACATTCAGAATGACTGCTTTAAACCGCAATGGGCTAGTGTCTTGAAATAACAGACAAGGCAGTACAGTCTTTTTAATGCTTTATTCATTGATTAAAAGATTAAACATTTAACATAAACCAAACAGTCATTTCAAACATTTCGGCTGGTTTCCTCATATTTGTCAGTTCTGTTTCCCCCCCTTCCCCATTTTATCCGATCGCATTTCTAAGATAAAATATCACCACATCTGGCGTGTTAATCCCCACGCACTGTGCCGGTGGATCCTCTATACTGATGTACATATAAAATCTGCATGGTATGTGCTCACTGGAGACAAAACAGCGCACACCTGTCAAAGGTCATATTTTAAATATAAGATGGTAAAACCATTTGTAAAACACATATAAACTATTTTTTTCCCATAAATAGAATCATATCCGGACATCTGTTGCATAAATGGATTTCCAAAGCGTACAGTGGAGTAGCCAGGTCTCAGCACTGCTGGGCACCCGTGATGGCCACTAGCTGTTATTATTGCAGACTGTCCTTTTTTTTATCATTAAATGCACAACATTCGTACCACTTAAAACTGGGTTCAGATGGAAGTCTCACAGAGACCACGTCCGTACCGCGGTTGCCCTGAAACAGTTATATCGGCTTTTAAAGCCGCTCAGATATAACAAGGTATTAAAACAAACGTCATGGAATGTTTTATCATTGCATTCTAGCAGCTTCCACCAGTGATCGAACAAGCTTGTATATCGTTCTCTCTCTTTACATTCTCTAGTCACAGTGAAACAGGTGCATGTTAGTGTAGGTTCTGAGGTTGTGACAGAGTCACAGCACAGCTGCGTACTGCAGGTTGTATTCCAACCTTTTGTGTTTTTTTTTCCTTTTTCAAATTACAATCTAGCAGCGCTCTTGCCGGTCTGGTGGTGACCGGGCCCTGCCAGGATGTGGGCACTTCATTCATTATTTTAATCTATTCTTTGGCAGCTGAAACAGGTGCTGACAGAGAAAATCCAGTGACTCAATTGCCAGGGATCTCATGACTAAAAGAAGACTGAAACAAAAAACAAAAGGAAAAAAAATAAATAAAAAAAAAAGGATAAGGAAAAGGAAAAGTTTGCTTACACATGTATCAATACTTAGCTCTGGTAAGTTTGCTCCCCAAAAGTGAAGTCTCTTTTCTCTTTTATAAGAAGAAAGCCAAGACAACCTAAATCTATTTCAGGGAGCGGAAACCAAAAACACGTCATGCTCTGGAAGTTGAGTTGAAGGGAAAAATAAGAAGATTGGAGTGCCACAGAGTTGCACATAGAGAGGCTAATTATTCACACGAAGACCTAAAAGTTGTAACAATACAAAGAATCAAAGTACTTGATTGGAATTCTAGTTTTCAACCGAGTTGCCTTTTTAGTCATATTTGTCCTCAGAAATCTGCAACATTTTCTTCTTTACCAAGTAAAAAGCAAGTCTGTAAAATACATAACTGTGCATTATATACATACCCACAGGGATACAGATATTTAAAAAAATAATGATTTGGATCCTGAGCAAAAGCACTCAACACGTACAGATAAAAAGCACACGAATGCATATTTACTTGGTAAAAAAAAATGCACGTACGAAGGATATTTAGCAACCTGAGAAAAAAAAACCTTTGTGTGTTCTCCTAAGCATCTGATAACAGACCATTCTCCACGTGCAGGCCTTATGAACACCTGCAAAACATTTTGTTTTCAGTAAAGAAGGGCCCAAGAAGTCTCCATGGGCGCAACATAATTCTCATTATCTTTGCACCATATATATATGTATATATATATATATAAAAAACAAAAAAACTAAACACTCAACCTCTCTGTTTTTTTCAAGTATCCTCAATTTAGAGACCGAACACATTTCAAGAGTCCCTGCACATTATAGGTTTTCTCTTGGATAAAACCTATTTATTGGTCTCCAGAAAGGCAACGCAACTTATAGCACGTAGACAATAAAATGAATAAATCCTTTAGGTAAGTGCTCTCAATCTTAGCTGCACCATTTTTGGGTGCAGCTTATCCATACAGGCTTCCAGAGTAGAAGAACGGATGCTCTATGCCACAGGCTGCTGCGTTAGGGCGCCCACGAGAAATACTTCAAACTGCGAAAGCCCCAAAAAGATGGCAGACGCTTCCCAACTTCTAAACCAATACCCAACTTTTTCCTAGTTTGTTTTGATCAAGAAGTAGATACACACAATTTTATATAGCTAATACTGATTAAACACAGCACAAAAGGGTTAATTCACACTACTAAGAAAAAACAAAACAAAAATAAAAAAACCTGAAAAATAACCCTATTTGCATATGTAACCACAGGAAAAGCGCTAGGAAGAAAAAAAAAAAAAAAAAAAAAAAAGAAAAAGGAAAAAAAAAAAAGGAAAGAAAAAGTTGGGGAAATAGCTAAATGCCTTCGCTGAAGTTTTGCATCTCTCTGTAAAAGTGGCGGGCAGGTTCTGTGAATACGCTAAGCAGCTCGATGTCCATCACGGCACGCCATGGTCGAGCAAGTCCAATTGATACCTGCTCTATGAGATTATGCACCGGATCCACATCTTGATCGGCGAGCTCACTTTGGTCAAAGTCTATGCTTTCTTCTGTCACTTCCAGCATCTTGAGATCAGGCCCTCGCAGGCGAGCAATTGCTATTAGGTTGTGCGCCCAAACCGTATAACCTGAATAATGAAAAGAAAAAAAACAAAACAGAAGTTTGTCAGGGCAGAAAAAGTCGGTGACAAACAGGTTATTAAAGCGATGCAATGCGTTTCGATTCCTGGAAAAGTGATGTGTAAAGCAGCAACACCCAAAATGATGAAGGTGAAAAACAAATCCTGAAGATCCAACGTAAAGTTTGGGAACTAACATTTTTATTTAAGTTTTAGTGGATCATTTCAAACTATTTCATTGATTAAAGTAATGAAAGTCAAAATTTCAAGCCCTAAGTACTAGCCAAGCTTTAGAAGTCACTTGCCGTTTCAAGGCTAGAGAGTACATGGAACACTCATGAAGGGTGAACTATTCTATAGGCCCACATGTTTACTTGCTAATTGCTAGTGGCAAATGGAAATATTAAAGCCCCGATCTAGCCACTATATGGGTCAAATCCGCTATGTATCTTATACATACGTTTAACAAAATGTAATAAACAAAGCCTTGCCCTGAGACTAATTACTTAAAGTAGCTGGTTGGATTATGTCATAGGAGGCTTCAAATAGACATACTTTAAAGGGACACTAACACCTCCCTGTTTGTTAGAAATCAGGAATAAGTCTCAGCACGCAAGGGCTCAACGTATGGCAGTTTTATTGGATCTCCGTTTATAACAGCAATGTGTCGACATTGACGACCTCAGTGTGAGGTCGAAAAAATTGCTGTTGCACACAAAGATCCAATAAAACGGCCGTACATTGAGCACTTGTGTGCTGGGACTTCTCTGGGATCAGACAGCCTCACTGCTGATTGGCTTAGAGTGTCAGCTCCCCATTCAAATACGGCTTAAGAAAAACTAAGCATGTTTCTCAAGCTGTTTCTTCAATGTGAACCTAGTGACTGGTTTAAAGCGTTATTTGAGACTCTAAGACAATCAGCAGGGCCTCTGTCCAAGGTTTCCCATTTTCAAAAGAACAGAAAAGTGGATGTGGAGGGTGCAGAGCTAAAACGGCACTAGAGAGAAGATTTGGGGTTAAACTGTTCATTAATGGTTTAACTCCTAAAGATACGCTGGCAGAGATCCTGAAGTGGTTATGGTGCATGGAGTTTCCCTTTAAAGGGACACTATAGTCACCCAGACCACTTCAGCTCAGGTTTTAACCCTTCAGATGCAAAAATAGCAGTTTCAGAGAAACTACTATGTTTACATTAGGGGTTAATCAAGCCTCTAGTGGCTGTCTTCCTGACAGCCACTAGAGGCACATCTGCGATGATGGAGGCATATTATGCCTCCATCGCGCAGAGCGTCCATAGGAAAGCATTGAGAAATGCTTTCCTATGGACACTTTGAATGCGTGCGCGGCACTTGCCGCGCATGCGCAATCGGCTCCGCTGACATCGGCGGGGGAGGAGAGGTCGCCAGGGCCGAGGGAGCCCGGCGCTGGAATGAGGTAAGCTGCTGGAATAAGGTAAGCCACGGGAGGGGGACCATGAGGGTGAGGGCACCCTCAGGGTACTAGTGTCAGGAAAACCGCTTTGTTTTCCTGACACTATAGTGATCCTTTAAGCGGTTGATCCCTGTGAGCAAAGTATTTGCTCTAGGCAAGGAAATAACTTGCATACCTAGGCTGTTGACAAAAGAAAATAATTAAAACTTCAGATATACATAAATTTATTATTTTACTTTTGTATTTTTTCCCCCTGCTCTTTACACAACCATGCTACTGCATGACCAATGAGCACATTAGGTTATGCTGCAACAACTCTACGCAGATATCTTACTTTGTAAAAATGATCTGTGAAGAAACTACCCTGTTTACGCCTTATTTAGATTTTCCCCCGTTCGTTAGTTGAAACTACCAAACACCGACCATATGGATATGTTGGTCACCCAGATCAGGGCTATGACGGAATATGACATTTTTGGGGATTTTGTGTGTTTTGGGGTTTTATGGAAATGTGTTTTTTCTGCCTGGAGATAATTAAGTTAATACAGTATCTGATTCAATTATCTCCCAGGCAGAGGGGAGGGGTTGTATTGTATGTAGGGGAGTGTCATGCTTTGTAACATTTTGTTATTGGTCTGTGACTGTGTTGTAGTCCCCCACAAGGTCCATGTGGGAGTGCCCCTTGCATGGGGACTTGCATAAAAAGCCAAGTGTGGTCCCATTGAAATTATTCCTGTTGTACCCTTCATTTAGTCTAGGCTGATGATTGGGTAACCATCTACTTGCTGTGGAGAAACTGCTTGGATGCTGCATTCATCTGGGAAACGTTCGAATCTACACCCGAACTGCGAGCTATAATTACTCAAGCTTCAGCAGTTCATGAGGAAATAGACTAACAGGTATCTGCAATATCAGCGTTCGTAACATTATCTTAAACCTGCAAATCTGAGACACTGTACATATCTTTAGTAACACATGGGCACAATGCCTTGATTAATGCTGTGCCCAGAGGGAAACAAAACATTTTAAGAACAGATAAAATAATTGTGAAAAAACCTTAAAAAAAGACTGCACAACCCGATAGGGTTGTCCCGTCACCCTTACTGTTCATCCTGATGCTCGAACCCTTACTTCAGGCGATACGTGATCATCCCCAAGTCCATGGAGCAAGCATAGGGAACCAACAATTCCTTGTATTGGTTTACACAGACAATATGTACTCCTCACATTGACCAACCCGGCACCATGCAGGCCCTAATTCCACTCCTCACCTCTTTTGGGGCCATATCAGACTACACGGTGAACATGAGCAAATCCAGGCGGACATGGCACAAATAGAAAGCTCCTATCACAGCTAAACTTCATACACATCCATTAAGTATCTCGTATCAACTTCTCGACCGATCCTGCTCAACTTCATCAATTGAACTACACACCCATGATAAACACATTAATCTCAGATATGGAGACTTGGGCAGACAAACCTCTATCCTGGACAGGCAGAATTCACTCCATCAGGATGAACATTCTGCCTTGAATACTTTTCCTCTTTCAGGCTCTACCTCTCCCTATATAAAATCATCACCTAGCCCCCCCCCCACCCCTCCAGAAAGCAATAGGCTGTTTCATATGTCACGACAAAAGTCTCTGGCAACACACTCTGTAGACCAAAAACCAGAGGGGCATTTGGTCTACCCCACCTCCACTTTAACTACCTAGTGGCCCAACTGATGCAAACAGCCCTCTGGCACTCCCCCCTGACAGCAGGCGATAGGTAGATCTGGAATCCCTATTGATGGGATCAGACCTTCTTCAATTCTCTTGCGAACAGACTGTCCATCCGTAACCAACTTTATCCAGATTTTGGATAAATTGGTACATAAATTCGGGCTGATCTCCTCCCCTTCACCGCTTACCCCTATATACCGCAACAGGGCCTTTGTCCCAGCCATGAGGGCCAGAGACTTTAGAGACATGGAAAATGCGGGGCTGCAGAGATTATATCACGTATACCACAGCGGAGCCATAGTGACTTTCAGAACTGCAAAGCAGAACTACCCGGACTCCAGCTGACTTCTTTAGATATCTCCAAATTCGTAACTTTGCAGGCCAACTCGCCGTTAGAATGGCAGCACAAGCCCAAAACATATGGAATGCTGAAATCTACCAAAAAGGCATGATCACTCGACTCTACTCCCACCTCTGCTCAAATGCTAAAGCCTGGGGTGACCTTCGCTATGTCTGTTTGAGAGACTGCGGGTCTAAGGGAACCTATAAACATGAAGTGGAGCTGCCCGAAGGTCTATAAATTTTGACTGGAGGCACTCATATCCCAAATTTTCCCTAAACATATAGACCTGAACCAACAGGCTTTCCTGCTCACTAAACCGCTTGACAACTGGACCAGGGTGGAGCAGCAACTTTTTAACAAAATTACGCTAGCCGCTAGCCAGGCCTTCACTCAAGACTGGCTGAAATCCACTACCCCTCCCATGAATACAGTTATTCTTAAAATTAAAGAACAATACATCATGGACAAACTAATGGCCCAGGTCCGAGGGTCCATGAAGACCTTCACTAAAGTCTAGGAACCCTGGGAAAACGATGTGAATGTCTGATGGGAAACACCCTTTGCGCTCCCCTCCCCTCTCCGCCTAGAGGACCTATAGATACTCCACTGTACGGCACCGTCCAGAGACCCCCACCTGCCTTCACTCTTCTTCTCCCCGCTGTCTTCCTTCCTGTCTTATCTCCCCCTTTCTCTTTGAATCTCTCACATCCCTCCTCTTTGGATTTTCTTATTACGCCTAAAATCCTCTAAAGACAGGGACAGATTGTTACTCATATTGTTATCTCAATCTTGGCATGTATACATACCTGGTAAAATCTATCTCCTATACTAAGAGATGTTCCTTTATCGTCATCTTTAGTTACCTAGACCATACACCACTCCCCCAACCAGTGCAACTTGGAAGCTTTATAGCCGCTAAAAACTTTGACATAGATGGTCAATGTATACCTCCCTCTGACGTCTGATACCTTACACTTTGTTTTATTATTACCCAACTCTATATTTTTATTGTGTATGCCAAGATGTACATCCTCTGTAATGTCTTCTGTGTTTCTTTTGGAGACAAAATAAAATAAAAAGACCGCAAAGTTTTGCAGATATTTCCTTACCATGAATTGCCAGAAGAGAGAGCCGCATGCACCTCCAAGCCAAGAGAACCAAAGGATCTTCATTTCTATTTTCACTGAGGTCCGGAAATCCAGACATATCGTTGACATCGTTCATCAAGATGAAGTGAGTTAGGAATGTATCATATTGTCTGGTTATGAGATCAACAACTGCTCCAGATACGTATGTCAGGTAGCTGTCAAAGTGAATTCTCTCCAGTGGTATACTAGGCTTCAGGATTCTAAGCATATCATCGCTCTTGACATCGAATGCCATCATGTAGACACGGAGATTTGCGCTATTTCGAGTGAGGGCCTTCCAATCCTCGTCTTCAGGCATTTTGTTCAAGGTCTTAGTCTTCAGGGAAGTGTGGTGGACCAGAAGAGATAGTCTATGCAAAGGCACATGGTTATTGTTGGCCAACACTCTTGCCATTTCTGCAGTAAAGTCACAAAAGTCTAAAGCAAGGGAACGCAGATGAACAAAGCGCTCTATTTCAATGGCGGTTATTAAGGTGGTGCTCGCAGGACTGTGATTATCCAGTAAACTCAGATGTTCAATGGTGTTTGCCACTGGATTGGTTAATGAAGACAAAGAGGTCGGTGTGACTATCTCCAACATGAACCCACAGGAAAGCCACTTTAATTGTCTACTGTTTGCCAGTATCTCCACAAAAAGCTGCTGAATCCTAATAAACAAAAGAAAATTAAGAAAAAAAAGTAAGAAATTAATTTTCAATATATATGAGCCAGTCCATCTCAAGTGTTGAAATAATTGTAAAATTGATTACTTGACCACATTGAATAGCCTTTTTTTGCATGCTTACCTCTATGTATTGGCATTGCCAGATCCCATGTTTATATTATTTTTCCTGGCTAATCATGGCAGCATATATAAACTGTTGTATTTGTATATGCTGCCATGATTAATAGCCAGGAAAATAAAATTACGGTAAGTATGAATACATTTGTCCATTTTATTTTACTTGGTTTAACTACGACGGCGATCTTTGTGTCATGGTGAATGAAACATTTTGGTTATACAGTTGCAGACTAGCTCCTTGGGCCAAACACGGATCTTTAATGATGTACATATACCTTGTATTGTGCTCTAGACATTTTGCACATTTTTGTTCCTTGGACTTCGAAATGTAATGCTCAAGATCACTGAGAGTTTAACTTTTAGAGTCAATTTATAAGAGAAGGCTTTGAGTCTCAATTCTAAATTTGCTTTAGGGGGTACCTAGGCAAGTGTAGTGTGCATGCAGGACACTTCATCCTTGAGATTTTTAATATTTTTTTTTAATGGGGCAAGAAAGTGCAATTTCCCCTCACTTTCAGGTTGAATATGCTGGTGGGGGCCAGAGAGGATCCTGACAATTTCCCAGATAGAAGTCCTCTATGGCGGCATTCTGCTGGTTACAGTGCCAGGGCCAATAGAAATCAAGGAGAGACTACTTTATTCATTCATGCAGTTGACAAATGAACAGATAATGTAACAAAAACAAATATTTTATAGTAATTAAAAATTAAATCCATGATTAACATATAGTGTGTACTTGTAATGGAGGTCTAAAATGTTAATGCATCTGATAAGGGCAATGGTGAAGTGTGATTTATCATGATATGAATAGATTTTAATACGTATTGCGAGCGCTTTTCTATTTTCTAGTGTCAATGTAACACGGAGAAGATAAAGTTATTAGAATTGCCAACACCCACACCCAATTATTGGGCAGTGACTGTATGGAGATAGTTACACTCTGCCTTACACCATACCAGGGATCGGGTGCAGTTATTGGCAGAGAATGTAGTGACTGTATGGAGATAGAGTTACACTCTGCACCTGATCCCTGGTATGGTGTAAGGCAGAATGTAACTATCTCCATACAGTCACTGCATTCTCTGCCAATAACTGCACCCGATCCCTGGTATGGTGTAAGGCAGTTATTGGCAGAGAATACAGTGACTATATGGAGATAGAGATACACTCTTACATCATACCAGGGTTCGGGAGCAGTTATTGGCAGAGAATGCAGTGACTCTCAGCCTATTTCTGCTGTTTTGGTGTCTAACAGTATATGAGGTTACTATGGCAGTTAATGTGTGATTGTATATGGGATTCCTCTCTTGCAACTGTCATTAGTCTAATACCATCCTTACCTTTTGTGTCACTATACCCCACCCCCTCTAACATGTAAACTCACTGAGCAGGCCCTCAATCCCTCTGGTACTGTGTCACTATACCCCACTCCCTCTAACATGTAAACTCACTGAGCAGGCCCTCAATCCCTCTGTTACTGTGTCACTATACCCCACTCCCTCTAACATGTAAACTCACTGAGCAGGCCCTCAATCCTTCTGTTACTGTGTCACTATACCCCACTCCCTCTAACATGTAAACTCACTGAGCAGGCCCTCAATCCCTCTGTTACTGTGTCACTATACCCCACTCCCTCTAACATGTAAACTCATTGAGCAGGCCCTCAATCCCTCTGTTACTGTGTCACTATACCCCACTCCCTCTAACATGTAAACTCACTGAGCAGGGCCCTCAATCCCTCTGTTACTGTGTCACCATACCCCACTCCCTCTAACATGTAAACTCACTGAGCAGGGCCTCAATCCCTCTGTTACTGTGTCACTATACCCCACTCCCTCTAACATGTAAACTCACTGAGCAGGCCCTCAATCCCTCTGTTACTGTCACTATACCCCACTCCCTCTAACATGTAAACTCACTGAGCAGGGCCCTCAATCCCTCTGTTACTGTGTCACTATACCCCACTCCCTCTAACATGTAAGCTCATTGAGCAGGCCCTCAATCCCTCTGTTACTGTGTCACTATACCCCACTCCCTCTAGCATGTAAACTCACTGAGCAGGCCCTCAATCCCTCTGTTACTGTGTCACTATACCCCACTCCCTCTAACATGTAAACTCACTGAGCAGGGCCCTCAACCCCTCTGTTCCTGTGTGTCCAACTTGTCTGGTTACAACTACATGTCTGTTCGCCCACCCACTATAAAGCGCTGCGGAATTTGCTGGTGCTATGTAAATAATATGCCTGTCTGTGCATGGGGGATGCCTAGCAGTATGTTTCAGTGTCTGTGTATCCCATGAACGTATATCTCTGTCTGTCATCAGTTAAACATTTCCTGCATATTTGTTTGTTTGTGGTGAACATCTGCATTGTTTTATCAATAAACACTAAGCATTTTATTTTGTAAGAGAAATTCCAGGTAAAAGAGTTTATGAAATAGTTAAGAAGTTTGTGATTTATATCATGTGATTCAAAATGTACACAGGAAAATATGTTTTTGTCAATAATTTAGCATGTGCAGGTTTTTAACGGGAAACTACAGGAATAAGTGGTGTGCAGTAGAGATGTTATAGAGATAGAACATGTTTCCTATACTCTAGCGTTGTCCTATGATGAAATGCATGTGTGCACATGTTCAGGACATCTTGTGATTTGCATAGTGTGCCACACTATGCCATTAATGCCTAAAAAAAGGCTTGACACATTTGCATTGAATCTAGGAGCCAGATTTTTTTTCCCAACAAGAAAAATACAATTCTTAAAGGAACACTACAGTCACCAGAACCACTACAGCTTAATGTATTGGCTCTGATAGAGATATATATATTTATCCTGTCCCTGCATGCGACACCTGGACTGACAGACACGAAGAATAGTTTTTATTATTTGATACACTTAGATAGAGAGACACACAGTCAAATACACATGATAGATAAACACTCTCAAAGAAATAAGAAATAAAAAAAATCTTTTGGATGTAGGAGGGTGTTTTTCCTGGGGTCCTGCAACCAGTTCCTGCGCGGCCTCTGCGCCGGGAGGAAGTAATTACAGTTCCCTTCACTTCATCCCAGCGCACCGGCAGACAGAGAGCTGCACTGGGATTGAGACAGGAGGAGAATGGAATGGGCTGACCCATCCTACACGCCAGGACAAAATTCTGAGTCGCCATGGCAATCTGGGATTTGTCAAATCCGGGCCCAACACAGGGTTAGGAAACCTTTTGGAAGCTCTGTGCATTTAAGAATTACCCGTCTTCATTACTGTGACACCCATATTGCTAGGATATAAGCATTTCTCTACTAGCGAATTCAACTTTAGGCTTTAAAAAGAGAAACCATTAAAGGGGAACTATAGTGCCAGGAAACCAAGGCCCCCTCCCGCGGCGCTTCAGTCACTTACCTGGATCCAGCGCCGATGTCCCTTGGTGCTGGCTCAGCTCCACCCATGCTCCTTCCCCGCCGACGGGGGAGAACTAATGCGCATGCCTGGCAATGGCTACGTTCGCATTAGGATCTCCCCATAGGAAAGCATTACTCAGTGAGTGGTAACCCCATCAGTCCATCGTTGCAAGCACACTGTCTTGGCCTTATAATTGATTCTGGCCTCACCTTTGAACCTCACATCCAGTCAGTGACCAAATCCTGTAGATTCCACCTTAAAAACATAGCCCGCATCTGCCCCTTTCTTACGCAAGACGCTACCAAGAAGCTTGTCCGTGCTCTAGTAATTTCTCGCAATGGATTATTGTAACTCTTTCCTAATTGGTCTTCCCAAAAGTTGTATTGCCCCACTACAGTCTGTAATCAATGCTGCCACCAGACTGATTTTCCTCTTTAGTCGGTCCTCTCACAACTCACCCCTGTCAGTCCTTGCATTGGCTTCCTGTCTCCTATAGGAGTCAATTCAAAGTGCTAACCCATACCTATAAAGCATTGACTTATTCTAGCCCCTCCTATATCTCTTCACAGATCCATAGGTATGCCCCTTCTCAGTCTCTCCGCTCTGTCGTGACATTCTCCTGTCCGCTGTTCACACCCATACGGCCAACTCACACTTGCAGGACTTCTCGCGGTCTGCCTTTCTCCTAGTGAATAGCCTGGCTACTGCCATCAGACTCTCCCCTAGTCTTCAGTCCTTTAAGAAGTGCCTCAAAACCCATCTCCTTAAGAAAACTTTTGGCCTCCCAGAGTAACCTCTACCTCACATACCTGTTCCTTGCTCTCTCTAAAAGGGCAGCACTTTACTCTCTCCTCCAACTCTGCTTCACTCCCACCTTATTTGATTGCTATCTCCTGTCCTGTTGTGTTTTATACCCCACCTCCAATAGACTGTAAGCTCATTTGAGCAGAGTCCTCTTCAACCTATCGTTCCTGTAAGTTTTTGTAATTGTCTCATTTATTGTTAAATCCCCCCTCTTATAATATTGTAAAGCGCTATGGGCTATGCTGGCGCTATATAAATAATAATAATAATGCAAAGTAAAGGAAGCCACCATACTTACTGCCTGATTTTCTTGCCACCTGGATCCACCTTGTTTAGGTAGGCTTTTGTAATAGTGCCGTTTTGTTGCAAAATACTGATATCGCCAAAAAGACTAAGTTTCTGAAGATTCCTATAAAATAAAGCAAATTGCGTAATTAGCAAAACGCAGCTCCACAGGTAAAACACATTGTAGAAATTCACGACATGCCTTCTTGGCAAGGTTGAACAAATTCAATTGAACGGATGTGCGAGGTGAGGAAGTCCCTACAGGGAGCTAGATGAGAGCTAGCATGGAGTCCTCCAAAACCATTTAACAGGAAACTGGAAAATGTCTACCGTAGACTCATGGTACCATAAGCACTACGATGAGTAGTTATACATTAAGTTGTAGGGACTATGGGGTGTAGAGTGTACCTTATAGTTTAAAGGAGAGTTATTTGATAACATATCAAAGTTTTCCTGTGTTACAATTTCTTACTATCCAGTAATAGAGGTAGGTACCCCTGTGATCCCTCACCTGTTGTTCCTGTTACCCAGCAGGTTAGTAATGGCGGTTGGTACCCCTGTGGCCCTCACCTGTTGTTCCTGTTATCCAGCAGGTTAGTAATAGCGGTAGGTACCCCCGTGGCCCAGTAATAGAGGAAGGTACCCCCGTGGCCCAGTAATAGAGGAAGGTACCCCCGTGGCCCAGTAATAGCGGTAAGTACCCCTGTTACCTAGGTTAGTTAGAGGTAGGTACCCCTGTGGCCCCGGTTAGTTATATCGGTAGGTACTCCCGTGGCTTCGGTTAGTTATATCAGTAGGTACTCCCGTGGCCCCGATTAGTTATATCGGTAGGTACTCCCGTGGCCCTAGTTAGTTATAGCAGTAGGTACCCCTGTTACCCAGGTTAGTTATATCGGTAGGTATCCCTGTGGTCCCAGTTAGTTATCTTGGTAGGTACTCCCGTGGCTCTGGTTAGTAATAGTGGTAGGTACCCCCGTTACCCAAGTTAGTTAGAGGTAGGTACCCCCGTAGCCCCGGTTAGTTATACAGGCAGGTACTCACGTGGCTCCGGTTAATTATATCGGTAGGTACCTCCTGTTACCCCGGTTAGTTATATCGGTAGGTACCTCCTGTAACCCCGGTTAGTTATATCGGTAGGTACCTCCTGTAACCCCGGTTAGTAATATCGGTAGGTACCCGTTAGTTATATCGGTAGGTACCCCGTGTTACCCCGGTTAGTAATATCGGTAGGTACCCCTGTTAGTTATAGGTTAGTTATATCGGTAGGTACCCCGTGTTACCCCGGTTAGTAATATCGGTAGGTACCACTGTTAGTTATAGGTTAGTTATATCGGTAGGTACCACTGTTAGTTATAGGTTAGTTATATCGGTAGGTACCCCCTGTCACCCCGGTTAGTTATATCGGTAGGTACCCAGGTGTCCCCGGTTAGTTATATCGGTAGGTACCCAGGTGTCCCCGGTTAGTTATATCGGTAGGTACCCAGGTGTCCCCGGTTAGTTATATCGGTAGGTACCCAGGTGTCCCCGGTTAGTTATAGTGGTAGGTACCCCCCTGTTATCCTGGTTAGTTATAGCGGTAGGTACCCCGTGTTATCCAGGTTAGTTATAGCAGTAGGTACCCCAGTGTCCCCGGTTAGTTATATCGGTAGGTACCCCGTGTTACCCTGGTTAGTTATATCGGTAGGTACCCCGTGTTACCCCGGTTAGTTATATCGGTAGGTACCCCGTGTTACCCCGGTTAGTTACATCGGTAGGTACCCCCCTATTACCCCGGTTAGTTATAGCGGTAGGTACCCCCCTATTACCCTCGTTAGTTATATCGGTAGGTACCCCCCTGTTACCCCGGTTAGTTATATCGGTACTTCGTTACCCTGGCAGTTGGCAGCGTAGTGGTACTCTGTTACTCGTTAGTTATATCGGTACCCCTCGTTTTCGGTACGGTAGTTACCGTTACCCCTTCGCTGTTGTTATAGCGTGGTACCGTGTCCTCGTTAGTTATAGCGCTAGGTACCCTGCGGTTACCCTCGGGTTAGTTATATCGGTAGGTACTTCGCTACCCCGGGTGCTAGTTATATCGGTACTTCGGTGGTTAGTTATAATGGCAGGTACCCCTGTTACCTCCCGAAGGTTATGGTATCGTAGGTACTCTGTTACTCTAGTGTTAGTTATATCGTAGGTACTCTGGTGCCACTTCGGGTTAGTTGGTATCGTAGGTACTTCGCCTCGTTAGTATATCGGTAGGTACTCTGTTACCGTTAGTTATATCGTAGGTACCCCTGTTACCCGTTAGTTATATCGTAGGTACTTCGTTACCGTTAGTTATATCGGTAGGTACCCCCCTGTTACCCCGGTTAGTTATATCGGTAGGTACCCCCCTGTTACCCCGGTTAGTTATATCGGTAGGTACCCCCGTGTTACCCCGGTTAGTTATATCGGTAGGTACCCCCCTGTCCCCCCGGTTAGTTACAGCGGTAGGTACCCCCCTGTCCCCCCGGTTAGTTACAGCGGTAGGTACCCCGGTGTCCCTGGTTAGTTATATCGGTAGGTACCCCGTGTTACCCCGGTTAGTTATATCGGTAGGTACCCCCCTGTTACCCCGGTTAGTGTCCCCCGTCCCCCCCCTTTACCTGTTGCTCCGGATGCTGCTCAGCACACACAGGACCAGCTCCATGTAGGTTCTCAGGACCCCCAGCCAGCGGGCGGATTGCTGGGAGTCTCTCTGGGGCCCGGGGTGCAGTTCCGGGCTCTCCGCGGGGTCCTCGCACCAGCAGGAGGCGGCGGCAGCGGTGGGGGAGGCGGGGCCGGGCTCCGCGGGGGCGGGGTCGAAGGCGGAGCCTGACACGTAGTTATCGGCGGCAAACTCCACGCGGAGCTCGCGCACGAAGCAGCCGCACTTCCGCATGAGGAACTCGAGGCGGGGCCGCTCGGACAGCGCCACCCGCAGGCTCAGCCGCAGCTCCGGCCACAGCGCCGGGTAGAACAGGCAGTCCCGCCAGTGCGAGCAGCAGGCCGAGGCCCGCAGCCGGTCCGGAGCCGGCAGGAACGAGAAGATGTGAACGATGAGCTCGCTGGGGAGGGACGAGGCGCCCACATCCCCGCACAGAGCCATCGGGGGATGGAGGGGGGGAGGGGGAGAGACCGAGCGAGCAGCGACCTACTGACTGACTGACTGACTGACTGACCCACCGACCGAGCCAGCCAGCCAGCGAGCTCCTCCTCCCAGACTGCACCGCGAGCCGGCCGATACCACCTGCACACCGCCCGCACTGACTGACTGACCGCCTGCCGGGGGGGGGGAGACACACGGGGCGAGCGGATACACAGCCAGCCAGCCAGCCCAAACACACAAACATCCACCCCCTCCTCACAGACACTAATGGTACGCTCCAAGATGGCGGACACAGGCGTGACGTGCACCGTGGGACCGTACCATGGAGGCCGGGAACGGAGGGGGGGGGGGGCCGGGCTGGGATAGGGGCGGGCCGCACGGGCTCCGGTTACCGGAGGGCAGCGGCTTATCGCGTGTTAGTTTGTAATATCCGGTGAAAGGTCAGTAAACGCCTTACTGTGAGGGAGAGCTGAGGGCGCCACCCCCCCCCCCCGGACATGTGAGGATGGTATGACCCGGTGACAGGTGGGCGGGGCCGGGCTGGTTTATGGTCAGTGCATGGTTAGCTGAGCATGGGGCAGTGTGTCAGTAATAATAATAATATAAAATAATAATAATAAAATAATAATATAATAAAATAATATAAAATAATAATAATAATTAATAAGAATAATAATATAAAATAATAATAATATAAAATAATAACATGGGACAGGGGCTGAGTGTCAGTAATAATAATAATAATAATAATAATAATATAATAAAATAATAATAGCAAGGGGCAGAGGCTGAGTGTCAGTAATAATAATAATATAAAATAATAATAACATGGGACAGGGGCTGAGTGTCAGTAATAATAATAATAATAATAATAATATAATAAAATAATAATAGCAAGGGGCAGAGGCTGAGTGTCAGTAATAATAATAATATAAAATAATAATAACATGGGACAGGGGCTGAGTGTCAGTAATAATAATAATAATATACAATAATAATAATAATAAAATAATAATATTAATAACATGGGGCAGTGTGTCAGTAATAATAATAATAAAATATAATAATATAATAAAATAATAATAATAATATAATAATAAAATAATAATATAAAATAATAACATGGGGCAGTGTGTCAGTAATAATAATAATAATATAATAATAATATATAATAATAATATAAAATAATAACATGGGGCAGGGGCAGTGTGTCAGTAATAATATAAAATAATAATAATAACATGGGGCATGGGCAGTGTGTCAGTAATAATATAAAATAATAATAATATAAAATATCTGGGGCAGTGTGTCAGTAATAATAATAATATAATAATAATAATATATAATAATATAAAATAATAACATGGGGCATGGGCAGTGTGTCAGTAATAATATAAAATAATTTCTTTTAAATTTATTCCCATAACCAACATCTGAAATCCTTGTATTATTTTTAAAGTGATTATTATATGTGTGTCTATTTTTAATTTTATTCGCTGTGGAAAAAGTGCTAAATTTTTTATCATTTCTATCTCTCTTCATTTTATTGTTTTTTGTTTCTGCAACTTTTTCTTCTAATTGATTAATTGTTATACAAATTTCTTGTTCCCTTTCTTTATATCCAATCTGATCCCTATTAAGGGTTCCTTCTGTTTCCAATATCTTTATATCATTTTCGGTTTGATCTCGATTTTCTTTTTCAAATTCAATTATCAATTTCATAAGATTTTGTGAGCAGGTTTCCAATATCAGGTCCCACTTGCTCAGAAACTCCTCGTTATCTATCCCACATGCTGGAATTTTTTCCACCCTTAATCCTCTGGGGATTAAACCTTCCTTAAAATAGCTCTCTAAATAGGATATTTCCCACCACTTTTTAGTCTCTTTTATCATTAATCGCTCCAATTTGGTGAAATAAAAGCTATCAGTGTCCCTTAAGGGAATAGTGTCTGTGCCTTGTTGAAACAGTTTTTCAAATCTGACATTTCTGCCTCTTTGAATATTTGCAAATGAATTAGTTGCCATGATAATTGTGTCACACGTTTGAGGAAAATATACAGAAACACAAAAAGCAATGTGTGTGCACAAACCACAGTGCAATAAGTGATCAATAGATAAATAGCAGAAAAAAACCTCCCTGAATCAGGTAAGATTTTCCCCGAAGAAAATTGGGATTGGGAGTCCAACCACATATGGAGGGGGCATGGCTGGGTAGCGAACCTGGTCCTATGGAAACGTTTTATTGATGACGTTTTAATGATTTGGCAGGGATCACATAAAGAACTGCAGCTATTTTTGGATTACATTGGTCGCAATGACTATGGCTTAAAATTCACCTATGAGATGGATCCCATTACAATTAATTTTTTGGATGTCTGTTTCTTTGTTGAAAATCAGACTATACAATCTAAATGTCATTTTAAAAAAAAACTGATGGCAACAGTTATATACATAGAAAGAGTTGCCACCATGATAAATGGTTGGAGACCATCCCAAGAAGTCAGCTAACAAGAATACGACGAAACTGCTCAAGAGATATAGATTACCATGAACAGGCTAAACATTTGAAAAATAAATTTCTAACTAAGAAATATAAGCCAGCGTTATTAGAAAAGGAAATTAAAGAAATTGAAAAGAAAGATAGAAAACGTCTTATGAAACCTAACCCAAAGGAAATAAGAACAAAAAAAGATTACCAATTTTCGTTTATTACACAATATAACACACAACATTGGAATATAAAAAAGATTTTAAACACACACTGGGATATCCTATGTAAAGATCCTGTATTAGAAAAGGTACTCCCAAAAAAAGCACCAATAATTTAAAAAAAACCAAAAAATCTGAAAAACATACTTGCTCCAAGCTATGCGTTAAAAATACCACGGAAAGGTACAACTTTAAATATTAAAGGTTTTAATCCTTGTAATTCATGTAAGGCTTGTAAGAATCAGAGATATATACAGAAAAAAGAATTTATAAGTACAACTACTAAAGAGAAATTTAAGGTTAAATCTAACATAAATTGCAACTCCAAGTTTGTGGTCTACCTGCTACAATGCCCATGTGGAAAACAGTATGTGGGAAGAACGGGTAGAAAATTGAAAGAGAGGATTTTAGAACATCAAAATAACATTAGGAAAAGTCAACGAAACATATAGTACCGATTCACTGCATTAACTGCAGGAAATTTAATTGGAACAATTTTTCCTTCATGGGTATAGAGCAGGTTGACCCGTACTGGAGAGGGGGCAATTTAATGAAGAAACTTTCACAAAGGGAGACCTTCTGGATAAATAAATTAAAGACGTTGCAACCACATGGATTGAACCTAGATATAGACCTATGGAGTTTTTTTGAAAATTAAGATATATATGTGCCTTGCTTCTTTCGGGATCACTAATGTAAATTCTGCATTTTTTCTATATTCACTAAATTTTTCAAAGTATGGACAGTAGAATAATTTTTCTTTCCATACCATTGAAAGTTGAACTCTTTCCATTCAAATAGGATTTAGGGATAAATAAATTGTCCCCCCCTTTTACTTATATTCAAATCTAGTTCTAATCATATTGAATCTATATTCATTGAATTCTATTTCGTATTTTGAATTCTATATTCTGGGATTCAACTGAATTCTAATCATATATATACATAGTCATTTTTATTCATCGAATTCTATTCTATATTATATGATACATAGTCATTCTTATTCATCGAATTCTATTCTATATTATATGATCCAATCTAGTCTTTCAATTTAATATATTTGAACTATTTCTATTCTATATTATATGATTCAATTTAATTCTTTAATCAAATTTATTAGAATTATTTTTCGAATTGAGTGATGAGATTGATTTCTAAAATTGATTAAATACTCCTTTTTTTGAGATATTCAATAAAAGAAAAAAGAGGAGAAAAAGAATAAAGTATTATGGATATTTTATATCCTATGGAATATTTGAAAGAATGCAACATAAATTGGGATATCACCTTTTGTTCACCCTATAAATGTGTGTGCTCTTTTAATTTTATTTTTATTTTTATTTTTTTATTTATTTTTTATTTTTATTTTTATTTTTATTTCCATTTTTATTTTTTATTTTTTTAATTATTGTTTATTTAATTTATTTTATTTAACTCTTAATTTATTTTATACCATCTATACAGTTTGTATAAGTTTCATTAGGATTGAGTTTGGTGTATTATGAGTAAATCTTATGTAACTAGAATTCTGTAGTGCCATTTGAAGTGTGTAACCTTCCTCCACTCTCTTTTTTCTGCCTCCGGTCCATATACACTGAATCTGTGCCTTTTGAATGGGACTTTGATAAGGAAAAAAGATGTGTGATTTGTGAATTGAAGATTTGAAGCACTTCCGGGTTTCTGCGGTGGAACGCATGGTGGAACGCATGCGCGATGGACGGGCGCATAGGATGACGTCATAAAAACCGGCCGCCGGACCGAAAACACCTGGATCAAATGGAGAGTTTTGTGGACATTGGGAGGGGTATAAAGGGTGGAGGAGGGGAAGGTTTTTTTATATTTTTTATATTTTTTATATTGTTCATTTGTATGCTGTCATTTCTGGTCACTGAAGTCCCTGAGGAAGTCCTACATATGGACGAAACGCGTAGGACCCCTGGTGGTGACAGTGAGAATACATCCATTGTTTTATATTTAGATGTAAGTGATTAAATTAATTTTTCTACATTTTTAAATGTGTACTACAGTTCTATATTTTTTTCTTTTTGAGCACACACCTTTTAATTGTTCCATGAGAGTTTAAAAGTGCTGAAAAAAGAAATTTATTCTCAAGGCATTCTTATTTCAACGAAAGTGTGAGTGGCCACTTGTCATTTATACATTTGGTTTATTCATATACACAGTTATGCGCTGTGCATTGTTCTTGTTATTCATTTAGCAGATCATCCCCTTTTTTGCTACATATATTCTATTGAAGACAAGAGGAAGTCTTTGGGGAAAATCTTACCTGATTCAGGGAGGTTTTTTTTCTGCTATTTATCTATTGATTACTTATTGCACTGTGGTTTGTGCACACACATTGCTTTTTGTATTAGAAAGGATGCTTGTCTGGATCTCGTCATAACAAACAATGTTGATCTTTTAACCAACATTCAAGTAGGGGAGCATTTGGGAAATAGTGATCACAATATGGTAAATTTTGAAATAAACTAAAAAAAGCAAAAGCAAGTGCGGTATACTAAAACATATAATTTAAAAAAAGCCAATTTCAATAAGATTAGGGTAGCTCTACAACATATCGACTGGCATAAACTCCTTAGTGATAAAAACACTGAGGATAAATGGAAACTATTCAAACAAATATTAGAAAGGTACATTTCTCAGTATGTACCATTGGGTAATAAATATAAAAGAAACAAATTAAAGCCTATGTGGCTCAGTAGAGAAGTAAAACAAGAGATTAAAAATAAGAAAACGGCATTTAAAGCATTTAAATCAGAAAAATCAGAGGCATCCTATTTAAGATATAAGGAAGCCAATAACGCTTGCAAAAAAGGCAATGAAAGTGGCTAAACTAGAAAATGAGAAATTGATAGCTGAAGAATGCAAAACCAACCCCCAAATTGTTTTCAAGTACATCAATTCTAAAAAAACAAAAAATGAAAGTGTAGGTACACTGGAAACAGAGTTGGATTTATTAGCTAATGAAGACCAGGAAAAAGCAGAAATTTTAAATAACTATTTTTCTTCAGTATATATTAATGAGGATCCTATGGCAAGAGATATGCAAATGATTGCTGCAAAAAACTTGCAAATAACTTGTGATTAGATAACTCGAGACAAGGTGCTACAGCTATTAAAGAAAATTAATGTAAATAAAGCTCCGGGGCCTGACGGTATTCACCCATGAGTACTTAAGGAGCTAAGTGGGGAAATAAGTGAACCTTTGTATTTAATTTTTCAAGATTCTTTTGTTTCAGGTGTTGTACCGGAGGATTGGAGGAAGGCAGATATTTTTCCTATATTTAAAAAGGGTTCAAAATCCTTGCCTGGAAATTATAGACCTGTGAGCTTAACTTCTGTAACTGGGAAAATATTTGAAGGGCTATTAAGGGATAATATTCAGGAATTCATTAGAGAGAACTTTGTTATTAGCAATGATCAGCATGGTTTTATGAAACATAGGTCATGTCAAACTAACCTAATTGCATTCTACGAAGAAGTAAGTAGAAGCATAGATCAGGGTGTTGCAGTGGATGTGATCTAGTTGGATTTTGCCAAGGCATTTGATATGGTTCCTCACAATAGGTTAGTCTTCAAACTAAAAGAAATTGGTCTAGATGAATATTCTTGTTCTTGGGTAGAACATTGGCTTAAGGATAGAGTACAACGAGTTGTAATTAATGGCAAATTTTCAGGCTGGAAAAAAGTGGTAAGTGGTGTCCCTCAGGGTTCTGTTTTGGGACCATTTCTATTTAACATATTTATAAATGATCTTGAAATAGGCATTGAAAGCCACGTATCAGTGTTTGCAGATGACACAAAACTTTGTAAAGTAATAAAAGGTGAGCAGGATATTGCTTTGCTGCAGAGGGATTTGGATAGATTGGGGGACTGGGCACTAAAATGGCAGATGAAATTTAACATAGAGAAATGCAAAGTTATGCACTTCGGGGTTAAGAATGCACAAGCAACTTACACACTAAATGGTAGTGAATTAGGGATAACCACACACAAGAAGGATTTGGGAATTGTTATAGACAGCAAATTAGGCAGCAATATGCAATGTCAATCTGCAGTTGCTACGGCCAGTAAGGTTTTGTCATGTATAAATAGGGGCATAAATTCTCGGGATGAAAATATAATTTTGCCTCTTTATAAATTGCTGGTAAGACCTCACCTTGAATATGCTGTGCGATTTTGGGCGCCTGTTCTAAAGAAAGCTATCATGGCACTAGAAAAAGTCCAGAGACAAGCTACAAAATTGATAAAAGGAATGCAGCATTTTAGTTATGAAGAAAGGTTAAAAAAATTAAATCTGTTTAGTTTGGAAAATCGGCGCCTGAAAGGGGATATGATAACTTTATACAAATATATTCGGGGCCAGTACAAACCTTTATCTGGAAATCTATTCATAAACAGGGCTATACATAGGACACAAGGGCACACATTTAGGCTGGAAGAAAGGAGATTTCATCTAAGGCAAAGAAAAGGTTTTTTTTACAATAAGAGCAATAAGGATATGGAATTATCTGCCTGAAGTGGTGGTTTTATCAGAGTCCATACAGATGTTTAAACTGCAATTGGATAAATACTTACAAAAACATAACATACAGGGATATAATTTCTAATTAGTGGGGTATAGCTGCTTGATCCAAGGAGACATGTGACTGCTATTTTGGGGTCAAGAAGAATTTTTTTTTCCTAATTTGTGGCAAAATTGGAAGCGCTTCAGACTAGGTTTTTTGCCTTCTTTTGATTCAACAGCAACAACATATGTGAGGAAGGCTGAACTTGATGGACGCAAGTCTCTTTTCAGCTATGTAACTATGTAATAATAATATGGGACAGGGGCTGTGTGCCAACAGCAATAATAATAATTATAATAAGAACTATAATAATATGGGACAGAGGCTGTGTGTCAACAGCAATAATAATAATAAAAAATATAATATAACAATAATAATATGGGACAGGGGCTGTGTGCCAACAGCAATAATCATATCAATAATAATATAATATGGGACAGAGTCTGTGTAAAAACAGCAATAATAACACTAACAATAATAATATAATTGTAACGAACGCCTTGTATTTCGAATACTCAGTTCGTTCGTAAACTCCCGAAATGCTAGGGACTTAGTAATTATAGCCCATTTGCATAGTACGTTGATTCGTAGTTTTCTGAAATCCAAGTTAGTCGTAAGAATAAATCCAGCGGTTCGTCGTTTGCATAACCAAACATCAGTCGAGACTTGATGAAGGGTACAACAGGAATGTTTTATTTTTAATTGCTTATTTGGTGTTATTTTATGTTTTAAAGTTAATTAATGTTCAGGTCACATGATCAGTGACATCACCTGACTGTTTTTTTAAATTTCTTAGCTATTTAAGAGTGAAGGTCCCCTACTCTGTAACACTTTGAAAAAGCCTTCTGTATAGGTGAAACGCGTTAGTGTGTTACTTATTTTTTATATATTTAATAAAATTAATCTGCATTTGCATCCCTGGACCTTCACTGGACATCTTTTATTGGAGAAGCTGTATCTTACATTCCCGGGTGGGGGACAAACCACCTATGTTGTAAAGGACCGAGCAATCCCTATTTGTTCATCCAGTGTGAGTATATCTCTCTCTTTATTTTATTTGTTTTATTAATACAGAGAACACTATTCCTGTTCTTTTATATCCTATATATATTACTGGAGCATCATCTGGAATACACCACGTGGATTATTGGCACAGGGATACGATACCAGAGGAAATCAGGACCATCCTGACATCCACAGACAGAGATTGTACCGTCCATACGCTGTGATCTGTAGCTGATCTTGCGCTCCAGAAAAGTGTGTATATATTTGCAGTATATTTTTTCCTTATATTCTGCCTCTGCTGTTATAGACATACTACACTATATTAGTATTCATGTCCCATTCTGTTTTCTCCCTTATATTGGCTCCATTGGACTCCACACAAGGATTTTAATTGTTAAGCGCTGCTTCCCTACATCCCCCGTTTTACTTAGTGATTATAGCCCATTTGCATAGTACGTTGATTCATAATTTTCTGAAATCCAAGTTAGTCATGAGAATAAATCCAGCGGTTCGTCGTTTGCATAACCAAACATCAGTCGAGACTTGATGAAGGGTTCAACAGGAATGTTTTATTATGGCCAGATGGCCCACTTTTATACACAGAACCCCCCAGCAGGGGGTTTCAAGCAAGGACATAGCAAACCCAGGGAACCTTGGTGTGGTCTCCGTTTCCCAGGGATCCTTGGTGCGGTCTCCGTTTCCCAGGGATCCTTGGTGCGGTCTCCATTTTTCAGGGATCCTTGGCTGCGGTCTCCGTTTCCCAGGGATCCTTGGCTGCGGTTTCCGTTTCCCTGGAAACCTTGGTGCGGTCTCCGTTTCCCAGGGATCCTTGGTGCGGTCTCCATTTCCCAGGGTTCATTGGTGCGCGGTCTCCGTTTCCCAGGGATCCTTGGTGTGGTCTCCGTTTCCCAGGGTGCGGTCTCCATTTCCCAGGGATCCTTGGTGCGGTCTCCGTTTCCCAGGGATCCTTGGTGCGGTCTCCTTTTCCCAGGGTGCGGTCTCCGTTTCCCAGGGATCCTTGTTGCGCGGTCTCAGATATCTTAACAGCTTGAAAAAACAAACAAACTAACAAAGAGGATGGTGCCAGAAGACCATAATTATGAGCTGTATAGAAAATACATTGTTCATAAAACACATATTGGTATATTTAGCTGGAGAAATGCTGTGAAACATGTCCCTCTGAAGACAAAAAGACACATTGATTTTCAATGTATTTTACAATATTTCAAGTTGTGTTTAAATGTGTAATGCTATATTCACTAAACATTGAATTCCAAACGCTAGGCGTAAATAATTGATTTGGAAAAAATTCTCCAACCCTGATCTAGTACCGATTGGCTTTTTTAGATTGAATTGAGCTTTTTCTGTGTTTAGTGAATAAATCCCATCGTGTTCTTTTAAATACAGCAACACAATAACATGATTTTATTCCAAAGGGAAATAGATCAGCCATCACATTTATAGCATTATAAAAGTCTGCATTTAATTGACTTTGACTAAATAGCAGCACATTGCTCAAGAACAATACTCTAAATCACAGGAAATATAAATTAGAAAATAATGACATTAATAGCTTAGCTACGCAGGCATAAATACAATTAAGGGCTCTTGGCAACAATAGCTTGTTCAATTTCCATTCTAAGCATTCGATTTAAAAAGGATGAAAAAAGATTAATAAAAAAAAACTAAGCAAAAAAAACAGTGAGAGTGCTGGTGTGGAAAACAAACAATAAAAAATGATAAATAAAAAGGATCTCCACGTAATAAGTACCATGTAAATACGTCCCCAGAGAAAATAGGAGGGGCTATAAATGATTAGACTTCAAATCTACGTACCGTCCATCACCGGGAGGTGTAAAATCGGGATGGAGTCTGCGTCACTAGCACCGACAAAGGGCAGGCACATTTGGAGAGGGGATAGGTCTGCTGGAGAGTCGGACATGTCAGCCTGGCTCCATGCAAGGCTCACTGCGAATCACATTAGCTGCCCCTTAAGGGTTGCGCAGGTGTAGAGCGATGTTACAGTGCTAGTGTCCTTAGCGAAGCACGAGCGTGTCAAATGATACACCAAGAGCTGGTGCAAGACTGTTTTGCGCCCTACAAGCTACTTGCCCCCCTCTGCCCAAAAACAAAAATTGCCAACCAACTCAGTGTGTCTCTTTCTCACCCAACTCCTTTGTATGTCTCTCCCCCCCCCCCCAGTACCTTTGTGGATTTCTTCCCCCCCAAACCCACTGTGTTTCTCTTCCCCCCAGCCCCTCCCTTTGTCTCTTTCACCCTAAGCCCATTTTCGTGTCTCTCTTCTACCCAGCCCCTCTGTCTGTCTCTTTATCCCTCTATGTGACTCTTTGCCCCCCAATCCCCTGTGTGACTCTTTGTCCCCAAATCCCTTGTGTTTCTATTTGTCCCCCAAGCCCTATGTTTGTCTTTTTGTCCCGCTGAGCATTTTGTGTGTCTTTCTTCTCCCCCCATTCCTCTGTGTCTCTTTTTGCCCCCCACAAGCCCATTGTGTGTCTCTTTGTCCCTCCAAGCCCCCTGTGTATCTTTTTGTCCCCCAAAGTATTTTGTGTGTCTATTTTAACCTCAGCCCCTCCCGTGTGTCTCTTTGTCCCCCAGCTTCTCTTTGTCCCCTGTTCTTTGTGTATCTCTTTTGTCTCCTACAACCTCTCTGTGTCTCTTTGTTCCCCAAACAGTTTTGTGTGTCTCTTTTCCCCCTTCTCCAGCCCCTCTCTCTGGCTCCCCCCCCCCAGCACCTTTGTGAGTCTATTTCTTCCCCCAGCTGCTCTGTGTGTCTCTCCCCCCAGCCCCTTGGGTCCCTTTCTCCCCCTAGCCTCTTTGTGTGTCTTTTTGTCCTTCCCAGCACTTCTGTGTGCCTCTTTATCCCACCCTCTATGTGCCTCTCTTACCCCTCCAGCCATCTGTGTGCCTCTATTCCCCCCTCAGCCATCTGTGTGCCTCTATTCCCCCCTCAGCCCTTTGTGTGCCTCTCCCCACAGTAGCCATCTGTGTGCCTCTATTCTCCCCCAGCCCTCTGTGTGCCATCTCCCAGTAGCCCTCTGTATGCCATCTCCCAGTAGCCCACTGTGTGCCTTCCCCCAGTAGCCCTCTGTATGCCTCCACAGTAGGCCTCTGGTTGCCATCTCCCAGTAGCCCTCTGTGTACCATCCCCCAGTAGCCCTTTGTGTGCCATCTCCCAGTAGCCCTTTGTGTGCCTTCCCCCAGTAACCCTCTGTGTGCCCTCTCCCAGTAGCCATCTGTGTGCCTCTATTCTCCCCCAGCCCTCTGTGTGCCATCTCCCAGTAGCCCTCTGTGTGCCATCTCCCAGTAGCCCTCTGTGTGCCATCTCCCAGTAGCCATCTGTTTGCCTCTATTCTCCCCCAGCCCTCTGTGTGCCATCTCCCAGTAGCCCTCTGTGTGCCATCTCCCAGTAGCCCTCTGTGTGCCATCTCCCAGTAGCTTTTTGTGTGCCATCTCCCAGTAGCCCTCTGTGTGCCTCTTTCCCCATAGCCATTTACATAATTTGCCCTCCCTATTAATTTAGTACACTGATTTGAGAGACATTACTATGTCCTGCCGTCTTCAGAATGAGGATACAGCAGGTTTGTGTGGGGGAGGTTTGACCTCAAGCATCTCAGTGGTCTTTGGACTATATCTTCCAAATTGTCTATTTTTTTTTTGCTGTTGGTGATCAATGCATTATACTTATCGTAGTAGAAGGGGTAGAACTTGTCTACTCCAGTGGTTTGTCAGTGACAGAGTTTATTTAAAGTACCCCTCCATAGATATAAAGCTGTCCAGCTAAATGAATTGATTTACATCTATCGAGTATCTCTTTTTAATGGCAGGTTATAAAAATGCTGATATCTTCGAGAAAACTGTATTTTTTATAAATCATTTTAAAAAACACCCCTTTTACAGTCAGCTAAAGGAAGTGTCAGGTGCTCTCCTACAGGTGCCAGTGCGCATGTCCATAGGGCTCCATCTTACCTGTTCTCCGTGGCTCCTGTTACAGCTTACTCCCTGCCCCCCTCGGCTGGGGCGCACACACTCTCGTGAGAAGCATCTGATTGGCCATTTCTCTGGCGCAGACAGAAATTACCAGGAAGTCAAAGCAAATTTGAGTTCAAAATAGTTGGACTAATTGTCCACATCAGCTATGTCTTCATAACTTTTATTTAAAATGGGATATTCACAGTGATTTCCCAGCATCTCACACCTTAGTGAATAAACCTTTTCAACATTCTGCTTAGTCAATACCCCCTCATTCAAAGTTTACAAAAGAATGAATACCTAGACTATAGGAATCGTTTACGGACTGGGAAGTCTTTGAAATCCAGTTCACGTAAGGCTCGGAATCCAAGGACACCAGGTGTTACGGGGGCCTCATTAATAAAACATACCGCATCTCAATGCTATACTCTGATCAAAAAGTCGCACATTCGATTCAAGTTCGAAACAAACGGAACACGGGCACGTAAAGGTCAAGTGTCACCCTAAGATGTGTCACATATGTCTGATGTAAAGGAGAAGAAAATTGGCAATAATTGGACCACAGTCTGTGTACGTGTATTAGTGTTTAATTTATCACAATGAAGTAAAAAAAAAGCCCATTACAAACTGTTTTATGTTGCAGTCTGTAATTATTTGGACAGTGACATATTTTTCGTTTGGTTCGGTTTTTCCAGATATTTGTTTTTATAAATACACGTCACTTCTGCATAGTGTCCAGAAAATGTATGAACAGTGTTAAAGCTCTGTGTGACGGTGGTCAGGGTCGGACTGGGGATACAGAGCAGCCCTGGAAAAAAAATCTATGCCAGCCCCATAAGTCATTGTGCTATGCAGTGTGTGTGTGTGTATATATATATATATATATATATATATATATATTATTGGTATATTTCTTTTTCTAATTCAAAATATTAGTCCTTTCAGGATAATTAAATTATACAGTAAAGCATACTCACATGCAGACACAGACAATCTTACTGATGCACACAAATAGGCTCATTGACAGACAAGGTTACTGGTACACACACAAATTTAGTACAGACAAACTCTAATAAACACACAAGCTTACTACAGACCAGCTCACTGACACACATATGGTCACTACAGACAAGCTCACGATCACACACATGCTTACTACAGACAAGCTCACTGCACACACATGCTCCCTACAGACAAGCTCACTAACACACACACATATGATCCCTACAGACAAGCTCACTGACACACATACAAGCTCACTCACTAGCAGGCACACACACACACACACACAAACTCACTAGCAGGCGCACACACACAGAAGCTCCCTCACTAGCAAATTCACACATACACACACACACACACACACACAGAAGCTCACTCACTCACTAGCAGATGCACACACACACAAAGACATCCACACGCACAGACATCCACACGCACAGACCTGCTTCTTACCTCCACATCCCTTGGAGTTCCTGGAGACTGGTTCTTGGGGAAGCTGCTCATTTAGCCCTGCCCCCGCCGCAGTTGAAGCTCCGCCCTGCCATACGCTAACAAGTCCTTGTCTACTCCCAGTCCTAGCTAACAAACACAGGGCTATTTACAAAAGCGAGAACTGAAAGTGAATTTTAAATTGTAAACTATAATAGCCATCTACTACCCTTTCTATATCACTGTTACTGCTCCCACTGGAAGGCTATTCCAGGTATCTACTACCCTTTCTATATCACTGTTACTGCTACCACTGGAGGGCTATTCCAGGTATATACTACCCTTTCTATATCACTGTCACTGCTCCCACTGGAAGGCTATTCCAGGTATCTACTACCCTTTCTATATCACTGTTACTGCTTCCGCTGGAAGGCTATTCCAGGTATCTACTACCCTTTCTATATCACTGTTACTGCTCCCACTGGAAGGCTATTCCAGGTATCTACTACCCTTTCTATATCACTGTTACAGCTCCTACTGGAAGGCTATTCCAGGTATCTACTACCCTTTCTATATCACTGTTACTGCTTCCACTGGAAGGCTATTCCAGGTAACTACTACCTTTC